AGAAGGACGCCGACTTCGGGTGCTGTGAGCCGGAGGAGAAGCTACCACTGGAGAGGACGGACGTGGCGCCGAAGGACGGGAGGCCGAAGGAGCAGAGGCCGAAGGACGGCGGGAAGACGAAGGAGGAACAGCCGGGAGACGTGATGGGCCGGCCACAGGAGCGAAGGGCGACGGCGACGGAGGCGACGGGCGGAGGTCCGGCGAAGTACGGCGAACCGACCGGAGAGACGAAGGAGGTACCCGCGAACGGGGGACAGACGCTGGAGTCTGAGGAGGGGGGAAAGGCGAAGAGTCGGAGGGACGGGGCGGGATGTCCCGAGCAGAGGAGACGGGACAGAAGGAGCAGGGACCAGATGTGCATGAAGCACAACGGAGGGCCTTGTTGTGTGGCCGGACTGCCTTGAGGCAGGGCCAGTTCGGACGATTATACGTGATGATCTCACGTCTACTAATTAGCAAGGAGAACTTAGGCGAAGTACGAATAGGGGAACTCACCTGCAACGATCGCACGCCTCATCGACACCAACCGCAACCCAACGACCAGGCTCAGACTCCAACTTATTCCACAAATACTCTTCTTCACGCAATGACCTCTTCGCCCGTTTGGGCGAAGGCTCCCCTCGGGGAGAAGAGAGGGGAGCAGCAGTGGCGGCGGCGGCGGCGACAGGAGCAGCAGCGGCGGCGGCGGCGGGGACAGGAGCGGCGGCGGGGACAGGAGCGGCGGCGGCGACAGGAGCAGCGGCGGCGGCGGCGGGACGGGGAACGACAGGGGGACGGAGAGCGGCGACAGGACGGGCGGCGGCAACAGCGGCAGCGGCAGCGTCGGCGTTGGGAGGGGGGGGGGACCCCGGAAGGAGAAGAAGAAGAGGAGGAAGAGGAAGAGGAGGAAAGGGCACGAGGTCGTTTCTGGCCCACAATTTGGGGAGCGGGGGAAACGCGAACGACTACGAGTCAGCAATGTCTTAGGAAGCTAAAGAACAGATAAACAAGGCCAAGTTCGGCGAAGGTATAGGAGGTTGGGCGAAGAACTCACACTCAGGACTATCAACATTGTTATCCTCTACACTAACCGCCACCATATCATCATCTGAGAGATCTTCTAACTCAGTTTCACCCTCACGATCCTGATCCTCCTCATCACTATAATCACCCCCTTTTCCTTCGAAGTCTGACTGATCGTCCGACTCCGAACCACTGAGCGACTCCTGGTCGGAGGAGGACGGAGACTCACCAGGACGAAAGGCGGGCGTCCTGCGGCGAGGGCTGGCGGCAGGAGGAGAAGCGGAGGGAGAAACAGCAGGAGGAGAAGCGGAAGGAGAACCAGGAGGAGGAGGAGAAGCGGAGGGAGAACGGGCGGGAGAACCGGCAGGAGGACTGGCGGGAGGAGAAGCAGAGCGAGGAGGCGAGTCGGCGCCAGACGGTTCCCCCAGGGAAAGAGTGCCGAGGCCAAGAGAGGAAACTTGGCGAGACCTATCACCGAAGGAAACTGAACGTCAGCCAAGTGCGGCGAAGTGCGGTAAGTACAGGGGAAAGACTCACGAGCAGACGACACCATACCACCAAAGTTCCTCATGGCGGCGAAAGGGTTAGAGGTGGGAGTAGGGGGGGCCATGACGTTAAAATACTTAAGAAGAAAATAAAAGACGAGACGGCTGGTCAAGGTAACAAATCTGTTTTCTAGGTAAGAGAGATGGAAAGTTTTGAAAACAGATGGGGAAGAGAGAGAAGCTCAACGAACTTCTCAGTATTTAGTATAATCAGACCTACCCCCTCGTCGTCAACATGCAGCAAGCTTCGTGTTTCATCAACAAAAGGCAAACAAAGGGACGATCAAATTTCCCACGCTATAGTGTCTCATCTCAATATAAACGAGGGTTACTTCGACAAACAACGGTGTTGTTCGGCTACCATCCGGGAAGCGTGTCTCACCTACAAAAGACGCAGGGTATGTTACGGCAGACCTCGACGAAGTTAGGGGAGTCTCACTCTCGGGTTTCAAAGTGGAAGGAGGCTCAACTACGAAGTACGGCGCAGGGAGCAGAAGGACGAGGGATAAAATTGGAGAAAGATAGGATGGAGGTACTGCGCTGCTAAGTTTTCTTGCCACAGTACGGGTGTAATCGCTCACGAGGACGTTCGCAGCTAAAGAAGGGGGCGACTGTCACGAACTACGTCGTGACACCTCGATTATTCCACCAACAACGACCCTCCTTTGACCATCAAAACCCCATCACGACTCAAACCCCTTTACTCTACACGTAACTCAGGACCTCTGAGACCAAGTACGGCGAAGCTAGATGAAGTTAGGGTAGATAGGGACAATGGGAGCAGAAGTGCGGTGAAGTTAGGCGGAGTTAGGCTAGGTAGGGACAATGGGAGCAGAAGTGCGGCGATATTAGACGGAGTTAGTCGAAGGAGGAGGAGGGTGGCCGGGGTTCGGAGAAGTTGGACGAAGTGCGTTGAAGTACGTCAAAGCGCGGGAGGGTTGGATGAACGTCTAGGAGGGATAGGTTATATTAGCTGAGAAGATCGCTGAAGTTCTTCTGCGATCCTTGATTGTTGTCAGTAGTAAAAGACAAATAGAGATAGCTATACATCGAGATACATCGCCATCAATAGAACAAAACCTTAGTCAGAGTAACTACGGCGAAGTACGCCGTAGTTACACTCCTTTCGACGTCTGCGCCCTCCTGGTTGGGTGAGACATCGACTCAGAAGCGTGAAGTTAGCCGAGGTTCGTCGACCGTCGGTCTATTAGGAAGAAGTTGCTCGACGGCCGTGACATTGTTCCCCACCTATGGATCTTGTGTCAATCCAGTCAGTCCCAGCCTGACATCTTGCAGTCCCCTCAGTCCCTTGTCACCCTCTGTATACTCCTCAAGCTCTACGAGCCAGAGACAAGTATTGGGTTACAGCCCCATTCCAGTCACCTTGCCTACCCTCTGGGGAATAGACCCCGTCCGTGACATTGGGTCAGGCTGGCGTCACTACGGATCAGGCTGGGTCAGCACGGATCAGCATGGGACGGGACCATTCAGGCTGGCGTCAGGATGACGCCGCCCGGAGAGGGGGCGCTACACCGGGAGGACCAAACGATGGATATATAAGGAGCACATTTTGTCTTGATCCTCTTCAAGGATCAATCTATCATAAGTTACAAAAGTGACAATAGTCTTCCATAGGCCTTCCATAGTCTTGACATACATCTTCGGCCTACTTCACTTCGCTCGCCAACACTTTGGGATCCTTTGAGCATACCTTCGGTCACATTGCCACTTTGACCACACCTTTCGATCTTCAACCACACAAGTCTAGTGGTTGTGCAACTTCTCCTCCGCACAACCCAAGCTCGCCGTAGTTCTCCGCTAGCCGGGGTTATCGTGACAAATACCCTCTAGGATCTCGTATCTTTGCCGTAGTCGGTCTCAGTGGTTCGGGTGGTGGTTGGTGATGGTGAAAGGAGGGTCGGTGATGGTAGTTATCAGGGATGTTACGACATGGTTCGTGACACTACTTTGCTCTTTAGACAATGTATCTTCACCTGTCTGTGACTCTAGATTGCTACCGTGCTTGACCAGTTGCGGATCTTGTCCCTCGAATCACACCTATAACTGAAGGAACTCCTGACAGTTGGGCCAATGCTAGTTAGTTGGTCCTCGTGACTGAGGGATACACCAAATGCATATGTAGATTGGGGTGGTGATGTGTATACTCGTAGGGGGCAGAAGTCCTGTCCCAACCCCAACTTCACAGCCAAAATTGGTCCTTTTCTGATGCCACCAGTCCGGAAGCCAGTATGAGAGGCATGCATGAAAAGGGACGAGCGAGATGCTGGGTGCTTTACTTTCATTCCCATGGAAGCATAGAGCTGTCTTTCTGCAATTTGGTTTGGTACAGGCGGCTGCAAATGGCTCACTTGCCATTCACAGCCGGGGGAGGGGACAGGACTTTTGCGCCCTACGAGTACATACTTGCATACTTATATACTTGAAAGTAATAGAATTGACTTTGGAGATCCACACTAAATCCTTGGTTGTGCAGTAGTGAAAGACCATGCTCAACTAGTGATCAATCCTTGTCTGGAGGATCCAAGGAATATGTTTGAAACCAATCCCAAACCGAAACGGACGTTCCGTGGTGTCACCTCATGACACTCTTTGGCTTATCATCAATGGGGGATACCAACAGCCTGGCGAGCCAACACCAACAGCTTGTCGTTCCGCCTTCTGGGGGATACATACACACAAGACTGTCCTAGTGACAGGAATTGAGCCTTTGATGCAACACATTGTAACCCATTGAAAGGCGCAGGAATAGGTGCCATCACTCTGGATAGGATGACCAAATTTGAAGGGCATCCTATACATCATTATGAGGTTTGAAGCAAAGGTAAATGACAGGTGAATGAAAGCCAGCTTTGGAGCACATTCAGCAGACGCAAATGTTGATAGGTATACATAAGTGGGAAACTCCCCAGATGCGTGTTTGCTGATCATTAGATGATATTACAGAGGGGGAAAAGAGCATGCATCAATTCTACATGTCTCTGTACTTATCACATTCCACTCACTCACAGCAAACCGGAGACAATTTGAATAAAGCTCAGAGGATAAGTTGGACTTCGGAATATTTGACGGAAGGTGTAGTAATCTAATGGCGATAGGCCGTCACGGACCAATTCTATTGGCTAACAATGCGTCAGGAGCGCCAAGTTAGCTTGAAGGAGATTGCCTCGCACGGAAAAGATATGAAAGCTGTTATTGTTCATTCCGCGCGCAGGAACCACACTGGCATACCTTCAGATTGTGGTTGACTGGCGTTTCACCTCCTACATATCCTACATAGAGCTAGCTGGCCACTGAAGAGGGAAGTACAAGGAGGGCTCATTGAAAATCCGCTCAAAGAAAGGATCTCTGGGAAATAAATCTCAATCATCAGTTAGCTAATCTCACACTTCCTCACTGCCAACTGTTTCCCTCCTACTACATCTTTGTACAACCATGTCACAACAAGAATGTGACACTGGCGCCCAACTCCCCCATGCCAACGTCTCCCCGCAAAGTGGAATGTCATCCACCCGAGTGTACAAGAGGAGAATGGTGCCGGAAAGGAGATCAGCTGAGGTAGACGACCTTACTCATGGGGACTACAGCCAATGGCACTCACTAGAAGAGCTAACTGTCGGAAAAGTCTCTGGACCCGGTAATTCCTCAACTCGACCTCACGGTGCCAGTGGATTTATCCACCGGCTATCTATTCTGTCACACAGGAGACTAAACTTCATAGGCTCTGGCACGCCCGACAGTGACTTGCTGACACCTTTACAGGTGACAGCATGGTTCAACGATGATGAGGAAGGCGGAACATACGTGTCCCTGACCCCCACACTGACTGGAAATGAAGAAGATCTGCAAGTGCAGGAGGAGACCAACAGGCTATGTCGTTTTCTCAAAACCAGACTCAAGCGCACTCCGGGCGAATTCCAAGAAGATTGTGATATGCTTGACAATGCGTGCAGATTGTTCATGAGCATATCTGAAGGTCAATATGGTACATCAAAGAGCATAGCGCTTGACCTCTACAGCCAAAAGCCTCGGCCTCGGTTCCAGTCGACGGGGCCGGTCAATCCAGGATCCTCTGTGGTACTAAGAATTGGGATGATCAAGTCAGCTCTTGGTCCGTTACTTTTCATTCTCAATGGAGATGCACACCCAGACACAGACAGAATCTTTGAAGCAACAGTGGAGCGAGCCAGTCTACCATCAGAGAGCAAGGCGCTATACAGATTCTATGCTGAGGATTCCGAGGGTAAGAGTGAGTTTATATTGGACCGTATTCAGAGAGCTGCCACTGAGGCAACCACTGCAAATGGGTTGAATGGGCTCAAAGTTGTTGTTGAGGGCGAAAACGTCACTCAAGCATGGCTCTCAGAGGACCCGAAGGGACGATTCAAGGGAATGCGCAATCTTCTGACCAGAGAAGATCAGAACAAACTGAGAAGGGTAGTGGAGACCTTCTGTAAAGTAGAATAGACAGAATACTCCTTTCGACTGTCTTCAGATCCGGTGTTACGGGGTAACAATCCCAAAGCGGAGGTCATAGAAGTCAATGGAAGCGGTTGCGTTCAGACGGACTGGGTTTCCTCTTTGATATCTTCCCTTCTAAGATTGTCTGTGGAGGTTTCTCCATCTAGCCAAGTATGTAGTCAGATGCTTGCAGCAAGAAGAATAGGCTAACAAGGACTGAAAGATAGCTATAGAGTAGTTAGGAAGATACTGACCTTTCCAATTCTCTGATGTCATATCCTAGTTGTGCTAGCTACCTGAACAGCAAGACGACAAGCCATCACGGGCCGCTCTGATTACCTAGAATTCAGCTGAGCCCCATCAAACTTGACATAACTTGTGACCAATTTGTTGTGTTTTCAGTACTGTAACACCTTGGTCTCGAATTTCGGTCCCTCTCTGACAGATGGCGATTTACAACGATGATTAAGGGGCCCCCAGAGAGTGTTATCCTCATGCATTGGATGTGATAACGAAGATTGAGAGTCAATGCAACCCCTTAGCAACCGGGTAGATCCAGCAGTGATAAAAGGCGTACACCACCTCCATATCAACTACAAGAGACAAAGATGGACCAGCTATGTATGTGTACTTACAAGAACTGTCTTATTGTAGTCATTTGTTTTTGGTGAACAAGTCTTTTGGACAGTAGTACGCCTACAGCGCTTGTACGGTAAGCAGGTCCGAGAGGAAATGACGGCAAAAGAGACTGTCAGGTGGTGAGAGTGTTGAGACTGCGAATGATTTCTGGGCAAGGTAGACGGAATCACGACGGACTGCCGTGAGGACGACGACATGGAATCTTGAGAAAACGCACGGAATGTGAGAAAATGATGTCAAATCTGGTCAGGATGACGTTTTTTGGTTGAGGCTATGCATGAGAACTGCTTTTGCGGAGCAATTAACCCCATCACCAAGTGTGGAAAAGAAGGCCAGATTTCAACCTCGTAGGCAGTGAGAGGGACGGTCGAAAGTCCGTCCACGGGGAGGCGGTGATGGGGAAGAAAGGATCGATCCTTGGTTTCTCACCCTCCTTTGGATCATGTCATTTGGATGCCAACCATGAACTTTCTGCCTTCCATGGCTATGTTCCCACTTCTTGATCAATAAATACAGCATCTTAGTGGCAAACATCTCCACATCACTCATCCCCATTATCAACCCCGTTCCCAAACTCGTCTCCAGTTTCCAATCATGGCGGCTCAGCACTACTCTTGTGTACCCAGGGGTTCCAGAACCGCACGCACCGTCCGTGTGTTTGTGTCCACTGACAAACAGAATGATGATGGTCCTGGGCAGTGTTTATGGTTTGGGTACAACAATACTGAAGGTGAGGACAGGCCTCAAGATGTGCTGCTTGCTGAGAGAATGATGATAAACATGACTGGGTTTTTTCAACATCCCCGGCGCTTGCATGAGACTACTCATCAGGATCTTCTGAGTCGTTCACATGAGGCTGCGCAAAGAGCTTATTACTCCGCAAGGAAGATTTATAGTCATGCATTACTCTCTATCTCAATCTACAGTGATCCTGCAGGTGAGTTGTGGAGGGAAAGGAAGAAAGTAGACCCCACTGCTGCTTCTTTGGCCGCTTTTGGAGCCTGGCTCTCATGTCAACTATCTGATTCAGAAGTGGGGCAATCATATCCAGATGGGGATGAAGATGAAGATAGCAAAGCGCCAGATCTGGATAAAGAAGTGTACCAACCAGATCCGTCAGACTCTGACCCTAGAGGTGACCCTCCATCATACTCCGAGACATAGTCCTCAGCAATCATATATCCCTATAACCGGAATCCATGATTGTCAGGATGAGATGCATTTAATGAGAGAGGGTAAGAAGGCATGAACACTCAGAGGATGTAGCACTCACCTTGAGGCTCATGATCTTTGCACTGCATCGATCAACCAAATCTGCATCATCTCTCCCGCTTCCTCCTTGTCCTGAGATCTCTCAGCAATATCTGGCCTGGGTCAGCCACACATGCGCCTCTCTCATTCAAGTGTTACTTTGGCAGGGTATGACAGCAGTTAGCGTAATGAAAGTGAGCTGAGAGGGCCGTGAGATCAGTGGATCATCGATCAGTATGTTTGTCAGTATGTTTGTCAGTATGGTTTGTCAGTACGGTCCATTTGAGACAAGCAATTCACAATAGGATGGCATGTCAATAGAATGTCCTAATGTCCATGTCATCACTGTCATACGCTACTGGCGGGAAGCTCGAACGGACAGGCGACATCACTAATCTGAGTTGACTGTTCAGGATGCGTCACAAGCCCAATGATAGACATCTTGAGAACCAAGCGGAATTTGAGGTCTCTCTTGTCAGTTGTTGATTCGAAACCAGACGGAACACTCACCGGGTCGTGTAGTTCCAGGCCATAAATGTCCACAAGCGTCGTATAGATCGTTCCCTCTCTATCAGCTCGAGTTTACGGAGATATTGAGACTCACAAGTAGTGTCAGAAGTGTTCAGAGCGCTATAATTGAACTCGACAGGTAAAACGACAGGTTGGTCCGCTTTGTGATGAACGACGTGACCGTGAAGTGAGCCAGTGGCGATTTGCTTGTCCGTCGTGAGGTCATAAAGGGTCGCTTCGAGGTTGCTGAGATGTACGGGGACATATGAGTTGGTCCCATCGGCTGATAGTTAGTTACTGCGCTAGTTACGGTGATGTCCATCTGTGAAATGAACGGAACGGGAAACTTAGGGAAGAATAAGATTAAGCAAGATTACCAACCAAACAAATTGAGATTACCGGCAAATGAAAAGTTGGTGGGCGTCCGACTGAAGGCAATGGTAGAGTTATCCACGGTAAACGGTGAAGGGGCGTAGAATGTGAAGCTGGGAGCTCGAGGAAGGACAAAGAATAGTGTCACGGCAAGGCTACATGTCAGCAACTAGTTTCAACCAGCTCGATATTTTATTCGTTACGTCGAAACGATGACTCACCCAGCGCAAACGAAGAATAGAGTGAATACTAGCAGCCGCCTGGTCAACCAAGCCACACCGCATAAACCTCGTTGGTCTCGTTTCCATTCTCTCCAAGCCCTGACACGTTTTTCCCTGGTCACTTCATTCCTCCCCGTCTTGGACATTTCGTGTAGTTCTGATTTGTGCCATCTATAACGAATCAGCTTGAGTACAGGCTGCCAGTCATTCCGATAGAGCGGGGACTAAGGTCTCGGAAGAAACTATGAGAGGAAGGGGAGGATTCGGACTCACTCTGGTCCCAGGACAGGCACCGATACCATCTCTTCATCCGTAGTTGATCTCAATCCAGGTGGGGGAATGTGTGTTTCGACCCGACGGTAACTAGAATCAGTTTGCCTCAAACATACATCAAAGCAAACGAGCATAAGTTACGATGACATACGATTTGGCATCCGCAGCACTTTCGTTCACACTACCCTTATCTTCATACCCATGTCTCTCACTCCATCGAGGTCCATCACCATCAAAGTCCGCCCGCACGTCGAAAGGTTCATCTTGATCATCGATGGATTCATGATAAAGTGGTTTGGGCTGGGCGTATGGGTCATGTAGATTCTGTTGAGAATAAAGTTCACTTTGTCTGCGTTGTGTGTATGAATCTTGGTGGCGATAGTCTGTCGAGAATCGAGAGTTGTTTGACATGTTTGCGGGTTGGCTGCTGGCTCAAATCTTGTAGCTGCAGATTGGAGAAGATGATGACGGTCTTTGAGACCTGATCCGGATGGACGGTGGAATAGAAGTCTGTCAATGTTGGAAGTTGTACAGGAAGATAAAGGAGGGAAAGGATGTCGACACGTGGTTCCCGATCTAATCCTGTTTGATGCCGACAGTAACAAAGTTTTAAGCGGACTGCTACAGAGCAGAGCAGAATCAGCTCAAGCAGCCATGTAACCGGGACGATTGTGAAAGAATTGAGGTGGCGAGGTGGGAAGTCTAGTAAGAATGAAATAGTGAACCACAAGAGTGCTGAGAGGTGAGAGTGATCAACGGCCAGCTTGGAGAGAAGGATGACGTGCGGGATGCGGGACATGGGGAAAGGGGGAAGTTGCACAGCCTTCCTCTCGGAACGAGTCACCACAAGCCCACCAAAAAATTGACACTGACAATAACATCCAGCATGAGAGAAGTAGGACCGATAAGCTGATTCATACTGTAAAGTAGCTGGCGACCAATGACCATGTTGCAACAAACTTACTCGTAAAGTAGTACTTACGACTACACTACTTTCATAGCAAAACACATCTGGATGGGACGCGATGAAAGTGAACTTCCGTCGGAAGACTCAGGCTGACATTTTCTCCTCAATGCGATGACTCTGACAATAGCGAGATCAGTGCAACGTCACACACTCCCATACTTGCTGTATCCTTGCCTCTCTTTCAATCATTTACAACATGATCCTCTTAGAGGTGGGTATTTCTCTCTGATACTAGCTCAAACTAACTTCAAAGTCACGCAATACAGTGATAAACGATGTTCTTTTGGATCGTTTCGAGAAGTGAGTCCCAAAGGCCTCTTTCAGTAAACTCACAGCTTTCTCCAAGTCTCATTCCTCCAGTCTAACACGAGGTCGCACAACCCACTGGTGGTAGTGTAGAATGAGGTGTAAGTACTTGTGAATCAAAACTGATCATAGACCATCACGGATGGATATCCAATTTGTCGACTACGATAATGTCCGATTTCATCTCTCTACCGCTGACTCCAAAACTGTGATTCTCCTCAGCATGGGAATACAATGTTGGCCCGATTTGATCAAGTATGGAGCAAGAGAACATTTGCAGAAAGAATATGCTGGATTGGTGTTACCTCCTAATGAAACGGAACCGGAGTATGATGTAACTTTGTCTATTGATTTGGAAAAGCTACCTCCGACTGCTGGTACGTTATCATCCACATCGTCCTTCATCTCTCTTATAAGGTTGCTCCACATAGCTGTCACTGATAGACACATTGAACCGCGATGATGAAACGTTTGATGCCGGGTGACTTTCACTAACGGACAGAGGAGAGGTCCGCTTTAGTCCAAAAACTCGCCCTTTTCAAATCCACAGCCATGTCAGCACCTTTCCTAGCCGCTTTTGCTGAACAGGCTCAACTTCAATCTTCGTACAAAGAACCGGCAGGAGCACAACAGTTCGAATTACCTCCTGCTGAGTCTCAGGGTGAACTCAAGATTATCAAGTATAGAGAGGAAGAAGCCATGTTCATTCAGGCTAGACACGATAGAGTTACTGTTATTTTCAGCACGGTGTTCAAAGAGGAGACGGATAGAGTGTACGGTCGTGTTTTTTTGCAGGTGAGTCTCCATCGTCCATTCTATCCACACGAGCAAGTCATACCTTACCTTCACTTTATCTATATGTTGCTGATGGTATTAGGAATTCGTCGATGCTCGGAGATTGCAATCTCTTCAAAGTGCACCTCAAGTGACATACTCGAATCGTGAACCACCACTGGAAATCAGACATGTTCCCGGGTTGAAGAATGGTGAAGATTGGGGTTATGTGACTTTTGGTGAGTCAATCGTTTATCCCCTCCTCCCCCTCTTCCCCATTTGTCCTCTCCTAAGCCACTTTCGATAGATCGATAAACAATGGGATAGAAGATGTTGTAACTAAATGATAGTCCTATTCCCGCGTCACTTTGCCAACCCAACACAAGCACTTTCCACCATTCATCGTATTCAACTTTTCCGCGATTATCTACACTATCACATCAAGTGTTCAAAAGCATACATGCACTCTCGCATGCGAGCCCGAGTGGCAGAGTTTCTTAAAGTCCTCAATCGTGCCAAACCGGAAGTAGCGACAGCAGAACGGAAGACTGCCAGTGGACGTACTTTCCAACGACGCTGAATGTCGACGAGACTCATAATTTCCTTTGCTTTCAATGCTTGTCATCTGAGACTTGTCCAACCGTCCGTTCCAGGAGAATGGACAAAGGAGGTAGTTTGGATGTGGGACAGGTGAGAGATGATGAAAGAAATGTCAAGACGTTGCCATTACCTCTAACATGTTTTCCCTCACTATTCATTTGATGTGTGTCAGAGATCCGCTAACATCCTGAAACTTGGGTCGTACCCGACTAATCCCTTCAACATTCCTTTCGGCCCTTCACATCTGTAATTCTCCTTTCATCACCCTCTCCTTTATCCTCTACAGCTGTCACATGTTTTCTCCTACCCAGTCCCTCATTCTCACACATCCCCTCACTCACTTACTCTCCTCTCACAAGCACCTCCTTGGTACTTACCATCCTCTCACATAACTTCCCCGAATAAATTCAACTCTCATCACATATAACGACCCAACATGTCTCTCACACCCCTCAAAATCCACCGATCTAGCGGGATCACCCTGATCTCATCAAGTCAGCCCCACCGACCTCTCCCTCGAAAAGATACTGTCATAGGCAATCATCAACGTCATTCAATACATATTTTCCCACACTTTCATCGGAGTTTCAGATCTTTTTCTCCACGCCTTCCAATTCATCTTTCCAACTCACTCGTTCTACCATCGATAACTTTCCATTCCACATCAATTCATCGACTCTCACTCTCACAAATCATGTACCCCCCAACACCTTCTGAACTTGAACCTGAAGAAATCGCTCACATAATCTCTGAACTTCAAGCGGGTTGTGAGGGTTTAAGAAGGATTTGGCTCTTACGTTTATTAGGTATACCACCTGATTCTCTCACTCCTGATTCAACCAACAAGAAGAAACAAGATTCAGAACTTGGGATATCTCCTGATATTTCCAATACCCCAAGAAGATTCCCTTCTTCATCTCAAGAACATACGTTGAAACCCACCATGACTCCGGAGCAACCTTTGAATAAATCGAGTGAAAATCTTGTGAGTCCTGAGAACGTCATTTCGACACCAGAGAAGTTGAACGGACAGGTTGATGTGAAACCAAAAATGGAGGAACGTCCTTGTGCTCGAGAAAGACTAATGGGATGATGGTTGGTATTACGTTATCATACCTTATCATATGTACGTAGATGCATCGTCATTCTTCTCCGATAATATATATTCTAGTCTCTTTGTCCGTTTGCGGTTGACGATCTGATGATATAGAGAAATAAATAAATAAAATTTTCGACCAGACTACTTATCACGTTTATAAACTTTATGAAGGAAACTTAAAAATACTTCTTTCTTCACTCCTGTACTTTCATCCACCGATGCGATCAGACCAGTGATGAGTTCGTAAGATTCTTTCTCGTATACTTCAAATCGTTCAGGAAGAGAAATGGGAGATTCGTGGTAGACGGCTTTGATACGTGCTTCACAAGTGGAATCTTTTTTGCCATAGTTGTCCTAATGGTCAGCATCTTCCCCCACATTGCGTGCTTCGGCTGCATTTATTTCCTCTCTTCACGTGTCAGTTTAGCTTGACGACCTTATTCTGGTGGATTGTATCTCCCCCCCGTCTGTCCCTCCTTCCCAGAGGGTCAAAATGATGCAAGCACGACTCAAAGGTATGATGTTCATTGTACACAGATGAAAGAGGTAAAGGGAATATACTGACGTCGAGGATTTGACGCTGTTCCGGAGTAGCGACTTTAAGAGCGGTGTTGATATTCCATGAGCATTTATTGTCCTCGAAGTCAGCTATTCCAGCTCGAAAAACAAATCTGGCAGCTTACTAAGATATCCGTCCCGATTTTCCCGATATGTTCAGGTAGACCAAAACAGTCCAAGAAATCGTCTTGTACTTGGAAATATTTTCCGAGAGGTATTAGCACGGAAAGTGCTGTTTCGTATGCTTTGGGATCTGTCACTCCGCTCTGTCAAATTAGTGAGACACCAAAGAAGTGTGAGAAGGACTTGCCATACGCATGGCCAAGGCCACAGGAAGATAGAACGAATAAAAGGCGGTTTTGTAGATCACGATGAGATGGTATCTATTTACCTTCAGCAGGTTCATCAGCCGTGAACGAGGAATTCACTTCTCAAGGGAGAATTTGGAGAGATCGACGTGGTCTTCAGGTGCTGTAAGGAGATCGATCAATTGTCCTAGTTCAGTCTGGAAAGTGCTCTGCATGGTCAGCACGTAGGCAAATTTCAGATGAAGTCTCAGATCGAAGAGGTGAAGTAAGAGACAAACTGACCTCGTGGAAATGCTCAATCAAATCAACATAATATGGTTCTGGTCGGAAATACTTCTTCAACAGATGATAAATAGCAGCTTCGAGCATGAATGCATCATTGATTGCGATACTTCCCACACCAGGCTATACTTTCAGAGATCATTCTTTATCATGGTCCAAGAAAGGTGTGAACACTCACCACTCTGTACCAACATGGCTGCCCACGACGAGTGATAGATTGGTCCATCATATCATCCGCAACCAAGAAGTAAGCTTGTAGCTGGCAATTCAGTATTACCGTTCATCAATCACTTAGAAAGGAAGACGTACCAGCTCTACACACCAGCCCAAGACGGCAGCTTTATGGTACTCTTCATCATTCAACGAAGAGCCTTTGAGAATTTCGACAGTGTCTACTACTGAAATTCCCCTATTGAGCTTGCCTTTGTGATTAGTTCGTTTAGCAATGATGAATAATGATGCACATACCCCCTGGGACATTGTGATCCAAATTCTATTGGTAAGCTTTTCTCATCACTGGGATACTGAGCCAGCATGAGTAGGTAGAATCATGAGATAGAGACGTCTCGACCAGCGAGGTTGAGAGACCACTCACTTGCTGATACCATTCCAAAGCCTCTTTGGGCATTGTCTCAGCTTTCAGGTATCCGACAAGATCATCTCTTATAATCTTGTAGACGCCTTCGAACTTCTGTCTCCTGGCGGCTTTATCAGTCTGTCGGTCAGTTGCCTAAAAGTGACTCTGAAGGAGGACCTCACGGAGGAGCTCATGCCGTGTGGTAGGTGATCTTGCAGAAAGGTGTGATTACTGGTAGACTGATGAACGTGTATCTGCAGGGAGCTGGGGATGGAAGTACGTGACCGATAAAGGTGAGCTATGAGACCGATGGTACAACTAAGTAAAAGGATAAGGGTCAAGGTGGAATGTCGTACCATGATCTATGGTTTTCAACGATCACACTTTCAACCTTACCCTCTTATGCCACGTGACACATTTGATTCCGAGTTTCCGCCCCGCGTGCCCGAGTACCAGGTCCCTAGCGGCTTTTTGACTGTGATCCATCTCTCCCACCTGTTGACTCCTTGAACTCTTCCTTCTCACCGCCATGTCAGGCTCTGGATTAGGAGTCGCAGCTGGTGGTGCATCACGTAGACGTTCAAGCAGTGTCACCAACGCCCTCGAGTGAGCCATTTCGTCTTCCTTCAGCTCCCGTTGGCTGGATGTTTACTTTGAGGGGGTATTGATGGACAGACAGGTACCTCTCAACTCGCAAGCTACATCAAGTCACAGTCATGGACACGCCCACCATGCGTAAGTTATCGATGACTTCATTGAGATGATTGATCGCTGACGAGGTGACAGTGGTCATAAAATCCAAGGTCAGGCTGGTTCTGCAAATCAAGGGAAAAGCGAAATCAAACCTCTTTCAGGTAGATCAAGACCAAGGCCGAGTGATGATCTAGTTCTGGGTGATATGTATTACACCAAAGGATTTCTAAAAGATCTTATCTCGTTCAGATGGATGACCATTCCATGTGAGCAGTTTTCAGCCAAACACAACTTTCCAACGCAGCTGACAAGGCAGCATCCTCTTTGAAACTCATGATGATCATGCCTGTTTTGTACCTCAATCATCTGGCATTGGTACATCTCGGGATACTCTCACCGGAAACCCCCAACCCATTTGCAGCTTGCTTGTTTTTGAGTGGGAAAACGGCAAATGGAAAGTATACTAAGGCTTGGGGAGATTGGGCGTTCGTTTTGTGGCATACCGTATGGTGGTCTCTGTGAGTCAATTATTCCCTCCAAGCTGATTTTATCGGATTGGTGCAATCAGCTGAAAAGAAAGGGTGAGGCAGAGTATGACGCTATATGTGTTACGACCATTAGCCTATTGGTTCAAAATTAAACGATCAAAGATCATGAGGTTCACTGAGCGTAAGTACATAGTCTTTCTGTTGAGATGAGTCAAGTTGATGGTCAGAGGGTTACGCTCTCTTTTATTTCGGTATCCTAAGCGGGTGCGGGATTGTGAGTGAAATCGTCCAACACTTCTTCTCCATGCCCGTTGACAGCTGGGTCTCTGGTGACAGCTAACAAAATAGTATGTAATGCACGGTCTATCCACTTGGTGTGAGCATCATCCATGTTCCGACCAACTTCGGCTGACGGACAGGGTACCGAACCGAACATTTCTGGTTGGAATATCCTCATAGGGAAATGACACTAGAACTCAAGCTTTATTACCTCATGCAAGCGGCATATTGGTTGCAACAAAGTATGATCATGGTGCTAAAAGTGGAAAAGCCGAGGAAAGATTACTACGAGTTGATAGCCCATGTGTGTGATCCTTCTCCTATCCTGTAGTCTTACGTCCTGTTATCAGACATGAGTATTTGACAAGCTGCAGGCTGATCCATCAGCACATCGTCACCCTGTGGTTGATCGGATGGAGTTATATCGAAAACGTAGGTTCATCATTTTCCTTTTTTCCGACAACACGGCTGAATTTCAGCTCACATATATCGGAGTATCCATCTTCGTCACGATGGACGTATCAGACACTTTCATTGGGTTTTCCAAATGTGTCAACTATATCGACGAGAGCAAATCGGTGCCTCCTTTCTTGGTCTTTCTGGTGGTTTGGACGTGAGTACATATTCGCCTCATTTTGCATTCTCGTTGTTGTGATCCGACGCGGCTGGTCACTTGGTAACGGGACTGAAGAAGGTTTCGATGGATTCTAGCTTATGAACAGGTACATGCGTCATTATCTCAATATCAAAATTCTCTACTCGGTATATTCTGAATGGCATCTCATTCCGTTAGTCTTTCCTGATCTCTCCTGTATCCACCTTCAATCACCCTCCCTTCCTTTACCCCTCTGATTATTGCTCCTGGCGCGACTTTATGATGTCTTAATGGACCCAAGCATCGTGGACTTTGTGATCGTTATGGACCACCCCAATCTCCCTTGCCCAGCTCGATGAGCAAAGGAATAGGACGGACTGAAGCTGACTCCGCCAGAGAGGCAAACAGACAAGTATTCGACCCATGGAGAGACAAATGGATGCCACCTTGGATGCAATGGCAAATCTTCATCCCTATCGCTTTATTGCAAGTGATAAACTTGTTATGGTATTACCTCCTCATGCGTATTCTTTTCCGGTCAGTACAGTACTTTTCTCCTCTCAAAAATATCGTTACTCCACCCGTTCGCTTGACCGGCCTGTCATTCTGCTTGAACATCTATCTTCATACCTTACTCGATGACATCGGCTTCGGAGCCAGGGAAGAGTGAAAGTTGATATGATCCGAAAGACTGATGTTCAGTGCGCTCGTATTTAATGATAGGAGGGACGAACGGTCTGATGATGAGGAAGAAGAGAAACCAGTGTTGAAAGATGGCAAGGCGGAGTGATTTAATTCATGTTCAAATAATGACGAATAATCCCCTCTTCATAACCTGTCGAAATTGTCCATCACAACCAACATTCCCTGCCTTAGTTACCTTCTCGTCCATCTAATGAAAGGTCTATGCGGTATGCAATAATGCGAGCTACTATCAAACTCATCAATAATGCTCTGATATGATAAACCCTTTCAGAATTAACACAATTGATTCATCTGCATTACACATCTTTGAAAATAGTTATGATTTTCATTCCGAATCCACCCATTCGACCGAACCAGCGATAGCAACAGTACTTGGTAACTTACCCGGAGTAGGGGATAACAGAGTATATTTCCTTCTTTGAGAATCTATATTGGTAATCACCACAAAACCAAGTACTTCCCTCCATCCTACTTCTTCTTTATAAGGTACATCATCTAAATCATCTTCCTCCTTTTCTTCCTCTTCCCCATCATCTCCCTCTTCTTTCTTTGGGGATTTGATAATAGTCGGGGCGGATTTATTGACGGAAGTCGGTTTTGGTATTCGATCATCTGGACGTATAGCCACGATAGCGAGGACTGTGTTGAGTAAACGGACAGTATGAGCCGGACCGGATGGATCGACACGAGTGAGACGGGTAGGTGAGAGCATTCGACTTGAACCGAGTGGAAGAGCTGAGGAAGGGGCTGAATGTTCTGGTGATTAGAATTAGGTTTTCCCGTCTATTCTAACACTGCTCAGGTGCATCGAGGATAAGAGCCGACAAATAACATCTTGACCAATGGCTCCGTGATTTGATGAAGTACTGAGTTGTGATCAAGAGATGATGTTCGGTCCATATGGGAAGAAGATTTATAAAGAGTGAAAAGATGAAAAACCCAAATTTCACTCACCCTCCCCGACCCTCAGAACAATCAATGTTTCCCACCCTATCTGGAAGGAATAAGGCGTTAAGCCCAGTTCCCTAGGGACTGATTCACCTCTCAGAGCCTGAATGGTCTTTGAGATAGGTGGTTCACCATAAAAATAACATCTGACTTGAAAGGCATGCACCAGTTCGCGGTAAGTGTCATCATTATCCACCACACCACCTGATTTGGGAAGACGCAGGACTTTTATGGAAGAAGGAAGGAGACGTAAAAGGTCGATGGTGAGTTTTTCATGTCCGATAACGACGATCACATCGACTGCATATTTAGTGAGTGATCTTGGGTTTCAGGACCTACATCAATTCATACGAATCGACAGGTGAATGAATCATCAAGCAGCGTGATAGAAAGGAGAGATTTGAAGATGAAAAAGGAGATTGGGGACGTAGGGAGATAGTACCCACTGTCAAATGTCTGAATAGCTTGCAATACCAAAGCGTATCGAGCTTTAGGATCATCTTTTTTAGTTCCCAAAGTAGGATTTGTGAATGCACTCGGTGTGTCCATTATCAAACCCGAAGCAGCGGCTTTGACTTCAATATTGCTCGGCTCAATGTCAAGATGATCAACTCACCGATGGGGTCTTTGGCACAACGCTCTTTCCATCTTTCACCCATAGCCGAAACGAGCTTTTTCCATATATCCGAACCCTTGGTAGAGGGCTCGGTATGGCCATACCACCACCCTACGGTCGACACATCCGCAGCCAGGGTGCTTGAAGGGAGAGAAGTAGGAGAGGAACCGAATGGGTGAGCCACATGATGAGTTGGAAGGGGATGTGAAGGTAAGGAGAGGGATATCGAACCGGGTATGAGGTTGGCGGGCTGTCATAAGTCATGTCTCAATTACATTCGTCCCATATTATTATATGTGTATAAGTTCCGCCTTTGGACAAGCCATGAATCAACACATGGAACGTTCAGATGGACCACTCACAGAAGAAGGATCTAAGCCTACTACGCACGGCGTCCAACCCATCCCTGCACTCAAAGCGAGATTCACCAAATTCTTCGCTACGGTCGTCTTTCCTGAACTGGTCGGTCCCACAAGCATGACTCTGGGTCCTATTGTCCCGTCTGAAACCCGTTTAGCAAGAATCCGTCTTTGTTCCAAAGCGAGATGAAGTGAGAGAATTTGTGACTGGTTCGTCGATGATGAGGCATAATGGGACGCGGGTAGTGAAGATACTGATAGTCAGTAAGTTCCATGACATACACCTGACTGAATGCCTGTGCACGTAAATGAATGCCGAGCCGTCAGTATCAGGGAACAGGTGTGAGACATGACGAAACGAGTGAAACCAACCTTCTATTTGAGCGGGTTCGTGTGCGTAAATGGCCGATTTGGTGAGTTTATGAATCGGATACCAAGTTGACGGGGGTAATTCTTCCGCATTGATTGAGACAGAGCCGGAAGCCACCTGTAGAGGAGACAAGTGTCAGTCATGGTCAGAATTCATACGGGGTTTTCACGGACGCATTAAACACTGGGCATCTCCACATGTGATCGTGAAAAAGGAGACGCAGTTGACACGGGAATGAGAGTGGATGACCAGATAGATACAGGACAAGATATGATTTATGACATGCTGGACACTACAACGCAGGGTCTTCAACGACAACACTAGTGAGACTGAACATGAAGAGGGAATTGGACGGCTCAACGGTCAGCACACTCACGCAAAAACGGGAGACGCAAAATCACTCACGAAGTATGAAGCCATTCCGTTGTTCTATATCAAAAAGTGGAAGAACATGCGACTCACCCGTACAGCCATCTCCTCATCAGCCTCCAGCTCAAACCTCCATTCCACACCCGGGTCAATGTCGAGAGCCTCGTATTCCATGGCGAGAACCTCTCCGATCGTTGAAGAGTGGCTTGTACGATTGAATCAGTCAGTAAGTCAGGACAAGACGTTACTTTGCCTCAATCCCCACACATTACACTCAGTAGAGGTAACACCTTGTACGACACCTGTATCGGCCACCTAGGGAAGAAAGAAGTGAATCGTTTCAACGTTTGCCCACTTGATGTGCACGAAACGCCGAGAGACTAGAGGAGCGGGATTACACCCGACATTTGACTGTGGCACTCTATTGAGCGGTGCCCCGCATGGGAAGGAGTGAAAGGGTCGATCCTATGTGTTCTCGACTCCGTCTCTTCACTTGCTGTTCTGTATCCTCACATCATCTTCAACATCATAAAGTGTCTTGGTCTACAGCTTGATTCATAGAACACCGAGTGCTCTGGAATTACATAAAAGACAGTGGAAGAAATACTCTCCACTAATCTCGCCACACTCAGCTCACGCCACTCCTTTCCCCCACCATCGCCCTCACTTGCCGCCATGGCCCTCCGTCTCTCGACCAAACGTTTGAGTGAGTTCCATCATCTTCTTCACAGTATGGGACGCTCAATATTGATTATTCAGTGAAAGAACTCAAGGATATACAAGAGAAGGGAACGCCAGCAGGTATCATACCACTCTCCACCGAATCAGTAGATGAATGGGTGTTCCTGATCTGCGTTCTGGGCGATGAGACCATATACAAGGTGAGATATTTGTGTTATACGACAACCTCCAGCTCCATACAAGTATTTACTTCATGTCTTGCGGAGGTACATGTGAATGGATCAAGTTAGCTGACGGGTAGGGAGAACAATTCGCACTCCGACTGATCTTTAGTGATCGATATCCTATTGATTGTCCTCAGGTATGTTTCTCATATGTCTCATCCTTGTTTCTATGGCCCACTACCTTTCTCTTCTCAATCAACTGCCGTATCATACCTACAAACCATGTATACAATTTCGGCCGGACAGTACTGATAATCAATAGGTCACCTTCATAGCGGACGATCAGTATCAGCCCCCTTTACATCCCCACGTCTATTCTAACGGTCATATTTGCGCATCCATATTTGGTGAGTGAGCATAAAAATGACAACTTTCGCTGATACCAAAGGGAACGAGTGGTCTCCCGGTATGTCTTCTAGTGACATGGTAAGTCGGCTGACGACGTAGTGTTAACGGCCGTGAGCATTTGCATCACTATGCAATCCATGTTAGCGAGTAACAAGAAGAAGGAACGGTATGTTTGATCTTTTTTCCTCCAACTTTCTCCTTTGATTCGTACGTTCCCCCTCCGCATACGTGGCAGAATGAATCGATTGCCGTGGCAGGATTCGGAGCATTCACGAGAAAGCAGGAAGAAGATAGCATGACTTGATGGGCCGGGGACTGATCAAAAGACCAGAAGGGAATGACAGATACGTCAGAACAGCGCCCGATAACCCGAAAAAGACAAAATGGGTATATGACGATGATGTGAGTATGATCCATCATTTCCCCCGGCCCATGCCATTCCTGTCACCAGCTGACTTTACAGACGGTGTAGACAATAGAAATGACCCCAATCATGGTGGCGTGTGAAACGATATACGTAGGAATTAACGTTGTTTGTTGTAGGTGCTCAGTTGTGCGTATTGTATACATGGGTCCATGAGGATTTGCACATTATCATCTATTCACGCCCGGATACCAGTCAAACTGCCCAAACGAGCCAAAGAGTCTTCCGACGTCTCGGCTGAGGCATCAGCTTACCCAATCTGTACTCTGTCCATACTTTGTTCTACATTCCCTGTCTTATTCCAGGGTAGATTGGCGGTGATTCGGGATATGCAGACACCGGACCCACAGCGAGACCTTGAGAATCATGTGAATCCGCTTTCTCGCAGATTGACAGCGAGGGACTCACCCTCTTCTATCGCGTCGGACTGCGCGACCTGGTCGTAAGTCTACAGATCTCCTGGTTGTGTGTACACGTTAAAGATATGAACAGATAGCGAGCTGGTAGGTTTCTGTTTCTGGAGTAGGCTGAGCGATGGTGGAGAAAGTCAATGAACGTACGATCCGCAGCACTGCCTTCTTAGAAGATTCCTGTAATTCCCCAGCAATGATGAGTTCGTCCAAAATCTTCCCATCAGCTTCAACCTTCCTCTTTCCCTCCCAGAAAAGTCAAGACATGATACCCACAGCATACGCCTTTTGGAAGTTGAAAATCAAATCCAGTTCGCACACCTGTACATCAGTTCCAACACTTTAATCTCTCCTCTGGGGTTTTCTCCATACTGCCCTTCCTTGGGCAAATTTTAGGCAAATGAAGAAGCATTTGTGTAGATGAGTCGAAGATTTTCAGTGTCATTGACGTATGACTCTGAAAAGGTGAGGTGGAGGGACGAAGAAAGGAGACGGTGATGACACTTACATTACCAAAATACCGATCGAGCACTTCGACGTATCGATGGATCACCTCGAGTGTGATGAGTTCGTTGTCGGATGTAGAAATTGAGCAGACGAAGAATAATGAGGCGTAACGACGGTAAATGATTTTGGTATCTGCATTGGTCAACATCGCCCTCCTCCCGTAATCAATACCACCACCGATCTTCAAGCCCTGGCTCTTGCCCCATTTTCATACTCTCTGTTTTGTACCCCAACCTATCATGCAGGGGCTTGCACTCATGACAAATCGTAGAATGGGACTTCGACAACCCATTCCATTTGAGTCACACTCGCAACCATCGGAAAATGACATACGAGCCAGGTATGATGGTCTCTCCTGTATCCTTTTGCACCCTATCAGGTGTCAAACAGTCCAGCAAAGCCAGAGCTGTGTGGCGAGCGCATGACGAGGATAGAGCAGGAAGAATGACTCACCTTTATATTCAAGAAAATTACACATTCTCGTTCTTCTAGCAAGGACGAGCTGAGTGACATCCTTAACAATCTTGGTTTTTGTCTTGCTAGGTAAAGTCTGGAACCACTTTGCCAATCTGACTTTCCCTATCTTCGTCAGTTTTTCCTAAGTGTACGAGTGATGAGATATACCTTGTCGGGAGACTAGCATTACGTAGTTGATCATGGTGATGATCTATACCTCTCAAAAGGCGAGATAAGAAGATAGGAAGACGGAAGAGGAGGAAGGTGGAATGTTGGAATGTTGGAATGTTAAATCCAAATTCAACACGTTCACTTTTCGGTTTCACCTCTTCATACCTTACTCGTCCACTAATTCTACCCAGTTCAAACTCCTGCTGATGAATTGACGGGACTTGATAGCGAGAAGAGAAGTTCAAATACACAAGGAGAGAAAAGAATTATGCAAGCTACAGCACCACCATTCGTACCTTCCTCTACCACCCGACCGTCCGATCTCTCCACTACGAAAGAGATTATTATGACTACGTCTTTTCCTTCAGCATCAAACGCAAATCATACGGTTACGTCGAGCACGGTGCATGGAGTGTATGATCTGAAGCTGGTGAGGGACCTAGAGGGGTTATTGAATGTCGAAACTGCTCAAACGAGATTAAGGAGGATAGCTGTGAGTTCGACCCTTCGCCTTCTATCCTGTCGCCCCGCTCTCTTGCTCATACCTACCCAATTGACCTGCCTTGATTTCCATTCGTCTACAAATTATGCTATCTCAAACCCTAGTTCTGCTTACTTCCATTCGATTCAATGCAGAGCAGAAATGGATTTGTGTGGGATATGGAAGTGACGAATCTGATTCATCTAGGGCAGAGCTCAGAACCCAAAACCCTTCAACCCCATATGTTCATATACCACCCTCAGCGCTTGCAAACAACACCGACAAAATTGCGAGAAAGTACATTACGAGCCTATCATTCGACCATGGACAGATCCATCCTTGGGCTACTGTTCGTACGTCCTTTTCCCCACGAAACCTGATTGGTCGTATCTCGCCACCGTTTTCAAATTGGACACCTTCACAAGCGGATCTCTCTTGATCCGTTAGTGCCAAATTGTCTAGACAGGGAGCTGATGGGTAGGTACCTCAACCTCTGTTATGGAGACCCAATGTTCGCTTCGAACCCTTCACTCGGAGACGGACCAGGTCCAAGAGGGGGTAAGGAATGTCGGTGAGCTGTCTCTCATATTTCACACCCTTACCCTCTTCTGATTGTCATGGTTGATAACCTCGAAGACGTCAAGATAAATCTGTAAGATTGTGAATAGAACTGATCTTGTAGATATTTACATTTCCAAGTGGTACCCACTACCTCGAGTCATCCTATCCACCCGCCTGATCAACCTCCATTGCCGAAGATCATACGTGAAAGGTTATTACCGAATATCGAAGTGAAAGGTGTATCAGAAGCACAATGGATTCACTGCGATATTCGATCTTTTGATTATTCCTTACTTGGACAGTGAGTCCTCTCATCGACTTTTTACCTTCTTTCCTTCACAGTCAATGTTGGTAGTTGCCTGAGTTGACAAAAAGATTTCAGGTTATCGTTGCTGATCCACCATGGGTAAGTCTTTCCCTTCTTTCCCTCTACGTATAGGACATTGCTATCATCTCGTTCCGCTCTAAATTTGAGTCCAAAAAGGGGCTTTGCCCTTTTATTTTCTGCAATCCCCATTTCCCCCCTCTTTCATATACCCCCCCCCCCCCCCCCCTCCCCCCACCCACCATGTCACACAGTCACCCGGATACCCAGATAAGATTGAGGGAGTGGTATGACAATGATCAAATTGACAGGGACTAATCATCAGGATATTCACATGTCGGTTAGTAGTTGAGAATCGTAGCAACACACACGAAATAACATTTAGCTGCCATATGGAACAATGACAGATGACGAGATGCGTCGTCTCCCATTACCTTCTCTTCAACCGGACTGGGGTATCTTAGCGCTCTGGGTGACGGGTCGGGCAATGGAATTAGGAAGAGAATTGATCTCTCTTTGGGGCTACAAAAGGGTAGATGAGTTAGTATGGGTGAAGACCAACCAATTACAGAGGTTGATACGAACTGGACGTACCGGTCATTGGCTCAAGTGAGTCTTCTTCTGATCCCTCCGCCTTTACAGATCTCCCATTTACCCATCCTTGACCTCATTCACGTACCTGGAATCCAATTCCATCCACTTGAACTTCCACCTCCAATCGCAAAGTGAATAATGGTCACAGCCAATGACTTGGTTGTAATATGAAACAAGTATCTTCCAAGGCTGTTGAAGCAACCTTGCACGGAATGTTATCCTCACGAAAAAACTGCGATACACGATTCCACTCCTCGGAGATAAAGAGGAATGTTCAGGATGAGCAAGGAGTGATAGGATTGATCATCAGTCATACATGCGAACATCTCCTTCTAGCTGTCAAACTACCTCCTGATCATCCTCCTAATTTCCCAATCCCATGGCAAACTTCCCCTGCCCTTCGCGCCCTGCGCAGAGGAGTCGATACGGACGTCGTCGTTGCTGAAGTCCGGGAGACTAGTCGGAAGCCTGATGAGGTTTATGGGGTTTTGGAACGATTAGCACCTCATGGGAGAAAGTTGGAATTGTTTGGTAGGAAACATAATATTCGTCCAGGGTGAGTCTACCCGTACCTCTGTCCCCCAATTCTCATTCCAGTCCTAGCGAGAGACGATAAGGAGCTAATGAGCAGTTGGTTGACATTGGGTAATCAACGTAAGTATCTCATCTGACATTGTCTCTGACTTGCCTCGTTGACAAATGTTATAGCCTCAGACCTGTGTAATTGGTGGTGGAAATGGGGCTGATGAGTAGTGGGAGAATCTCAAATTGCTGAACCTGATCTTCATGCGCGATTACGACAAAGATATCCACAACAACCATTCCATCTCATTCATTCCGATGTGGACATGAAATAAGGTTCATAAACCATGTATTATACCAATACTTGTACATTTGTTGTATGACAAGATGATGCATATGCAAAGTGCTACATGATAATACTCAGACTGTGACAGGATGATTCGAGCAAGGCGATGTTGAAGATGGTCGTAGTGTTGAAAATGAGAATTGTCGTAATATCACAGAGCAAGGGATTGTACTGCTCGCTCGATACCTTCTACAGCGATGGGTACGGGTCGTTCGAATCGAGGAATGATACGATGTCCCTCTGGGACTACGGACAAGGTACTCTGACCTTGTTTCTATCTTATTAGATCGTCACTATCAAGTGGGCGGGAGGACGAGAGGAAACCAACCAGGGCTGAACGGTCCAAACCAGCTTCGAGACCTTCTAAAAGAGCACAAGCTTTCTGATTTGATCAGTAAGACTATTAGAAAAGTCTGAAGGAACGTACACATAAATCGTTGGAGGAGATGTAACCACAACGGAGACATGTTTCTACATGTCAGCACATCGCTCACTCATCATTTGCACACCTCAACACTCAAGCTACCAGGAAAGAAGTGGGGGAGAAGAGGAGAGAGAGAGGGAACGTACGCATTTCTTTTAACCCCTTTTGGACGCTTTGCTCCAAAACAAAAGTTTCACCTGAGTGAATAATGTCTATTATGGCCGAGGGACGAATAGCTTCAAGATCTTTCAGGAAAACCCGTGCGTGTCCTCGATAAGCTATGATCAGTGTCACCTCCTAACTTCCCCACCTCCAAATACATATCAAGATTGGGAAAGAAGATGGTTTGATCACTCACCATCTGGAGCGTAGATACATTCCGTAGAGAAATAAGTGAGCTTCTTGAAGTATGCGTACCTAACATTTAGAACAAATCCCATCTATGAAGCGAGACTAATTTGTTCAGGACATGCCAGTAAAAGAAAAAGTAAGATAGAAAAGAGGAGGTAAGATGTACACACATGACAATTTCCTTCTCATACGCATACTTGAAAGGTTTACTACGTTTGATAGTATCTTCACTTTGAGTTGTCAAAGCCATACTTCTCCCCAATCGAGCAATATCACCACGCATGACTACGATCAGCTAATTGATCGGGACGTTCGAGAGCTGTGATCTTACTATTCATAAGAACAGTCTCAGCCATATCATCTGCATTGTGACCGGTGACAATATGATCTATGCCTAATTGAGCTGCACCTCTGTCTAATGCTTGCCGTCGGAATACACCGCAAAAAGTACCTATGGATTAGCCATCTTGTACAAAAGCCTTTCCGAATCATGACTTAAGAAGCACATGAATCCTCTCTATGCATTTGAGGACTCTTTGACAATCCCACAGATAATGGCATTGACAGTGGGCACAAGGCGAAATTTTAAGGTGAGGGAATGATGAGGGGGAAGCAATTCAAAGAACATACAATTATTCTTCCTCCCGACTTGCTCGACGATCCGATCCATGGTCCATCCATACAACTCATTATACGAAAGAATCTTCAACGGCAGACCATATTCCACCTGATTCTGTTTGACCGTCTCCAAAGAATCGTCCCTATACCCTGTGATGCCTTCGTCTATTGATAGAAGATAGAGATCCAAACCATAATCGTATCTCTGATTCAAAAGCGTGAGGACATGAGCAAGGACGGTTGAATCTGATATATCAGCTACTGCACTATAGAGCTATAGAGACGGAGACAGGGATGGAATGCAAACTGACCTTTACCTCCACTAGCTCCTATAGCTACTTTTTCTCCTCGATGAAAGATACCTTGCCCCTCAGTGATGGTGTTATGAACCTCGGTTTCGAACACGGAGTAGAAACATGATTTACAAACTTGCTGTCCTGTCTTTGGACGTTTCACTAGAGCTCTGGCTGTATGACAAAGGCTACATGGTGAGGGGGCCATGGTTCAATGTCACATTCATCATTGGTTGCAGGTGGCAAATCGACTTTTGGCAAACTTGGTAAATGTAGGCGTGCCTAGGTTTCGTTTTTGCGCAGGCCTAACTCACCGGATCTCTCAACCCGCCCAAAGTCGCTTTAACTTAATGAACACCACTTTTCGCATCAATTCTTCGTCCAACTCCCTCACGGCGGTCCCTCGCCGAACAGCTACATCCATCGAAGCAGAATGACAGGTCTGAGAGAAACCTTCACCCACTCTCCACACCAAGGGACAAGCGCTCCGTTCACCTTCAGATGTAAATGTCTCAACGTCCGGGCGCAGGTATGGACCACTTCCGATGCTGGTAGCGGTTCGAAAGGAGATGATCAAGGACGTACGGAGAGAACTTGGATACCTGATTCTTCTGAAGAGGCTGTGAGCTGGAAGCTTCTTGTAATGATTCGTAGCTCATTCACAGCGGTTTCCCGAATATCTCGGGTGGGAATTTGAACAACCTGAAAGAGGTCGGTCTGGTGTTCCTGCGAATGAGAGATCCTGGATGGAACAACGTGGACCAGCTTGGAGAATTTGTCTCTTATGTGGAGTCAGACTTTATAAGAATGATCACGTATCCGCTGGAAATCCGGGGGTCAAGGATGATTGGGTCGAAGTAGATCGACAAAGTGGGATACGTGTGAGTCATCTTCACATGATGTTTTCATGTTCTCAATTGATGTAAAATATAGTACGGTACCGACCTTGATAATATACCACCTAATAAAATTCTTCCTTTTTCCTCTTTACTTCTAGACATTCCATCCACCAGTAATTTTGGTCGCCCTCCTCATCCCTCTACACCGGTTCCTTATCCTCCCGTGGAAAACGGACATTCCTCCTCTTCGCTGTCCCTGATCCCGCCAGTTCAAGATCCTTTCTTCCTTCCACCACCTTTTATCCCCTCACATCCATATCTGCGTGATCTGTGTGGTCGTGCTGTAGACTTCTTAAAGGACTCGCATGAACGGTACGAGGATGACGTTCGGGAATATATATATCGCAAATCGCAAGAGATGAGGGCTCTGGAAGAAGGGGTTCGTTCCGAGGTAGAACTACTCTGGACGAAATATGTCGAGGGTCCAGGAAAAGGAGAATTGATAAGGGATCGAAGTCGAAGTTCCAGTCAAGTTGGAAGTCGACTCGACCGTCAATCTTCTCGAGATTTCGAACCGAAACAGAAACCTGCTCAAGTGGCAGAAGCAAAGATCCCCGGGAGCAGAAACCCCATCGCCGTAGCAGCGGCAACATCAATGTCATCTGTACCTGCCTCTGGATCTTCTTTATTGTCTCGATCACTCACCGCCAATGCTTTCCACGCGCCTGTACCAGCTCACGTCAGTGACGTGACGCACAATCCTATGGGGCAGCTGTATAGAGGAAAGAATTCGGAAGCGAAAAGTGTAGCCATGTCTCACGTGTTCTCCACCTTGGATAACGTCATGGGTGGTTCGAAACGGCGATCGGTCAGCAGAGAACGCGATACAGATGTGGATGAAGAGAAAGACTTGCATGGGAAGGATAGTTGGATCGATTCTGAACGAGCGCTGTTGAACAAATTGGACGGAGGCCATGTTGAGGCAATGGGGACGGTCGATGAGGAGTCGAGTGGTTTGGGGAGAACACCGAGACCGACGGACGTGAAAACATTGGGAGAGACAAGAAAAGGTAAGGCAAGACCAAAGGTCACTTTCGAAGAACCGATAGTGGAACGTGAGCAGCGGGAACCAGTGGACAAACCGTTGATTGATGATGACGAAGGTGAGTTTTCTTCAGATTGTGTCAATTTATCATTCCGAAAATCTGCTCGGCCTCAATTAACCCGACTCGTCCTCAGTCACACAAAATTCATCTCTCTCCTTCACACCCTCCGTTCTCTATATCCCGAGTCAGGGTTATGTAGACTCTCGAGGGAGAAGAAAAATACAGGCTATGACACCTTTGGTCATTATACTGATTGGCTAGAATACGTTTTCGATCTCGAACTCGATGATTCTCCTTCTTCTTCCCCTACCGACGATCCCGATTCTTCACCACGACCATTTTCTCCCCCTCATACAGTCTCACGTACTCGTAATATGGTAGAAGCCAACCTTTCCGAAACTTTCGCTGCAAACGCTCCTTCACATCGTGCAGCATGGCGACAACAATCCCGTCGATCTTCATACATGAACACTCAACAATCTCTTTCCTCCAGTTCAACATCTAATTCGGCTGAAGAAGAACAAGAAGAAGAAATGATATCGAAACTTGCCACATCTATGCCTGTCAGTATCATCATGCCACCACGTCGACTACCACCAAAAGAAAGGAAAACATCTTTATCAGATAGACAAGGTATTCTAGTTCCTCCACTTATAATCGCCATGCGAGAAAGAGGTATTCAACCACAACCACAATCTGAATCGAATGAAGGGGAACGAATAGGAAGAGGAAATAGGATATCAGTAGGACCAAGATCTGCAAGTGCTTCTAGAGAAAGGGAAAAGAATAAAGGATATGGAGCTGATCCAGGTCCAATGTTTGAAAGTTTAGCAGATGAAGGAAGTGATGGTGAAGAAGAAGAAATGGGAACTTTGAGAGATAATAGGAATTTTATACCTCCTCATGTTATCGCCAGAAGGGAAAGTATGGAGGTACCTGACGTGGGATGGAGAAGTATGGCTGATGGTTGAGAGGACGGGGAAGATTGGCCTTGGAATGATAATTCCAAGATTCACAAATATCTCTTAGGGACATATCACACGATTATTGTGTAGTAGCTTTGCACAGTGGGACCTTATTTTTGAAGCAAATATGATGGATGGGGTTGGTAAATCATGTCATCGAAATCGATCTATTGAAATCATTCCAGATTTGATGCAGTATGGATCCATGCAGATATGTATGCAGCTTTCTCTGTCCGATAAATGACGATGATGTGTGATACACTCTAATGCTCATCTCCCATCCATCCATCTAAACCAACACAACTCATCTTCCTCCGGCCGACTCCAGTCCATACCTTGAATCTCCCTCATCATCTTCAACCCTCTTTTAGCTTTAGTATGTCTAAGTGAGAATAACTTGACTTTTTCCTCTTTCTCCTCTTTTGACCTTGCCTTTCTTTCCATGACATCAGACCCGATTATCCTTCTGCCTGAAAATCGCTTCTTACCGTTTTCCTGCCCCTTTTGACATTCTGGCACATCCCGCTTTTTCCTCAATCCATCTTTCCCTACCCAATTCGCTGACTGGTTATGGATAGCCAGATCGGATCCCTCCCTGGGTAAGATAGGAAGAGAGTTCGTGGGTGTTTTCGTTGCTATGGCAGATTTCGCCGCTATGCGCACAATGTTCCAATGTCTATTCCACCAGCCGTTCCATGCCATTTGTCCTAATTCAGTTGAATTGACCAGAAGTGATAAATGGGCTAGATGTCGCCATGTTTCCTGAGATGGCGAGAGGGACCATGTACGTTGGAAGAGTTCGATGAGGTGTATGATATGAGAAGAGGTGGGAGGGATGGAGGATAGATCGGAGAGGAAATTATGGGTGGATGGATTGTGAAGATCGTAAGAGGATAATTGCGAGAGGTCATGGGTGGATGATTGGATGGGGTGAGATTGAGTTGAATGAGAGGAGTATGTTGTACTCTCAATGGTGCCGGGGGACGAGATGTTGATCTGACTCGTGTTCGGATCGCAGGGGTCTGTGAGCACCTGTGAAGTTGACGATGAGATGTTTGTCGTAGACTCTTGAGGACAGGAAGACTCAGCGAAGTTTGTTGTAGTTTTGGTCGTTTCAGGTGTAGCGAAAAGCGTACAAAGATGCCTTTTGACGATAGATATGGAGGTCGGATCCTCGTTTGATTGAATCTCAAAGTCCGAAATGTTCTTCGTCGGATCAGAATCAAGAGTCGAGGTTGATTCATCACCGCCAGCAGAAAGACGATATTCAAGTCGCACCATTGGACTCGAAGCTAAGATCATCAAATGGAGTGTTTGAGTTGTGGGTTTCATCTCGGGATAACGTAACAACATCTCAGATAATAATTTGAAAGGTGATGAACGAGACCAATGACCATCGTATGAAGCTAGGTAGACGTGAAGCATTCCGAGCATATCAGAATCGTCTGAGATTCGTCCTTCCACGGATGATGGAATCTTTCGAATTTTGTCCAAAACGAGATGCTGCTTCGGGATGGTCGTTACATCTTTCGTGGGAAGGTTTGAGGAAGAGGATCTCTCTTGGACAAGATGATCCGTTGGGATTGCTTGAGCAGACGGAAGTGTCTGTTGGTGGGAGAGGAGTGAGAGAGGTGAAGAATTCCCAGGAACAGTCGAAATCAGATTCAAGGCCTCTTCGAAAGGGATATCGTGTCCAGATAACAACAAACCGTGAACATATCTCACCACTTGTCTTCCTGTATAATTCTCTGGTAATTGATCCAAAGGTGAATAAACAAATTCAGCCCAAAAATTCCTTTTACCTTTTACCCTCATCCAAGTATTTGCTCCTTCTCCATCCTCTCCTAATCCTTCTTTGTCTACTTCATCCTCTCCTGATCCTTCTTTATATACTTCATCTTCTAATCCCTCGTCTTCTCCCATCTCCTCCAATTCTTCACTTTCCCCTTGCTCAGAATACCCCTCGATCTCTTCATTATCCGTACCCTGATCGCCTCCCTCATAGTCAGAGATATTATCGAAGTCCGTCTCTGCTAAAGTCTCCTCTAAAGCACCTGAATTCTCCAACTCGGACACTTGAATCCCCTCATCAACTTGATCAGAAAGAAGCTCCTCCAGATGTTCCAATAAATAATTTGGAGACTCATGACGAGAAGAAATAGGAACCAACCTCAACCTTTCTAACAAATCCCATATCTCCTTTACGGTCATTTTATCTCCCATTTGTTGAGCATAAATCAACGCCATCTTCCCCGTTTCCAATGTGATCTGAGTACGCTGTTCCAGTAGATGACTTAAGATCACGGTAGGTGGTGGAGGATGTGTACTTTGAAGTAGTTGAGTGAGACGTGTGAAAAGGGATGAAGAGTTGAGGGTAGCTTTTCCATTTGGAGATGGGTGAAGTGTACGTGGTGATTTCAGGGGAGAAGTTAGAGGAGGGGAAAGTTTGGACCGGAATGGATTTCCTTGATATCGAGCAGAACTTTCCGAGGGGGTGGGTGAAATACGAGGAAGAGGAAGTTGTCCGGGTATAAAAGAGACCCGATGTGGTTTGGTCAAGTTGGTAGAGAGATATATGGATGAATTTGAGGGTAATTTCCCAGAAGTAGGAGGAATACGTAGAAAAGAAAGATGTCGACGTATTCCTTCTTGAACGGAAGGAATGGAAAGGATTTTGAATGGTGAAGATGTCCATTTCGGTTTGGAACAAGGTATCATACGAGTTTTCTTCTTGTCACTCTGGTATTACTCTTTTCAGTCTCCATATCTTTCCTCTGATGGAGTATTAGAGGATAGATGTGGGTTGCAAGAGGTGAGTAGTGCAGTAAGTTTGAGTCTATAGTAGCAGAGTACGAGTACGAGCAGTAGTCGGGTCAAAATGTCAGAAGAACGGACGGAGATAATGTCAACTCCGTCATATTAGGAGCGGGTTAAAATGTATGGTCTGCGCACCACCAGAAATACTCGCACGCCTATTTCTCTTTCCATTTGAATGATCACAAGCTCCGTGAGGATCAGAAGTGGTCACTTCAATACGTACCAGGATTGAGAGAGTTGATTCCTGGATGATAACATACGAAAACCCCCAGCAAGTTCTCCTTTACGGCCAAGCGTAATCTGGAATATGCATTCTCACCATCAAATGTGTTAGTAACGAGTACGAATAGTTGCCAAAAATGACCACTTCCAGTAATGTGTCTTGACAACATGCAGAGGACCCAACCACCGTCCACCCTATATAACCTTTTCCGCCCTTTGAGCAGCCTTCCGTCTATCCTTAAAGATCTCCTTCAGTACCTCTTTCACATCAGCCTGTCCCCTTTTCCCTCCTTCACCCGATCGGCTACGTCCATTCACATTCCCATTGACTTCACCCCCTCTCTGCGCCCTCGATCCTGACCTGGTATCCAAACTCGTCAAGCTGGGAGGTGCCGATCCGTCTATACTTGCCGCTCTACCTCCTAAAGCTTCCCTCAGATCCGTGACGTCGATGGGACGTGGTATGGGTCTGGAGAGGGATTGAAAAGATGCGTTATCAGCTGTCATGAGGACTCTTGCTATGTCGAGGTGAGCGTCTGGGGTAGGATGGATATTGGCCGAGCTGAACCTTTCCACGGCTGATATTAGCGCTATCCCTTGCATGCTGCGTCATTGGTTCACGTTCAGGGTCACAGTGAAAAGATATTTAACACTCGGTTAAGTATGATGGGATAGTTGGAAGGATTTATGGCAAGATATATTGCGTCACAGCATTTAGTTTTTGGCGAGGGGGGGGGCATGTTTTGACAGAGTTGGTAGTGAGGGATCACCCAAGACAAATGTGAAGTTGAACGATCCGAGCGAACACGGGAAAACTCACAATCTTTCAAAGCACCTTCCACAGTCCATCTCATCTTCCATCTTTTCAACAACGCCGTCGCCTCTCTCCCAGTGATATTCTGCACATTCACCGCTCCACTCAAAGAAACCAACATATTATCCGGATCTATCAAAGGAAGACTCGTAGCGCTCGTTTCTCCTTCATTCGGGAAAGGATAAAACGGTGCAGTTTCTTCCTGTCCAGGTAATATGCCCTCTCCCTTAGGTCTGAGAGTAGGTACGACCAGAGGTTCCGGTAAGAGGTTCAGGGTAGCGTTGGCAATATCCACAACCTGTTGAATGTTCCATTTCTTCCCTACCATCTCCCATGCCAAACAAACGGTCTCTCTTATAGCTCTTTTACGTTCTAAAACCCATGCACCGGCCCGTCCGTCGTTTGTCCTACGTACTAATTCTTGTCCTGCATCTCTGTCCAGAGCCAAAAGCATCGGTATACCGGTGATGAGCGCTGGAACGGGTAAAGCGGTATGAACAGCATTGAGGATAGCTAGGATGAAAGAGAAATCGAATGGTGTGGCGACATTTTCGTGAGAGCTCAACACGGCTGAGGAGTTTAGTCTGTTGAGAGGAAGAGAAACTCTGCGAGATGCTCGGAAGGTTTTCTTGGGAGGAGTAGAAGTTCCGTTGAGAGGGGGAGTGTTCACTCCTGGTCCGGTAGATTGTCGTTTAGGAGTTGGAGAGTCTGTGTTCGAAGTGTGAGATGGGGAATCATTGATTGTCAAAGTTGGCTCAGCAACATCGAATTTGACTCCTTTTTCTTTGGAACCAACCACCGGCGACGTGGCACGTGTGGGCTGATCGATTTGTGGGAGTTGCACAGGTTGAGGTGTTTGTGAAGGAGTAGCAGAAGGACTAGGGTCAGGTGAACCTGGACCTAAACATGACGACATGGCAAGGGTGTATATAGCGGCGTAAAGAGCGTTGCAGAATCTGAATCCTGTCATGTCGTTTGGTCGAACGGTTGATTTCCCTTTAGGGATCTCATGTTCAAGATACAAGAGAAGAGCTCTCGCATAAGCCGCACGGACAGGGAAAGATGATTCACATAACAAGGCCAGAGTTTCTTGCCAAACTTCAGGAGAGATTGGATTTCGTCGACCGGTCCGTAATCGAGGAACCTCCAGAGGTGTATCTAGTTGTGGGGCTTTGCCTTTATCACCTGACTCAAAAGGTATTGCCAATCTAGCTTCGCTTTCATCCGCGAGTCTAGCAGTTGTCATGAGACCAGATATGCAATGAATGAGGACTCGAAGTATTTCAGCTCGTTCTTTATCTGCTTGAGGTACTTGTGAAATACGTATCGCGATCTCTTCGACGACGTCGTTTATCTGATCAGAGTAATAGATGTGTGTACCGAGCGAGGATATACATTGCACCAATGGCGGAAGAAGAGCGTCATGAGGGTCACGATGAATACGTCGGATGATAAGGGTAGTGAGCGAGTTACAAAGATCCGTAACGGCCAACCCAACCAATGAAGTGTGAGAATTCAGAATGGTAGTCACCATGGCCAAAGCTGTCGTGTGCTTGTGCGTCACAGGTCCGTCGGGCATGTCCATGAGAAGTTCAACAATTTTTGTCGGCACTACAAACCTGTATTGAAGCGACATGGCTGCGGTGGATCGTTCGGCCAACCAGCAACATCGTTCAACATCTGTCCAACCTGTCCCGTCGAGAAACACAAAGACGGCATCGAGGACATGAGAAGCTTGGGTCACTTGGCATTGAGCCAGAAGAGCTCGTAATAATCTTTGAGCGGCTTGAATAACGTCAGACGCCAATGGACCTTTTTCACCAGGAATGTGAGCATGTAAAGATGGAGCTCTACGATCGTTGACCGGTCTTCTGGCGGAAAACTCGGAGAAAAAAGGTGAAGGTGAAGCGTCCATTTCTATCTTGGCAGTTTGCAACTTGAGGTCTGACATAGTACCTTCGAACACGTTGGACATGAGGGGGGGTACGATTAGGTTTACTTGTTTCGGAAATTCTGAGACTGAAGAGAAAAGAGCGTCTGAAGAGGCTGCTCCGTTCAGTGCGGCAAGAGCGATAAGACGGGTCCGGTTTCGTAATTCACTATCGGAAGGTTGTTTTTCGTTGTTGTTGGAGTTGGCAGGGGATGGTCTGATGCCACGGTCGATGGCCATAACACCGAATTTACGTAAAACAGTGAGATAAGTGGAAGAGAGAGAAGGGTCGGAAGCGAGAGAGTTACCGTCGGTGAAAGTGCAGAATGCTATGAAGGAAGATGCGGCGCGTCCTGCAACTTCTAGATCTAGGGTGTTTTGTTGGTATACCTTGACATCGAGAGCGATGGAGACTATGCGGATGATGGGACGAGAAAAGAGAGCTAAGTCGGATTTACATTCGATGATGAGGGTTTTGAGTATGGCGAGGGATATGAGGAGGGAGCTGTATGTGAGTCGGCGGGACTTGTCAATGACTATAGAATTGAGATCTTCTAACGACTGGGAACTGCGACCGATGGGGATGTGATTAACTGAGTAGTGTAAGAAGATATAGAGCGGAGGGGTGCGCAGGATGATGGAATCACAACATTAAGAGGAGAGGGGCAGAACATTAGAAAGTGAGTGACTTGATCTCGGAGAGGACATAATCCGGACGGAGGAAGAAACGGACTCACGCTCTATACCTCGTATAACCCCCCGTAGATCTAGCAGCTTCCTTCACAACTCTTTTCTCCAACTCGTCACCTATCTTAGGTAACAAACTACTTTTATTCTTTGCACTATAAGTGAGCTTACTGAGATCTTGAGATAAAGGTCTGTAATCCGGTCCTGCTTGAAGAAGAGCTTTAGGAGGGGGATAACATTCGTTCAAGAGAGAAAGCTCAGGACGAAGTTTGGTACATGGTAAACAACCTGACATTGGGACTAAATTTGTTCCTTCTATCGTTCTCTGGTCGTTTTAGGAGATATGTTTATTATGATCTTCTGCCTGGTCGAAATCGTCGATACAGCCAGCTGACTCTGTTGTACTTGAGGGGGGAAAAGCAAGAGTTGTGTGATTATGGCCAAGTCGTTGTTATGTCGATTGGTGTGTCCGGACGAGATGAGGGGCAGGGGGGCGTAGGTGTAGGTGTAGGTGTGGGTGTGGGTTTGAAATGTATATGGATAAATGTTGACAATGAATTTGAAAGTGTATAGTATAATGTCCGTCGCCACTGATTTCACTAGATACAATAGATCAGACGAACAGATACACAGCAAGGGTGAGAAGGGATATGATATATATAGGGAAGATATATCCAGTTTGAAGATCTAGACCCAGAACTGGAGATCCGGGGTTGTACCGACCAAGCCGATGTTTGGTTGGTAGTATACAATTTACTAGTAGGATTGTTGACCTATTCTTGTATAACGTATCTTGTAAACAATCGATCGATAATGGGTTTAATGGGGATATGTATAGATCACAATATTAACCTAACTACTTGACAAGAAGTTGGGGGATCGGAAAAGAATGTGAATGTAATGGGCTAAGCTTGAAACGTAAGGTATTCAGCAACTAAAACTTGCTGGATCGAGCCGCGGGGGACCGAGGTGATAGAAAAGTGTGGGGATTATCCTTGACTCTTTTTCAGAGTTAGAAGTTTAACTTGTGTTGTGAAAGAATGAAAATGTGTTTAGTCGATAGTGGGTTCAAGATGGTCTGAAATGAGAGTAACTAGTGGGGTATAGGATGAGAGGGTAGAGGTGACCAATTGGCTGAAGGGATACCTTAGTATGAGACTCGGCAATAGGATTTAGTTTCGGTCACCGGCCACCCGGCTGCAAAAACTCACAAGTCTCACAACATACTTAAATGTCTCGGCGTATTCTTCTACGATCCCTACGAGGACGGATCAGAGATCAGAGACAAACCAATGTTTAAGAATCACAATGCATAGCACAACCAAGAAGCCCAGTACAAGATTTTCAAGATATCGTGTTCCATGTCCAAAAGAAAAGTTATAATCATTCGCTTCCCCTTCCTAACCCCCGATCCCTTATTCCTCACACCAAGACTACTTCTACCACGACTGTGTAACACCTGACACCAGACACCAAGACAATGTATTCCTCTCATTAAAATGTGCACATACTGTAAGATATTCAAGATTTATCAACATACCCAACCCACCCTTATATAATCGCCAATGATCGTAATTGAGATCGAACGATCGTATCCGTCACAGCGGCCATGACCACTTTGATATTATCCCTATCGACCGCTGTCGTGACGTGTATATATACTTCTTTCTGAGAATTTCGGTTCAAAGTTCGGAATTTGGATTTGAAGAAATCGACAGCGTCGGTGAATGAGCCTGGTTTGCCTGGGAGTTAGAAGGAATCTCACTCGTGATGATCATATCGATTGAAATTTGAAGTTACGATGCTACAATGAATGTTCACGAGATGAGTACAGGGAGAGGATGGTAAGAAGGGAAGGGAGTGGTCATGGGACTGGGACTGGGTAGAGGCAGTCGAAAGGTCCAGCGAACGATGCAGAGAAATGAATGTACGAAGAAGCGTGACTCACCTGGGAAATCGGCAAAATTGTCAACTATCTGTTGTTGGGGATCTTTAATCTTTTCCGCCAAGACATCGGCTTTGTTCAAAAAGAGGATCATGGAAGATTTGACGAACCCTGATTATCAGTCTCGAGCCTTTTTGCAAAGATCATCCGTCGTATGAACTGGTAAAGATACAGGAGAATTCGTCACAAATCCTGAAAGGGACATGTCGGAAAGTGTAGAGGATAGGTACCACTTACACTGAGAATTACAGATGGAATCAAACAAGACCAAAGCTTCTACCATCCCATTAGACTGAGTATCTTCTAGGATACCTTGATTATAATCTGCGAGAGAAACTAGGAAAATGACACTGGTGACGTTTTCGAAACATGATGCCCATTTACGTCGTTCTGATCTGTTTTTCGTCAGCATACGCTTCATCTTCTCCATTCGCACTTTGAAATCATTCCCAGGCCTATCTACATTTTTCAACACTCGATCAATTACTCAACTCATACCTACCCAACCAGCTGTCACCCATTTGGCACTTGGACTAATTTCTACATCGCCAGGATTGGGGGAAGAAATGAGAATGATCTGGGTGCTGGGTGCTAGGGATATGGAGGAAGGGATGAGACGATTTAGAGAAGAGGAGTAAAAGTGAACCCACCTCTGCCCACCGACATCGAAAATCCGAAAAGTTATATCGGCAAGGAGGAAACGAGTTTCGCTTATACCTGTCGTCTTGCTTCTCAGTCGTAGTATGTCATCGGATGTGGGGGTGTAGGACGGTTCGAACAGTTTATCAAGTTGAGAAAAGAAGCTGATCGTAAGTTAAAGACAGAAAAATTGCATCACGATCGAAGTCGGTCCACGTCGAAAGTGCCCGCAGTGACAGGCGTTATATATATATGTGTGTATGTACGTGAGGTAAACCCCGATGATAGGTTCTGTCAAGGGGTGGGGGTGATGGAGACGGAAGACGGAAGACGATCGAGGGGAGATAAAACATACAGACAGGTCAAGTGAAAAGGTAGGACAAAAAAAAACACTCACTATGGCATATTCTCTTGTAAAGCATAATGATAAGCTTCTTTATAACAAGTTTGAACACCTTCATCTTCCCATAAACTCCTCAAAGCCTCATGATAAACCTTTGGGAAAGATTCTCCGGTATTGATAGGAGGTTCATTATCTATCAATTGGATGTGTCTTCTATTTTGAGAATTCACTGCCATTCCTAATTCGTCCATCAAATCAATGACGCTACGCATGCCGTTGACAAGGTTTGAGAAAACGATTTTCCGATAATCTTCAATTTCGTCAAGAGAGAAAGGTTGATTATGAAGAAGACGCATTTGTTTGAGACTGGAGGTTAATGAATATAATCTTTTTTCACACGAATTGAAAACATAGAAATTAGTGTTTGAGGGATTATATGGGTGTTATAGGGCCAAAACGTACACGGTAGATTTCCCACTGGCTCCTGCTCCGAGTAACAATAGCTTGACTTCTTTTGCCAACTTCTTTTCATCCTGCTTATCAGTTTCCGTCGTTTTTGGCACTACCAATTGATCCATGGATCTTCAAATGGACCTCAGCTAGACCTACGCATTTCTCACAACTATTTGAGAGTTTCCGCATCCAAAGATACAACGACTACGAGGGACATTGACTCTTTAATTCTCACGATGATTTGAATGAAGAGAGAGATATACATAATTGGAAAATTCAAACTGACCTCTTTCAAAGCTTTATCAATCTCTTTACTTCTTTTCTCAGCTGGATCATCCGCTTCTGACGAAACACAAGCTCCCATCTTGTTTTATTATCTATTCTCTTTTATTTCCCTCAAAAATTGATGTTTCACTCTTTCTGACCGTTTCTATCTTTCCTACAAATCTTATCTATTCGTCCTGGTATGAATGTCAAAATCTCCTACTCTTCTAGTATTCTTCAATCCCGTTGTGTGAGGCGATTCTTCAATCCCGTCGTGTCAGGCGATTCTTCAATCCTGTCGTGTCGAGCGGCAAGAGAAGATCTGTCGAATGGGAGAAATACTTGAATGAACTTATTGTCCAAACTTGGTATTTACTATCCCACTGAGTTTTCAAGTACGTTAGACGGTATTATATCGTCCCTTCAACGTTCTCGGTTCTCGGTTCTGTGAGATGAAATATGGTAGTTTTCAAGACGTCTGTCTCTGTTCGGACGATTTGAAGACTCTGACCAAAGGTAGTCCGTCTCAAAGCGGTGACAATACGCCAAGCAATTCCTCTCGCCCTTGGTCGTTTTCCTTTTCCTCTTCTAAACTTCTGTTGTGTCCTTGAGGATGTGATAATTCTTTGATCGTCCAATCCTTGCTCACTTTTCCCTTCTCACCCCTTCCCTCCTTTTCTCACCTACTGACCTTGGTCGGTTACTTGATTCCTTTGACCTCCGAGTATATAAGAGTTCCTTCCACTTCCGAGGTCTCCGAGAAATTCCAAATTCCTTTCACCCCGCTTCCAACCTTCTGAAACCCTTTCACTTCCCAAGCACAGGGAAGGAGGTCGAATGGGGAAAACGCTTTGAAACCAAAAAAACAGTTACACAAACAGAACAAGATCCGTGCTTTTTTCAGTCCTTACACAGACCACAAAGTTGTCCTTTCTTGATGAAAGTCGTTTGTCAAAGGGTGATAAGTTTGGTTCTTGATCGGAGTTTAAGTTGTTTCTGACCACTGGCCACTGGGAGAACACTTGGGATTTGTTGAAGTTGTTATGGATCTGAGCTCGGACCTCGGACCTTGGTGTTCGGAAGGGAAGCGATTCTGGCACGGTCAATATGAGATGATAGAGGGAGAGGAGAGAGGGAAGAAAGATGTAGAGAAGGGAAAGTGAAGGGGAGACAAGGAGGGAAAGGGAAAGAAAGAGTGTGTGAGATATCTCAGGGAAAACGAGGAACAATAAAGATTCCGCCACTTTTAAACGAGAGATTATTAACCTTGATACATTTTAGAAATACAACTACTATTACATTCTTAGAATTACTAATGACGACCACTAATGACAACTTTGCTCTTGTACAACGACGAATCTACATCCCCCAAGATGACCTCCACCGTATTCTTACTATCTAATTGACTCACCAAACCCCATCTCTTCATCCTGACCATGACCACCGGGGAGTCACAACAAGACCGGAAACACCGAAAGACCGGAAGACCAGAGAATGAGAAGGAATACCCTCCCTACCCAAGATATCACTTCCTCATCCACCAACCAGCACCTACAACAACGACCACAGCACATACCCAACCCCACTTTCCACTTACCCCTACCCAACCACGAACTCCCTCAAAGGTATCCTGAATTTTTCTGCTCCATCCTAAACCCGATTCCGTACTGGAGGATTGTGGTGGGAAAAGTGGATGACAAGGTTTATGTCTTTCCGTTTTGGTGACCTTTGGTCTACCTCTAACATGTTTACCACCTCTGATCTCTCTTGATGAATCGGCTTCTCTTCGTTGAGCCATTCGACGAGAAAGTGTAGCTTCCCATTCCCCACTAGCACCTAAATGTACGAGAGTGGGAACGATTCCCACGTCGCGTGATGATTCGGAAGTAAAGGAAGCTTCCATATGACGAATTTGGGTAGGACGAAGGGATGGGCGCCAAGATAGGAAAGATGCTGTGGAGTGGGAACGGACTAAAGGGGTGTGATCGATGAGGCTGATCAATTGCGTAACGACGGTAGAGGTTGAAGGACGTGGACCGAAGTAGCCAGATGGATTATTGATTGATGGGGATACGGTCGAAGGTCGAGGGGTTGGGTCAGGAGGGGAAACAGTGTGAGTTTGGGGAGATGAAGGGAGATGAAAGAAAGACGGAGAATCGAGAGTTTGTGACATGGTGGGTACACTATGCGACAGAGCTTTCACCCGGTCTGATTGGTCTGCGCGTCAGCAAGGTAGGATTGTGTGCGGTGTGGGACTCCGGACGATGCTAAAGTGAGCAAGTCAGAGTGCGAGAGTGAGTAAGGGAAGGGAGATCGGAATACAAGTATATAGCTTTGAATCGTCCAACTCACCATCTCCGAGGATATAAACCAGATGGACCCAATCAGCCTTCGTAGCATACCCTTCCACTAACATTTCCAACTTATCCATCGTCTCCAGACGAGGTTTCGGATGAAGTAACTGATCAAGTGTATGATATGTCGCTTCGACTCTTGTTTTAGCCTGTGTGTCAGTGACCCCACGAGGTCGTAGATCTGGATGCCTTCGAAAGCGTGAGGGGGGAAGTTCTTAACAACCCTCGACTTGTGCCGTGTGAGAGACTACGCGACATGTCAGAAGAAGGACAGAGTGATGTGATGACTTGACTCGTACAATATCCACAGCCGAGTGGCTGGGATTAGAGTGAGGGGAAGAAAGAGAACAAGTTAAGGGATTTGAGATTCACTCACCTGATCCAGTGTCAACCCCGTCATGATCCTCAAAACTACCTTGTCATCCCTCACCACACCAACTTCCTTTCTCCCTTGATCCCAAAACTGTACCACCTTCTCACTTTCCTTCAAAAGGTTGATAACCTCTCTAGTCTTATCATTCCTCTTCCCTGCATTCAACTTTTTCTCTTTCTCCACGCTTTCATTCCTTTCTCCTTTCCCAATCTGGTCCAAATTCCCCACTTCACTGCTCGCCAATCCTTCTATCAATCCCTGATTTATCTCCTTATCCGATCCATCCAACCCAGTCATGGTAGTCCCATGCACCCCGGTCGGTCTGACCACGTCCTTCCCAGTCGCATCTTTCTCATACTTCACGTGAGAACCACCCTCCATTTCCACCAACGCCACCCTCAATCCTCCATCCACCTTACCCTCCCAAAGTGGCAAAGAAAGATGTAAACTAGCGTTTGGTAGATGTAACGTTGGTAAAACCAAATCCATCTCTCCCATTTCTCTCCCCGATGGACTGATACGATCGTATACGTCATGTAACGCCGGACTGGATGTGCGACTGAGTGACGAAAGAGATGGGGCGAACGAAGGTAAAGAAGCTAATGATGCAGGGGAAGAAGGTGGGGATAAATCAGGTAAACTTTCAAGACTGATTGTATGACGCATTATCCTAAGAGTTTCTCCTACTCGGATGGGTTTAGGAGCGATTGTTGATTCTGATATCTGACCATGTGATTCTTGAGTCTGATTTTTGGATTCTGGAGTTTGATGATCAGATTCAAAAGTTTGATGTTGTGAATCCTTAGTCTGAGGGTTCAGTGCTTGATGAGAAAACGGAAATAGGTTGTGATGATGGGAAGAATGTTCGGACATGAGGATGGATGACATGTGTGAAGATTCTCGAGGAATGGGAGGAATGGAAAGACCTGGGAATTCTAATAATTCTTTATTAATCGGACCAGGAGTAAAATTCGCCATTACAGTCGAAGGGCTATCAGGAGATTCCGTAGATGTTGAAGATATTGAAGATCTATGAGAGATAGGGGTTTGTTCCACTCCATCTTTCTCTTTAATGAAGGATGATGATTCCTTTATCCCTCCATCCATTCCAGATCCAGATCCATGTTCGACATCTTGAATGTTATCTTCCCATTTAAGTTCTGGTGAAGTATCTCCTCTTATCACAGATGTTCTTGATGGTTCTTGAGAGATAAACGTGGAAGGTTTATTTGGTGGATGTAATCCTGAAAGTGGTTCGTGTGGAGGTAAGTTGGAGGGGATATCACTCGGTGGAGGTGGCGAAGAAGTAGACCAATCACTATTTATACTCATCACTCCATATTGACTATCTTCCCCTGTGGTGGGTATAGGTTCAAGTTGGGATTGACGTCTAGGGAAGAAGACCATGTTGTACAAGGTACGAGTTGGATAGAGTGGCGATAAGGATAGATAGAGAGAGATGACACCACCGCCATGAGTAAGTTATGGGGGAAGAGGGACGAGTACGACGCGTGGGTTTCAATGTGGCACTTTGGCATCCCGGATCAATTTATACCGTACGGCGTACTTTAAGTACTCACAGCATGTTACAGCAGCGACCTCATCTCTCATTCCAGTGACTTGGTCGGAATATATAGGGACAGGTCTGGAGAGCACTTGCCATGGAGAGGATTTGTACATTTGAGGTTGGAGTCGGAGGTCGGAGGTTGGCGATTGCGGGTGGGGGAAAGAGCGCGTGGAGAGGACTGAGGGATGGAATACGATATGCATTCAGATCAATTCATCGTAATTGTCAAAGATCATACGTCTGCTTTTGACTGTTCCTCACCACTCCCAACACTCAGAGCCATCTGTTCCGCTCTGACAACTTGTTCGCTCAAACTACTAAAAATCCAAGCGGAAGGAAATCTCTCTCGACATCTACCCCGATATTCCTCCACTACATCCGGTACGGCACTTTGAAGAAACTCCAGAGCTCTGAGTATTACTTGAATGTTGATCCGAACATCAGGAGAAATCAATCGGTTCAAAATGGTGATTATTTCTTCCGAGGTAGGTTGGATCTCATGCAATGCTTGAGCAGCAGAGAGGATGTGGGTAGGGGAATTTGAATGACGGTCAAGGTAAGATTTGTTGAAATCTTCCAAATCACCAGATATGAGGGAAGGGAGGACGGTAGAGATTGTTTCTTTTATCATCGGAGGTATGTCGGTCGATTGAGCTTTTGTATTAGTAGAGACGAAGAAGGAATTGTGGAGGACTTACAAAGATGTTTAAAGTTGTAGAGCTGTTTATGTAATGTGGGATCTTCGGGGTCGATCGAGTACGCTTCTTTGAGACAACGTAGTGCCGCTAACCACATCTCTGAAATTATCAGCGTGGTTGTTCTCATACCATGTACCATGTGACAGAACAGTGGAGGTTGATAGACCAAATGAAAAACAAGTAGTCAAAGAGACGGAAGAGGAAATGAAGAATGGAAGAATACGGTCAAAGTGACGCCGAGGAAGAGAACCAACTCTTCCTGATATAAATCTCATATCCCATCGTCCACACTTCGATCCGCTCATTTCCAAACTTCTCAAGCGGTTTCCAAATCTTCAACGCATCTTCCAGTGGTGTCTCCGTCTTTAACAACTTCTCTCCTGTGGGATCATCATCAGGAATCGGTTGATCTTCTTTCTTCCCATCACTCGTCGCTGCGGCAGCTACATATTAGCTAACATCACCAGGAAGGGAAATTGGCTGTACCTTTTCGAGCTTTTTGTTCGGCCTTCTGTGCCTTTTTGGCAGCTTTTTTGCGCTCTGCTTCTTCCTCCGGCGCTGCTTGTCAGTGCAATCCCGATGGAAACAATGGGAGATTCTCTAGAGGTGATAAGGAAACACAGTGGGAACGGACGAGTACATTGAGATAGGACCCACTCAAATGTTCCTCGGTCAAAGAAGGATCGTCAGATATCCTCATGTAAATCTCTATGGCTTCTCTAGCGGATTTAATGTAGGCAGGATGTGATCTGAGCTGATCTTCGTACTTGATCAAGCTGTTTATGAGCTGATGTTTCCAGAATATAGCTTCCTATGTCGTGGTGGACAGCGTGAAAGGGGCCCACAGTGCATCTATTTTGCGAGGCGCAGGCGGACGAGTAGACACTCACGATTTGTAAGAAGAAAGCGTCATACGACGCATGCAATACGTATGAAAGTCGAATTGATCATCGTCGTAATCAGTAAAAGTAGTGAAGACCGATTGATAGCGTTTGAGAGCCAAGGCGAGGTTGCCAGTACGACGATAAGCATCACCTTCTTCTTGCATCATCCACAGGCATTGAAGGTCCGTTTGGTCGGTCACGACAGGCGCGCCTTTCTAAAAAAAAGTCAACATCAACCTCTTCACCACTGAGAGTCCAGCCTCGCCCAACGGCTCCGTCACTCTTCTTCCTGTATATTGATCCGATTTGTGCCAGCATATAGCGTGTGTCATATCCCAGTGTAGGTATTCACACTGAGCTGAATGTCCCGGAGGTAAATCACTCACCTTGGAGAACAACGCCAGCAACTCCTCAGCTTTCTGGATCTGTCCAGCTCTGTACCAATATTTGGCCGCTTTACTATTCAAGAACCGATCTTGCAGATCCAACGACCTAGCCTCCTCCATGGCATACGCTGCAGTCAGGGGATCCCCCGATCGTTTCAGCACGATCGCCTTGGCCATGTATAATTCCGGCAATGTGGGGGTATGTTTGAGGGCGATTTCGAGCAACTCCAGCGAGCGAGAATGATTCGGTTCAGGGTGTAAGGGATGGGAAAGATGAAGAGCGAAGTAGTAATACGCCCATAAGAGGGTCGTAGGTGGTTCTGTGGTATCTGGACATCAGTACGGAGACCAAATAAGTTGCATAATCTGCGTGAGCTCGTGGACATCGGGGAAACAGACCAACCTTCTTCCAGTGACGATTCTTTCTCTAATTGTTGAACTATGTCCGCAACTAATTCTCCCACTGCTTGCATCTTGGCTACGTCTTCGTAGACTCCCTTGACGTCTACGAAGAGTGAGGGGATACCTCTTTCAAGACCGGTGATGATGTACGGTCGGGCAAATGATCGAAAAGCGTCGCCTAAAACAATCAGAACTTCCGCCAAGGGCGAGTTGTACACTGACCTTGAAGGACATCAAGTTGCATACGTTTCGGGGCCGATGATCGAGGATAGCTCTGAGCAAACCCAGCCAAAATTTCGGCGACCTTCTCTCGAGATGTGTCGTCGAGTGTTGGAGCTCTTCCTTAGTTCGACATCATAGTCCAAAACAACGAGCTTACAAATTGACAATCCACGCGTCCGTAGGAACCCTTTGTAATTATCATGACTATCCGAATTCTGCTCGAGCAATACTCTCCAACTCTCCTCGGCTTCTTCCTTTTTGCCCAATCTCAACAACATCTCAGCTTGTTACATCAGCTTGACCCTGAAGAGACTCGCTTGAGCTCACCCTTCAGCTTGGTCGCTTCCCCTCTTGGACTGACGACACCATCTCTGAATGCCTTCTCCAATCTGTCCAACCCCTGAACATCCAATCCCGCCTCCATACACAGTCTCACGACATACAAGCACACCTGACTATGCTCAGATGGGGACATCCCTTCCTTATATACCATGCTGACATATCCATCATACACCTGGAGAGCCTCTTCAATGTCCCCATTTAAATCATGTGCGATCATGAGACCCAACCACGAACTACGTATCTGCGGTCGCATGAGGAGATAATGATGTCTTGCTGCCACGGCGGCTGGATATTGTCGAGTGTGCATGTATAGGGACATGATGTCGCGAAGAACGGGAACGTTTTCCTATTCATGAGCATATTTCATTTTTGTGCTTTCCCACTGATCAAAGGTACACAAGAGGAGGAGAGAGTTGGATGATGAATGACACTCACGGAATCTTGCTTTCTAGCCATGGCAAATGCTCTTGACGCCTCTTCCCAATCTTTTCTGTTCTTCGCAAGGATACCAAGGACATGCCAGGTGATATGACTAGTGATATCCTTTTTGACAGCAGTTCGAGCCATTGCCTCGGCTTCTTCCTGTTTGGGCAAACTGGCGACAGTGGGAGGCATGGGAAGGGATGAGTGCAAGCTGAGAGCTTTGAGTGCAAGGGTTTCTACACTAGATCAGCACAAGACTGGAGAACTTGAAAGATCTTGACATACCTCCGTGATTGGGGAGTTTCTTGAGTATGGTATCCGCTGCTTTGATGCACTTTTTGTATTGCTTGACTTCATATTGAGCCTGTGGGACATGAGCGCATGCAGATAGCAAGGGAAAAGAGGCAGCTCACAATGAGCTCTTTGAAAAGCTTGGACTCTTTGTCAGGTAGCTGACGATGCTTGGGGACGGTGGACATTCTGATAGGTGGCTTTGATGCAACTCAGGAGGAAGGAAGGAAAAAGGAACAAGAGAAATTTCGGTTGATCGAGATGGGACGATGACGGCTGACTCAACAGCGGCGATGGTGTGGGCGATGATAAAGAGGTTTAACAAAAGATGTAACAAGCTTTACCAATTCCCAGGACGTCAGCTATCAACGTTGACAAAGGTGTCGGGACAAAGTAAGTCAAGGGAAAGTAGCTAGTAGCTTAGATATGAAAGTGATGAAACGACAAAGAAGGATACGATACCCAAATTCTAAGCCGGTTCACCGTCCACCTAAACCTAACCACCGACACCGCCCTCCACCTCTCCATGACTCTGTCTCATCTTACTATGTATGCATCTTCAACTCTCATTCAACAACGACACCACTCCTACTTGTCCCCTACTATACAACCGCGCACCTTGAAACTTTCTATTGTCTTGGTCGACTGAGCGACAAACCTAAACACTGGTCTGAAAGGGAGATGTCCCTTTCCTCTTCGTCATGTCGGGTCATACTCCTTCCTTGAGGTCAAGAAGCTCTTCGGTCACTTCCAACATAGCGAATCAACAAGATGATGAAACTCCCGTCTCATTCAAATCACTTCAATCCCGTTTCGAAGAACTCGCTACTAAAGTAGAGCAACATATACATCACCCTCACTCAACAGGTCCTTCACGTCTGGGTGCCGGTTCACCTTTACCCATCTCAAGACCTGTCACACCTCAGATTATCCATCCTCCTCATTCCACCCACCGTGAGCCTCCTCCTATCCCTGTAAAGAGCATCATTCATTCCGCATCGAGCTCTACTTCTGAACTTGTACCCAATGTTCAGCCCACCTCAATCCGGGTCCGCGATTTGGCAGACAAATTTGGCGGGCCAGCTACAACACATGTCTTCACTCCCCAAGCTCCACCTTCTACTACACCAATAGCAGTAGGACCATCGTCCGTCATCCCATCTGAGGACATTACGAGGAATGTGACGACAGGTATTTCCTCAAATGGTGGGTCTACGTCCGGGGCAAGAATTCTACCTCGTATCCCACCTACGCCGACGGTGATATCTGAAGAAACATCTGCGGTATCCTCACCTCAAGCTCCGAAAACTCCTACACCCCGCCCAATGCCATTACCGTCAGACGAATCTCTACTTTCCGTCAAACCCGCAAAAGGTCCACCCCCACCTCCCCCACTCTCACGGTCAGCCTCACCTGTACCTCCCCAACCCAATCGATCACTCAAACCGACTCATCGTATCTCTCCTTCTGCCTCGCCTATCCCTTCCAGTAGACCCTCCGAACATGATTCTACGACGAGTGTACCGCCCTCTGCCAGCCCTCGACCTCCTCAACTTCCCGTTCGACGGCCTACTTTGCCCCCGGCTGTGGAACAAGTCATGACGTCTCTCCCTCCTCCTTTACCCCCAGCCGACAGTAAGCCACATTCCAAGGCCACCATGAGGACTTCAGTCTCCTCAGATTCAATTTCAAAACCACCACTACCTCAAAGATCCCGTGGTCTATCCCTCAGTAAGAATTATTCTCCTCCACAACCTACTTTACCTCCTCGACTACCTCAACGTCACGCCACCGTCAGCTCAGGTTCTCAGACTGCAATGCCTCAGTTCCCACATCATCCTTTCCCCTCTTCAGTCCCGCCATCTCCTCGTCGGATGCAGCGTTCATCATCCCAATCGGTGGGTTCTTTCCAACCCCTTCCTCCACCCACTCGAACGGCCATAGCAAACGGACTTGTATCTCCACCTAGGCGTAAAATCCCCAGTTCGACTTCTGGCGACTTCTCGTCTTCGGACGATGATGATGACGACGGCATAGAACTTGTTCAAGGTTTCGCCTCTTCAGCAAAGAAACTCTTGGAAGATTATCCTGATTCTACTCATGCCAATCGTCGTCCACCTAGCTTCGTACCGGATATTCGACTTCAACCTCCACATTCTATATACTCATTTGCCACATTTGGAAGACATGTCTGCACTGCCGCTCATCAGGTCAGAGTGTTCGACACTGAGATGGGTAATACTCCAATCTTCACCATGGAACTCAAAGACACGGGTCTAGACTTCCGGGTTAAAGAACCTCGTGTGACGGCCTTGTGTTTTCGGCCCGCCGCTATCTTGGCAGATGAAGGACGATATTTGTGGTGCGGTACTAAAGATGGTCATTTATGGGAACTTGACATCAGACAAGGTCTTGTGACCGATACCAGACCCGCCATGCATTCTTCAGCTGTGGTCAACATATTTCGATACAAGCAATACCTTTTATCCCTCGAAGAAGCCGGAAAATTACACGTTTTCGAAGTCATACAAACAAGTCTCTCTACACCAAGCACTCAGTCAAATATTCCAGATCTTTCACTCTCTTCACTCTCGACAGACAAGGTCACAGACTCCCCTAGATTAATCAGAACAGTGCGCATAACGGAGAAATTCACTTTCGCCAAAATGATAGGTAAACAACTATGGACCGCTTCCGCTCCAGCTGTCAGATCGACTACTTCTGCGAACTCCAAAGGTCCCACTATCCGGGTATACGAACCTTGTGCCCCTGGTGCCATGCCTGTGGGTAAGACTGTGATTGCTAGCGAATGGACTGGGGCTGTGACATCTGCCACTGTATTGCCTCTCAGACCTGAGGAAGTGTATCTAGGTCATGAGGGTGGTTTTGTATCAGTGTGGTCTACGGAAGATTTGACCTGTTTACAGGTTCTCAAAATATCTGTCAGTGATATTTTGAGTCTAGAGGGTGTCGGGGAAAGATTATGGGCGGGGAATAGAAAAGGTCAAATACATGCTTGGGACGTGAAAGAACAACCTTGGCAGACAACGAATTTATGGATAGCACATCCGTGAGTGAACAAGTTCTTGATCGAGTAAACTGAATAGTAGGGAACTTTCAATACATGAGCTAAGAGTAGATCCTTGGTCTATAGAACACGTGAGCTCATCGTAGACCTGTTTGAGTCATGAGTGATAAGAGCTGATGAATAAGACTGGAAGATTCATTTGCTGGTCTTGCAGTAGAGAATCGGTACGAGCGTGGGATGGTCTCCTAGCGGTTGAGTGGATAGGTTAGTCTTCTTCATCTCCAATTTCTTCAATATTATCTGTCTATATAATAACAAAGTGTATAAACTCCGCTCTTAGTTGAAACAAGATCAATCGGAGGAGATGTGATGAAATCCAGAGTAAAGGTATAATGCTCATTTTAAAGACTCTCAAATGATCACACGTCAGCCTGATTATTGTACCTTTCGTGATATCCGACTACTCGTCTGTTCATGGAACATAGATTCTGCTAAACCTACCGACTTGGCGGGTTCAGAAGCTAATGCTTTGTTTCTGGAAGAATGTCTTGGATCTGTGGAATCGCCTGATATTGTCGTCTTTGGATTTCAGGAAGTCATCCCTTTGACAGATAGGAAGTTGACGGCGAGTGAGTCCAGGTCATATTCCTATTACTCCCTTCATCATACAAAGATCAAACACCCTTGCTCTCTAACATATGCCTAATTGGAGCTCTTCGATACCTTCATCTTCTCAACCATTCTATCTCTGCCATAGTATTAGCTTCAGCAACCACAAGAGATTCACGGCTCCTGCAACTAGAGAAATACAATTCTTTAAACAAAAATCAATTGACTGACCTCAGAAACTATTCTTTTCGGCGGCAAGAAAGATCCCACGGGTGGAGGAGAACGTATCACCTTGGCTTATCGACAATGGCTGGATAAATTGCAATTAGCGGTGAAAATGTCTGCTTCGCCGGATGTGTCGTATGTCAAAGTTCATTCGGAAAACCTGGTGGGATTGTTCACTTGTGTGTTTGTGAAGAGTAGTAACAAGGACGCTTTGAGGGCTTTGGATATATGTACTGTTAAGCGGTAGGTCTTTCTGTTTCATTTCTGTCCACTCCATCAAGTGTGTCTTTATCTCTCTGTCGGAACTCAACGCACGGTACTTGTTATCGTAGTAATCGCTATGACGAACAAAGCGGTTTATCATCCGGCAAGCGAAGACCCGGAAGGCTCGACTGACGATACAGAGGAATAGGTGGTATCTACGGTAACAAAGGTGCTATCATCGCTCGTCTCATCATCGATGATACTTCTTTATGTTTCATCAACGTTCATCTTGCCGCTGGTCAATCACAACGTGCTGCGAGAAACGCAGATATAGCTGCTATAATGGAAGATAGAGCTATCTTACCTGCTTCTGACGAATTGGCGTTTGTTGGAGGAGGTGATGGGACTGGGATAATGGATCATGAGATGGTTATTTTGAATGGGGATATGAATGTGAGTTAAGGGTCCGTTGATATCTCCCTCATTTCCCTTACTTATCATGTCACTTTCCGCTCTTACCACATTGCTTGACTTTGATCTCTCCTTATTCTGTCCATGATCACCAGTCTGTTTCTACACAGTACTGGTATCATCTCTTCTCCACTAAGCTCACACCAACCTGGGATATCCCATGCGTACTCTATAGCCCTTGCTCATATGTGAGAGATCAAAGGGAATGGGGATTCAGTTGGACATTAGATCGAAGACTGACTTACAGTACCGGATTGACCAAAGACGTGAAAATGTAATTTCCAGTATTCACGTTGGCGATTTCAATTATCTTTTATCACACGATCAACTTCGTAAAGAAATGCGTACAAATCATTCATTCCGACTTCGTACATTCGAAGAACCTCCCATACGTTTCGCTCCAACATACAAATACGATCCTAATTCCGATTCATACGATACTAGTGAAAAACGTAGAGTACCAGCTTGGTGTGATAGAATCCTACATAGCAAATCTACCAGGATACGTAATGTTAGTTATAGGAGATACGAAACTACTATATCGGATCATAGACCTATTTCTGCTGGGTATGTGTTGACTGTTAAAAAAGTGGATGTGGGGAAGATGAAGGAAGTTAGGAGGGAGGTAGGGGAGGATTGGGTGAAAAAGGAGGTTGAATTGTTAGGTAAGATGTCAGAGGCTTTGATGGGGTTAGTTTGAAGTGAGATGGGGAGGAATAAATGTGTTGTTCTTATACTGCATCAATCGCAAGTATACTATGGACGATGTTGAAAGGTTTTCGATGCCACTTTTGACTTTTGCCACTGAAAAAGTTTGAGCAGGAAAAGTAGTATTCTCCATCCTCCCTTCCACCCCTTATTAGTAACTTAGTACTTACTTGTATCTTCAACTACTTCTCTTTAGCAACTTCTGCCACGGTGAGAACCAATCTTGCATCAATAATCCAGCTGTTGACTTTTCGATCTAGTCTTTTCAATTCGAATCACTCATAATAATCCCGGTATCCCCAACGATCAACCCACTTACCACTATCATGACAATATCAAAAGACATTGACGATATTTTCGCTTCTTCCAAAAAACCAAAACCTTCTTCATCCATCCCTAATACTTCCCACATCTCTAAGACACACTCCAAGTCCCAAGAATCTCATTCCAAAGCTCCACACGTATCTTCAGTCTCTAAGAAATCATTCAAGTCAAAACATTCAGAATCAGATTCATCATCGCATCCTTCCTCTGAGAACAGCAAGAAAGATGTCGGATCAGGGAATGGGTTTCACGTTAATCCTCAAATTGACACCAGTAATACCAAAACTACAAAGAAGAAAAGAAGACATGGGAAAGAAGAGGAGAAAGAGAAGGAGACGGAGACAGAGAGTTTGACACCAGTTTCAGAAAAAGTCCAAATTATCGATACTACTCTCCCTACCAAATCACTAGGAAAGAAAAGGAGGAAAGAAAATGAAGAAGATGAGATTTTTAGGGATTCAAAAGGTATTAGTGAGTTAATGTTCATTCTACAGCATGCATACAGGAGAACGACGATCATGAGGAAGAGTAAATGAGTGGTGGGAAGGAGAACAAATACGGCAAGGAGGAATAAGGAAATTAGGGAGAGAGGGGGAGGGGGAGGAGAGCAGAAGAAGGGGGAGGAGAGGGGAGGAGAAATAGGGGGAGGGGATGAGAAATAGGGGGAAGGGGAAGAAGTCTGGACAGGTAGCTGATGAGCACAGGAAGAAAAACGGAAGAAGGTTTTTTGATTTATAAAGAATCAGAATTAGGTATCGATCCTACTTCTGGAGGAACACCTTTGTGTCCATTTGATTGTGATTGTTGTGAGTGTTCGACTTTGTTCAACATCTCAATGTATCTAGCATTTCCTTCTCATATCTCAGTTCTTCCTCGTTCACTGTCCCCGTTTCTCCTCTCTTGCCTGTATCCTGCTCAGGAATTGTAGGCTGTATATGTTGTCGAACTTTCTCCTCGGGGCAGGAGGGGTACCAAGATCTTTCGTGTTTCTCAACATGATTCAAGGATTCGGGTCTCTTAAGAAAGCTCTCAGTGATGTTCCATGTGAGGGCGTGTCAAACTGATATGCAGGCTTCTAGACAATCATCACCTGCGACCATGTCAATCAAGCATCGCAATCATCTACATCGTATATTACATTCTCTCATGTCACCCCTGTCTCCATCTGATCATCTGCTCGGATGATGAACCGCAAAGCACAAGCATACGCTATACACTCCTTGCTAAAACACTATGCGTCGAACTCACTGAGCATACTGTTGCGTCCATCTCTTCGCTTCGGCGATAGCATCCTTCTCGTCGTCTTTCCAATGTTGGGCCACGTCGTTGGCTAAGGGGTCGTCGGGGTTTGGGGCGCCGAGCAGAGCTTGGATCGACAGTCTGGAGGTGAGTGAATGCTTCAGGCTCCCCACTCTGTATAATCGTCAGTCGACGATGGATTGGGACTGCGGGTCTGCTAGTAGATTAGAGGAGGTATCTGAGTCACATGAAGGAGCATGATTGGAAAAGGTATCACAATGGAGATGTACAGGAAAAGTAGTGGGTGAATTCAAACATGCAGCAAGATCGCACGTTACTTGGACCGACGCATGTTGTTATTAGCAAGCTGGAAAAACCCACAACACTGTCCGGATCTGCAGAGCAGGTGACCATTTATCTTTCAAAATATCTAGACAAATACGTCCTAATTTGTCTATTTATCAGCTCAGTTCCGCGTTGTAAGAGATGGCGTACCAATGTTTGGGTGACTGCTGGTTAGTAGACGTCACGCAAACTTCCCTCTGGTATTCCCTCCGTCAGTTGTAAGAAATTTCACGTTAAGGGACCAAATCAAAGGAGCAGACCGAGTCCCAAGCTTCACGACGGTAGAAGATGATATGAAGGCGTTGGTGAACCCAGGTAGAAGCAGCGGACTGAGTTCCGCTACACAGCGGTAGGAGATGATTAAGCGGAGCTTTGTAAGAGCACAGACCATGTGGAATAGTTGTTGAATGTACCGTATTGACACAAGGAGCGACAACGATCAATCTCCTACAGACTTCAAGGATGACGGAACGGTCATAAACGACTTGGATGTGGAAGGTGACTATAAACGAAGATCGCTCACTAGACTTTGGTCAAAAATCGGACTTTAGGAGGGTTCATAGGATATTCTTCGGGGAGGAATAATTCCAATTTGAAAACACCACCTAAACATCAGTACATATAACAAGATCAAGATCACTCCCTTGCTTTCTGTGTTTCATAGTTCAAAACTTCAAAACATCTATCCGGAGTGTGAATGTGGTAAGGAATGTATGGTGGCGAGCATGGCGATGAACAATATGGAAGTTAAACACACAGATGAGAATCATCTCTCGATATATGTATGGTGCACATTACTGAATGGATCCGAAACAGGGCGAGGTAAGAATTCAATGAAAGTAATGGAAGATAACACGATTCTTCACTCACCTTGATAAGGTGAAGAATCAGGTCCAGCGACAGTAACATCGAAATGTCTTAAATTATCATCTTTAGGTGCTGCGGTAATACCAGGTGGTGAATCCGCCAAAAGACGTTCAGTTTCCTATATTTGGTCAACTATAACCTACACCTCTTTTAATACTCTTCATACTCGTGTCCACTTTGTTTTCTTTCAGTTCGTCTTTATCATACTTCCATTCTTCCTCGAATATGTGACAGATGAATTCATTTGTGACAAATGACCGAGCACCCCTTCGGTCAGAGCCAAACGATATGGTGATAAGATAAGATGAGAAGGATATCATGATGATGATACTGACAGGAAAAGTTTGAAGAATGGTACTGTACATGAAGGGAAGAAAAAAGAATGGGAGATGAAGACTCACTTTGAGAATACGTTTAGGCAAAGACATGATGTTTCTCTTTGCCGATTATGAAGACTGGGGATAGGATTGACAAGTGACTTGACGGACAAAGTGATGATAGTATTGATTGTGTTGTATGTGTTAGGTCCAAGAAGGACAGATGTACAGGAGCAGGGTTGAGTGGTTGACACGATGTGAAGAGGTGATACACGAGTGGTTGAAGAGCGATGGATGATTCAATTGCAAGAAGGATGACTTGGTCAAAGTTGGAATGCAATAACCTTTTTGACGCTTTTCAACAGTCTCAATTAGTAATCAGACGATCAAATTCCTAATGCAATACTAATCTGCCACGTGGTAAAAATAGATGTACCTGTGCTCTACGACGATGCATCTCACCATCCTTCCTGCTCCAAAGCCCACATGACACCCTCTTCTACATCTTTAACTACTCTGGAAGGCGTATGGACAGGAGGTCCCTCTTCTTTCTTAAACACACCAGTTTCTACCAGAATCGAAGACCAGCCGTAGGAGTTAGCACCTGCTATATCTATATGTCAGCTGATGATACCTCCGATCCAGCCGAGACATGTACCGGATTCTGGGTTGTCTGCACGTCAGCTTATTCCAATTGATCAGACTCAAGGTACCGAAAGCTCACCTCCTATCATGTACCTATGATGTCAGCGTTGCCTATGGTTTCCTAGCAGGCTGACCATTCACGTTGGTGCTTTTATTGCGAGCGGCCAACATATGAGGTGAGACTACAAAGCGAGGCAGGTTGTGGAGCAACGAATGAACCGGCGGACATGATCAAGAATCTTCCGTGAAAGTGATCACAGATAATTAGGGGATAGATTGATGGAAGAACATGAGGAGTAAGATAGACTCACACATTCAATCGTTCTGAAGGATCCCGCCCCATACCCTTTATATGTTGTCGAAGCATCTTCTCCGCAAATGCATAGGTTTCGTGGTAAGGCTTTCCGTATTGCGTGTAAGTCAAATCCAAACCTGTGAGTTCCTGCCCTGTCAGTCGAACCGCACAAGTACCTGTCACCAGTGAGAACTCACGTTATACACGGCCGCCAGAGCCAAGCGAAAGGCACCCATGCCGAATCGAGGTAAAGGGTAGTCACTGCGATTAGTATATCTTTGTTATCGATTGTCGACCTCAGCAACTTCCCCGTCCATAATAAAGATGCAGAATGTAAGGACGGTCGTCACTATGCAGATAGAAATTAGATTGTAGGCAGTAATCCGAAGGAATCGCTGTCATCGAACAATGCGGTTCCTGCTGGGTTTGAGGATGGACAAAGAAGAGATGAGATGGAATCAGACCTAAAACCCACGTTCCCCATACAAAATCCGGGTTTGTCAGGACTAACGGCACCTCTCCCGTTGCTTCCTCCCCAAATCGTCTCTTTCGTCTAGTTCCTAGCAGCCCTCCATCAGAAGCGAGTAGTTCAGTGATGATCTGGGTGGCCATGCCCCAATCTAAACCCCTGTCGTGAATTACGAAGATGGCGTGAAGGGGTGTGGAGGCGAAATCTATGTCGGTCTGGTATCAAACATGCATCTCAAAGTTATATCCATCGCAGAAATGGCCGGATGACTCGACAAAGTGAAGCACTGTTCGAGAGGGTCTCGACGGGCTGACAGCGTGCGATGGGGGAGCAACGAGGAGTGTAGCGCGAGAAAACAGAGCCATTGGGACCGTTGAGATGTAGCGAGTAGGGGTGGATGACTGGTGGACACTTGTCTCACAAACTGTCCCAGAGAGCACACTCACTCTGGCAAAAGCCTCCTCTTCCGCCGATAAAACATATCGATCCCACACGCTCGATCTCCAGGCAAGGATATCTTGCATCAAGTACGCTCGTTTCAAACCATATCTTTCTCCATCAGCAAGACCTTAGGACCCCATGCGTCATGCCCAGCTGAATCGACTGGCTTCGCCTGACTGGAACCATCGAGATAGACCTTCGGAATAACGTTACCACGGAGCTCATGACTACATGGATCAGCTCGAGCTCATTCAAAATGGAAAACCATGGTAACAATAAATCAGAGATCGATGGATATCACCTTGACCCACTGCCCGTCTAATTTTTGTACACATAGACGTTTAGCGCAGAAGCACATGGCAGTGAGGTATGACCGCCCATCGGTGGGTTCTCATCATGAAAAAAATGTGTTGGAGAGGGCGCGACAGGTTGTAAGAAATACTCACGAAGAGGAGGCAGATCCGCGTGTCATCCTCGTACTGCATTCTGCCTGCCCATTAGCATGCCAAGTCACATCTCATGAGGCAGATATGGAGGAGAAACACAAAACGCTCAGTCAAAGCTGATGTTACTCGCTAATCACGGCAGTGCCGTCAGCGTACGGCGAACGAACATGGTCAATTATCGTCATGGCGTCTTGTGTGTGGGTTTCTGGGTTCCACGACAGATGGAAGAGATGAATCCCGAACGTTGAGACAGGTGATGAGAGACTCACCAAGACATGCGGATGGCCCGTTTAAGCCACGCAGCCATTCGTGATGATCGGGGAACAATTATCATTCTGGCGAGTGTCGCGATATTACTGACGATTCTGCTATTCTTCTCCCCGCATCACCCTGTCCACCGACGACCAAAACAGGTTTATCCGCATAGTCCATTACGTAGTCCCGTAGAGGCGTATGGGATTGTACCAATTGATTTGGGCCCAGCTGTTTGTCAGTACGTCTACCTTGTTTTTCCCTTTTGACTCTGCTACAGCTCGCGTAAAGAAGCGAGGCAGGAGTGATCTAAAGAGAATCATGGTAACACTAGGAAAACTCACTGGTACCTCCAGCTCTTCCGACAAAGCCTTGCATCTCTCTGCTTCTGTCATACCGCCCCCATTCGTCAATAACAAAAATGGAACAGGTCTGTCACTCAGTTTGCCTCTCAACATCGCGTACGCCGGCCTCTGTCCCAACAAATATTTTGTGGTTTGATGTGATGTCGGACTGACTTGGGAAGAGTATCATTTTGTCCAGATAACAGCTTTAAAATCCTTCGAGCTTGTGGTAAGACATGTTCGCCTTGTTTGAGTACGCCGTCCTGTTCTCAGTACTTCTCTTCGACGGGATTCTGAGGTTTTCCTTCCTCAGCTCCTGCACAAGCTGTCACACTCATTGATCTTCTCTTCCTCTTTCTGAAGCGCCGAGGAAAGAGATCATCTATTTCCTGACAATGATATAGATTCAGATAGTAGGAGGAGGAGGGCTTGAGACAAGGGATGGTTTTGTAGATAACTCACTATGTCGAAGGCGAAAGCCACCTTGTCAGATCCACGAGCTAAGTGTCAATTTGACGTACCTCAACCAATAGACTTACCTCTATGCAGATACCTCACACTATCACCTACACGTCTGACAGATGGGAGTACCCTCAATGGTCTTAACTGCGCAACCAAGGTGGTCATAGTGTATGAGCAGAGGGAAAGTCGAAAGCTGGAGGGATGACGTCCGTCCCTATCCGTCCTGCCGAGTTCAGCGAGTGTGAGCAGGAGAGGAAAGCAATCTCCCTCTGCCAGTAAGTAAGTGGCGAGTTAAATTCGGGGCCGCGTGGTCACCGTAAAGTTAGTGTTGGATGTACCGTATCAAGTGAAGATGCATAAGGAGGATGCTGCGGGGGCTGTAGTTTCTACGGAATCGATACCAATGGGCTTATCGCCGATAACTTACGCGTGTAATCTCCGATACGTTCGGCATATAACCTGGGGGCCTGGGACTTGCCGGACACCCCACGAGTACGGGTAGAGTACCACATAAGTGATATAACCTCACATCAATCTCTCTGTGCTCTCTTCTCTCTTCACTTTCTCTACTTAAACTACATCACCGACAGCATCACTACTCTCTTGCTCACCTTACCACTTCTGAACGTTTTTGACCTTAGACTGAACGGACCGATCCGAGCGATACACTTGCCTACAAGGAACCAATCTCGTGAGACATCTCAATAAGAAGAGTGAGAAGGATGATTGGAAAACTTGTTCATTATACATTTGATGCTCTGGCTTTGTCGGCCATATTGGCAGGTGTGAAGAAATCTACTGGGTTTTCGTGAGTCTTATTGTCCCACCGTCCAAATAATATCATTTCCCATAATTGACTTTCCTTTCATATTGCATAAATTCCATGTCGTCTGACTGTGTACAATACCTAACATGCGCTTGTGACAGTGCCCTTTCCGTACAGGCTGTACCTGGGATCTAATAAATTCAAAAAGAAGGAAATCTCTTACCTTCAAGACCATAAATGGAAGATGTTGTACAAGAACAATGGGTGTGCGTTTCTGGGTGGGAAGAAGATCTGATCAATAGACCAGCTACAAATCTCATCCCTGATTCTTCCATCAAATCATTTGCGGACGGTTATCTCTCTGCTGGAGAGACATTGTTCAATGTCGTTGCTGGACAAGCGGTATCAAGTCAATATTTCAAGCGGACATAGAGAGGGTGGATGGGTCGATTGGAGGATCAGGGGGGATGGTGATTGTTTCATGGATCAGAACTGGCTAGGTAGCGGATACATACGAGGTTGGACAGTGGTGTTTGATATGGAGAGAAGAGTGCTTCGACGGTGGAACGGATCGGAGGGAGAAACAAAGGTGTTGTTGTGGGCCGTTCCGGGACATACTGGGGTGACGGTCATCAGACAGAGGATGTGAAGAGGAGTAAGTCAACGGACAAGGACAGAAAATCCAAGAGGAATGTGTACATCATCAATACGAAAGATTATGCCCGGTATACCAAACAATTTGTAAGACAAAAGACAAATTAGAAGGAAAATTCTTGGTCTACTAACATCCCTAACTACACCCCGATGCCTGACACCTCTTTCACTATTACCGTTTTCTTTCCCACTCTTCCCTTTCTCTCCGAGCATAATCCCACAAGCGATCCGCTCTCATCAACCCTGTCCGAGTCAAGTCTACATTGAGACTTCACCACAATCACCCACCATTCACCATCCAAACAAATGACACACGAACACTCCTCATTAGTCTAGTCTCCCTCATCTCAACTATCCCTCACCACCGTATGACTAGTAGTCACAAACACTTGTGGTGGACCTTGTCTCTTATGTTCGGTAACTTCCAACGGACTTTTAAACTTTTGTAAAACACTAGGTAATCTAGGCATCTCACTCATCCTAGCCTTCCTACTCTTATCTGCCACACCAGCGAAAGGAGCTTCTTCTTGTCTAAATCTTCCATGTGGAGTAGCAGGAGATAATTCGTAACCTTCTCCATCGTCTTCGAGAACAGGTGCTAAACCAGAAGGTTCGATATTGAGTCGATCGCCCAATTCTGCGAAACCTTTGTGTGAGGCGGCTGAAGGAAGTGGTCTTTTGTATGGGATCATAGGATGAAGATTTGGGATTTGAGTTGGAACGGATTCAATTGCCATATTACGAGGTAAAAGTACCTTAGGGGTCAGCGTTGAAAATAGTATGACAGTTAAGAGGAAAGAAATGGAAAGGGGGGGAGACTTACGATGATACTGATACACGTAGCACAGAATAAACCAAGATATCCTAGAATAGTAAGAATGTCAGTACCGACTGCGGAACGATTGATACGTTGTTTCTTGCTCAGAGCGTCGGCGGAGAGGATAGTCTGACATCAGCACAATACTTTGATGGTACTTCATTACATTCAAATTTCAGATTCTCTCTGACTTGACGAGTACGGTTGATGAGGGCGAAATCAGAAAAGGTTCATTTCGAGTATGTCTGACGGTGGCGAATTGTTGTGGATATTTATCAAGATCTGTTGAGAGCAATGTGGACTCACCAAACAAGATGAATAAATCAATCGGAAAACGGTACGTATAGAATTCGTTTCTTGGAAGAAAGACAATCTCTCTACGACTTCGTATGTCGCACCCATACGTGTGACACTACGAATGAAAGAAGGGAATATGATGCAAAGATAACATGAAGCGAGAGCCATTCTTGATCATCAGCATTTTATACTTCGATCCCCGTATTAGACATATCACCTCCCACAATCACCCAACGACACGACTCATTCACAAGCTTGGGAAATCTCCATCTAATTGCTAGATGATACAAGTCTTGACTCGACACGAATGGAAACAGAAATGTTGTTATGACGACAAAACGCTAAGATTGATAAACTTACGTGCAAGACATAGTACCCCCAACTACGAAAATGTACGCCCTCATCATATCCAAATTTGTGGTTTCTATTCCCAAAGCAGCATATAACAATGCCGTACTGCATGCTACAACACCAAGGAAAAGTTTGAGCCAACCTGAATGCAGCCAAGTACGTTTAGGTCCTCCTGGCGTTCTAATCGATTGAATAAGATAACCCCAGTAAAGAAACTATTTGTCAGCAAGTTTTGACTGGGAGTTGGGTCTGACTGACCTCTTCTAAATGAACTGTTTGAAGTAAAATCCATCCACCGGTAAATACGTATAAGCTTTGACGCCAAAGATGTTGATATTTCTCTGGCCAGAGTTGCCAAGGGGCTTCAATCACTTGTCCGAGGACAGGAACATAATACTGTCGGTCAGTAGTGTCATATAGCAACAAAATAATGACAGGGGTTACTCACAGTCTTATATGATACGTGTACTTGCAAACTATTGGCAACGAGGAATAGGATCAGGGAAGTCATGAGGACGTGGACCATTAAGACGGTGAACCAATTTTGTCTGGTGTACCACAAGCACCTGTTCATCAACCACGTCCGAGATTACTCATCCGTCAACTGTCTCCATTGATCGGTTTCTTCTCCACCTCTCTTGTCCGGCACTGTACTCCGACATTTTGCCCATCCACCATTATAATCTTCGAAAAACCCTCATGTAAACTTCGATATGAAATACTTTGCGAACAAGATTCTCGGATCGAAACAAGATCCTTATCAAGACAGAAGAACTCGGGACAAGAGGAAGTGAGCACACGGAGTACAGCCCCAAGACAAGCACTTGAAGACTCACTTGAACCGATCATAATGCCATGTATGCCATAGGACAAACACGATACCAGTCATGACCCTGTTTTGTCAGCCACCACCATAGGCCGACCACGACTTGCGTTCCCCTCCTGTAGACCCGGGCAAAGGAATGGGTGAACGGTCATGCAAAGGAGTGAAGGATAGACGTGCGGACGACTCATCGCGATTTGACAGTGCAATGACGCATGAGAATATGTTGAAGAGCATTGAGAAGATGGAATGGCGGACAGAGAAGGGACTGAAGCGTAAGGAGTGAAGAGGGGGTGATATGAGAGGAAATACTTACACAAGGAGTGCGAAAGCATAGGTTGCCGGTCTGACCTCAGCAACGCCCTTCATCAGTTATTGTGAAAACTTACGAGCCCATCTTGTTGAATCACTCTCTCTTCTTTTTGGCTCGAAATCTATATCCTGAACGTATCGACCTGATCGAGATATCCCAGACGCCTTGGGACGGAGATCGATGATATCTCCAATTGGGCCAATATCGGGTGGGACAAAGGGAGAACGGGTGAGAGAATCAGTAAAGACAGTTGTAGGAAAGGTGAGGAGATGATAAATAGTTGGATCCCAGAGAGACAGTACTCGAAACTGAGGGTGAGTTTACGGTACGAGCTGAGAGTTAAAGTTGAAAGATGAAAGGTGTTGAAAGAGAGGGATGTTCAGATGTTGAATGGTAAGTAATATCAGAGACCAATGCGGGATGAAACTATTCCATGTGCTTTTCATTCTCGCCCGAGCCTCTTGATTTTTGAAATCGATTTGGCCTTTCGTTTCTTGAGCAAAGGAACAGTTTCTCTCCTGTCATCCTGTCGGGAGGAGACGAGTGGAAGGATACGACTATCCCATATCCCTGTCTCTTCCCCTGTACTCTCGGGCTACTGCTCAACCCCGCCTTTGCACCCATCAGACATTGGTTGAAGACGAGCAGATCACCCGAATCCGATTCGCCTCGAAGTCGGGATAGGCTTTGAGGGCATCATCCAAAGGTCTAGAGGAAAGGTAGTCGCCAAAGGGATCTCTGTCAAAGGTCAGTCATTCGCGGGTCAACGACTGAAGGATCCAAAGGACCCATTCGTCATTTCTCATCCCTTGCATCGGTCTCTTCTCGGCACTGACTCGATGCCAGACGCACGCTTGAAGGCAGGAAGTAGGCGCGGACGTATGCCTGAGAGTGACAGGGTAGGAGCTAAGATTGGACAGCCGTTAGATCCGTAGACCGGCCTACTAGTGAGAGAGATAAGCAAAGGTGTCAGGTTGACGAAGGATGGCAACGCGATGAGTCGTCCGCGTAAAAGTCCATAGGATAGAAATATGAGCTAGATAAACGTGCAAAGTGACAAAGCGTCGATGTTATGAATGAGAATAAAGGGTGATGGATGGGATCTTTTGTCAATAGCCTCCGGGCCCGGTCTGATCGGCTTCTCGCTGTCTCCCACTTCCCACTAAACCACTGGTGCTCTCAGCACCACTTCGACCGCTGGTATGAGTGTTCGCACGTGTCCGCCGACGACTGCGACCTTCACGACGCATGAAATGGAGGTATTTTACGAATCCGGAAGGGGTGGGAGCGACTTGAGTGGGTGAGATGGGAGGTGATTCGGAAGGTGAGAGGGGTGGTGGGGGAGGAGGGGCGTGGGGGTTAAAATCTAAATGTCAGCGCAGTCCTATAAGGGACATAGGGGGATGATCATCATAGAAGAATGATATAAAAGTGAAGAAAATACGGACCTTTACGGCATAATGGACAACTAGAAGACACTTGAAGTAGCCTAAGCGTCAGCAATCGTACGTGTATCATCCCGTCTATGCAATTACGCGAGGTGAGGTTTAACGGGCAAGGATTAGACGTATCATACTCACCAAGGATCTATGCAAGCTTGGTGATAAACATGTTCCCTCTCGCAAGGCAAAACCCTTAAATCGTCTCCCTCCTCAAAATCCAATAAGCAAATAGGACATTGATCTTGCGCACCTTCATCCATCCCCCGTGCTGAAAGTGGCATATCACCACTCGAAACGGGTCTAGATGTTGTAGGCGAAACCACGGACAATCTTCTCGAACCTGATCCTGATGCTATGCCTGACCCAGAAGCACGATCATAACCTCCTCTTTCATCCATGTGATCTAAAGCGGAATGGAAAGACCCCGTTTCGTCGGTATACAAACTTCGTAAGGCGATTGAAGTACCTCTCTCCATATCACCTGAGGGACGTGGTCTGTGAGTGAACCCTTGTGAGGGACGAGTTTGTGAACCTTTTAATGATCCTGATCCTGATTCTGTGTGAAATGGAGGTTGAGGGGTGTTGGCGAGTTCGTACTCTGTCGATAATGATTTAGGTTGGTTATCTTGCACATGACGATTGAATTTGATGATCGGGAACGTATCAAGGATTGCTTGTGCTATCCCTCCCGCTGTGGTTTGGCCACTTTGTGATGCATCACCATCTCGACGACCGTATCGTTCAGGATGAAGTCGAGCTCTTCGAGCACCCAAAATGAGCATACTGACGAAAAGAAGGGTAATAGTACCTGTTATGACGTATAGTACGATCATTGCTGCTGATGTGGTCTTGCTTTTGGAGGGGGAAGACGGAGAGGAAGAATTTGGTACGGAGGTTTGAGTGGCTTGGCCAGACGAGTTGTGAGCGGCCAGAGTGCCGATGAGGAAAGATTTGGTCTTGGGTGCATTACCGATGAGAGATTGATTAACCGTCGTTCCGGAGATGTTGAGAAGAGTGCCGTTGTAGGTGAGGAAGGTTGCGTTTGTATGGTTGAATTGAGAGTCGATGAGTCTGAGAGTGAGCTAGATTCAAATATTCCTTATATCATAATCAAGCATTATTAGTTCACCCTGTCCATCATATAGACAACAGAGGGATAGGGAGTGAGGGAAAGGGGGAAACACTCACGTAGCTACGTCAACCGTTTTGGTCGCAAACACATCTAGTGGTTTTTCAAAATCGGTAATGTATTCAGGATTGAGTAGACACGATTGAGATGTTGCTGAATACAACAATGCCGACACGGCACCTCGATCTCTGGCCAATGTGAAGATGTCTGTAAATAAGCAGGTGATTTTGTCAAGCTTGACGGGTGTTTGGTGAGTCTCAATGGAATGTGAACGATCTGCTATGGGATGCGTATTGAATAGCTACATATAGGTCGAGGAAGGAACAAACGACTCACCCCATTCTTCACTCGCCATGGTCTCGTTGGCATCACAACTGATGTATGCTATCCAAGGTGTGCTAGTAGTGAGGTTTTGTCCCATGGAGGCTTCTGTGAAATGAACAAGAGCTCCACTAGTCGTTCCTCCCGTTCGAACGTCAGCTTCAAGTTGATATGAACTGAAGGTCAACATTATTCTACTTCCCCCAAAACCCTCCACTTGGTCCCCTCTTCTTTACTCTTCTGCTCAACACGCCTAAGCCTGACTCTTCCTTCACCACCAAACTCCTGATCTCCTAAAGCAGACGGACCGCACATCATCCAATCACTATACATCCCACGAGACAGTCCCTCTCAACTTCACTGATAACCTCAGCTTCTCTCTCTATGTAAGATTTACATGGTCTGAAAGCCCCTTTCACGACAGGAGCATACATATCGACGTGAAGAAAAGAACTCACACCCCGCCTGAGAACACCCCGTCGGGGTCAGTCCAAGAAATACTGATAGTACTTGAATCCGTGAGGTTGAGACCGGAGGTATCGTTGACCGCTATGGCAGGGATGTATGCGTATGTCGTCATAGGGGATAGGATCCCGATCCAAAGAGTCGCGAATACCATCTTCCACATCATACTGAATTTGCCTTCCCTAGTGTCGTTCATCCCCTCGGTCGTTCTGGGTATCCGAAAACTCAAAGTGATATTCTAAACGAGTGAAGAGACCCAAGAACATGTCAAGTCGGTTGAGTATAGTGATCACTGTTGTGACATTGTGTGTTGTGCAAGGCTCCTTGTGCCGAGAATAGTTCTCAAGTCGCAGTCGTCCACGCCCTCAGCTCTCACCAGTCGCTTTGTCCTTGTTCTAGCTCCTATTTGTAGAGTTCTCACTGTTGCACAATACTATGCTATGGGCCGTAGAGACGTTGTGTATGATATGACAGAGAATTGATGAAAGATGAAGGATAGATGGATAGATGGAAGAAAGGTAAAGGGACTGATACGTATGTGGGAATACGACTCCTTTTTTCTACGCCATCCCGTCACTTCCTTACCCATGGTACATACATGACAACTTTCAATTATATACTTTACACTCGTCCCTTCGCTCATGCTTGTACGACCCATACGGAGGTATAATAACCTTCTATGTGGTCTTCGAAGCTACTCAAACGATGCGATAAGGGATAAACGGTTTGACATTTTGTTCTGCGGATCGGATTCGTTCTCTGTCTCTTCTCTTCAAGCCCTACTCGGTGCTCAAGGTGCGTCCTCTTCCCCACCGATCCTACATGTATCTAATGGAATCTATCAAAGGTCACACATCAATGTTCACCGGCTACTGACGACTTGGAATGGGTGGAATGGGCGGATGACTGACGACAGATATATGGAAAAGCATTCATGTGTTAGTTCCCGGAGAACAAGATGTTGGTCGAGGGGGGAAATCTCGTTCCAGACATGTACAAATCTACAAATGTCTGTCTTTCTTTTTCCCAACTTGATAAAGTCTGATTGAAGAAGCGGAATTAGGTGTATATGCAGAACGACATGGTCTGCCTATATATACCGTACCGAAAGAAGGTATAAGAGCTTTTGTGGTGAGTCCCCCCCCCCCAAAGTTGTCTCATCTACATGTACCGTTGCTGTCGGGCTCTACAGCATCTAAAATGTACTCTCTGTTCCTTTACAAACACCAATTCCATCATAAAGACTTCATTCCCAATCATGAGGAAATTTCAAAGTCAAACTGACTCCTAGCCCCCAAATCCATTCACTTCCCCTAACCCAACTTCCCTTCTCTTGACCGTATCTTTCGGTCACATCCTTCCCTCCCCTCTTCTCTCCCTATTCCCCCCATATCATCGTCTCAATCTTCACCCTTCCCTTCTTCCAAAATTCCGAGGAGCAGCCCCAATACAACATACCATCCTAACCGGCGTTCAAACGACCGGTGTCACCCTTCAACGTCTTGTCGAACGTGGGAAAGGTATAGACGCAGGAGATATATTAGGTATTACTTCCCCCGAAAATGTCTGTGATTCAGATACGTACTCAACTCTCCTTCCTCGTTTAGCTATCAAAGGCGCGGATTTGTTAGTTGAAACATTGAGGAAAGTTCAGGATGGTAAAGCGGAGAGTTTCAAGCAGGATGAGAAAGAGATGACTAGGGCGCCGAAAATTAGGAAAGAGATGGGAAGAGTAAAGTGGGAGAAACAGGGTGCGAAAGAGGTAGAGAGGTTGTATAGAGGTATAGGACATCAACAAAGTTTATGGACTGAAGTGGTGTTTCCGAACCCTTTGTCTTCACCAACTTCAAACACGACGAACTTTTCATCCCGAAACTTGTTAAAGTCGCAAGATGTAAATCAGTCAAATGAAGATTCGCCGTCTCAGCCCGACAATGCCATTTCTATATCTCAATCAGGTCTCACTATCTCTTCGAAAGCGAGGGATGACGATGCAAAAAGACAATCTTCAACAGCATATATCCTTCAACTCACTTCTGTACAACTAGCCCAAAAACCTCCTCCTTGCCCAGAAGCAAAACCAGGAACAGTAATCTTCCTTAGATCTCGTTCCCCTCCGGTGTTATTGGTGAAATGCGCTCTTCACTCATCCTCCATGAGTAGTTCCACTCAAGTTGGATCATCTCTTCGGCGATCGAGCACATCGACAGAAACTACAACTCAAATAGAAACGACAGATATAATGAAGACGGGGGAGACACCAAAGGGGAAGAGTTCTGAGAATTCTCAACTTGAGGAGAAAGGAGTGGAAGGGGAGAAGAAACTGATAGACAGTATAGAAAAAGTTCAGGGAGTCAAACAGACTGATTGGATAGAGATAAGAAGTGTCAAACCTCCTAACAAACCGGAAAGACAAGTTGGGGAATGGTGGAATGGGTTACCTCCTTCCGTTCGGGCAGGTAATGAGGTGAGGTTTGTGTGACTTGGGAACCGTCCCTCTACTATGAGATAGAGACCACACTACGGAGTACATACATCAAATATGACCATCACTGGCATACAATCTAAGATATGAAATGCAGCAATGTACGCATTCAAAGTATACAACACTGACAAGTCGTGTAACCCCCTAATCCCCTAAGCCGTATACCCTACTCGTTTTCTTGATTGACAACCTTTCATACGTAGTCACTAGTGGATTGATGTTTCCTCAACGATCCATCCCTCTTACGTCATGATCAATACTGTACGGCAGATGCTCAACTCAACTTCTTTTGATGTCTTGATACCCTTTCGAGATAGATAGAGATACAGTGAAAAGAAGAAAAACGGAATCTCGAATCATCAAAGAATCACCCCCACCACCTCTTTTTCTTCTTATTTATCTCTCTCTCCACCCCAACTTTCAAACCCAACTCTTCAACTTGCCTCTCATCTTTACTATCCCTATACCCTAAAACAACCCTCCCTTGAGTTTTCACAACGATTTTAGATTGTTCTTCTCTTCCATGAGCACCGTATCCCCCTACGACCTGATCGAGAATATCGGAGTTTTCACGAAGAGTGGAAGGGACATAACGTTCTATGTTCCGCGCGGCTTTATGTTCGAATGATGTGTTTTTCGGTCTTCTAGGTGGGGGACGGAGGAGTATTGGATTTGAATCGCCTTGAGAGTGGATAGAAGATGAAGTTCCTAAGACGCTGGAATCGATTCGAGGAGGAGGCTGCAAGGAGACTGTGGTAGTAGACTGTGTATGAGTCAGAGGGGGTGGGGCTTTTACAGAAATGGAATTAGGTGAAAGAGAGTTGCTGAGGTTGGGGCCTGGTGTGAGGGGGGAAGGAGAGGGTAAAGGAGGTAAGACGAGAGGAACGACTTGAGTGGTGTAGAATGAAGAGTAGGGATTCGCAAGAGGGGCACATTGAGGTTGAAGAATATCTAAGAGGATCGGAGGAGAGGGAGAGGTGATATGAACCGGCCCGAAGAACGTCTCAGGACTAGTCATTAGTACTCGAACGCAATGTGATATTGAAGTCAACGGATGTCTGGTCGTAAAAGTAAGTCACCGTGTACCTTCCCCTGATAAAAAAAATCAGAAAGAGAAAGGGAAGGTATCTGAAGAATGACATTTCGTAAGAATAGGAACGGAACACACATCAACTCACAGGAAAATCAGTACGTCACCGGATTTAGATTCCACCCGAAGATCGATTTGACGATTCAGATCAATGGTCATCTTTCATCAGCTCTTTTCCTTCCCATCTCGCAAAACGATATCACACTCATATTCAAACAGGGGGTAGTTGACGACTCACCAAATCCACCTTGATACCACCACTTTTAGTATTCACTTGCACCCTAGCTTTCTTCCTCCCCTTTTCCTTACCCCAACCTTTCACACCAGAATCTATCACCCCCAACCCCAATTCCATAGCCCCATTCTCCGTTTCGAACACTCCGTCAGGAGGTACTACCCAATCCTTCGCCATCTTGGCCAATCCATCTATCGGCGCTCCGATAGTTTGGTTAAACTTCGTCTTTGGTCCCGATGCCAAACTTGTCAAAGCTATATTCGCCACGTTGGTAACTTGGTGGGGGATATGAAAAAGTGGATCATGGAGGAGAGGATCAAAATAATGTGTGGACCAAATGGGTGTTTTGCCTTTTGCTAAGAGAGACACTGTTTTTTCAGCTGAGACTCCACGGTGTGTAACGGAACTGCCTGATGCTAGAGGAGGGGGTTGAGAAGTTTGAGACGACGGAAGGGACATGGATAGGTTCAATTTGGTTTGGGGATAGGGATATGTGGGAGTATAGTGGCGAGGTAAGCTCTTTGAACGCTGTGGTCGAGGAGGTAAGTTGGGTGGAGGTAATGAGAGGGATGCGTAGGCGAATGAGGCGGAAGGGGCAGTGAGAGTGGGAGGGATTTGAGGTTTGTAGTCGGGCCTGGTATGAGTTTGTCGCTTTCCCACTGTTGGTATGTGGTCCTTCGACCGGTGAATGAGTCATGGGTTACCAAGCGTATACACAATGCACGAGAATACTCGTAGGTGATACAGTAGGAAGATAGATAGAGGGGAAGGTGGGGTAAAGGCGGGGGAGAAGGCGGCTTACGTACTCCCACATAGGTGGATCCTGACCGTCAATGACCAGTCGAAACATCTTCAAGTCATGTTGACAGTGAGGGTACATACTTCATTGGATCAAGAGAGAATCGATGAGATACAAAACCAGCTGGTATGTTGAGGGATTGGCCGTCGTACTGCCGTGTAGTGTATGACGGTGACTCACCGGGACAGGGACATTATGGGGTACAGGGGGTAAAGCTCTTCCCTTGCCCTTCCTCCCTCTCTCTACGATATCCATTTCGTCCGACGGAGGGTGTACCTCATCTCCTGATTCCTTAGCTAGGTAAGCCGAGTTACGTAGAGGTCTATACGAGCCAACAGCATCTCCACTATCGATCCGCTGTGATAATGTGGAGCTATGACTGCTTGTTTCGATTTGGTGACTTGGAGGTAATGAAGCTCCAGAATATCTGGAGCTGGAAGAGCTTTCTGGGACAAGGAGAGATTGTCGGTACAATGCCTGAGAGACATGTCTATCGAATGGGATAGGCTGATATTCTGATAAAGGGATAGGTATGGGACGGGCGGAAGGGGATCGATTGGGTAAAGAGTGTGAGAGTTGATGGGTTGATGAGAGAGCCATGTTTGGATACTTGTATCTGATCAGATGGTCGATAGGTGTGTCTCAAGCAGTTTAAGTGTAAACAGATTGAAGAAAGTGAAGATAAGATACCTTGCTAGTCACTACTTTTAACATCAGAGGAGGAGCTCTCGACGTCATCGGCCGGACCTTGATGGCATGAACCTCTTCTCCTCCCTCAACCATTAAGTCAACTTCATCCATGGATACCGTTCTTTTCCTCACTTTTCGTACTTGTCTCATATGGGCAATCATTCCGACATGTTCTACAGCATGTAGCTAGCCTGTCTCAGCATGCCTAATATACTCCTGTAAACTCATGCATGATGGGAAGTAGCCAGCACGATCTGAAGTAGAGTTTTGAAAACTTCACAGCCACGTGGCAAACCCCAAATGTGAATCTTATAAGTTGCCCCCTTTTCCATCCCTTGACCCCACTCGTCTTCAACACATCATCATCACCATGCCCCCTTCACGAAATAGGTCAAAAGGTTCTCGGGTGGGTCTTTATTGTGTGTTCAGGAAAAAGCTAATATCAGTTTCCAGGTGTAAGTTCACTATACCAAACCACACCCCATGTTCCTTTCGTATGACGCTGCTCTCTCCTCTACGGCGTGTATGTGGTACACATCTTGGTGCTCTTTCTGAGTCGAACATCAATCTTTATATCTTCTCAAAGTATGGTATATCATGCAGACTGAGGAGAGTATCGTTTATGTCGTGGACCAAGAGAATAATTGAAATGGGGGAATGATCAACAATTGATGTTTAGGCAAGGATCAAAAGGATCATGCAGATGGACGAAGAGGTCGGCAAGTTATCTGCAAGTGTACCTCATATGATATGTGAGTTATCTGTCTTCTCATCTATTGTCCCATCCCAAGGAGTCCTTCGTTTCACCGGTACGTTAACTCGATGTCTACCATTGGAATCAAAGAGAGATTGAGGAAGGGATTTCGTGAAGAAAATTATTTGAATATACTTTGATAATTGGATTGGATTCACAATCATAACTGTTGGATTCTCATGTTCCGAAAAGACGTCACAGTCAATTGGAGGGGATCAAGTAGAAATCTTTTCTAATCCCCAGCAAAATCATTGGAAAGATTCATGCAGTCTCTACTGGAAGAAGGAACTAAAGAAGCTCGTTCTAGAGGATCGAAAAAAGTGACACCAAATCATTTGTCAGTTTTCTTTCTTTTACTTCAACTTCACAATCTCTCCTCATCCCTTTTCGTAACAACAAACATCGCGTCTGTCAAATACTATTACATCACTTACAGGCGCTTGAGAAAAAAATACACAAGAGGGTCTGGGAATGATGGACGAAACATGGTGTTTTGATCATTGAGCGTTGGTCATGTCTGACACCAAAAGGAAAACGGCCATACAATCAAATCCAAATTTCGACTTTTTGCTTGAAAAAGTAGCTGGTATACCTGATACTGGAGTGGAGAAAGAGACAGATAATAAAGCTGGACCTAGTAAATCCAGAGCGGGATATGTACGACCTTCACGGAGAAAGAAGACTGAGGGAGAATTAGGTGGGTCATCAATTTTCTTTCCATTCAAGTCTTGCACGGGATGTTACGGGTGGTTTTTGGATATCATCAATTATCATGTCGAGAGTGGGAAGCTATTTCATACTAAGTACAAGTCTGGCCTTTACAAACCTGGTATGACACTAAGCGAGGGTGCAGTGTCCGAAAAGAAAGTTCCAGTTTAGGGATATCAAATTCGATAAAAGAATTGTTACTCTATATACATAACGCTCATGGGTATGAAAGAGATCAGAAGAAGAGGAGGGAAGTAAAAAAGGAAGAACAGAGGGAGTTAAACTGGGAAGGATGGAAAGGGAAAGGAGAGAGAAAGAAAGAATTTGTACAAGTACTGATCATAGACTCAAAACCAGATGATACCAAACCTATCCCGGATTCTCAACCTGCCGGTTTACCTCAATTAGGAACTTGGAAAAGGGATATGGAAGGTACTGGAGGTAGTGGAGAAGGTGGTAGAGGGATGTTTGATGATTATGAAGAAGACGAAGATGATTATTGATTTCTTTGCATGATATGGGTGATTTTTGACTTTCCTGTCATCTTCCCTATTTATTTATTTATTTACATACTTACATTCTTGGTCTCGTGTATATCTCTACATCTAGAAATGTCCGTCTCATTCATCTTACCAGCACCTTATTTAGTCATCTAGTTATCTGACGGGCTTATCATCTCATCTCATGGTAATTCTACATTCTTTCCAAGTCGTCTTCCATACTTTCTCTCGTCTCATCATACATGTAAAACCACAGATCTTTTCACTTTCCAAAATGGACATTGGTGTACCAAACATTTGGTTGAAAGGAAATGGAAGCACAGTCATACTTTAATATAAAACAAGAGTGCATAACAAAACTAAAATATCACAACACCTCAAAATTCCAACACATATACACAATTTTCCTTCTTACAACCAAAGACGTGACTCGTCATGTTTTGTTTTGTTTTTCGTTTAATTTGGATTGAAACATCCTATCGTGTGTGACCAAGACTTGTTCCCACGAAGAGAGTCAGGGAAGTGATATGTCATACGGCGTAAGAAAGAGAAGAATCGGATACGGGTAAGTTACCCATGAGAGAGGAAAGAGTTGGGGAAGTTTCATGAGGATTATTCGATGACCTGAGTGATATGTAAAACGTGTGTGGGGTGAGAACAACTCGTCGAAGAGAAAGAAGGCGGAGGCTGGGGAGAGGAGTGACGATTTAGACAATGGAAAGGAAATCGCACCATGCTAAAGTCGGAGCAGGTACAGAAGAAGTTTTAGATTTTGTCTTAGACGTTATTGATTGGGTATGTGTTGGGGTTTGGATTTGGGTTTGAGAGAGAGGAAGGGACAAAGTGGTGGATTGGTTTGAGATGCGAGACTGAGGGTCAGTTTGGTTGTCTTGTCTTTCACAAGCTTTGGAGATGTTCGTGAGATCCGGAGTTGTCGCCACTTTAAAACTAGTGGGTAGGGGAGATGATAGTGCGTATGTACGAGTGAATGAGAAGAGCATGAAGCAGGGTAAAGAGGGATGGATGCGAGGCATAGAAAGAGGGATGAATTGGAGTATAGGATTAAAGTAGAGAAACAGATAACTCACATCCACATTAGTCCTGAACCAACCTCTGAATGAACCTTTACTTCCAGCTACTACATTCGACCCCGTCGATGGTTGTTGTATACCCAAATTCAGAGGAAGTTTCGCGAGAGAAGGTGTGAGTCGAGGTATGAGAGCAGGAGTAGGTCGCATCATGCTGACTAGTTTTTACTATTTATTAGTCCCTCTCCTTCTTCTCACTTCATAAAAGGTGATATAAAAAACGCAGCCACCCTTCTTACAGCAATGTATCATAGAGAGTGCATGGTCAAGGCAGATTGTCTGAGCAGAGAAATGTGAAAGGGTGAATGACAACCAAACTCCAAGAATGAGAAAAGATGTTGGATGCACTCACTATGTCGAAAGAAAGAAAGAAAGAAATGAGAAATAGAAGAATTTATTCGGAGTTGTTCAGGTTGTTTGTCTCTAACAATTGTCTGAGTTTGAATTGATTCGTCTATGGATCTATGTAATGACGATGAAAGGGTTTTTATAATATTTCAAACAAAAACTTTACAAGAAGTCAAACCTCGTTGTATGTTGTCTTGTTGTTACACGTAGTACATATGTAAAATTCTTTCGACTGCGACTTGGTTGGTCGGACCGAATACCGGATGAATGCTATGAGGGGTACTAAACTACGAGGGTTGTGAGAAGGGGATGATGGTCCTTTGAAACTTGATACGAGGTACTCTACTCTTCGGAAAACTTATAAAGGGGTGAAGAAGAAGGATTGGGTTCTTTTTATTGTGTTTAATCTGTTGAGTGGTGATATACACAAGAAGCAAGAGAGAGAAGGATGACGGCAAGGAAAGAGATAAGAAGTGGTAGTGTGTGTGTGTGTGTCTCGGTTGGACTTTATCTGGTAGTACGACGTAAGTGGGGCTGACATCTTTTGACCGTCATTCTGCCGTTGTCTCTCCCAACTCGTCATTAACCACTGATTCACTCAGCGTACAGTACTACAGTAGTGTCCTCCTCGGGGCATGGACAGACAATCAATGCTATGTGTACGAGGGACAAATCCGAAACACCACTCACTAACTTTCCCATAAAGGTATAAGGGTGTGAGGAGAGAAAGTAATACCAAGAAAAGTAAGAGGATTTGGGTCTGGAACTTTGTCGGTCCGGTTTACACCGGTTTCTTCTCTTCCTACGAAATACACCCTGTTTTGCTTCCTATTCGCTATCACTTTTTCAAATATACTTCCACCACTCGTACTCTACTCTTCCTTCTCTCGCTTGTCTTTCGGCCCCGAAACATACATGTACATAGTACGTAGCGCGTAGCGCCCGGCTTGTACCCGCACTCGGCATTTATCATGATGGACTTCTTGTAAAAGGATTTCGGCAGGTGCATGATGGGTGTCGAAAGAACGTGTTCTTCTGCCGAGTATGGTATCCGGATATTATTCTCGTACTACGACTCATGATACACGTTACCTGTCACGAATGAAACGGCAATTTCGGCAGTAAATGGCGGTTATAAGGAAGAAAGATCCCAGGACAGTTCGAGTAGTATGACGACGTACGACGAAGAGGGAAAAACACGATCCTTTCAACAAAACCCCTTTCATCTTCAAACATCATAGGGATGCTCGTCGTTACCTACCATCTCCTGTTCATTTTCTTTTTGTTCATGACTTAGCCCTATCCGTAGCCGTCAGTCTCATACACTTTCTGACAGCTTATCAATGATCGAAAATCGATACAACTGACCAGTCAACAGTTTGGCCATCGGTGTCAAGTGGACAGGTTTGATTTCTATACCAACAGTTCTGACTCCCTAACGGACTCACTTAGGAGAAAAGAGACTCACCTCGACTGAAAAAGACCTCTAACTCGGCTGACCTTTGGAAGAAGCAATCTCAAGCCCTCTAATCATGCCTTCTTTTCTCAAATCAATATTCAAACCCACCCGATCTAAAACTACCCCTCGTTCCCCATCACCAGGTCTCATGTCGCCATTCGAAGAAACTCCTCGACAACAAATGACCAATGACGAGTTGAACGCCCTGGCGGAGATTCTCAAAGATGAATTGTCGTTTACCGAACGAGGAGGTAAGACTGATAAAAGAAGGGAGATGAGGATGGAAAGATTGAAAGAGATGTTGAATGACTTACAAGGAGGGTCAAGAAAGGTGACGCCTTTCATTATGGATTCACCGGGTGGAAGTTCAGCAGGTGGAGGTTTGGGAGAAGGTGTTTTAAGGGCTGTTAAGGATACTTTAGGTGGGTGTTGGGTATATTCATATTTCATCTCTTTCATTCTTGCCTCTCTTTCCATTCTTGCCTCTCTTTCATTCTTGCCTTTCTGAGATGTTTTGATGTTTGGAACCCCAAAATCTTTAAGGTGGAAGTAATGGGAGAGAGAGGATTGTATCCAAAATCGAGATTGGTTCATATTGATATCGGTTGAGGATGGTTGGAAACATTTTCGAGTGCGATGTGGGAGATTGCGGGATGTATGGGATGAAGAATCATGTCATCTGGAATAATATCGATTAGTTATGGTTGTTGGCAATGAGAAGATGAGGAGAGAGGGATAAAAGCTGACTGTTGGAGATACCGCTCAACACGTTTTGAAAAGCCCAATGATCAAATCTTGTCGATTGGAATTAAAAAGAATCGTATCTTTACTCCAAGCGCAAGAAGGGGAGATCAAAGATATCAAACATTTGATCCGAGGGAGGAAGAATGATTCGTTGTGTGAGTTACTTCACCTCAATGTCTGTCCATCTACATCCATAGTCACATTATTTCTTTATATCTTAAAATTGTCTTTACCCTTGTTCTTCTCTTCCTTTTCTCCTTGTGGCCAATTCGCCAACAGAAGCTCTTCGATCGCTTCAGCTAGATCTATCACTGAACCACTGACATGATGTATCGGACAAGAGGGAGGATACATCGATTCGAATTGTAACTGACATATAGTCACTCTAATAGAGATTTACTCAAAGGTCGAAAAAGGTATTCGTGATGCTGCTCGAATGAAAGATACCTCTGCTAGAGAAAGTTTAAATACACTCATTTTAGTTTTACAAGAAGGTGAATCTTCTCCTCCATCTCCTCTTGTCTTTTTCCTATGATGTTTTTAAAATAGTTCTTCTTCCTCCGACTCCTTGAATTGATAAAACTCAATCTGAGACCCATATATCCTCTCGACCCTCCTTATCGTTCATTCTTGGAGTACCAACATCGTCCCTTGACAATGCTTTGCAGTTTAGTTCAACCAATTCCGGCGAAAGCTATGAAGGAGATACACAGTACGATCACCAGCTGCGTATCTAGGGGAATGGTGGATTATTGAGAATCTCGACATTGATCAATCACTCATTCTCAGGTCCAGATTATTTGATCGATATCATCCTTATCGAATCTATAATCTTTCAAGCTGAAATTATCGATCCTTCTTTCGGAGCGCAAATGAGACAAGTTCTTGATAAAGCCATAGCTAAGCAAAGTGATTTAACCACGTGAGTGATCTCTCATCTTACTTCTCCCGCCCCCACCCACCCATTTTCTTTCCAAACACTATGAACTTTTTCGTCTCTTGTGTACCACTGATCTTCAACAATCGATCAGCCCACTCTTTCCAATGTGACTCTTTGTATTGTCCCGAAATGATCTCCCGACTTCTTACGAAGATAAAGTATAAACGAGTGAAATTCAAATACACATCATGTAGATTGGAAGCGGACTTTATAAAGTATGAACGAGTGTAATTCAAATACACATCATATAGATCGGAAGTGAACTTTGAAGAATAGAGGGACTAGCTAATGATAAGTTTCCGAAAAGCAACAGAAAGTATAATAGCGATCCTACTTTCTCTTCCCAAAGCTCAAATAGATGATTCACTTTCTCATTCAGCTTTGAAATATATAGAAGGTTTGGTTAAACAACTTCAATTAAGAGTTTCTTCATCACGTCCTTCTTCCGTTTTCCCTTCTCCTTCTATCTCTCCCGTATCTCCACTGTCACCAGTATCACCAGTATCACCTCTTTCACCTATTTCCGAAACTCATGAAAAATTAAATGGAATGTCTTTACAAGAAAAATTCGGGACAGGTCCTATCTCTTCTCCTTCCGGACCAACACCACAAGTTCAAACTGCGAATAAAGTTGAAGGAAAAGGAAAAGGAAAAGAAGAAGAAGATTCAGATTCAGATTCAAGTTCAGAAGAAGAACAAGAAATATGGGAATTTGAAGGTAATAGATATACACGTTCAGCCCTTGATCTAGTTTTACGATATCGTTCTTTAGCATTAGCAGATAGTTCAGGTCAATATAATGGGGAAGTCAGTTGGGATGATTTGAGAGAAGCTTGGATACCTAATTGGGCTGAAAAACTTAAAGTTGGTGATGTTGCAGAAGGAGTGATACCTGATTTAAACCCTGCTAATTATCAAATCAAAGATCATGATGCTTGGGGGAATAAAATTCTTTGGGGTGATACTGGAGTGTGAGTTGATTTGTTTCAATTTGGTTTGGGATTGGGGATATCTTTGAAGAATAGAGGGAACAATGCTAATGTGATTAGATGGTATGAGGAAGAACCTAATTTCGATGATCCTCCTTGACCTAAACCCTTTTTCCATCCACCGTGTGTGTTTATCGTCATGCTAAATGTACTGGCTGTACTCGTTGTAGCACCGTCGCACGATGTTGTATGCTCACAATGTATGTCCTTCTAGTTCTGGCCGATATTGAGACTTTTCCAAATCTCTTAATCTTTCCGCCTTCTGATGAGGGCCTGTGTGTAATTGATATCTAGATAAGTGAGATCAGCCTGCACAAACTCTCAGTCAGTACCTTCAGTTACCCACTTACAACCTAATTGCGAGACCATGCACAAATGTTATCATTATACCCCACTCATTCCATAACTTGTACACTCCCTGTCCCCCGTCCACCTCCACCACCACCAAACGAAAAAGTAGCCAAAAACCCATTGAACTCTTTAATCACATTCGATTTATTTCCTCTTCATCTTCAGTTCTCCATCGATGTCATGTTAATGCTTGATACCTTCATCCCTATCCGGACTCTGTACAACCCCACCTTCACTCTTGTGTTGAAATATATTCGTATTGCATTGTTCATCGGGATCCTTGTTTTGGAAAGAGCTACGAGAAGGACGTCGACTTGTAGGGTTCGACGAGAGATGAGGTTCGGTAGGTAGGGTCGAATATGAATATCTTTCTCCACGTCTTCTTTGACCGACAGGGGGAAGAGGGGAAGGTGATCGTGAAGGACAGGTTTCAGGATCGAGAAGTGGTTCAGTTTCTTGAGGATGCATCTGTGTATTAGATCAATCGTACACTTGATACATGACGTCTTTCAGGAAAGTACCAAAGTTTCCTTCTCACGCCTGTCAAAAGGTCGACAACGCGAAAGTTGAGGAAGAGACTGCATAGTGGGTTTCGAGCAAAAGGTAGGTTGGTATGTTTGTCATTACTTAAAGTGACACTGGACGAAATTTGGAATTGACTCAAGATGAAGGTATCAGGGTTGGTGCCAAGATCCAAGGGGGAGAAATTCGAACCCACCGCTACCCATAGAGCCGAGATGATAATGATCCCAGTGCCTAAAAGACTCGAGAACGAAGGTACAGTACCGAAAAGGACCAACTCGAGGATAGTTGTGAAAACGACACAAGTGTAGATAGACAATCCTGCTCGACCTGCTTTTTCACGTTGTAAACCCATGGTCATGAGGATTTGTGCGACGAAACCGAATAACTACTCGTGAGTCCAGGTCCCATTTATCCACAGTGTCACACAAATTTTGGACTGTTGGGAACATGAATTGATCGGGAAGGACTCACTCCGATGAAAAGAATTAAGATATACGCTCCCAAAGTATCTGGCAGGGTATCATTACCGGGGATTATCACCATTCCACTTGCTCCATCAGTTGATGTACAGTATTGTTTCAAGAAAAGGAAGAAAAAGTTGGACTTACACTGCAGTGACAACTGTGCACAAGTAGGAAAAATAAGCCATTGTATGCATTGCATGTGCACGATCACCAATATGACGAATGACGATAACTCTTGATCAACTTCTGACTTCTTTTTTGATGATTTTGATGAGTAGGAATCGACTTACACGCTATACTTGATCCTACCACACTTATCAAAGCCCAAATAACTCCCAGCATTCTCTCCGGAGAATTATCAGGAATGGTAGGTTTCCGACCAGGTAAAATAGGTCCTTCATCTCCTCCATCACTGGGCGAGGGTATATCGATCTGTTGTCCATGACCAAATAGAAAAGGTGGTCTCGAAACCAATATCACTCCCGTTAAACAAAAAAATCCAGCTAGTACATCCCGTCCACTTAAATGTTCTCGGAGAAGGAAGAGTGCAAGTAAAGCTGTAAAGCTAGGAGTGAGAAACCCTATGGTAACACTATCACTAACGCTGAGATAACGAAAACTTTGATAATTCGATGCTAGACCTATGAATCCGAAGAAACCCCTTGCAGCTAATAACGGTCGGACTTCAGGAGGACCGAGGAAGTAATGAGGGTCGTTCATTGAGTATAGGGTGAGAAGACAAGCCACTCCGGTGAATACTTGACGTACAAAGATGAGCATCAAGGTGGATATGGGTGAGGTGGCAATGAAGTATTTAACAGTAACATTCATCATAGCGAAAAAGAATTGAGCTCCAGCGACGAAACATAGACCTGTGTTTTGTCGATAGAGTTGGAGTAGGAACGAAGTTTGAAGAATGGGTGGAGTGGGATCAGGGTCGTTGTGTCGATCTGAAGGTAAGAGCGGGGCGTAAGGTTGAGATGACATGGTGGGGATGTGATCATGTAGAAAGGTTGATTCGATTTGATGTTGTATTTGAATGGGCGAAAGGGGGACGGAAGGAGTTGATGGGTTGAGGAGGGAGAAGTAGTGATGGAATGTGGACATTTTGTGATGAGATCGAGAATGTAAGGACAAGTCATGGGATGTCGTAAGATAGGCACAGGAATCGGAAGATCGGATAGAACGGACCGGAACTATACACATGGAAAGAGTTGACGGATCTACTGTCGTTCCAACCTTGGAGCGTTGACAGCGACAAAGTGATACACGACGATGAGGGCCATGGCTGCGATCCCTAGACCGTTGGAGATGTCGGTCAACGTCTTGTCGTCTATCATCTTGGGGTGTATCGGGGATTGCTCTTCATGTACCATGTACCAGCTACACACTATGATTTAGTACGATGTTCGCTTGTATCCACTTTGGTCGTGGTTGAGATCGTCGTTATAATCGTCGTTGTCGTCGTCGTCAAGTTGCAAGTTGGATGTGAGTGACGGTGGAATGATGTGATCGAAAAGTAAGCGGCAATCGCCGAACATTCAACCTCCTGAAAGTCGACCTCGACGAACATGACTTCACTCATCTCACCGTTAACTATGCTATAGACAACCCTATCAAGACTCAATTTATACCCACAATGGACGACCCGGGACCTTCCGCAGCCTATCTACGTTCCTTCCCTTCCACCTCCGATGGTCCCATCTTACCTCCTTCACCACCACACTCTCCCCTTCTCTCACCCACCCAAACCTCAGCTCAATTCCTCGACACCCTCGCACAAGATTCTCTCTATGCAATCCTTAACATCCCACGAGAAGCATCAGATTCCGAAATCCGTGATGCTTATCGATCGATTGCTACTACTTATCATCCTGACCGACAACGGGATACCGCAACTCGACTAGCAGCTCATAATCGTTTCACCCAAATACAAAGAGCATACGAGGTGTTATCAGATCCGGCAAGACGGACCATATACGATTTGTTCGGCGAAGAAGGTTTGAGAACATCTTGGGAAGTAGGACCTAGGAATCAAACTCCCAAAGAGATGAGAGCGAATTATCAACGACAAGCTGAAGATAAGAAACGTTTAGAAGCAGAGGGTTTGGTAAAACCTAAAGGTACCATGTCTGTCGTTATCGATTCAAGAGCGGTCTTCCTTCCCAAAAGTTATTTCAGTCAACCGGAGAAGATTGATCATAGTTTGTTGGCAAGGATCAAAAGGATACGAGTGGGACAGATAATGATGAAACATTCGTTTGAGACGCCTTTGAATGAGAAAACCCAGGTTGTATGGCAAGGTCAGATGTTGAGTAGACGAGGAGCAGGAGGTGGGAATGTGGTAGGAACTTTGAGACATCAATTTTCACCTAGGTTATGGGGAGAGGTGGGAATGACAATGTTAGATCCTAGGATGGTGACTAGTAAAGCGACATTTACATATGATGAGAATACGTGAGTGAGTTTCTGTACATGAAAGATGTAGTGGGAACTGATGGAAAGGTTTGTCACTCTCAACACGATTCAACAGACTTATAAGGCTCCACCATCATTCGGGGTCGTCTTTGGTAGACGATTATACGCCCAAACGACTGGGTTAATCAGTATGTGCTGTTCCACTATCGTGACATCTTCGACTTTCCTACTAAATTCAAAATCCTGAAGGCACAGGTCCAAATGGGCTGATGGGCTTCATTGCTGACTACATTCCAACATTAGCTTACACGAATCAACGCTGATACCTAGCATTTCGCTCTGGTTTTTGGACACTCGGTCCATGGGGAACCAACCTTCCTGCTCAACTGATCAGATCAGACCGCTCATCCCTTTCCGTAGCATTGACTACTTCCCACCGAGATGGCACAGGTTGGACGGTAGAATCTCAAGCGGGTCTGGTCGACTCCCATCTGTCCGCTGATTGGAGTACGAGGGTGATGGGTGGATTGAAATTGAAAATCGGGGCGATGTTGGGTACAACGGGTATATCTGGGTTTGTTGATGGTGAAGGGAGAGTGACGGAGACTACTAAATTTGGGGTTTTATTACAAGCTGAATTAGGTGGTGGTGTGACTATGTCATTAAAGTGAGTCAAAATTATAAACTCCATTTCTCTTCTTTCCTGCCTTTCAAGAACATTATGCGAGAGATGAATATGCTGATTTGACAGATTTAATCGTCTTGGACAAAAAATCACAATACCTATTTTATTGTCACAAAATTTGAATCCGTACATCGTCTTTGGATCTACTGTCATCCCTACGGTTTCTTACGTTGCGTTGTATCGTCTTTACTTGTTGCCACGAAAACGACGTCGAACAGCTAAGTGAGTGTCGGGGGAGTTATTCCTTTCAACCAGAACTCCTCCTTGAGGGGTAAATGTGGGATCCATTTGAGATTTTACACAATCACTTATACTTCACATATCCCCAGAGACGTATAAGAATTGACACTTGCCTGGCTCCACTGTCCCTTTAGTTGTAGAAGCTGGAAGAAGTAAGACATTGCTCACTATCAGTCGAATAAAACAACTCCGAGAAGAGAATGCGGAATATATCGAACAAAAACGTATCGAAGCTCTTGAAGCTCTTACTTTGATGGAAAGACCTACATCTCTTAAAGTTATTGCGGAAAGAGAAAAGCACGGTGAATCCATCCACTGCTCCCCTTTCTTTCATCCATCTTCGTTCATGTTTCTCCAAGAACATATCAATTTCAACTACAATTCATTCAAGCTATCTTGACCCACCCTTAGTCATTGCTTCAGATCGTAACCGTATATGATATTTGAGAGACATACTAAGTGATATTGCCGGTCAAAAAGTGGGAAGTGACGATAAAGTATGAAGACTGATGTTTAGGTCTCATTATCCTTTCCGCGCAATACGGACCTACATACGCTTTTACAGATAAAGGAATCAGAGAAGAATCATTATCACAAGGTTTGATTATAGACGTTACTATACCAATACAAGCTTTAGTAAATGATAGTAAATTGTTTATACCCGGAGGGAGGGCCAAAGTGAGTAACAACGTACAAACTCTTGCATTCCTCCCATCCTACATTAAAGTGAAAATGATAATAACCTCTTTTCTCAATCTTTCATACCCTTCATCCGGAGGGGAAAGATATTTCTCAGCGCTCTGATATCTCAATTCATCACACATCCTAGTTTATTCGAAATATCAACTTGAAGAAGAGTAAGATTGGGAATATCACAGATTATATAAAGTGTCGATTTGAAAAAAGTGATTTCCAAGGGTTTCTTAAAATGTGGAGGATGAGAAAATGTGATTTGATGCTAATATCAGTACAACATTCTCGGTTTTTATGTCAGTATCTTTGTTTCTCAACTATACTTTCCTTTCCTTCTTCCATCTGTACCATACCACATGTACCAATCTATCAAACATCCACGAGATCTCCAAGTCTAAATTCCCGTACTCATTCGCGATAAAGTGACAGAGCGAAAGTCGAGGCTGAGTACTGATACTCAGGATCCATGTATAGGAGAAAATAAAAAACTTCGAATCCGTTATTCATTCCGGGATACTTTACATGAAGTCACAGTTGATGATTTACAACCACTTCGAGCTCCAATAAGAGGTATGTCTTTTTTGTTTATCATATTCTTCACTATTTTCTCTTGGAGCCATATTCTCTTTTCCCCACTCTTGTCTGTTTTAATTCTGCAGTCTTATTATCGTGGCTTTTTCCTATTTAAGATTGAGAGTACCCAGTGGGATCCAAGATACATGAACGAACCATAACATAAGCTAAATCCACAGCTCATGTCATATCATAATACCATAACTCATCCATCGCATCAACATAATCAACATGAAAAATGCATATGAATTTGTCTTGATTATTCCACTGCTACAAGGTTTCCCATGACTCCGACATTGAAGTAACAGTTGGTACATGACAAGCAATAAGTCCGTCTCACCATCTCACCATCACCCCATCCAAGTTCATTGAGACATGTAATCCTTCCGCATCGCGAGATCATCTGACATTCCCACTAGAAAAATCACCCTTTGAACATCAAGATAATCGAACACGGCCAAACCCATCCAAGACTGAGCAATGCCATGACTCGATGCTGCTCATTCAAGCTTCCAAAACGGTAATTATGTACCAACGTAACCTTCCTCCACTCAAGCACCCAAAGCAAGACAAGCGAAAGGATCATCATCCACTTCGTTCTCCTCTTTCCGTGAATCGACAATCCTTTTGACAGGCGTCGATCTTGGAGTGGGTAACCATCGTTCACCATTCTCATTCCTACTCGACGTCAAATCGTACGTTTTGGTCGGGGTGTCAAATGGTTGATCATGAGGCTTCCGTCGTTTTGGCGTTGGTGTAGGAAGATCACTTGATGTTCTTGTCGACTTCTTTCCTTGGGAAGAACCAGTCTTCGGGGGTGTAGGTAGGTAAGTCTCCTTTTCTTCGTACTGTCCATTTTGGCCGGATTTGGGTTTAGTAGGGGTTATTGGGTTTACGACGTCGAGTGAAGGTGTTACAACTCCTTCGGATGACATCGATGTAGAGAGGGAAGAATCAAGATAAGTCGTAATGAACTCTTGTATGTCGCCTTGAATCCAAATATCGAATACACCTTCCCAATCCCCTTTAGCAGGTTCGGCATTAACAAAAACCGTCTTGATATCTTTCCCTTTACCTTTTCCTCTTTTGTTCCCTTGCTCACCAGCTTGGGAAGTCGAATTTGTGGCAGGTTTCGAAACTCGCAAACTCCTAGCCATTTCCTTGACTATCCTCTTCACTCCAGGAATAGTCAAACTTGTCCCTGTCACCAACAAAAAGTCTACTTTCCCCTCTCTTTGACCATTTTTCACAGATCCGGTACCTCGTAAATCCCTCTCTACGACGGCACCTATTGCTTCGCCTTCGGGATGTTCCTCGCCATACAATACCACACTAGGACGTAAATGACCTATTCTCCTTTGTCTCTCCGCCAAGGCTGTTCGGATGGTCGAAGCTATACTACATGTTGGACATGACATCGCTTCAGAAGGAAGAGGAAGGAAAGAAATCAATGGGAAGGAAGAAGAACACAAGGGACAATTTAAATGGTCTAATTGACCATGTAAGGGTATACAACGAGGAGCAGCTTGAGTCGGAGTTTCGATCGGAGTTCGAAGGAGAGGAATTGGAGTGAATAAGGCTGGATCGATATTCGGATCAGGAGGACTAGAGGGCCGTTTTCGTTTTCGAGAGGAGGGTTGAGGAAGATGAGGTGGTAGTCCGACTGAAAGTCCAGCTCTCAGTTCCAGACCATCAATGTTCTGGGTATAACAACGAAGAAGACGACCTTGATTGTCGAGGTTTTTGAGGTAAATATGGAAAGGTGTCGGAGAAGCGGAGAGGGAGAGGGAGGAAAGTTCATTTAGTAATTGACGATGTGCATGAAGGAGAGAAGGTGACTGAAAAGATCAGTCTCATTCCTTGTCATCCAATTTTGAATCTGAAAACAGAGGTACATAGTTGTGGAGGAAGGGTTAGTACTGACCGATAGCGCTTTGACATGGAACAAGTCCCTGACATCATGCCCTCTGCGAGGTTTGGAAAAGATGCCGGAACCGGAACGAAAGTCAGGGATACTAGCTGCGGTAGATACCCCTGCGCCTGCATGTCAGCGAGGGCGCATGTAGATAGAAGATAAAGGCTGAGTTATAGACGATGTCACATACCAGAAACGACGACTATACGCTTTGCACGACCGAGTTGATTGACCACCTGGGACAAGGCTTGAGACGCGACTGGGTTTTCGAGGTGAAGGGGGGAACTAGGACCAGCCTGAGAGGAAGTGGGGAGTACGACATGAATGGTCATCCTAGAGAGATAAAAATGATGACCTTTACGGAGGGAGTCGTTTCAAGAAGTCAAGATGACATGGAGAAGGAAGGATAGGTGCTACTCGTACGCGAGGTAAAGGAGCTTGAACGAGGACAAAGGTTGAAGAAGAAAGTGCATATCCAGCCACGTTGAATAGGCATGCGAGTCTTAAGTAGTTATATAGGCTCGTCAGTGTTTTGTCAGGGGGTCTTCCACGTGCCACGTGGTTCTGTTATCGCGGTCCGAGATAACAATTTAGCAGTTGACAAGTGCTGCAATCTGATTGGACGAAAAAGAGGATATAGGAAATCTGTTCCTTGTTCCGACCTTTGACCTTGCATACCAGTACGTAGTAATCTTAGAAACTCACTCCTCCCCCCCTCCCTGCCATGCCATGCCGCTAGCTCCGCTCCATTCGTCAGCCTACAATCTCTCTGCTCTCCTTCCTCGGTGTCTCCATCCGAATCGACCTGTTGTAGAGATACGGCAGTTGGCAATTGCCGCCAGGGTATCTGAAAGATCTCTTGGTACAACCTCTCCTCCTCCACCCCCGCTTCCCTTGCCCCAGACATCTTGTCCCTTTATACCCACGAGTGCCTCGGTCATGCCCTCTCCAACTTTTCCAGGCACATGTGGGATCGACCAGGGGATACCGATGGGACTGGTTGATAATTCGAGATTTCCAAAGAATCATGTTCTTGGCGTCAGGGTCTATCTCAACTTTGACAATCAAAACGGGCGGGGAAGAGCAGTCTGTCAGCAGCTTCAGCAGTTGAGAAAACCCCGACCGGAAACACTTTCCGGGGAAGAGTCGGAAACTTTCATGCTAAACAGGTCCATTTTAGATAACGACGCGGCGACACCATCCGGTTTAAAGAGGTGGATCTTACAGCTTACTTTGACTACATATACGCTGACTCCCACCTCACAATCTGATCGTCTGACATTGTCCCTCATCTCTTTACCTTCTTAACTACTCACCTGCCGCTACTCAACATGGACAAAGTTCGCAGGATCCCAGTCGTTGGCGCTCTCTTCCGTCCTCCCAAGGAGGCCGAAGAGGCAGGTTTCGAAGATTTCCGTCCTGTATCTGGTTGGAGTGAGTACGGTTTCGCATTTCTCTCCTCTCTCCTGCTCCGTTATACCCCTGAAGCGTGGCACGATGGATGATGAGACACGGGGGGAAAGAAATTTTACTGATTTCCTAGGACCCCTCGTTTACATGGAACCCGATCCCAACCGTTCCATGTGGGTCAACGAAGATTTGGTACCCACCCCTAAAGCTATGCGTATCTGGGATTGGTTCTCCTTTGCCTCTCTGTGGTGGGGTCAGAACTTCTCCGCCGGTGGTTGGTCTACCGGTGCTTCTCTTATCAATGTCGGTGAGTTATCGATCTGCTTTTTTCCTTTCATATGATCGTCGATGGTTGAGGAGGTTTCGAGAATTCGCCACTGACATTCAGGTTTAACTCTCAACCAAACCATGGCTATCTGTGTCGCCGGTTCCTTCCTCACATCTCTCTGTGGTGTAGCCATGGCTCGTCCTGGTGCTCGTTACCACATCGGTTTCCCCACTCTCGCCCGTACCTCTTTCGGTATCAGAGGATCTAAAATCATGGTAGGTATCCGTGGTATTGTGGCTGTCATTTGGTACGCTGTACAATCGTTCTACGGTGCCAGTCTCCTCAACGTCGGTTTCCGTGCCGTTTTCGGACACGGTTGGGTCCATCTCCACAATGGTCTCCCAGCTTCTGCCCACACCACGACCCAATTCATGGTCGTCTACTTTATCTTCTGGCTTGTCCAATTGCCATTCGGTGAGTTATCCCTTCCTTTACCTACAATAGTTTCAATCGTTGACATTAAATAGTTTTCGTTCACCCTTCGACTGCCCGTCACATCTTTACTATCAAATCTTTCATCCTCCCTGTTTCCGCTTTCGCTTTCCTCGGTGGTGTCGTTCACTTGGCCGGAGGTACACTCGACTTCAAGTTGATCCAAAAGTCCCAAGCCCACGGTACTAAACTTTCTTGGGCTTTGCTCCAAGGTCTCAACGCCATCTTCGGTACCATCTCTCCCATGTTGATCAACCAACCTGACATCGGACGTTACGCCAACAGACCTTCCAGTGCTCTTCACCCTCAATTCTGGTCCATGTGGATTAACAAAATCATCGTGTTCTTCATTGGAGTCGTTACCGCCGCCGCTAGTGCCAAAATGTTCGGTACCACCGTTTGGAACGTTTGGGACTTGTGCACCAAAATCCTTGACCACCACTGGAACGCTCACTGGCGTGCGGGTATCGCGCTTTTCGCTTTGGCTCAATGTGCCGGTACGATTGCCACCAACGTCTTCGCCGTGAGTCATCTTTCTCCTAATGATCAATATCACCATATGCTAACGACTAGAACTCTATTCCCTTCGGTGTCGACATGGCTGGATGTTTCCCCAAGTACATCAACATCGTCCGAGGTCAATTTATCTGCTGTGTACTCAGTTGGGCCGTTTGCCCTTGGCTCATCTTGACCTCTGGTGCTAAATTCGTCACTTTCTTGGGTTCTTACACTTTCTTCATGGCTTCCGTCGTCGGTATTATGATCGCCGATTACTACGTTGTTCGACGCGGTAATATTCATGTGAGTTGATCATTGTTTTCTCTCACATCGAGATGTGAAGCTGATATGATAGGTTCCTTCTCTTTACGACTTTACGCCCGGATCCGTTTACATGCCTAAGCCCAACGGTTTCCAACTCAAGGGTCTTCTCACTTGGCTCGTTACTATCATCATTGGTATCCCTGGTCTTGCCGCTTCTTACGGAACCACTCTAGGTGGTACCACTGGAAGTGAGTTTGCTTCTCTTTCCTTATCTTATCCCTTCATCTAATCATCACCCTATTCCCATCATTTACTTTCGCTTTGATAACAAGAGGCATATGATATATCTCAGAGATAATTAAGATCCACGTTGACGAATAGCCGCTGCTCACATCTACAACACCGGTTTCCTTCTCTGTTTCTGCGCCGCTTTCATCGTCTACTCCGTAGTCATGCTCATCCTCCCCGAAAAGATCTTCCCTGATGAACGTAAAGACGAATCTTCTTTCACTTGGGAATGGCTCGGTAGAACCGGTGATGGTTATTACCCTGGTGAACCTGAAATCACTTTCGGTCGTGGTGTACTTCATCAAGCCACCGGTGACAACTTCCTTCACCGACACTCTCATGCCGCCGATAGCGAGAGTGATATTACTGAGAAAGATAAAGAAGGTGTTATTCATCCTCACAGTCACACTGTCGTCGGTGTACCCATCGCCCCTGCTCAAGGACCTTAGAGTATAATGGTCATTTTTCGTCTTGATTTAGAGGAAAAGTTAGAGTAGATGGTTTTTTGGATATATATATATTTCTTGTATGGGCTTGGAAGGCGGTTTAGCCTTGATAAATTACAATACTTTTTCCGGGTTGTGGAATTACCACGATTTATAGATGCCATGTTTTTTCATGCAAGTGATGATTAGTGGTGTTATCAATTTGGACTACACGACTGATACTGCTCGACTGACATTAATTCTATCTACTAATTCGTCATCGACAACCTGTTGATAACAATTCGCAGACTGGGAGGAATTGCGGCTGAAGGTAACCTGAGGTTGTAACTAGCGTAACTGACATCGATTGACGAACTGAAGTACTCGTAGTCTTTATTCATCACTGAAGGTCATCACTACCAATATATTCAACTCCCACATAAATGATACGGAATCTACACCATCCTTGACTATTTGGAATACCTTCCGAACCCTACCCTACCCAAAGACCAACACCTCCTTTCCTATTATCATCCTTGAACAAACCCGAACATCCTTTCATATCCCAAGTTTCAGTGTGTTATGCAACACGTATCACTCTCACATTCTCTTCTTCCCTTATCCCTTGTCTTTCTTTCTCATATTGGTAGGATGGGTGGAGTCAATGATGGTTGATGTTATTGATGTTTCTCTTTCATTCGTCTATTCGTGAAATGTCAGGTCGGTGTTTGGTTTGATACTTTGTCATATCATATTATCTATCAAGGGAGTTTGAAGCCTGGTGCTGATACTATCAAAATTCTTCCTTAAGATCAAAAACCCACATCGTTTAAATTGTCAGCAAGAGAAGGTCACTCGCCGGATAAATCTCAACCATTCGTTGAAAATCATCATCGATTGGCGATTGAAATACCATTTGTTATATGGACCATTGACCGAGATTTGATAAAACGATAAGACCAAGCGTATTGTGTAGAAGTATATAACATCAAACATCGAAGTTGGATTTGTTAGAGATATTTTAAGTTGATACGAGAGAAAGTACGAACATGACCGAAAAACCTCCAACTACGAAAGGCAAGAATCGAGAGAAAACCACTACCGAGACAATCGATTCTGGTACAGATCCAGGAGATAAAGAAAAGAAAACTCGGAATAGAACGGATTCATATCCCATTTCATTGAATTTATGGATATTAGAATTTGTGATTTTGATTTTATTAGGTTTAGTATGTTTTGGTTCAGCTACGACTTGGGCTATAGTTAGGGATAGTAAAGATGGGATTTATGTTGGTACATTACGTGAGTCAAATTCCTTCTTTCTCTCCCTTCACCCCCCGTTTTTCCTTCTACCTCCTCCTCCACCACTCCAAGATATCTCATCGGCGTTATAAGCGTACTCTCGTGAAGCATTGAATCTCTTTATTCTCCCTGAAGTCACTCATCATCATCATCATCCTTATTCTCACGTCCTATTTGATCAATTCGTTAGTCGTGGGGAAGATGTTCCAAGATATTCTGTGAAAAACGGAATATCATTTTCCTAGCTGTCTTATCACATGCCTGGGGCTAAATTTCAGAATCATGTACACAATCAAGTTGTACTTACCTAACCGCATCAACCTCATCATCATCATCATCAAGTCCAACCTTACCAGGTGTTGATATCCCATCTCTTTTCCTAACTCTCGGTCTCGGATGTTTAGCAGCATTTTACATGACCATGATCCTCTTTATCTTTTCTTTCGCTCGTTTTTTCCGACCACCACCTTCATCGACTGAATCTAATAAATGGGGACATAAATTCGCTAGATACGCATACGCAGTGACGAGGTTGTATCTTGGTGTAGAAGCGATTTTGGTATTTGCTTTAGCTTGTAAAGCTTCTTATGTAGCTAATCAAGCTAAAGGAGCTGGGAGTGTTGGTTGGGCTGTTGTTGGATCTGGTTTAGCTGGTAAGTTATTCAGCTTTCTTCAATTTCACAACCTTTTCCATCTTGCTTTCGATATCTGACTGCTTCTTCGGATTTTTCGTACGGCTAATTCATCTTCTCTTTGCTTGACATTTATCTCTATCCTTTCCATCAGATTTCGAGTTATACGAGCTTTATCAACATGAAATAAACCCTATTGTGATCATGTCACTATCAGTATGATGGTCGAGAGGAACATACGTGAACATGGGTGGGAGAGACTTGCTTTAGCTGATGTCCAGCCTTATGGGTATCTTCCATCCTTCTATTCTTCTGTTGGGTCTTAGATTACACTGCCCCAAATTCCAAAACTCATAAATTCTTCATCAACCACGATCTCTTACCATACTTCAAATCATGCTTTGGAGGATGTTGCGGTACGGGTTGTTGCGGGATGAGTTGTTGTGGTTCTTCTGACAATCCTGTCAATGCGGCAGAACGAGGTCAAGGAGGTGGATCCGGAGGTAAAGATTCGAATAAAGGGGGAGGTACGAGAGCGGATGCGAGTGAAGATACGATGGCTCATGAAAGACGTAGACGAAGAAAGAGATAGAAAAAAAAAGTTGTTTATGCATTAGGGAATTTGGTCTTGTTTCTTTGTTTCTTAATCTCTTTCGTCGATCGTCTAGGTAAGAACCGACCTGTACTGTACTGTACTGTACTGTTGTTCCGAAATTGATCTCTTGACTTAGTCTCATCTGCTTCTGGATTGTCCTATCATTCTGAATTTGTCAAAAAAGAAGACGAGTATAAGGTGAAAGAAGAACACGAATTTAGAGAGGAAAGGGTACTTATTTTGGATTTTGGACGTGTTCGACTCCGGAATTGGACCCTTTTACCCTGAAATTTTGACCCGTTGGTCACTTGTGCATCGCCCACTCCACCATACAGTACAACACTTTTCAACTTTCTCCATATCATCTAACCCTGTGATACACTGGGTTTTCCTCCAATAACATTCGTTGAAATTAGAGGACAGAAAGAGATATCATGTCTGCTAAAGATGTGAGTTTTCTCAATGTAACTACGAGAAGAGGATGATACTGACGGGGTTCAGTATTACGGTAATCAGTCAGTTCATCAATTCGTCCATCCTCCTATTGTATTATCCCTCTCTTACTTGTTCACACAAAGAAGTCATTCAACGTGTAATGAAAATGATTTCTCATCTTTTGAAGGTCTAAGGATGTCAGAGCTTTGACGGTAGTCTAGTGTCGGGCTACTTACTCAGTTACGGACCTACTCACGCCGACATATCCGGATCTCATCCTTTTTTGGTAGAAAACATCCATCTGAAAGGTCTTCGAATGTCAAGGACAGGACATAGGGATCATGTTCTAAGAGAGAGAGAGAGAGATCATGGTTAAAGATGATGGATATATGGAGGCGTCATGGGAATGAAGGATAAAATTATTGACGATAGACCTCAATACGGTCAACAACAATATGGTCAACCTCAATATGGTCAACAGCAATATGGTCAACCTTATGGTCAACAAGGTGGTTATTATCCACCACCACCACCTGTAAGCTTTCACCTTCTCTCTCTTCTCCTCTATCCTCTGCTCGTCACATGTATCCCCTGCGGTGTGTTCTTTCAGAAATTCACCCACGTTCACAAAATCAACCGCTTCGTGTTTATGACACTCTCATCACGGCCTATAATCCCTTAATCTTCAGTCACACCACGAGGTCGATATTGTACATACCACCCACGCGAGAGAACTTCCAAGAATGAAGTCTTAACTGACAAATAGCAATCATATCAACAACCAGGTCGTACGTTCTCCCTCTTTCCGCTTTCTCTCCCCTGTTTTACTCTATATCATTTCCTTTCCCCCTTTACATTTCCCTTCCTATCTCATGACTCTTTTCACACTTCTCCTTATCTTTTTCCCGATATCTTTCTCACTTCACCCTTTTCAGCTTTATTAGGGGCTTCGCTGGTTAGGGGGTTAGCTGGATAGGGGCTAGGAGGTTAGGGAGTCATTCAAACTCGAGATAAAACAGAATCAAACATCACTCGTGACAATGAAAAGCAAAAGGTAAAAAAGGAAGAACGATCGCGGCTATGAAGAAGTTTGATGAATCTCAAAGCTAACATCATCTCTTTGAACTTTCCGACCGAAACAGAATAGTGAGTCTCCTAAAAACTATATGAGAAGAACCCCATTGATAAACAGTCAACCTCAACCTATGCCTCAACCGGTTTATGTACAACAACAACCTCCTCGTAAATCTGGTGGAGGAGGTGAAGGTTGTTTAGCTTGTTGTGCTGGGGGTGAGTTTTTTTTTTCGTTTTGACTCAATCATATCATATCATATTTGTTGTCTTCTATATCATCTTTTTCTAGATCATATCTCCTCATTGTACTCAACTTTAACAAATTTTCAAAAGAATAATATTATCTCCCATCTCTTGACATATTCCAATCATACCCCCTGTTGTCATAATTCATATGATCATTCGTATTTGTTTCTGTCAAAAAACACTTGGATCAAGTTGGAAGATGTGTAAAGAACACTCGGATCAAATGAGAAGATGTGGAAATGATATCAACCCAGAAAACAATGAACTGACAATATAGCACTATGTTGTTGTTGTGCCGAAGAACTTTGCTGTGACGCGCTGTTTTAATCCCACTGCTCGCTCTGTAGTGTTGGACGCTTGATGATTTCTTGGATAGGGACGAGGATTATTGGACATGGGTGCAGGATATGATATTGACTTATTGAAGATTTCGTAGGGATGATTGATGCATCGTACCTTTTTCTTGCTTCGACCCCTCTGTCCGGAAACAATCATGATGATTACAGTATTCGTTCAAAAAGAACTCAACGGCTTCATATTTTGTGTGCAAAGGACATTCTAGGCGAAAAAAAGTCCTCATAAATGAATATCATAGGGTAGCCACGGTGAGGATGACCACGATAAAAGCTGAGATTCGAGCGGCTGAGTAGCATCACAAGCCAATCCCAAAAGTGTAATGATGAATGCATCTGCACATGACAACTTCAACCCCATCCCTGCAAAACAGATCCCTAATGCGTACTCGCCGTGCTCTCATATGACTGTGTCTGTCCGAGTGGTGGTGGTTGGGGTTGTAAAGGGACGAAGGGTTGACCAGGTAGGTTGGGTGGTTGACCGGGGAAAGGTAGTTGATGTTGGATAGCAGCTATTTGTCAGACCTCCATTTTCTTATTATCAGATTCGATCACACAGTGGTATATTACGTGGGTGAAAGTTGAAATCAGGGGCAATGAACATCGAGAGGGTGTGAAGGTAAAGAATAACACCCACTGTGAGGCGTTTGAAGAGGAGACCCGATCACAGGCATCTGAGGCAGGTTATGGGTGGGCGGAGTGGGGAAAAACATTTGACCTCCATGTGGAGGAGGTTGACCGTTCATCATCGGACCGTTTCGTTGAGGGGTATGGGGGTGATACTGCATGTGTTGTGGAGGTATGAATTGTGGATGCTGAGGCATACCATTTTGGAAGTACATTGGCACTGCGAGGTCAACACGAGTTCCAAAAGCACGCTGTGAACTTCGTGCCTGCGTGCTGGGCGGATACAATTCCAGGATGGATGCCACATATGACAACGCAGGGAGGAGTCCTGACGATTAAGAATATGAGGGACAAGACAGGCTCAGAGAGTTCGCAGAATGGACACTCAAGGGCAAAATCTCGCCAGCGGAGTGTCGAAGAGATGTGAGGCGGAAGAAAATAAAAACTCACTGCCGTTGGGTGGAGGAGGCCCGCCCATTGGCTGTTGCATAGGTGGACCCGGGTGACCAGGATGTCCTGGGAGTTGTTGGAAATGAGGTGGAGGGGAGAACATCTGACCATTGTTCATCTGCATTTGCATTCCCGGTGGCATGCCCTGTGATGTCAATCATCAACCCCTTATCTCGATCTCTCCTCTCGCCGACCAACGCATCCGTCACCAAACAGGTGATGACATGCCAACAACGGTGAAACACTCAGTCAGGAACATCAATGTGGACAAAGAAAAGCTGTAAAATCCTCACTCACCTGATTAGGTCCATACCGGTAATACGGAGGAAAGTTCGGAGGCATACCCTGCATCATCGGAGGTCCCTGTTGTCCCATGTGCGGTCCACTCGGTCCACCTTCGTCAAAAGGTCCTGAAACACCCGGACTCATGGGACCACCGGAGAACGGTGCATGAGCTCTACGTCCGGTGTAGGGCCACTGCGGCTCGACCGTGTTGGCCAGAGGTACTTGACCGTGACGCCATGGATTGAAGTCTGCTCGTGGGTCGATGTGCTGTATCCGACGAGGTGGGGTGTCACGGAAGAAAGGGTTCTGTTTGGCTAGAGGACGGTCGGATGCGGTGGGCTGTGGATAAGCACGCCTTCAACATCATCAGACGAATGGAAAATGGACTTACGGATGGTTGAACATTTTTGACCTGAGGTGAAGTGGACGATTGACCAGGTTTGAATGTCGAAGCATGGGGGTTGGGGATGAAGGCGCTCGCTCGCACGTTGAGCTTTGCGACCGCCGCACTGGTTTGAGATACGTCTGTAGGGGCAGGTGAAGTGACTTGAGGGACATCTTTTCTCGCAGACTCTGTAACGGGCACGGAAGGAGGTTTTCGGTTAACGGGGTTGAAAGGCGGAATTTCTGGTATGCGCATTATAATCTTCTTCGGAAGACCAGCTTTGACCTCCTTACTCATATCTTTGGAAGTTCGTCTTGCCTCCGCGACAGCTTTAGCGTTCGCCAAAGACTTTGCGGCTTGAGCTTCGATGGCTTTTTGCTTCTCCTCATCTTTGGCCAGTATAGGGAGAATATCTTTTGGCATCGGGAGGGGAACCTGGAAGGTGGCTTGGAAGCTTTTCAGATCTGCTAGTTGACGTTCGCGTTCAGACTTGTTGATGGATTGTTTTCTCGCTTCTGCGCGCTCCCTCTCGGTACCTACAAATTGGCGGAAACTATCCACCACACCTGGTCGAGTCTCCTGTATGGTCAGCGACCGTATGTGTCCCGAAAGCTCTGCACTGACCTTGGCCGGTAGAGCCTGTGGAACAGTTGGCAGTTGAGTCACCGCAGGGACCGTCGAACCCGGCGTGGCTTCAGGGCCAGTCGAAGCAGGTTTCGTCTCGTTGACAGTGGGAGCAGAAGGGGCAAGAGTGGCGCTAGCAACGACGGGCTTAGGTGCGGCAACGTCGCTGGTCCTTCTCGCGGGCCCAGTTGGCGCATGTCTGGCCGGAGGAGCAAGGGCCGGGGAGGGAGCCACAGGAGGAGGAGACGTCACCGCTGGAGTTGGGGCAGAAGGAGTGACAGGGGCAGGATCCGGCGTTGACGTGCCGTTGACTCCCCCATTGACTGCAGACGCCGTACCATTGGTGGGAGTGGATGACAAAGACGCCCTCGGAGCGATTTGAGGTAGACCGCCAGCACCGGATTTACGAGCCCCAGGAGGAACATAAGCGTTCGCACTCCGAGCTGGCATGATCACGGCTTCTTTGTCTTTGACAGGTCGGATGACCCCAGAATACCTGACGCGATCAGCTCGACACCGGTGACCGTGAAGGGTTATTTACTTTTCTTCATCATCCTTCGCCCAATCCTCGATCTCTTGGTTCCGCTCCTCAGCGAGATGGGGATTGATTGTGGATTGCTGAGTTGTTAGCATACATTGTCATCCTGGGCATGAACGCCGGACGACGAACTTGACTTACGTTCAAGATTTCATTCGCCAAACGCTCCGCCTCTTTCTCACGTTTCCGGAAATCAGGAGCAGCTCGGTTCAGCTTGGTGGTATAAATTTCTTCTTGGTAACTGGTCTTGGTACCGAACAACCTGGCGTTGGTCTCAAATTGATCCCAAGGCACATTGGCTTGTCCGAAAGTCTCGGCATCTCGTCCAGTTGAACCATTGGAATGACCATGACCCTGTGGACCCGAGTGTCTCGGACCGTTTGGCGGTGCAAGTGGATCGTCGGCGTACCAGGGCTGAAGTTCACGTTGTGAGTTTGAACTTGAAAAATTGGCGTTTGATATATCACTATCTGTCATGAAGCCTGATTATCAGTTTTCATTCTCCACTCCCTCTACTCGGAGATAAAGAAATGCTGACCTTTTCCTGGAACGGGTGAAGGGTTTCCAGGAATTCGGCGAAGATCATTCATGCTGCGTATGTCAGCGTGATTGTTGGGTAGTGAATGAAGTCGCTTACTGGTCTGTAATGGTTGGCATCGGGCTCTGTCCAGAGCCAGGGACGACGGGCGAGGCTCCTCTTGGCATACCTCCCAGAGAGGGAGGTCCACCTCTCCAAGACCCACGTCTGAAGGTCAGCGCAATCTGGAAGATATATGGTGAGAGTGGGTAGAAGAAGAGAACTCACCTTTCATGTGGTCCTCCTCGTGGAGCACCAGCATTCCCTCCACCTCTACCGCGCCCCCGCCCAGAGGCAGCTACCATATCTCGTCACGTTGTCGTTATGTGCGATTTAGGAAAAGTCGAAATAGTGTCGTGAGGGAGTGTGCAATGCGTTATGAGCGTGTCAGATTGTTCTGACGGTCAGTCATGAGGTCAAATAGCACTGGGGAGAGCAGAAAGCAGTGAGAACGGAATGACAATGGGGATAGTAGCTCGGGTAAGAGGGCGCAGAATATGTCACAAGGAGTGATGAGCGCGTATTTGAACAAGTAAAAGTATTTCGAATGAGGTGGGGAGGAGGGGCAAGGGGGGAGGGTATATATATCGCGTGTTCGGAAAGAAGTAAGGATCTTCTCTGTCCTCAATGAACTAGTAAAAGCTTACAAGTGATATGGGCATGAGGAAGAGTATAAGACACGAGGGAATGGTTTATGTGACTGAATCAATAAAAGAGATAACTCACGAATTCAGGATTGGACTAAAGGGTGTTAAAGGGAGGCGAGGAAGAAGGGACCGAGTGACCGAAAACGATCTCCGACAAAGAGGTTGATGTTTTTGGTTCTCGTGTAGCGTACCTGCAACGCACAACTCTCTCGGGGGAACGAGTGAACACGTAGGATGATGATATGAGAGAATCCGAGTTGTTTTGAGGAAGTCAATAGGGAAAGAAGCAAGGGCGAGTGGGTCATATAGTCGTAAGTGACTTATGAGGCATGGGCACAAGGGGGGGGAGGGGGGGAGGCAACCATTCAACCGGGGTCAAGTCAGGTCATCGGCGTTAACTATAATTCAGGTACCATTTCACTTTGTGGCACTTGTTCATACGAGTGGTTGAAATGAACATGAAAAGTAGCGAATAGAGGTATCCATCTCAAAACTACATGTTGACCCCTCTAAATATTCCCAATCCGTCTGAGAAACAAACAACAGGTCAAATATCATTAAATAAAAGATCGAAGCTTTATTTGATTCCAAACAAGTCAAGTCCCATACGATCAACCTAATCTCAATTTACTAGGTCCATTCCCTACTCTATTCCGACCGTTCTGAGAAGGTCTTAATGGTTTAGACCCAACATTCATTCCAGGTCTCATGAGCGGTTCGTTATCTTCTGAAACACGATCATGTTCTCTGACTTGCCACACTACCCTTTTTTCGATCACTTCACGTCCTTCGGCCCATCTCATATCATCACTCAGCATGGTATCTTCTTTCGCTTTACCAAAACGAGAGTCTGTCCATCGGGTGAGACGGATTATACAAGCTGTGAAGAGGAAGAATGCGGCTAGGAAGATGACGAAGAGGATAGCTGGGGTTTAGTGATATCCAAGATCATCATATTGTCTCATGACCCAACTTCTTTTGGTTGTAAATTGGTGTGAATTCACGGACCTGATACGACCATTGGAAAGTGTGACGAAGAGTGAAGTGGAATGATTGATGACTCACTACTATCCTCAAGTTGATTATGCACGAAAACATATCCCACATGATTAGACTGAGCAGTACTAGTATAAGTTTCCACGGGAAAATCAGCGTTGAAAGTAGTCAAAACTGAAATCAGTCGTTTCCTCCTCTAACAGGTCGCTGAAAATGGACATTACGCAAGGGATGATTGACCTAAATTAGTGCACGATGCACGGCTAAGCACGATAGATAGATGGTGAAGAGCAGAGAAGAGCAGAGAAGAGAGAACTCACAAATATATCCAGCACTACTAGTCGTACTCGTCTCCGTAATAACAGGCTTGACAACACTCGTAGATTTCGTACTACTGGACAAAATTGAAGACTTTGACGTACTTGATATACTCGACGTACTCAACTTAGAGCCAGACGAGGAGGAAGAGGAACTTGACAATAGTGAAGATTTAGATATCGAACCTGAACTTGAAGTCGAACTTGAAGTTGAACTTGAACTTGAGGTGGGTAAAACCACAAGTGGAGTGGAGGTAGTTTTGACAGGTTGAGTGAAAATAGGTTCTAAAGGATTTTCTTGAGCTAATGGGAGATCCGCTCTTTTCTTACGGAGTTCTACTGATGAGCGTCAATTCCTACCTAGAGCAATGAACATAGGAAATGGACGAACGAGATCATTAGGAAAAGGATGTTGGTATGATGAATGAACCGAAGGAGATAACTTCTGATACCATTGAAATGACAAGTATCTTCAAGAAGGTGGGATCATCTTGGGTCAATGGATGTCGAGAGAACTCAGCTAAAGGGCGAAAAGGAAAGAGAATAAGAGTTACTCACTTCTACCCAGCGACATCTTAACTTCCTGCTTCCCTCTGATCTAGCTCCTGGAATCTGACGGCAGCAAGAATCACCCGACCTGACGTGACGTCCAAATCTGAAGCAAAGTCGAACGTCTGACCAATGTTTCCGTTTAGAAAAAAAGGACCGATTTATCGAGTACAGCTTTCAGAGGAATGGTAAATTGCAGTCGATTCGATAGATGATTGTATATCGGATTGACACCAATGGTGTCAGTATAGCAAGAGGAGAGGAATGACACCGGTACTTGCATAAGAGGAGAACTTAAGGGAAAAGGAAGGAGAAGGAAGATCCTTTGTTGATTTCGAAACGCCTTGGAATGACATCCTTTGATGTTTGACTCAAGAGTGAAAGTCATATTGAGTCCTTTCGTCGCGTCTTGATGTCAATTCGAAGAATATGAGTGGGTCCAGGTTTGACGTGTGTTGCAAGAATGACGATCTTTCCGAATAACGTAATCGTGAGGAAGGGGTTATATGACAAGTAGAGACAGGATGAATGGTGAGATTGACCGAAATGTCCTATGCGTACCTGTATAGCCAAGGGGAATAGTACAATTGAGTACGGAGTGAGGCTGGGGTTGTACTGTCAATGCGAGATCATTTCGTTTGATGGAATAGTAAGATAAATGTTTGGTTAGTGTCTGGCAGGATAAATGTTTGGTTAGTGTCAGCTTCCTTAGGATGATTGGTCAGATGTGGAATATCAGATGTCAGATGTGAGACAGTTAGTGGAAGAAGATTCATAAGACAATTGACCAGATCAGTATACAAATAGCACGTTATACATAACAATTTATGTGATAATGATGGCAAACATATTTTTATTGAGTGGAAGCATGTCACGAGTCAAATAAAGAACCAAGATGAAACCGTTTGGAAGATCTTTGATTTGATATGGAACAGATAAATGAACAAGGATGTTTGGTGATGTTACAATATGAATCTTCAAGTCAAGATGAGAGCCGGTTGACCGTGGAGTGTCATGAGGAACGCTTGACTTATGATTAGCCTATATTCTCTCATCGATCGTTATCTATTCGACTGATAACTGGCCTGCTGCAGTGACGATCGCCATTCTCTGGAGGAAAATACGACATGGAAGAGAAGCCGAGAAGTTGAGCTGTACGAAAGGAGAAGAGAGGCAAGTATGTTGATGAGACCCGACTCGACACCACATGTCAAGGTGAGTTAGCTGTATAAGTTGGAGTGTGATCGATGAGATGGTGAATGTTGAGAAAAAGATTCTGACCCCACTCACCCTTCTTTCAGCCCCCTCCGTTCAATCTCACGGACCACAACTTGCTCCGTATCCTCCTCCGCTTCTTCATCCCCACTCATATACCCTTTTCTGAGCATCACCCCATCCATCTCTTCATCTTCTTCCTCGTCATCATCCTCATCCAAGTTATCGAACAATAAAGAAGGTCTGTTTCTACCGAACATTGGTGGACTACGTCCTAATGACGCCACGTTGATGCTTCGACTCTGGTGCAACACTGGATGAGGACGAGGTGCGAGACGGACACAGCCCCAACCATGCTTGTTTGACTGACCAGAAGGGGCACGGGTGAGAAGACGATAAGTGCCAGCTATGCCGTGAGAGTCGAGTAAGAAGGCAAGGAGGGAATGGGTCTGAGCGAGGGTCGTATCACGTAAAGCGTGAAGGGTGGAGAGGTCTTCCCATCAGTATATAAATCTAGATCTACGTCACGCATGATGTAATGTGCGTCATAGCTTTTGTACAGTACATGTTGCGTAGAGCAGTCAAGGAGATATGAAAGGAGAGTGACTGAGAGTGAGGTGTATCAATGGGTTAGACGAATGAATGAGAAGGCCATGACTGGGAAAGCCAGGTGAGAGATGAGAAGAGTGATGTGGAGATGAGAAGGTAGAGTAGGATATGAAGCAGAGGAAGAAAGAGTGAAATGATATAAGAGATGTAATTTCACTCACCTTGGAAACAACCAGGACTCCAAACGGGAACATCGACAATCAACTCTACTCTTTCTTTTTCCCAACTAGTACCCAAACTCCCAACCCTCATCTCGCCTTTCCCACTTTTCCCCGCAAACTGAATTTGCTCAACCACCAAGTGCGCAAACTTTTTCGCGTCCCCACACAGTTGAGCAGAAGCTTTGTTACACCCTCTCATACATAATGGTGAAGCATAAGGACGTATGGTAGGTGCACGAGCGTAAGATCTGGGTGATGTCCCGGTAGAATGACCCTGTTGGACGACAGGTGCAGAAATTGTATTCTGCAATACTGGTCGAGGAGAGTTAAGTCCAAAATGAGGATGATTGTGGGAATGGGGGATGGGGATGGTGTGTGTAGATGGAATAGGTCGGAGGGCGGGAGAACAAGGATGGGATCCGGTATGGGCATGAGGTAAAAGGACAGGGGAAGAAGTCATGATCATTGTGAATGAAAGTCTTGTCTTGTTTCTTAACCTGTTTATTATGTTTAGTTTGTCTTGTTGCCTTTCTCACAACAAGTTCTTGTCTTTGGAGCTTGAGAGACGTTTGTTGAGTCGTGTATCTGTGGAGTTGTGATATAATAAAGTTGGAGCTTGCTTGACGAGTGGAGTAACTAGTATGAATATGAAAGTGAGACAAGAGTGTCGATCAATATATATAGAGAGGGAGATCAACGTCGCTAGTCATCCGAGGTGTCCTTCTATTTAAACTTGCCAAGCGTGAGCAGTGAAGAGTGCTATACGACGTTCAAAAGCTCCAAGTGACGTGTGAGAGGAAAGAAGTACAAAGGACGTTGTCGTAATGCGATGAAGAAGAGGTCGTGTGACCGAAAGAACTTTTGTGTCCTCTGGTCCTCCGGATCTTGTCAACGTCGAGAGATACTTGTCGTTCCGTTGTGTCGTATTCCTCAAGCCCGTTGAGGTCGCTTAGGCAGTTGATCCAAGAGCGATGTTCCTCAGGTATCTCAAGTGGTAAGTGAGATGGTGACGTGGTAAGTGGGAAGAAAAGATTGGAGACAATGGGAAGAATTTCCGAGTGACGCAATAGTGAAAGCCGTCTAGTCGTCAAGCGTGGTCGTCGTTCTGTTCTTGATCCGCAACCTTGAAGAAGAGCTGAGGATAAGTGAGATACTTTCAAAGTATTTAAGAATTATCAACTTTAGCCGCAGCCGATGAACAAAAGACCCGAACCCGAAGAAACCGAAGGATGAATGAAGTGAGAAAAGAATTTAGGACATTGGAAGAAGAAGATAAGATGGTGGGGATTACATGAGGATCCGAAGCTTCGGGAAAACGGATGGGGTATGGGGGTATGGGGGTCATGAAAGGGGGGTTTGAAGGGGTATGAGAGTTGGAAAGAAGGGGGGGCAAGTGAGATGAATGACCGGGAAACGGACCGAGGGCCGGATGTAACGTAGAGCTTCTAAGCTTCTGGCTTCAAGCTTCTACAGTACGCTTTGACAGTTCAAGAACATTCTTGTCCAGTGATCCAGTGATCCAGTGAGTGAAGAGCGTTGAAAGATTGTTCTGAATCACGAACTCATAGAAATGGATCAATGTGTGGATGTGAGGGTTGAAAACCACGAGATACTAGGGTTGATGAGAAGGTAACTCACAATCCAATCAAACAGTCCAAATGCCAAATGAAAGAAGTCAATTCAATAATGTTTGTTATCCTCACTAACAAGATTGTACGAATAAAGATAAGTTCTTGATGAAGAAAGTGATCATACACTTCACGTACCACCAACATCGGGTAGATGCCGTGCTAAGGACCTGGAAAGAACCAAGCCGGCCGGAGAATCGGAGCCATTGTTACCATTGTAACATCAAACCCTTTCGGCGCGGCCCTGTTCTCTCCGATTCAAAATCTGTAAAGTTCGAGACCCTTTACAATCCTTAGAACGTGGGTGGGGTCTCAGGGATTATTCCCCACTTTCTCTCAAACTGCTAATACCTTAAGGGGGATCATGGGGCCATTCGGTTATAAAGTCAAAAGACGGAGCTCCGTGTTTTGAATAGTTTTGAAAGACGGAAGTTGAATGACGGAATGACGGATCGGGTGGTAACGCTTCTTACATGGGATTTTCCATTTTTCCCATAAAGGACGAGTCATTGGGAAGGATTCACAATGAAGACGGGAGAGATCGGAGTTCCCACATCGCGCCCCATGACTTACATATCCACAGATCCACAGATCCCCAGAAGAACCATGAGATCTCGGTATACGGCCGGTGGCCGGTGGATGAGCACGACATCACTACCAAGTCACGCGTTACGCCAAGGTATCTAGCTCGTGGTTCAATGGTATCATCGGGCGCCGGCAAAATCAATCTGAGATCAACCTGATCATGCGGGTATGCTGGTGGGCTGGTCATGCTCTGTTGCTGGCTCGCTGGTCTCTTATGCTCGATGGATATGGTTTCGATGGGGAATGAATGACGGGTATGAGACATAAATAATACCTTCAGAAACCACACTTTATCTAATATGCATATCCAAAACCAAGACAAGAATAATATGTATTCAAACCGTCTTACCTCCCTACTACGGGGAGACTGTTTGGGAAGAAGACGGGAGAAGGGAGAGGCAACGATTGACGAGAAGACAGGTTTTAAGTGTCTGAATGAGAAGAGGTATGTGAGCGCCCTCAGGTGAAAGAGGAAGAGGTGTGGGATGAAATCATTTCCCTCCAGTAGTCTTGAACATGATCAAACCTCCTAGAGAAATCGAATATCCAAACACTTGAAGAGGAGTGATGGATGATCCGAAAGCGAGGACGGAACCAGTGATGAGAAGCTTCTGTGTCAATGGGATAACTGCGTGAGAGAACAGAGGTACTGACGATATCTTTGAGCACACCGGCAAGAGTTAGAATGAGACCTGAGCCGACTGAAATGAGGAAAACGGCGGCCACCTATATGTTAGTATTATCTCATGTATATCACTTAAATAAATATTTGTCGTGTCCATCGCATCATATGAGCGGAAGCATTGGATGCCCGGTGTACATGTCGAGAACAGAAAGAGGGTTGGGGAAGTGAGATCAAGGTCAGAGGAACGAGGAAGAGATAACACTCACGTTAAGGGCAAAAGCGATACCGGCGTTGGAGAACAACACCAAGATACCAACTCTATGAAGAGCATAGAAAGGTTCAAGACCTTCGGTGAAAGGAATGATGAGAAGGTTGATGACTGCACAGACTGGAGCGTAGTAGTGGAGTGAAACAAGAGGGTCCATCTAGCGAATCAGCTACTGTTCGGCTATCCAAGCGCCATGACGAGGAGAAGAGATGAACACACCTTGAGACCATGAAGAAGAATCTGAATCATGACCAATCTGCTAGCTTCGAAGGCTACCGCAGCGCATTGACAGAGGAAACCGAACATCTCAAAGTGCAATTCACCATAGGCCGCTATCGCGTTAGTCTGATATGAATACCTTGTTTGAACAACTTACCCAATGAGCAACCGACGGAAATCATCTGAAGATCAGCTATATCCTACGGCGTAGACACTACACGAATGACGGTTGGTGAAGAGCCAGATTGGGAGTGGTGGGTATACGGAAGTCGAGTGGGTATAGGAGTATTATTTGATATTGCTCTTGACAGCAACGATCATGAAGAGGATCACTCGACACGTACCACTACAATCATCATGAGACGGGCATTGGGTTCTTGGATCTTGAAAGCGAAACTGATCAACAAGATAGCGACCGGGTTAAAAGCCTACTACTTCAGCCTTTGCTCCAATCCGATATACAAGATGAAGTGAGACAAACACACCTTGAGCATTTGAATAAAAGACACTGAAAGCGTGAGATAGGCGTAGTTGCTCAGCACCAATGAGCCCGAGAAGAGGGCGCCAATGGGGAGGATGGATTTCAACCATCTATCTCGCTGGGAATCAGTTCGTTCCAGGTAACCCCCTCGCACCATCTCTGGACACATATTTTTTCCTCGTTTGAGGATACGCAAAGGTCAAGATGGAGTTATTTATAAGAAACATTAGGTGACGTATTTAGGTTGGGTAGCAAAGGAAGCAACGGAGTATCACTCACGCTAATGTCGAGATCCTTGGCGCCATCTACCATGTTGGTCGTTCGCTGCAGAATACGAGTAGAGGCGGCCTATCATTATCAGTAAAGTTACCGACGGAGTGACTAGAAACTGACCGAGAAGGTCATATGCCAAGTAGTCAAGAAGACAGGAAAGGGAAAGTTGAGGTTTGAAAAGACATATTCTATTCATCAGCATAAATCCATCGAACCCTCCCGTCTTCTTCACTCCCAGAACATCGAGTAGTCTTCTCTACATGAAATCAGTCAAACGCGACTGATTGGGATTAATTAAGAAATGTGATGAGTTGTAAGCTCATGGGTGACTTGGGAAAGGAATTTCAAAACTCACTGTTGTACAGAATGACAGAAATGGAACATGCCATCCAAATGGGTATGACTATCATTCAATATCTGACCTTCCTCGCCTGATATAGGCATTACTATAATGCTCACTGATGATAGCGGGAATGACAATCTTCTTCGGTTGATTACTTGGTGGTCTAGCATCTTGGATTCTATCATGTTAGCTAATTTCGACATTCCGTATCCCGCGATCCAAACCACTTTGTACAGCTCCACCACGAAATTGATGCTATACATCCATCTCGCGAGTTCCTCTCCATCTTAACCCCAATTTTAACCTTTCCTGTCCGGTTTTTCCTCTCGCTTTTCTTTCTCATCCCCCTCCCGTAAACGTGAGAATGTCAAAGGGATTAAGGTATTTGTCATTGGAAAAAGCAACATGACACTCACTTTACTTCAATCCTCTCACCATGAGTCAAATCCATATCCACGTCAGAAGCTCGTGGCATCGACTATCATCATTAGTTTGTGTCTCTCCTAAAAGTCGTTCACCATTATCCCAAGCGTGGGAATGTAGGGAAAGAAGATGAAAACCTACTCACATTGAGAGGGATACTAGCTTCTAAATCTTTATGTTCACTCATTTCGTTTATCTAGTATCGTTCTTTCCTTACTTGAATCCAATAATCACTCGTGGAGAGAGAGGAAGGAGTTAGAAGTGAAAGGGGAGAGAAAGGTGGGAGATACTACGGCACCCTGGTGGTATCCCTGGAAGACGCGAAGAAAGGAATGAGATTTTCGGCGACGACTCTATGGCGATGGCCGATCTTTTTCACCTTTGCTCTTTTGGGTGTTTTTCCGGTCTAAGACCTCTTCACTTGATGATAGTGGGTCGAGAGTGTGAACGTTTTATACGTGTATATGTATCGACAGGAGAGAAGCAACTGAGTGAATTGTTGTTATCGCAGTCGAGGCGCAGTGAGCTCCAAACTCCACTAAGATAGTTTACTCGCACCTGGAGTTAAGTTTAACCCTGAGCCATGTGGTCAAATTTGATTCCGTCCCCTGAAGTTACTTAACCGAATAAGACTCACGGTGCAACATTTGTTCTCATCCTCGTCAAGAAACTCACCCAGCTTACCATTATCAGTAGAACACAATACTGTACGAGTCATCATCGTCATGCCTAAGATCAAAGCGTTGAATAGACTACCATTTCAAACGGCTGTATCTGCTCTGAAAAGAGGAGAAGGTTCATCACAATTACCTTCAGTTGTCAAAGGGATAAAGATGAAATTCGTAGCGAGGAATTCTCCTTCTGGTCCAAGGTGAGAGAGAATCCAACTTTTGTCTCTTCCACCAAACAAATCATCTCTCCCTCACAAGCTCCCATTTTTCTTTTCTCCACGTGATCGAGACACTTTCTGGGCTTGTCAGTGATGGGGATAAAGGGTCGTGGACCGCTTGAAAAGAGATAACTTATCGAGAGAAAGAGTGGGACAATAATATTGATCATGTTCAGAGAGTTCATCAAAACCTACGCTCCACGTATAGCCTATGCCAATCCTTCCATATCAATGTCATTTGAACGTATACCTGATCCGAGAAGTAAAAGCAAAGATCCGAAAGACAAGAATAAATCAGCCGATATAAGTTTGTGGGAGAATGGACAACCAGAGCCGGAATTGTTTGTTGAATATTGTGCGTAAATGATCTTCTCCCCTTCCTTTTTCCATTTACTCCTCTCGCTTTGTCTCAGCTGGTTTTTTTATCTCGAGCGCTTTTTGTACACCCCCCCCCCCCCCCCGCCGCAATTGTCCGTGTATCTTTTGTCCCCTTCTTCTTTCCTATGTTACGATAAAGATTTAGGTCTCAAGGGCGTCCTCTTCTTTGTCCCGTTATGCAGGCTGTATTCCATCACCTGGGACGAGGACGGTCTACTCACTCGCAGTTGATTTTCCCGCACGGACGATCAAACTAGGTAAAATGTCCGGAAACGAGATTTTCAACCGACTTCGAGAAGTCTCAGCAGGTCAAGGCGTTTCCCCGTCATTGACAGATCCGGCCGAACCTCCCTTACCCACATCTTGAATCTTGTTATGTCTATTTCGTCCTCCAATCTTCCTCTTCTACCATATCATTCCATCTTTTCGAACGATAGCACAACGAGATTCCGACATAGTAAATTATACTCACCTCGTCAAAACGGAAATCGACGTACAAGATCTCACTCAGTGATTTGAAGAAGTAGGTTGGAACGGATGAACAGTGACATTTTATACAAATACACCAGCATGCATCACGCAATTACCCAGTGAATTGCTAATACAAGAAAAGAGCAATTACGAATGAGACGGTGTTTAAGATTTAAAATATGATTGCGTGTTAAAACAAGAGTCCTTGAAATATGTCCTCCTCTTTTTCCTCTCTCCATTGACAGATCTTCCATACAATCATCAACGTTGACATCATGTCATGTCGTTCAAAGAAGAGCGATAACAGCACCGGCCAAAGCGAGACATCCACCAATGGGAGCAAAGTTCATTCCCGCACCTGATGTACCGGAAGCTGAAGCAGAAGCAGAAGCGCCTGATTTGGTGGCGGATGCTGAAGTCTTAGAAGCGGAAGCTTTGGAAGTGGTCGATGCTGAACCGGTGGCGGACGCAGAGGCGGAGGCGGTACCGGATGAAGCTGAGCTTTGGGCGGTAGCAGCTCCAGATGCTGTGAGATCTCCGGTGGCTGCTTCTCCACCACCGGTGGCGGTCAGCGAAGGGGCAGAGTAGGCATCTGTGTGTTAGCGGAGTGTCCGTGCGTTTCTTCTGGTGAGGACTTTGAAAGAGTTTTTCGAAAGCACTCGTTGGAGTAGACTGGATGGTTTTTGACGGATGTGTAGAGAGGCAGCTAGGCGCTGATCTGGAGCAGACACATGGAGAAGACATCAGGGCAGAGGGGAGAAGAGAGTGATCTCGAGAGGGGGACGTGTGGGTCGGGAGGATGAAAGGAAAAGACAATGATAGAGAAGAAAGATGGAACACACCTTCACCAGTAGGAGATGCAAGAGGGACGGTAGTGAATGAATCCGAAGCTCCAGTGTAGTTCTGAGCTGCACAAGACGATTGAAGCGCGTTGAAGTCGGCAATCTGGGTAGTACCAGTGTTGTTGTTGGCAGTGTTGCACGAAGCGCAGTTGTAGATGTTTTCGAGGTAAGCGCCGTCACCTACGTGTCAGTGCCTGCGCCTTTCACGCCACCCTCTCGGTTACGTCCTGACAAGACGAGGTATAGTCAAAAGGAGGCAAGGAGGGATAATCTGAGGGGTGGAAACAAGTGCAAGGGACGGAGGAGAAGGGTTATAGACCCATTGTGGATTACTCACATTGGCAAGCGATGTCAGTTGAAGCACAAGTATCGAAACTGCATTCGAAGAAACATTGTTGTTCGGCTTGGGGACAAGCCGATACGGTCGAAGTGAGTAAATTAGCCAATGCAGCTGCGTTGTTGGAGTTTAAACAAGTGGCGCAACCCGACGCGTCGGAAGGGAATGCTTCACAAAAACAAGCATATTGATCCGTGGTAGACGACGTGTATTGAGTCTGAGATCAGAAACGGTTCTTTCCAAATCTCATGCATTTTCTGATTGAGATGCTCCGATCCCGTCATGATGCTCGAATTTTGATGAGTGTGAAAGGGACAAAGGAAGGAGAGAAAAGTTACGTACCTCGCAAAGGTAGGCAGACTCGATCGTTTGAGAACAATCGCTTGCGCATGCCGTCGGAAACTACATGTTCACATACCACCACAGATTTGGTTGTCAGAAGTAATTGAGGGGTGGACATCATAGTGAGAGGGAGTAGGTGGATGTTGAAATCGAAGTGAGAAAGAGTAATATCAGCGTTATTATCCTTCTTACCGACCGAAAAACAAAACTCACGTATTGCCACATAGGAGCAGCTTGAGCAGATGCCATAGCAGCACTTGCTAAAGCTGAAGCAGCGAAGATCATCATCTTGGTTGACATTTTGTTCTTTTGTATTTGTCGTTGATACGTAGTAGTAGTAGGGTATGTAAGAGAATAGAGGATGAAGAAGAGATTAGAGATTGAGGGTTGAGGATTAGCGTGATACTGAGATTTGAGTGGAGTAGGTTATGTCTTAAGGAAGAAAGGAAGGGGGAAAGGGGAAGATAAGTCTGATTATGTTGAGACAGCTCTAGGGTCATTAAGATCCGAATAGACGCGAATAAGGGGGGATTTGGACAAGATAAACATCCACCCAAAATTGCACACAGGCACAGAACGCGAAGGCACCAATTTGGGGACGCGATACCACCACAGCGCGCCGCAGTCAGGATATGTCTCGGTCAGTGGCTTTTTCTTTTTCCCGGAGGTGGTGACACTCTGATCGTACCTATACCCGGGCTACGGACCGAGTAAGAGGTACAAGCGACTGTCAGATGGTCGTGAAGACGTGAACAGAGGGAAAGTGGATTCATACAGGTTTTGACTTTTGACGAGAGCCACTTCGGGCACAACCCCAGTGTAATCGGGGCACAACCTGCCACACTCAGGGTAGTCAGGCACGTACCACCGGCGTTACTAAAACGCCGACCACGCGACGGACATGAACTCGCCACTGATCGGGGTTTCAGTAACCCCGCGATCTCTGATTGCTCACTCTTCTCTTACATCGTCAATGTCATTATTAGCTATACCATGTCATTTCCGGTCATTGTCCATGCATTCTCCTATCTATCAATGTCCAGGAGGATAATATGAGCCATAGGGATGTCTAGAAGACCCCTGGGATGGATAGGGAGGCCAATATTGAGAGGGAAGAGGAGGGAGAGTAGGTGGAAGAGGGGGGGGTGGTAGGTACCTCTCCTCAGGAGGATAAATGTCGAAAAATGGGGGTACCTGTTCATTAGAGACCCCCTGTTGGATACAGCCGAAAATGCAGTATTAGAGACTCACATTCGGTGGATATTGGCCGTTTCCTGGTGTCTCCTGGACCAATCAGCTTGCAGGAAACTTTTAGAAGTAAGAGAGTAAAAAGAGAGTGAAAATAGTGAAAATTTTCGAGATCGTGAGGCCAATATAGACAGAGACAGAGCAATATAGCCAGGAATGACTGCAGGACAGTGAGGGGGAGAAGGAGGGAAGGAGAAATGTCATTATCATATGAGAAACCCACCAAATAACCTGTCCCGGCCATCACATCCTGTCTCCTCACCATCCTGTCCTCTGTCCTCACTACTACAGGCTGATTTTCCTTCTCCCTTTTATCTCTGTCCTCAATACTCTTAGCCAGGCCCAGAACCGTCTCCTGAAGACTCGCGATCTTCTTCTCAAGAGCAGAATTAGTTCCCATTACTGATCCCTCTGTCCAGGTCGTTTCTCCAGCATCATACGCCTTTACCTCGCGATCATAGGCCTCAGGATCCCTCTCTCGATGTTCATTAGCCCTTTTACACTTCTTAGGACCATGACTTCTTGAACCACACAGGGGACAGGGACGACTTTTCTTCTTGGTACCGAGGAATTTTTCCGACTGAGTGTGTAACCGGCCAGTGTGAGAGACATCATCAGCGAGCTGTGTAGAATTCGATTTTACACCCCTTTTAGGAGAAGGGGGGAGAGTAGGAGGAGGAGGTAAAAAGTAGGGATTATCAGCAGGTAGATCGTCGTCATCGATGGTGGTCAGATCGATCTGAGTGGTGGTGAGGTTCTTGAGGTTCTTCTTGGCTAACACCAACCGGTTTCTTCGAAGGTGGGGGTCACGAATTCGGTTGGTATCATTATCGATGTCCCACTCTGGCCCTAAGAGTTGATGAACCCCAGTAAATTCTCCAATGACTGTCGCAGTAACCTGTTCAATGGTGGTGGGCCAGGACATGGGGTTAAGAAGACGCCAATGTCGATGGAGAGGGGACAGAGCAATGGTACCATTGTTTTCAATGACTTCAGCAATATCCTTGGCAGAAGGGAGGCCCATTGATGTCGAATACAGGTGGTGATCATCATCATTTTCGAGGTTGCCTTTGGTTGCTTTATCATACTGCTTTTCCATGAGGAATACCGACCGTTTTGAGACACGATTTTTGACAGAGAAGAAGATAGAGTTAAGGTTCGTCTTCTGAATGAGTCTATCAAGAGACATTTGGTGTATTATCTCTTTACATTGGTCGTCGAAGAAGTCCTGAGTAATGCGTAGCAGTCCGTAAAAGTCGCTATACGAATCCTTGAGCCGTCTCTTGAATGCAGCGTGGTTACCTTCGAGTCGAGAATTTGCTGTCTGTCCAAGATGAGGGTATTTATCGATAAAAGCAGAGACAAAGTGTGTCTTGTGTTCATCCACCAATTGTCTCACATAAGCCCTCGCACCATCCAACTTCTCATGTCCCCACCGAGCCTGCATTGATGACAGAGCTTTACCTAATGACTCTTCAGACTTTGCTTTACAGATATCCACCATGAAATGATCACCAAACTCAGATAACTTCTCCACCCATTCCTCTTTATAAAGGGACTGAAAATTTTTACGACAGTTCACCTTGATGTTTTCTCGGAGGTGCCATCGACAGTAATTCAGATGAACATGAGGGAGGTGGATAGACAGAGCGTTGTGTAAAGCAATCTCGCGATCACATACGATAACTTTGATGTCATTGTTGATAGGACCCATGAGTTCGAGGTAGGTTTTGATCGCGAGGGAATACCATTCGGTCACTTCTCGACTTAAAAATGCGAATGCAGAGGTGTAGGTTTGATTGGTAGCAGTAAAACCTGAGATGTGTAGCATTGGTAGACGATAACGGTTTGTTCGATAAGTACAATCCATGAAGAGAACGGTAGGATACGAATGAGTCATGGCTCTGGCTGACGAGGTGGTAAAGACGAGTCCACAAAGTTCATTTTTACTGTTGGTGAAAGCTTTAAAAAGATCGTTGTTGTCGGTGAGACGTTTGATAGCAGCCTCAGTGGCCGATTGTCCTTGGCGAAGGGCCTTCTCATGACGAAATCGAAAATTTTGCACATCTTGCTTTGTGAGAATAACTTTTTCACCAAAATGCTGCTGGACAGCAGAGACGATACCACGAAGAGTGTGTGGACCTTTGAGAAGATCGGTGATGAACTGGAGAACTTCAGGAGATCGACTAGCCTGACGAATAAAAGAATAATGGAGAAGGGGGACAGGTTCATGGTTATGAAAATTTTCGATGATGTCGGGGATCCAGAGGGGTTCGCGGTTGGCCTCTTGAGCAACCTTCTTCGTCTCTCTTCGCCAGATGATGAGGAAGGGACAATTTGCTTGCTTGGTAGTACGAGGTTGCTTTCTAACATCTTCAAAGTTGTCAGATCGATGTGACCGACCATCCCCTCCAAGAGCACATTGGAGATCGAGTCTCCCCTTCTTTTCAATACTGCGTTTTGTGACAATGCAGACGGTGTGCTCCATGGCTACCTGTTGAGTATGAAGTCGAGCCGCCATCATGGTTGGTTGAGGTTCGAGATCGAAGGGAGGGTGGATGTGGTGAGCCATAGGAGCAAATCTTGTGTCCTCGCGAATGTCGAGATTGATCTCCGCCATGAGATTATCGAGTTCCTCATCATTATAGTCGTGGTCACGATATCGCTGGGTCTCTGGTACGAAACCAGGAGAAAGAGAGCGTCGAGGACTGAATTTTATAGAAGGGGACCTTGAAAAACGATCCAGAATTGGTGATGAGGGTGGCGACGATGGGATAAAGATCGGTGATGACATCTAACTCGTCAGAATGACCACTTCATGCAGTAAAAATGGTACTCACTCGTAGCCCAAGACCAGCAGAATACATGTCGACAAGTTAGAACCCGGGGGTTGGTGTTGTTGAAGAATTAAAAAAGTTTTTGGTCGAGATGTCGGTGGCAAATTTTCGAGGAGTTCGGTGGCGAGGATTTTAATGTTGAGTAGGCCTATTGAAGTCAGCATTTCACTTCTGATAGTAAAACAACTACTCACAGCTCAGGAAGAACAAGGGATCAGTGTCGCTGCATATGTGTTATCGCAGGAAAAAAGTTTGTTCGAGCAGTTTGGTTGTTCGAGCAGTTTGGTGGCGAGGATTTTGATGTTGAGGAGGCCTATTGAAGTCAGCATTTCACTTCTGATGATAAAACCAGTACTCACAGCTCAGGAAGAACAGGAGGACAGTGTCGAGTTATTCTCCAAGGCTGAAGATGTGTTGTTGAAGAGTAAAAAAAAGTTTCTCGAGAGGGGTTCGGTGGCGAAAATGATGATGGCGAGAGGGCCTATTGAAGTCAGATTTTGACTTCTGATGATGAAACAAGTACTCACGGACTCGCAGAGAGCAGTAGAACAGTGTCGAGAAGACGAGAGATTACCACGATGGCTCTGTAAGAAGTTATAGCAATTTGATGGGTGGTAGTCAGGAGGGCGCAGGTTGAGAAGGCGAAGGGCCAGAAGTAGGTGAAAAGTAGTCGTAAAAGAGTGAGAAGAGTATCAAAATGATCCTTGAGACGAGTAGAGACAGTGTGTGTGAAAAAGAGCGTGAGTTTAGTAGTAAAATGACGATAAAGAGATTAGTGGTGGTGAGGACAGGTTGGTAGGTAGCGAGCAGACATGTCGCGTCGTTGTGGTGGAGTTCGGCGTTACTGAAACCCCGATCAGTGGCGAGTTCATGTCCGTCGCGTGGTCGGCGTTTTAGTAACGCCGGTGGTACGTGCCTGACTACCCTGAGTGTGGCAGGTTGTGCCCCGATTACACTGGGGTTGTGCCCGAAGTGGCTCTCCTTTTGACGGATCGACGGATTGACGGTCTGACGGACCGGGGAGTGACCAAGGCCACAGACTGGATATGGTAAGTTGAGGCCTAGACGCCTTCGGATGGTCATGACGTTTTCAGTAAGAGAAATGTTGGTCTCGAGAATGGTCAGAGATCTGAGAGAGTGAATACGAGACTGGGAAGAACACCCCGTTGGCCGTTGTTGCGCTTCTTGATGCTACCGATGTCAGGTTCTTGGCCAGATTGTCGTCGTCGAGATGGACCCCCGTCACCATGCAGGTCCCGGAAGGCCGACCTGCCACATGATGCATAACTCCCGGTTACTGCATAACGCCGACTCACCCCATCGGCCTTAAAAGACGGCGTCTTGTAAATAAGCCGAAGCTCCCGAACGCACGTCGCGCTTTTCCCCCGCCGCCTCCATTTAGGCTTCTGTTGAGCTTACGTAATACCACCTCGTTGGAGCATCGAGTGGAGGTCGTCCACTTGCTCATCATGTCATTCCGGTGAGTTGAGAACACAATCACCTATCCGTTCATGACTATGCTGACTATCGAGACAAGACAAGTTACTCTTGCTACTTGAAACTGGAACTTCTCAGCAAGTCCGACGAACAGCAGCTAAGCAATTGGCAGATTTGGCAGTCAAGACTTTCCATTCTTCTTTACCCAAACAAGACCCCAGTGAAGTTGAAGTCGATGTTAAGCCTGACCTGGGAGATAATGGGGTTGTCAAAATCGACGCCAAGTTCAACGAGGATGATGCGTGGAGTGAAGCTTTAGAAACTATAGGAAAGATAACACCTCGACTCAAATCAAAATCCAGTGAAACGAGACATGCCGCCGCTCATGCGTTAGGATTATTAGCAGCTGCTCTACCTCCTTACTCGGGTCATACCACGGATATCAAGGACACTGCTGAGAAGGTGAACGTGAAAGAGGTGATCAGAACAGGTCAGACGTTATTGGCTTCTGCAGGAAGAGAATATATCGGGAGAGGAACGGCAGCTGATAAAGCTAAACGACGGAAAGCCATGATGGGTTCACTTGGACTTGGAGATGGATTGGGATGGGGCGAAGATGTTGATAAAGTCATCGGGGATGATGATGAAGATAATGATGATCCAAGTGGCTCATTGTTGGAGAAGGAAGCCACGCCTAGTGAACCGCCGAAAGACGTGTTCGAAGGGCTGAGCGCTAGACAAGTCATGATGCTCAAACGGAAAAAGGGGAATATCGTTGAAGAGGCAAACAAGTCAGTTGCCCCGAACCCATCACTGACCATTGGTATCAGCTGATATGCAGATTACGCAAACTGAACGAAGGTGCAACTAGCACTTCAGTATCACAATCACCTTCCGCTCCAACTACTCCTGTCCTGGTCGACGCACAACCCTTACCCGAGGAAAACAAAGTCGTCATTGATCCAGGAGCCAAAGCTCTTCTCTCCTCCACACGAGGAGGTGCTATCGATCCTGTCCTTGATGCAGATGGGAACCCAATTATCCCCACTCCCACCACTACCCTCTCTCTCGTTCCGGGACAAACACCATGGTGTACAGTACTCTTGGAACTAACACCTGGGTTGAGAGATCCGATATGGCAAATCCGTCATGGCGCCTCATTAGGCATCATGGAGGTCCTCCGATCAACAGGTTCCACATTTACACCCATCATCTTGATAAATATAGCGAGACAACTGTTAGTCCTCATGGCTCTGGATCGATTCGGTGATTTTCTTGGGGATACCGTCATGGCTCCAGTCAGAGAAACGGCGGCTCAAGCTTTAGGAGTGTTGCTAAAATTTCTTCCTCCACAAGGAGTCAAAGAGGTTCACGATGTTTTGGTGGAAATGGTCAAGCAGTCTTGGGCAAAACGTTACAAAGCAGCGGAGGGAAAGGAGAAATGGGAAAAGTTTTCATGGGAGATTAGACATGCGGGATTGTTAGGGCTCAAGTACGAAGTTGCCGTGAGGCCTGATCTGTTGGTTGGTGGAGTGAAGACGGAAATCGAGCGTGAAGACGTTAAAGTCAAGTCGGAAGAGAAACAGGTCAACATTGAAGAAGAAAAGATGATCGACAATGATTTAAAGGGGAGCACAGGTGGATTTCTGGAAGACGTCGTCGATTCAGCTATTTTGGCGTTAGTATCAACTCTCAAGGTGCATGAAACGAGCTGATGTCGTAGATTGAGAGATGTCGACGATGATGTTCGAGCTGTAGCAGCAACTGCTTTACTGCCTATAGCTGACATTCTTGCCAATAAATTGACACAGAAACAGCTAGAGATGCTCATGACGACTCTGTGGGATTGTTTGAACGGAGATGGTGATGAGTTGGGTTCATCGACTGGAGCAGTCATGGATCTGATTGGTGAGTTCATCTCCGTTCTTCCCTCTCAGCCTTCTGATCCAATTTCCCTCGTTTCCTGCTTGGCTGTTTTCCATTATTCCCTCAGTCCGGTCCCATAGAATTCACTTCAATCGTGAATGGAGCCAGTCCCACGTCAGAACGAGACTGATTCACCCAGGCTCAATGGTCACTCATCCACCTGTCATTGAACTGATTTCCGTCTCCCCTCGTGAACTCATCGAACGAACCTTTTCCTACGTTCGTCACCCAATCTCTTCCGTACGTCTCGCAGTGGCCAAGATTCTTCACAGATTCACCACACTTCCTGAGTTCGACCGTACCGAGTGGATGTATGAAGACTACATCCAAATGCTTTTCGGGATCCTCGTACTGGAAGAACGTGCCGATATCCGTCAGCTATCATCAGAATCATTCCAAGTTGGATTGCGAGAAATCGCGGAAGATAGCGGTGAACATCATAGCATGTGTCTTCTTTCAGAATGGTATGGACTCGTCATGACTCCTGTCGGTCAACCACTTAATCCAAATTACTTTCATTGGCCTGAGCAAATGGTATATGGCGGACATAACGTTGATAAGGCCATGATGGAAGGAGATTTAGGATTGATCAGTACTGAAGATATGTTGGAAAGACGTGTTACAGCCGCAAAAGCTTTGGCCTTCCTTCGACAATTCGACATCGAAGCGGATGGTGATGAGGATGGATCTGACATGGAAGTTGATGAGAAAGAAGGGGATGAGTCTATTATGGAGGTACGTCCTTCAATCGATATCCTGAATGTGTGTCGACTAATGATCAGGTGACGGATGTGAAGATGTTGAAAAGATATCTTCAATCAGGATCAGCACATCAGATGGCTTTTGCTGCTATAATCATACAAGAATGGGCCTCAAGTCAATCCGAGGTATATGATTACTCTCCAGACAGTGATCATTCTGTCAAATCATATCTCTCTCAATCATTGATATCCCTTCTGGAAGCAGGCTATCCTTCTACATACAGCGAAATGATCACCACTCTTCAATCAATTCATTCCGAATGTACCAACCTTCTTTCCTCCTTCTCCACCCAAGGTAAATTATCCAAAGAGAAAATCCCCTCTTTACCTAAAAAGATAGATCCGTCTTCAACATCTACAACCTCAACGGCCAACACCTTTTCACTTCTTACAGCTCAACAAGTCGTCGGACCGACATTTGACAACCTCGTTTCACTTTTATCGAAACATTCTCAAAAGGCAGTATTACCAAGCCTGAAAGATCGTCAGAGGAGAATAATCAGTTCCATAGGTTATTTCGCGGTGATGAAAGAACGCTACGATACCCAAGTTTTCTCTTCTATCTCTGGGGCTATCGTATCCCTCAAGATCATGCCGCAGAAGTTAGGACCAGTCATCAAAGCTCTCATGGATGCAGTGAGGAAAGAAGAATCTGATCTACATCAGAAGAGGGCGGCGAGAAGTGTAGCGGATTTCGTGGGATATTGCGGATCGGAAGAGTTTAAGGGAAAGGTTAATCCATGTGAAAAGGTAGTAAAGAATCTTTTTACGTTTTTGTGTCAAGATACAACCGTGACGCCTGTTTTCGTTTTGTCTACAGAAGGGATAATGTCGTTGAAAGAGAAGGAAGAAAAGAAAGAAGGGAAGAAGGTCAAAGTAGAAGAACAAGAGGAGACAGAACAAGAGAGGATGATGCGGATTACCAGAAGAGGAGCTTTAGAGGCTTTCCGTGCGTTAGCCAGCAAGTTTGGAGAGAAAGCTTTGGACAAAGTTCCGAAGTTATGGGAAGGTATGAATGGGGCATTGGAAAAGTATTTCTCGTCTGGTAAGTATACACGTCTCTCATTTCTGATATCCCTTGTCTCCTTCGTTTTTTACCTTCACATTTGCTGGCCCTGTCTTCACTCGTGATTATTCAGTATTCATACTGCTTCATGCCTGCGTCCTATCTCCGTATCTCCCATTTCGCATGGTCCAACGTCTTAAATAGTACATCTGATCACATGGTAATTTCAGACTCGGCTCCTGAAGCAATAGACCAAGTATTCAGTGCGGAAGGAGGTATTCAAGCTGGTCAAGATGTCCTCGACGCACTCACAAGTATCCGTCTCATCCTCCCCGAGTTGCATTCGAATCTGCACGACAAAGTCGGAGGACTACTACCATCTATCATTCTGGCATTACAGAGCTCGTATGCCGTCGTAAGACTTTCAGCGGCGAAATGTTTGGCGACGATGTGTGAGGTGATGACGGAGAAAGCGATGAAAGAAGTTGTTGATAGGGTCGTACCTTTGATCGGGGATGCAAAAAGGGAGTCGGCCAGGAGAGGTGCAGTGGAGGCTGTTCATCGTGAGTTGTCCCGCGACGTCCATCCCTCCTAACGCTTTCATCGATCACACTCTCCTTTTCTTCCCCAGTTATCTTCCTGTCCTTACTCTGGTTCTCCTCTATCATCACTCTACGCTTCAGTGGCATTGACTGATCTCTTACTATGATGTTACACAACGTATGACACATGTCTACGGCGCTTGAAAGATAAACCTGGCTGCGCATATCATCTATCGGACCGGAAAAGGTTGATATTGATTACAGACATCATCAAACAACTTGACATCGTTGCTTTACCCTATGTACTTTTCCTTATCGTCCCGATTCTTGGACGTATGTCCGATCCTGATCCCCCCACCAGGCTGTTGTCAACTACTACCTTTGCAAGTTTGGTCAAGATGGTCCCTCTCGAAGCTGGTCTTCCCGATCCTCCAGGTTTCTCACCTGAACTATTGGCGAAAAGGGACGAAGAGAGAAAATTTTTAATGCAGTTGTTGGATGGTAGTAAAGCTGAGGGGTACGAAATTCCTGTGAAGGTCAATGCGGAATTGAGAGGGTATCAGAAGGAAGGTGTCAGTTGGTTGGCATTTTTGGCAAAGTATCAATTACATGGGATTCTCTGTGACGGTAAGTTCTGTTTTTGATCTGTTTGTCCCATGTCTTCCCGTACATCTCTCACTGTATCCCACGTCACTTCATAAAAGCTCCTCATACCTTTCACGTGAATTGCCTGGTTACCACAGCTGTGCCATCCTACCTGACTTGACATGGTTGAACTGGACGAATCCCCAGTGCTTTAGTTCTTTGCAATGAAGAAATCTTGCAGTCCACCACACTGACACATGTTTAGATATGGGTCTTGGAAAATCTATACAAACAATCTGCATCATCGCATCAAAAATCCACGAACGCACTGTCAAACACTCACAATCCCATTCTACCGATTCTACCCCTTTGCCATCTCTCATAGTTTGTCCGCCTACTTTGACAGGACATTGGTACCACGAAATCCTCAAATTCGTCCCCACTCTCCGTCCTCTGGAATATGTCGGCACCTCCATCCAACGCTCATCCCTGCGTTCTTCTTTCCAATCGCACGACATAATCATCGCCTCGTACGAGGGTGTAAGAGCGGATATTGCGGATTTGAGCAAGATAGATTGGTTGTATTGCGTATTGGACGAAGGACACATTATCAAAAATGCCAAAACCCGGTTAGCGGAAGCTGTCAAAAAGCTCAAAGCGCAACATAGATTGTTACTTTCCGGTACACCGATACAGAATAACGTATTGGAATTATGGAGTCTGTTTGATTTCCTCATGCCGGGTTTTCTGGGGAGTGAGAGAGTATTTAATGATAGGTTTTCGAAACCTATTTTGGCGGATAGAGAGGGGAAGGCTACTCCGAAAGAACGAGAGCTGGGTGAGTTTGTCACATTTTTAATCTTTCCGGATATTTCCCAGCCTTCGGTTTTGACCATGTCTTCCCAACACCATTACAGCTCACGTCCATCTGCTTCTTCAGTCGTTGCCATGAGTGTTTAGAGGTATCTTGGAGATCTTGGACACACCATGAATGGAAAGTCGAAGTACATTGCTGATTGTAAGCTGCATCGGCTCTGGAAGCATTACACAAACAAGTCCTTCCTTTCCTCCTTCGAAGATTGAAAGAAGACGTATTATCCGACCTCCCACCCAAGATCATCCAAGATTATCACGTCGAACTGTCTCCCATCCAACAAGCATTATACGACGAATTTGGTCGATCTCAAGCCGCCGAAGAAGCTGGGGAAGCTGTACAATCTCAATCTGCCGCTCCAGGTCAAGGACACGTCTTTCAAAGTTTACAATATCTTCGAAAATTATGCAATCATCCAGCTTTGGTCTTGGAGAATGAACCTCAGAAATTTGTCGAGTTGGAAAGAAAGTTGGGTAAATTGGCTCCGATGCACGATATCTCTCATTCTCCTAAACTTGAAGCTCTTCGGTAAGCTCTCATATCTTCCTTCCCCCTTGTTCTGCTATTCCACTTATAATGTGAGTCATGATTCCAGACTGAATTCCAGGCAATTACTTCTAGATTGCGGTATAGGTCTTCCACCTTCAGAAAAAATATCAAACGATATTGATTCTCATCGTATTCTAATTTTCTGTCAACTTCGACCAATGTTAGATCTCATCGCCAATGATCTTTTCGGTAAACTCATGCCTTCCGTAACGTACATGAGATTAGACGGTACTACCGATCCACGTAAACGTCATGCTATAGTACAGACTTTTAACGCCGATCCAAGGATTGATGTTTTGTTACTCACCACCAGTGTAGGAGGATTGGGTTTGAATTTGACAGGAGCGGATACGGTCATTTTCGTGGATCATGATTGGAATCCTATGAAAGATTTACAAGCTATGGATAGAGCGCATAGATTAGGACAGAGGAAAGTTGTCAATGTTTATAGGTTGATAACGAGAGGTACTTTGGAAGAGAAGATTATGGGGTAAGTCTTTTTTTTCTTCTTCTTCTCATCGTGTGAACCCTCGTCACTGTCCCGTGGTTCCTATTATCTGATCCACACGATTTTGTGATATACCAACTCTTCACTGTTCACTGGTCTTAGATACAAGCTTGACAGAGGAAGAGAGTGGGGAGCAGAGGGCGTGTCAGGCGAGGGACGAAGGACAAGCGTGGGGGGAAGGACGAAGAAAAAGAAATAGCGGGGAAGGCGAAGAGGAAGAGGGCAAAGGGCCAGAGCAGGAGAAGAATAAGTACTCACACTGACAAACAGTCTACAAAGATTTAAACTAAACATCGCTTCTTCTGTCGTCACACAGCAAAACGCAGGATTGGGAAGTATGAACACTGGTGAAGTTTTAGATTTATTCAAATTAAGTACGGAAGAAAAAGGAGGAGGATCCAAAACAAAAATTTCGAATGGTCCCACCAGTATGAGTAAAGTATTGGAAGGGTGAGTTTTTGTGTGACTAACCACCTTGCTCTCTTGCTCCCATTAAGCCCTCATCATTTGTTTCATCCTTTCTCCGGAGCATCATGTTTTTGTTTTTTTGTTTTTTGTTCTTCGAATTCCCTTCTCTAATTACTCTATTTTGCTTGTCAATAATGTTTACCTTGCCCTATCGTCCCTCATCTCGAATACTATCACCCTTGGTCTTCCTTCCTCCCTGTGTTTCCATTTTGCTTCTCTCCTTTCCCGATCAACACAAACGGCTCATCGGGTCTGAATAATCACCGACGGTTGGAATAAGAGAAGAGCATCAAAGATGAACGAAGCTAATAATTCAGTCTTGAGGATCTACCACCTGATGACGAATACGCAGAATTGTCATTGAGTAATTTCATGAGTAAAGTCTGAATTCAAATTCAGTCTAGAGATTATTCACTGCATCGTTCATGTTAAAATTATTTCCTATCAATTATGCATTGCTACAATAACGTTTCCTATTCATTCCTCTTTACAGTACATACCCTCCTATTCATTTCTCTTTATAGCACATATCCCCCTTCAAAACTGAGTGCTCATTACTTGTACTTCCGCTCGCTGATCTTGACAACTTCACGCATGACGTCGTCTTGAGAAGAGCAAAAATCTACATTGGTTCCCGAATGGTAGCTAGATTGCAATCTAACATAAATGAAAGTGTAGGGGGGATTATAGTCTGACCGTGACAAATTATTGACGATCACACATGATCCGTGGCCCGTTCTTCTCCACCCCCCGCAACAATCCCTTCATGTCCCGCCAACAACGCAGTACGTTCTGTCGGTTCGGCACTCGGAAGAGCAGCCTCCACTTCACCCACCGTGACCGTTTGTTCGGGAGGGATGTCGGTACCCAGGGGAACAGGAACGACTCGACCGGAACGAGTACGTTTATGTCGACGAGAAGTCCGAGCTGATTTACCCGCTGCCCAAGGTTTTCCAGCACCTTGTGGTCAGCTCTACCATACAAGATAACATACCGTAATCGACATATGCCCAAGTCTCGGTATACCCATCCGGTTCCTACAGCCAACACGTTGTTTTGATAAAGTGAGAATGAGGGTGCGGAGGTGAAGAGAGCGATGGTGAGGAACGATGACGTGGTACTCATAATGGGGACAAATGGAGTAGGATGGTGAACTCACGAGCGGCAAGACCAGTAAAAGTGAGTAACAAAGCTATCGTACCCGATACGACCGCCGAGCAAACTCCGAATGTAAAACCTCGATCTAATTCTCAGCATCACATACTGGAAAGAAGAGGAGAAAACTTACCGAGACGACTCCCCTTAGTCTCGAATCTTTCGTCTGTACGGAACACGTGGAGTATCAGGGAGAAAGATATGATTTGGAGGATACAGTGAATTAGCATAGTGACGGAAACTAATTTCCATTGTTGACGTCTTGCACGAGCTCTGGCTGTCCTTTGACCTGGAAAATAAGCTTCGTCCTTGCCGCGGTCTGTTTCTCTACTTCCCTCAGAGGGGTATCACTAGTCATTGATTACTTCTCAAAAGCAGCCGAAGTTCACAGTAATTGGGATCGATGTGTGCCCAGTATGATTTTCTTCATTAAAAATCAACGCGAAACAACACTAGGGGTGGTAGGCACTACTGAGAGTGAGAGGAAAGGAAACTCACCTCGATGCAAGAAGATAAATAACAAACTGAACAGCCCAACGAGACAAGGGACCAAAGCAGATTGAGCAGCATATCCCGCTGTACTCCACAAAACGCAGAATTGTTCACCAAATTGAGCGCATTCAGATCTAGTCAATCAGCTCAAGTCGCGCAACTAGAAGACTTCGGGAGCTGACCTTGTGGGGAAAGGCTGGCATTGCCATTGTCCGTACGTGTCGTTTGCTCCGAAAGCTGATCGGGATTGCAGGGAGTAGTCGAGAGATAGATTTGATGGTTGTTGCAGAGACGACTGGGAAGGAAGGTCTAATAGATCCTGCGAAGAAGCGATAGAGGAAGAAGAGCCAAGGGGATGTGACGGGGCTAAGAAGGTGGAATTGGGGATGGGAATGGACCGAGTGCATCTGACCCGTCAGCTCCACAGTCGAAGTCACTGGAACGAGTAGAGCTGATTTGTGGGTCGAGCACGTTGATCAGTTAAGGCATTAAGGCAATTTGGTGGTCACCGAGTGAGGTTGATGAGCATAAAAGAGAGAAACAGACCGTTTGTATAGACCATACCTATTTGTCAGCCATGTAATCTCCCAGTGAAATCCGTATTGAGCACTCATACACGTCTGAAAAGGACTTCACATGGCCTGGGGGACAGTTCTGTAGAAAGGAGGTCGAACTCACTTGGTTTCGAAAGCCAACGGTCCGGGACTTCTAACGATGACATGAACGAGATCGGGATCCTGAAGATCAGTCTTCTTGCTTCGTCGCCAATCCCACGAGGTATCGAATCTACGTTCTCGTGTGGGAAGTGAACGGGAAGTATCTGTTGAAGGAAGAGGTACTATGTGATAGCTACAGACTCACATAGATATTGAGTAAAGTTAAAGCTGTAGCAGCTAATAGCAATATCAGCGAGACGAGATATGGCGATTTACGCATGCTATGCTTGTATCGTCTAGGTTTGACATCAGGTGCAATCCTGATTGGCATCTTGTAGAGATTGTAGATGTACAGATGAGACGAGATTGAATGTATGCAACAAAGACGAGTGAATGGTTTTAACATCCTTTCTGTTCCGAAGTTGTAGCAATCGACGGCGAGCGCATTGCGTCATCGGTTCATCGTCCATGGACAAACCATACAGTAGGTTTTATGTATGCAATGCATGTGTTTGATATCATGGGATGTCTAACTGTGGATCATGTACATGTACAGGTGATACTGGTGTACCCTAATGAGTGAAGATGCGAGGGACAGTCCTTCATTTGGAAGCTGGCAAGGCTCGCCATTCGCCACTCGTGTTCGGTATGGAGGATGTCTTTCTTCGATAATCGTCGATGAGCAACCATAATTTTTAATGGAATATCCTCCAGGATGAGTATAGTTGGGGAAGATCATATCCCATCAGGTTTAGCGACCTTTCTTCTCTCAGTCTTCCCCGTGATCGTATCTTCCATATCTTGATAGGAAACTGGAACCATCGCATTCCCTCTTCGTCAGCTCTCTCTCTCAGAGCCACGATCGGTAGACATACCAGATTCAGAAGTAGCATATACCACACCAAGCTCATTGGCCGCAGTGGAGAGATAATAACTTCTCGCATCGCCTAAAGACAGCTTCCAGTCAGCTTCTGATCCAAATTCCAATCTCTTATGAAACACCTCAATTCATTCCCTTCCACTGTGTCCGTTTCATCGCAGATGGCGGAAATTTCAAAGTGAGTGAAATAGAAAGTCCAGCTTTTGTAAAAGCTGATAAGACCAAAGAAGACTTACCACTTTAGCTTTGACCACGTCCCCTAACCTGAAACATTCTCCCATTCTTATCTTATCCCTCTCCGTCAACCTGATATCTGCCAATCGGACCACACCAGTGAAAGCTTCACTCGTCTCTGGCACCGGTCGATTATCGACCACATCGATATTGATGATAGCTTGTTGTGGTGTTACTCGGGATACCTGTCTTTCAGCTGATAATCATTTTCACCTTCCTTCCGAAACTGACCGTTCCGATGACCTGTTCAAGTCAGCCCAGAGTACCAGAGTCTTGCAAAGGTAAGTATGATGAACGTACGATAGCATCAACATCAGGAACAGCGGCATCTTGTTTTCCCACAACACTGATCATCTATCATCAGCTGGTTCCTAGTGATATATCTGCAAGGGGTGAAGGAGGAAAAGAACAGGAAAAAGAAGGACGGAGGAGGAAGGGAAGATTAGATTTACAGCTCCGTCACGCCTTGGTCGACCGATGATATTGGCCAATATCCTACCGTTGTGTTGGTAACATCCAGGACCACATTGAGGTACAGGTGGTTGTGTTAGATTGGCCGGTAGGGGTTGACCCGGTAGGAGAAGGTCCGCTACGCTCATTCCCCCTCAACTATTTACTGTCAAGAGAAGTTACTCTACGATCTACGAGATCGTTAAGATGGAGCTGAAAGAACAGCAAAATATGGGTCACGTGACCCAGCTTGTACTGGTATTCGGAGACGACAGAAAGAGAAGGAAAGATGTCAGTTGAACATTGAACATGGCAGACAACGCTCGGAATGGACCCTGACACTATCACGGACCCTCGAGTAGGAGGAGACGTACCCCATACTGTCGTTGGAATGAGCGATGGGGAAGAACACGAACCCAAAGGACCGAGACCTATCAAAAAGTTATCCAAGGACGTCATCAACCAAATCGCTGCTGCAGAGGTGGGTTCAGTGTCCTTCCTTCTTCTTTCACCCGATCAGCTCATCCCTCCTCAGTCAACCGATAGGAAAGATATGAGAAGGTGGGTGATAGAAGGATATGAAAACCCCGACTGGCCGAGTGAGATGGTGTGGCTAATCCCTCAGATCATCCATCGTCCTGCAAACGCCATCAAAGAACTGCTCGAGAATTCCCTCGACGCAGGCTCAACTTCTATCAAAATCACAGTCAAAGAAGGTGGACTCAAATTGCTCCAGATAGCTGATAATGGTCACGGTATAAACAAATCCGACTTACCTCTACTCTGTACCCGTTATGCGACGTCAAAATTGTCAAAATTCTCAGATTTGGAGAGACTGCAAACGTATGGGTTTAGAGGAGAGGCTTTGGCTAGTGTGAGCTATTGCAGTCATGTGGAGGTGGTTACCAAGACGAGAGATGACGGGTGCGGGTGGAAGTGAGTTTGGTATTCAACCTCATACCATCTATAATCTATCGTCTTGCTCGCCTTCATCATCTTTTCTCTTGAAGGGAATATTCGCAGATTCCAGTCACTCTTTGACCCCTGAACTGTTGCTGGGACGGAATAAGGTGTGTTTTCAGCGATGAGCTGACGACCAGAGCACATTACCAAGATGGAGTCCTCGTGCCCTCCAAACCAGGTCTGACACCTGATCCCAGACCTACAGCAGCGAACGATGGGACGGTCATCTCCGTCAGCTGCATCTCCCATGTCTGACATAAGCTGATCTCACAGGCGGAAGATTTGTTCTACAACAATGCATTGAGAAAACGAGCTTTCAAATCCCCTTCGGAGGAATATAATCGGATTCTCGATGTGATCACAAAATATGCGGTACATAATCCTCATTGTGCCTGGGTGTGTAAGAAGGTGATTGATTTTCTCCAATTCCTGCTCACATTGCTCATCCCCTAAGTCAAATTATTCCCTTTTATCTTCTGGGGTTCATCCTACGCTTGACTGATAGCTAGTGATATGAAGTAGTGAGAAAGGCAAACTGAGTGAAATAGGCGGGAACAGCTTTACCTGATATTTCCACACCCGCCGCATCTACCTCACGAGCCAATATTTCTTTACTTTACGGTGCGACTCTAGCCAACGAACTGCTTGAACTGCCCAAAACTACACTTGATCCTATCGAAAGACTAGGAGCGAGGTGTGAGGGTTTGGTGAGTAATGCGAATTCTAATTGGGCCAGAAAAGGTGGATGGTTGTTGTTTATAAACCGTAAGTACATGCTCACTCTCTACGTTATTTCTCTCTCTGCTTTAGTCGACTGACATACCCTCCTCTTCTTCTTATCACACTTTCCACCTTGGCCGATAAATATACCTACTTGTCTTCCTCGCCAGCTGAGGCACACTTGTATTTGCTCCCCCCTTTGAACACATGCTTGGAGAGACCGATGAAGGTAGAAGTCATGCTGACAGACAGACCGATTGGTAGATTCCAGCAGGATCAAAAAAGCCGTAGATTCTCTCTACACCGCTTTTCTACCCAAAGGCGCCTCTCCATGGGTATATCTCAGGTCAGCTTCCCAGTCAAACCTGCTGCATTGGAGACTGACCCACAGCCTTGAAATTGATCCCTCGAAGGTGGACGTGAATGTTTCACCTACGAAATCCGAGGTCCACTTCTTGAATGAAGATGAGATGATTGAAGCCATCGTGGCTGTGGTGCAAACCGCTTTGGCTGGGGCCAACGTCTCGAGATCTTTTACAGTTCAGGTGAGTTTCCCTTATCTCATCTGACATTCCCTCATGTCCTCTGGATTGTACCGTGCATGCTTCTTCCTCCCTGAGCCCCCTTCCTGATCATGACGTTTATACATTCTCAAAATCTGCAGTAATATATAGGTGGACTGGATCTGCATTCATATGATTCGTGTATGACAGATACTCACGATAGACCCTTCTCCCAGGCGCTCCCGAGCCACCCTCCCGACCCCGCGAAACCGAAGCGGGTCCGTCCAAAGCGCGCAAACCTGCGCCAAACTACAAAGTTCGCGTCGACTCCTCTCACAGGACTCTCGACTCGATGATCACCATCTCCGACCCGTCTCAACTCGGGAGATACACTGAGATTGTGTCATTGGACACAGGAGAGAGACCACACAAGCGTCGAGTCATGGAAGAGAACGGCACCGGAGAGCATCCTCTAGAGGTTGAGAGTGACGAAGAGGGTCAATTAGGGGTGGGTGAGAGGGAGAGTTCATGGGATGCGCCAAGGGAGAAAGGTAGAGGGGAGGTGATACCGGAAAGTGGATGTGAGCTTGAGAGTGTTCAGGAATTGAGGAGAGGTATAAGGAAGAAGGGTAGCGCGGGTATGTCTGCGCATGATCCCTTATCCCCTTATCATCTTCTTCCATAATTGCTCAAGAGAACATGAGGGAAGGTGAAAGATGGGCCTTGTTGATATACCAGAAGTCACAGAGATGTTGTCCAAACATGCTTTTGTAGGGATAGTCGATAGACAAATGTGTTTATCCTTGTTTCAACATAGCACTAAATTATACCTTGTCAATCATGTCACTTTAGCGTATGTTTCTCCTTTTCATACATCTACTTCTCTTCAACCACCAGAAAATGGACGAAGCCTTGGACGTTTGACAAGGACTACAGGGCCAGAGCTGATCAATGAGGGACGAACACTTTTACCAACTATCATTGCGTCAATTCGGCGCTTTCAATCGTTTACGTCTTGATCCTCCTCCAGATCTGGGTGATTTACTCCGTTTGGCCGTTTCTGACGAGCCTGGGATCTTGGCTGCGGGACTGGATTCGGATGTGGTGGTGGATGTGAGTGAAGCTTCATAGTTTGACTTGAACCAACTTAACATGTCCCTTCTTGGCTTGTGATGATCCCTCTACGCGTTGAAATCCCCTATCTCACTCAACTGGAACCCGTTGCTGGGTTATCAAGAGCTGTTGTCTCTCGTCTCGGATTTGGTGGTTTGCGATCTCAGTCATCATTCATTACTCTACTCTTGGATCCCAGCTGACAAGTCAGAAAATATGCAGATTACTCTTGGAAAGAAGAGAGATGATTGACGAATATTTTTCTTTACGGATTTCTGAAGATGGAGAGGTTGAAACTTTACCTATGATACTCAAAGGGTATACACCGAATTTAGATAGGTTACCTCATTTCTTATTATGTCTTGGAACTCGGGTGAGTCTTTCAATATCCTTGAACCTACCATCAAATCCCCCCCCTCTTTCATCCTGTTTACCCCTCTCGACAAGTATCCCAATCGTATCATCGCAGACCCATTCTTACTATTCCAATCACATAATCGCAGACTCACAGCCATCGGAGCTACTTCACCATGTTATTGGTACACTCATCTGGAGGTAGCGATACGTTCATAAAGAGATGACCATTGCTAAAGACAGGTCAATTGGGAGATAGAAAACGAATGTTTTCACACGTTCCTACAAGAATTATCCTTTTTCTATTCCCCTAGACCTTTCTCCAACCATTATCAATCTCCATCAGGATCGAAAGAAGAGAACGGAATGATCAACGCAGAAGAAATAACACATCAAGATTGGCAACTCGAACATGTTTTGTATCCATCTTTCAGAAGATACACTCATTGGTCTAGAGATATATTAAAGGATCTAAAGCAGGTAGCTAATTTACCTGATTTGTTCAGAGTGTTTGAGAGGTGTTGATTTTTGTACGTTTTTGTGATCTTGATATATACACAGTTACATGCATATTCCTTGTCCTCTTTTCAGTTTTTGATCACTCTATAGAGGGTCATCATTCGTTGTGTAAAGTATATACCTGTCACGACCAGTACTTATAGCGAGATCAACTCTCACTAGCAGAGTTGATATTGAGCCTTTTAGGACGGTTTATGATCGCGGGCTCGCTACCCGGTCATGACAATACCCCACTCAGTCCCTTTCCAATTCTGAAGGGTTACACTTGTTCTCATCCGTCTCATATCTACTCTCATTTTCCTCTAGTACATAGTGGAGGAATGCTCTTTTTTGAACGTTTACCTACTCCCTTCCCTCATTCACCACCTCTGATCCCTCTGAGCAGCCCTCGAATGATCTCTTGGGGGGGACATAGAGAAGAAAGTTTCCCACGGTGTACAAAAAGTGGAGCCCCGTCAAGGACGGAATGAGAAACCGCATACATCCGAAAAATGTCCTTCAATCCCTCCCCTTGTCCTCTCTTTCTCTCTCCGCTTCTTCACGCACAAATCGCATATATACTCTCAAGTATTCATCATCTCAATAACATATCAAGGTTTAACAAAATGGCAGCTCGCAAGTTTTTCGTTGGGTGAGTGTTGGTGGTACTGTGTCTCATATCTCTTCTTCCTCACTGTACGCCACGGCGCTTCTTCAGAAGGAGATATGTCTTACCTGTCCTTCTCTGACAGGGAACAAATCTTATGGTATCATTTTACTTCGTCGCACAGAAATTCCCCCCCCCCCCCCTCTCATCGTTGATCTCACGACTCTCCTTCTGCTGTGGCGTGTGGCTGGAAGAGAAGATTGTGGATGACATCACACGAACGTTGTAGACAACCATAAAAGGCGGGCCAGTGGGCGTTGGAACGCTACTTACGAGGAAGGGAAAGACGTAAGAGAGTGAAAATTAACATCCAGAGGAAACTTCAAGATGAATGGCTCGATCAAAATGATCACCCAGATTATCGATTCTCTCAACGCTGCGAAATTGGATGGAACCACTGGTGGGTTATCCTTTTCTCTGCGTCTCCGTTACCTTCAAATCGAACCTCCAACTTGTCATTCAATAAGATTCCTATCTTCCTGGCTCCCTGGTTCGGTGACTGCAAGGAAGTGCCCTTTTCATACGTCCTGGGGCGTGAATTCCGGGTCCTCCCGCTTCCAGGGTACTTTGGTACACTCGCACCTCACCCACGCATCAGCCCGTCGCTTAGATGTCGTGTCATATTTCTGCGAGATGAACAAAGTGTGCGACGTCTCTGAATGCCTTGTTCTCGTTTATGTCACTCTTGACAACCTTCATACCCCATACTGTTAGTACAAGACTCTTCGCGGCGAATGTTCTCCTCCTTAGTTTGATTACAGATAAACAAGGGAAAGTGAAAGGAAGGACAGGGAACGACGAGAAAACCAAAGTTGAAACACCACTAATCCTTCAGAAGTCGTAGTCGCCCCTCCTGCCCTCTACCTCCTCCAAGTTCAATCCACTCTTACACCTCCAGTGGAAGTATCGGCCCAAAACTGTTTCAATGAATCATCCGGTGCTTTCACAGGAGAGATCAGCCCCAACCAACTTAAAGATGCCAATGTCCACTGGGTCATTCTTGGTCATTCGGAACGTAGGGCGTTGTTCGGCGAAGCGGATAAGTTGGTGGCGGATAAAGTCAAGGCTGCTATCGGAGCAGGATTAAGGGTGATTGCCTGTATTGGTGAAAGCTTGGAAGAGAGGGAGAAAGGGGTGACTAATGAGGTTGTAGAGAGACAAATGGAAGCTATTGCTCAAGCTGTCGGACCGGAAGATTGGAAGTGAGTCATATGATTTTTATCATCTCTGGTTTCTCATCATATACCTTGACACCTCTTCCTACCCTTGCAGGTTCCATGTCTTTCATTTGATATGCTCAACTCTGGCAGTAGGTTGCTCATGTCTGTGTGACAGAGCTGGTCATCGGTAACGGTTTGAAGAAAAACATTTTCTGCGTTCCATAGATTGCAAAATGATGGAATAACTCGAGAAATGTAATGGGGAAATGGGTCATACGACTAACCTCCAGACACATAGTCGTCGCTTACGAACCCGTCTGGGCTATCGGGACAGGTAAAGTTGCCACCGTCCAACAAGCTCAAGAAGTTCATGCGGACTTGCGTAAATGGCTCGCTAAACGAGTTTCGTCAGAAGTTGCAGAACAGACCAGAATCATTTATGGTGGTTCGGTCAATGCGAAGAATAGTAAAGAATTAGCTGCTGCGGAAGATATTGATGGGTTTTTGGTCGGAGGAGCTTCTCTCAAACCGGAATTCATTGATATTTGTCGTGTAAAGGAAAGTGCTTGATATGTACCGCCTCATGCATACTTTATCATCTTCTTCCAACCCCTTCGTTGTGTATCATCCCATTCCCTTATTTCCTATTCCCCATCATGAGGGCTATGGTGACGTAGAGACGAGTTTTATTTACAGAGAGTGAGGGCAAGGCGTGCTCGAGTGGAAGAAATGGAAAGGCTGAGATGATGTGGGAAGAGGAAGATGAACGGAAGTTTCAATTTGAACAAACTTGAATAGATGGAAAGTTGCATGATGGATGCATCACCAAGTCCAACCACTGATAACTTTCCTTCTCAATTTCCCATCTTCTCTAACTATCCCAGCACTACGTACTTTATTCAACTCCTTGTCCCATTTCCGAGCCATGACTTGATCATACGTCTGACCTTCGTTCAATAGGATATGAAGACGTGCGGTGGGATGATGTTTGACACCCATACGTGCTCGACCTTTTATATCGATTCGTCTGATTTTAGGTCCTTTGCTGACCCATGATTGGGCTGTAGGGTGAGTTTTACTCGCAATTTTCCCCTCTTATCGTTCTTCATCTCTCTACATCGTCCTCTTCTCCACTAGAAGTCAAGGAGTACTCTATCTTCCATCTGAGCTCAATCGACCTATTTAATTCCATTCCTACCTTCACTTTTCATACACCTCCCATTTACATGTCATACAACATCCACCCCTCTCACACATGAGTATGCAACATTTCATAAAGCCCCGATGAAGAGCTTGAGGGAAAGAGAAGTTTTTTTTCGACTCACCAACAACCATCCTACTTCTCCTTATCCCTTTTTCTATAGCACTATCCCTCGACCAAGCTAACATACTTCGAATCCATTTACTAGCTCTTTTCTCACTGAAATCCATTTGTAAAATAGCTTCATCAATAGGTAATCCTGCGACTTGACGAGATAGTAATGCTAGTTTACGTGGGGACATTTTACGTTGAGCAGTTTTGTATGTTGCCTGAGATCAGTTTTTATCGCTCTACTATTCTTGTGGTCGCAAGGGCACCCCTCGGTCGAAATCAGCCCACAAACCCCAACTTCGCAAGAGCGAGTAGTGATACGATAAGTTTCAACAGAAGCAAGTCGGGACGGATAGTCTTTGTCGGTAAATAATGGGAGGGAGTTTTATGACCTAAGGAGGAAAGGATAAGTGGTAGGATGACTCACCTCGGATACCATCTTCCTCTGTTTATTTCTCTCTTCTTTCAGATCTAGCGAATCGAACAAGTTCCCAGTAGTTTTCCTTTCCATCTGCGACTCTGTCGAAGATTCCTCAGTCATCGTCTCACCATTCTCTTCATCTTCTTTCTTCGTCGGTCGTTTCAACCAAGAAGGAAGTCCGAATGACAGAAATCTGTAAATCAGGTTCATCACCAGGTTGAGCTTGAAAGACTTACGTTCGTCTTTGCTCCAGCTGGATTGTGGGTGCTCGAAATCGGAGAGTTGAGAAGGAGGATGGACCGGGAAGACATGGTTGGATAACTAAAGACTATCAGCTAGATCAGGACAGTCCCAGTAAACAGCTGACCTCTGTAAGACGCTCTCATCGGGCGGGACATGGTAGAGATTGACATCTTCGGCAGGAGAAGTAGGAATTGGAAGGGAAATTCTTGATTCCGTCTTATATCAATTGAAGTAGGCTTCCTACTAAAAGGTCCCGCGAGCCTATTTTCTAGCATCCATCATTTGCCACGTGGTCGGTGTATACAAAGTACAACTTGAAAATCGATCTTTTGTATTGCATCGTTGAACTATTCAGACCAATCTCAAGCGACGGGGTAAGAGGTCTGTGGACCGATAATACGGTCGAGAGGCTGTAGAACCATGGCAAACCTCACCGCTCTCGAGTCTGGTAACCCGGATAGCGATGATGAGTCGAGAAAAGCTAGTAGACTGGCTGCTAGGGCCGCCAGGTTCAGTCAGAAGCTCCCAGGGAATAGGTATAAAGAGGTAGGTTTGGCATTTCTTTTACCATCAGGATCCAATCTATGACATTCCCATACTGCCAGAATGGTTTGCATCCAACAAAGACTGAGTTGGAAGCTGTCATAAGGGCTTAGATTTACCCGTTTTTCAGAGGGGATCTCCCAAGAGATGTTGAGCTCACCCATAGCTCGAGGAAATGAGAGCCAAACAACGTAAAGCATTCGAACAGTCTGGTCAGATAAAAACAGGAAAGATCGAACTTGAAGATGCTGTTGACATGCGTGGAACTTGTGAGACCATGTGTTCGGAATACGAACGAGAATTCCGAGAATATACCCGTGAAGTGCACCCTTTCGAAGCTGTAAGTCAGCTTCCATGACATCAGAGTACTGAGCTGATATATAGGGTCCCAGTAAGAGAATCGACCCTCAAAAGGCCGTAGCGGCGTATTCGAGGTCTGACGCAGGTGCTGGACATGGTGATTCAGCTATATTACCATCAGACCTTCGTACACCTCAAACTCTGGTGGTAGGTTCTTTGTTGGGAAAGTTCAAAGTGAGATTGATCTTCAGAAAACTTTGGATTATCTTTTTTCCAAAGTCATGTTGATTCAACCACCATTGACTGGTGCGACCTCGTCTTACTCTCGAGCAAGAAAAGCACTTGGATACTCTGCGGGATTCATCCGCGACCGAACAAGAGCTATCAGGAAAGAATTTGCCATGCAGAGTTCGTGGGGTCATGAAGAAGCTATCAACAGTTATGAACGTATTGCTCGTTGGCATATACTTTGTCTACGAGAATTGCAAGAGGAGACAGGAACCAATACCGATATGCACATCGATTCAGCCGAATTAGGAAGATGTTAGCTTTTTATGCCAGTTCTTAAACTGTTTGCTGACAATGATAGGTTTCACATCTCTCAGACAACAATATAACGATCGACGAGAAGAGACAGGTTTGGAAATGCCTTGTCCAAACGAACCGGAATTCCGTGCATATATGCTCATATTTGATCTCGCACATAAATCCGTCTCCATTCCCATTGCAGAATTACCACAAGTGATCTTAGATCATCCCCTCGTCAAGATCGCTTGGAACATACGAAATACCGCTCAAAGAAACTTCGACTCACAAAAAGAAGGTAGCAAGCTCAATGCCGAGTTAGGATCGAATCTCATCACTCAATATGTGCGTTTGCTCAAGGACAAAAGGGTCCCGTTCCTCTTGGCTTGTCTGGTGGAGATACGTTTGAGGGAAATGCGACGAAGTGCCTTGAGATCATTGAATAGGACATATCCGAGATTACGGACGGAACCTATACGAGTGAATGAAGCTGGTGAGGTTGTGGAGAGAAAGATGGTTTTGATAAGTACTTTGGAACAGTTATTAGGATGTGAAGAACAGGAAAGTGAAGATTCCGCTTGGGATGATGTGGAGAGAGGTGATGGTAAACCTAGCACGGAAGTCGTTGAGATAGTGCAGAGATTTGGTCTGGAGGTGTATAACGGCCCGCAAGGACCTATTGGAGCTCTGATAAATTCAGGTGCTCCTTTCAACGGTGAGATTCAAAAAGCATGTCGGTAACGATTAGCTAATGACCAGATAATAAGGATGCTCCTTATACGAAAAGATGGAAGTTGATTACTGCCAAGAATCCCTCTGCGAGCTATGTGGACATTGTGAATGGTCTTGCCGGAGTACAGGTTGAGGGCGGACGGTCTTATCATTCTCTACCAACAATTGTCGTTCCTCCGACACGGACCCAACCTCCTGTTGTGACCCACTTCAATTTTGGCCCCATCACAACGCCCAAGAAAAGTCCCCCGAAATCAACTTTCAATTTTCTCTCCACCGCCTCGACCGCTCTCGCCCTTCCTCCATCAATTACCACACCTTCTCAAGCACCCTCTTTCCCTTTACTTCCCTCAGCCACTTCTGCCAAACTACCCCCGACAATTGCACCCTCGAATAAAGCACCGCAATTCAATTTCAAATTCACCCCGGCTACTCCCCTCCCCCCTCCCTCAGCATCACCAGCACCCCTCTTCACTCAACCTGGTTTATTTTCCAATCTTTCCCAATCCGCTGGAACGACCATAACGTCGCTAAGGTCGCCTCCCAAATCCCTCTTGGCAACATCACAACCACCAGCAGCCCCTCCTGTGAAATCTGACCCCATTCCTACTCATACCCAAATCATTTCAACTCGTGTGGTCAGTCGAAAGTCCGGTCTTTCACCAACAGAACGTCAACGCCGTCTTGACACAGCTCCTACACTCTCCTCCGATCTCATATCAGAGGTCATCGATAGGTTACTCGATAACTCTCGTCCAATGTTCCGTAAGATCTTGAAGCAAGAACTTGCAGCTCGAGAGTATTCAACAGCTAAAAACCTCCGGAAGGAGAAAATCGAGGACTGGTCACGGGACATTTTTTCAATGATCCATGAGGAAATCGTGTATGATATATGCAAACAAGCCATTTTAGTTGAGATCGGTAAGAGGGCGATGCTTCGTAGGACTTTGAGACATTGGAAAAGGTGGGCGAGACGTAAGAGACTATTGAGAGAAGATGCGGAAAGGCAGAGACAGGAGGCATTTGATAGACTGAGCATTATGGGCGTAGGACCGTCAGGGTCGATGATTGGTTGGAGCGATGGTTTAGCGACGCCTTTGACTGAAAATGGGGAATTGCCAGGTGAGAGAAAGGACGAGTTTGAAATTGATATGGCTTTGCATCAGGTGAGTAGAATTTATCCAACTCACTCCCAAACCGATTAGTCCCTGGATGCTCAATGTCGTCGAGGGTCAACAATACCTTGTAAAGCTGAACGGAAGTCCCTAATTAGCATCTTCACCGCGGAAGATATTGCTTTTAAATCGCAGCTTATGGAGGTCTCGACTCGTGCGGTATTCTGTGTCGGTATTGACGAACAGGTGGAAAAGACGAAAGATCAATTCTACACTCCCTCCACTTTCTTCCATTCCATCGCTCGATACGTAGCTCCTCTTTTGAACCCGTCCAAAACACCTACCACCATGACGGCTTTTACGATTCAACAACAACTACCAGATCGTCCCTTATCACAATGGCGTACCATCTTATCGTCAGCCAAACAATCTGGTAGTCCACCACCAGACGAAGCTGAGCGTTGGTTGGCCGGTAAATTACTCCCGAGATTGAGTAACGAATTCGAATATGAGGGAATCATCTTTGATGCTGTCAAAGTTGATCGATATGACCCTCCGTCGGGGGAATATACAGGGTTGGTAGTGTTTGAAGTCCCGTTACGGACTAATGACGAGGGACAGATTGATGGGTTAGTCAATATCTCCTCATTGTTTGTATCCCCAACACATACCTTCAGCTCTCTCTGTCTTATAGCCAACATCAATCAAACCGGAAATGTCCCGTCTCTTCAGCACTGTATTGATATCCCGTATGAAACTTGACGTGTGTTTCGGAAATCTATTGGAGAATGCGAGATGACTGATATATAGGAATGTAGGAGATGCACAAGACAGAATGACAGGTCTAGTCTATCTCGCTAATAGAGGTCAAGGAGCATATATACCTTCATTGTTGTTGGTCACATGGGAGACTGAATCTTTGGATGAAGTCTGTGACAGGGTAAGTTTTATTCAAAAGATTGAATTGAGATATTGATCGATAGTTGGACATACGTGAGGATGTTAGATCTTTTCAAAATGTACAGATACTCTCTTTGGAATCTGCAGAGAATGTCGATATTTCCTTTCAACAATGTTTGACCAGATTATTCCCTTCGGTAACTATAAGGGAAAAGATAGAGTTGAGTCATGCTGGTATGTCCCTTTCATCTTCCTCCCATCTATACATTCGTCATCATGCTCTTCACATCAGGGCGCACTAACCAAAAAACACCCCACTCACCGAACTACCTCAATCTATGAGTTTCACCTCTTTGTTGGATCTCTCCTAGATGGATTTCTTGATGATGCATATCCAATCCGCTGACGAGATAGAAGCCGTGAACGCTATGTTACCTTCCTGGGAAAGGTTTCTCCAAGCTGTTCAAGTTTTACTTTCTACCAGACCGATGGGTGAGCTGACCTGAGTGTGGATTTCATCAGCTGACTGACAAATAGACGTGGGATTAATTTTGAACAGTTTCGGATTGGGTGTAAATGCTTTAATGGAGTTATCAAAGATTCTGACTTCGATGACTAAGGTTTCTTTGGAGATTACCAAGTTACCGTCTTTTCGAGCTGATGGAGAGGATGTTTTGTGAGTTTTGTTTTGCTTATCGCCGCCTCCTCCCCTTCTTCTCTGCTACTATGATTCCTTCACGAACCACTATCAGGCTTTGCCCCACCTCTCTTCCTGAAGCGCCCACCCTTCTCCGACTGTTATCACTCTTTGCCTCACCTCCCTCGCACTACTACCTCCCCTTCGCCCCTGGTCCACGAATCAGATTCACATGGTAAGCCTTGGATTCTGGAGAATGAGGTACCGGGGTTGTTGCGCCAAAGACAAAGGGACAAGACAGACCGGAGTAATATGAAGAATGCTGATGAGCAGATCTGCTGTGGAGAATATAGCCGACTACGTTTCTCAGGAGGTGTTCAACGGATTAGACGAGATTAACCTTCTTGTTCCTCCTCTTCGGCATGCTGCTCAACGTGGACAAGGTAAGTCTCGGCTGCATTTAATCATACTCGGCCCAGCTTTTCCCCTCAGAGTTTTCCGCATCCATTCAGTGTTTCCATCAGTCTCTCCTCGACCCGGCGTATGGGTCATGATCAAGTGTGACGCTAAAAAGCAGCATTACCCGTCCCCGAGTTATTACATGCCATTGCGTTGGTCGTCTTTGCCGAATTAAACGATGATACTTCCCCTCTCATCATGATCCCCACGACCAAAATGCCCAATAAACGAGTGGTACTTTCCTCCTTGGCAAATCGGTATGCCTCTTACATGGATGAGGTAATCTCCCATATCGCTCAATTCCCTGCAACTCTTTTGACCTCTTCGACCTCGTCATCGTCAAGACCCACAGACGAATCTTTACGATCGAGTTCATCTCAACATTTACCATCGCCATCACGTTACCCATCCCCCTCTTTTGAGACTCATTCACTCACTTCTTCCCCAACTTACCCAAACATTCCGAGGAAGACAGCACCATCATCTCCTCCTCAATCCTTCCCTCTCTCATCCTCTTCACCAATGATAGGTCAGATGGGAATGGGCACGAAACGACCCCGAGAATCATCATCACCTTTGAAACAGAAACGAAGGGAGAGTAAAGCTTTGAAGAAGGCAAAGTTGTTACGGGCCATGGCAGAGGTTAGTCGGACGTTGGGTGAGATGGAAATTGCGTTGTAGCTTCTTTAATGACTCTCTTATATATGATCTTGTTGCATTGTGTGCATTACGACGCGAACCTGTCATTGAACGTGTTTTACATGGTCAATGGTACTGGTACATGAGTAATGCAGGTTGGGTGAACAAGTGACCGATGATAGTAGTGATTATATGTACAGGATTGAGAGAGAAGTGACATGAGTAGTAAGAGATGAGAGAGTCGGGTACTTGGGTTGGGGGTTAGTTAGACGCGTATGATTTGTTTTTCCACAAAGTTATTGATGGATGCGTTTGACATCTCTTTCCGTGATGGTCAAATAAAAAACACGTCGAAAGCGGGTATTTTTTTGCACCAAAGGGAATAATCATGTTCACTGTGCGATGTGAGTGTGCACTGCACGAATGTGCGAAAGAAAGAGTTTGTGTGTATGTATGCAACACGTTACAAAGTATGTTACTGTATGTTCCCCCCTAAGAAGGCTGGCTGTTTTCATCAAAAAAAAGGGGGTTCAATCCCATGGTCAATTTGTGTTTTTTCTTCTTTTTACCCTGATCCTCTTGACTACTTTCAACCCATCGTCTTCCCTTCTATCCCTCATTACTACTCTTTTACATTCTCATCTTCATATAGTATATCTTTACATTAAAACGTCTATCACTCTTTCTAGACGTTTCAACTCTCGAACGTTATCAACCAACCCCTTTGTGAGATCACCGTTACCCGTTGGTGTGTAAATACCCGAAGTTGAAAGTACAAACCCTGTTGTGGTCCTTCCAACTCTTTCAACCCCCTTCTTCATCTTCATCTACCTTACCTTATCTTTCTTACAGTACTTCTCTTGATAACTACCAAACTTGAATTCGATCTCGATACAGGAACGAAAGAAGAATCAAGAAATATAAACATGACCACTAGGGTGAGTGACGATATCTTTTCGTTCTTTCAAGCTAACAAACAAAATTCCCTATTGACTTTCACATTTTCTTCTTTCTTTTTTTTCTATTTCGGCACATGTTCTTATATATCCTTCTTTCCTTCTTTCTTCTCATCACTTTCCATTACCTTACCATTCATCCTTTTATCCATCGACACACACATTTTTGACGATTTTCACGACTTGTTTATTCCGATTCTATTTTCCTGTGTCGCCGGTTCGACAAATTGACAAATTCATTCAACTCTACACTGTCTCAACCTTCCTCAACGCCCCTTCACTTCCTTACATCTCATCTACTTCTTGTTTTCTCTTGAATAACATACATACATTCTTGAATCTTCATCCCTATCGTCGTCGACACTTTCTTACGTTGGGACATTTTTGATTTTACTCTGGACAACCATCAATAATCAATCATTTCAAAACATATTCCTCACATCATATCACCTTTGATTCAATATGACTTTTCATTTTCAGGCTGCAAATTCTCGTAGGGCAGCAAGTAGAACTCGTACGGACGAAAATGCCGTTCCTTCTCAAACTCTCAGATCAAAACCTTCTCTTTCTTCATTAGGTCCGGCGCAAAAGGTTGGCGTCACTGTGAACCAAGGGAAGAAAGTGGGTGCGAAGGTCGGTGCGAAGAGGACTGTTTTGGGTGGTGTGGTAGGTAATGGTGTTAAGGATGATGTGGAAGAAGGAAAGAAAGCTTGTGAGTTGATGTTACTTATTGCATCGAACAGGCCGTTTAATACCACTGCGTTTTCGTCTTCATTCTTCATCCCTTTTTTCCCTCCCAACCAACGTCAGCCACACTTTGGTCAAACATCGCGTCAGATCACTGGAGTTGATGTCCTTTCACTTATATGTGTACCCATCTCTCTCTCCTACCCTCTTTTGGCCTCGTCCAGCGTGTAGCAAATGTAATGAGATAGTGCCATGAGGAGAATAAAACATACCATTGGTGACCACCACGCTCATCACCAGTGAAACCAACAACCAAAACAATCCTCACTGAAACCCGCCAACCTTTGCAAACACGAAACAACAACGTCCCTTCTACCGTCCCCAATGGCCCTTCACGCGTCATCGCTCCAGTACCTCATCGCGCCAAACCTACCTCTGTCCATGTGGACGCCCCTATGCCATCGGACGACTTGTCCGAGATGGACGTCGATACCCGACGGCCAGAAGTTTTGTCCAGAGAAGAAGATGAATCTTCTTTGGTAGGTTCGGACGAAGAGGAAGATGATGAAGAAGATGAGGATGATTGGTTACGTTTACCAGAAGATGCTGCCGCTCAAGTAGAAGAAGAGTTAGCTTTGGTTAGAAATTCTTTCAAAGATGATGTGGACATGTTTGACACTACCATGGTGGCTGAATATGCCGATGAGATCTTTCAACATATGGAGAACTTGGAACAAAGTGTCATGCCTAATCCTCGTTACATGGACTTTCAGACGGAGATCGAATGGTGGGTTCAAATTCTTCTTTTCTCACCTGCTGTCAAAGCTTTTCCTTCTCCAACAATGACTCCTTTCTAGGTAAAGTCTGACATGTCTACTCCAAACAAGTGGGACGGGATACAATTAGAGTACAACAGGCATGTGCTGAAATTCAGGACAATGCGATCAACACTGATCGACTGGCTCCTCCAAGTTCACCTCCGTTACCACATGCTTCCAGAAACGTTATGGATAGCCGTCAATCTCGTCGATCGTTTCCTTTCCGTCCGAGTTGTATCCCTCGTCAAACTCCAACTGGTAGGCGTCACAGCCATGTTCATCGCTGCGAAGTACGAAGAAATTCTCGCCCCATCGTAAGTCCCCCAAGTCACAGCCTGAATCACCTGCCTAATGCTGATATCTGCAGTGTCGAAGAATTCGTATTCATGACCGAAAGTGGATACACCAAAGATGAAATCCTCAAAGGTGAACGCATCATCCTTCAAACATTAGACTTTACCATCTCCTCTTACTGCTCTCCTTACTCCTGGGTCAGACGGATCTCCAAAGCGGACGATTATGATATCCAAACGAGAACATTGTCAAAGTTCCTCATGGAGGTCACATTGTTGGATCATCGGTTTTTGAGATGCAGACCGAGTATGATAGCTGCTGTTGGTATGTATTTGGCGCGGAGGATGTTGAATGGGGATTGGGTGGGTTGTTCTTCTTTGCGCTTTTGGCTCAACATCCTCCGTCTTCAAAGACCCCTCCACTCGCACCTTGTACCTAACATCCGAAAGCGAATCACAACACTTTTACTCCCGCATTGTGTCACTTTCCATCCTGGATGAAATCGGCAGCTCTTCTATCTGGTGCATTGTTCCACTTATGTCTCTATGCTCATTGGTCATCTGTCGTAGATATTCAATCAGCTGACAAGCAGAACGACGCCTTCGTGTATTACTCCGGTTTCACAGAAGTTCAACTGGTCCCTGGCGCAATGCTCCTATGTGAACGTCTCGTCGAACCATCCTTCGAAGGCGTATACGCTTACAAGAAATATTCCAACAAGAAATTCCTTCGAGCAAGTACGTTTGCCAGGGAATGGGCAATGAAACATGCTCCTTCATCTTGGTGATTTCGACTTTTCAAATGTCCGACTTGTCCTATTCAAATGATTCTTCCAACACCATCATGGAGGTCGGTTATTGGGGATATTCAAGGCGGATAGCGATCCATTTGAAGATGTTAGGAAGAGCATCACCGATACTTGTGAACGGAGAGAGGAAGTCACTTGGAAGAAGAGGAATGGGAAGAAGGAAGAAGGGGAAAGGGGAAGAAGACTTTTTTTTACCGAACACTTTACTTTGCCAAATCATCAAATCATCATAAACACACACACACACCCTCGAAGAAACAGTCACATTTACCCACCGGTCTCTTGCATACCCTTTTGATTCTATTCTATTCATTCATGGACAATCCGTAGCTCTAGTCATAGTCGTAAATCATGAGCCTTAAGTCATCTGAGAGAAACGAAGTTTTCTTTTACCTGTTTTTGACAAAGACGTCACATGCATCTTTATTGAGACGTTTGGGTTGGTCTGTCTATGCCTGTCTATATCTACTGGGTACTCATTGTCATCTATTGGTCATTGGCCATTGTGACTTACCCATATGTTTCCAGAAAGGGGAGGAGCAATCAAGAAAAGATGACGCGTGTTCTCATTCCGACCATTCAAACTCAACTCTGTCTTTTACATTCACTCCTACTTCTTACTTTATCATGCAACCTCAAACAGACGAACAACTCGTTCAACCTCCCATATCTGAACTACCAACTCAGACCGCAGAACATGAGCTTTCGAGTGAAGCCGAACAGAGAAATCCTGTACTGGGAATCCAAGAATCATCTTCTCTTGCCTCACCCATTGTCCATGATGATACATCAGCGATTGTTCCTATGCAAAATACAGAAGATCTACAGGAAGGAAATCATCGTACGCCAGAGACGGGAGATCATCAGGGAAGAATGGTTTCTATACAAGATACGGAAGATCTACAGGGAGAAGATATGAAGACGGAAGTTGGGGGAGAAGAAAATACCATTAAAGTTTTTGGACCTGCTACTACTTCTTGTGAGATTATTCTCATTTTTATACTTCCTTCCTTGTAGGATCATCCTCTTTAATCCCAAATCAGATCTTTCGTAAATCATCCATTCATATTTCATTTCGTCCGAATCCGAATTATTCTCATTTCCCTGTCTTTCTCTAAATTGAGAAATGATTCACCTGCACTCGTTTCGACCACAAGAAATACCTCAGCTTTATCAGATCAAACCGAGGGAATCAAAACTCTTCACTGATCACTGACTTACAGCTGAACAGGAATTACCTTTGGAATTCTTCGAACATTCCATCTCTGACGTTCAAGCATATCATTCTACCGTATTGGCCAGATCGAGAAAATTGAATGAAGCGCCTTTGTTGACTTTTAAACATCGAGAAGAGGAGAGAATGAAGAGGGAGAAGAATAAAGTTGAGAAATGGCCAAATGTAAGTTGAGGGGTGGTTTTTCTTAATTTCCTCTGACCACTTTTATTGTTTCCATCATCACATTTCTTATGATTCTCTCCTGAGTTACTTTCTCTTACTTTTTTTGTTGTCTCATATAAGCAAGGAAACACTTTTCTTCCATCATTACATTTCTTATCATTCTCTTCCTTTCTTGTTGTCGTCATATAAGCAAAGAAGTAGCATGCGGTATGAATTGCAACAGTGTGGATAATTTCTTGTCAATCTGTTCAATGATATTTTGAAGTGAAGAGATAAAATGACAAAAGGATGAATTTACTTATACTAGACAACGATACGTATCAAATTTTCAGATGGAACTCAAATCCAAAATATATTTCCATCTTCTTCTCCGTATGTCCCTTCGTCTCTACCAATATTTCATTTGGTAGTTGATTGATGTTGTAGGATCCAACCTGTATATCAATTTGTTAGATCGGCTTTAATACCGGAAGTTATTTCGAAATCTTTCATTTTATGTAAGTCTGTCTATCTTTTACTACTCCCCTCTTCCCGCTCCAAATTCATAGTGCCCCACTATGTTTCTCTCTTTTCCCTACTCCCTCACGCACTAGAGTGTATATGTTCATATAACCTACCTATTTCATTCCATCATTTCTGGCAGAGTATCCCTGTGAAAAGTATCATCTGCATAACTGGAGGCTCCCCCTTGAAATGAAATGGAATGAAATTGATATATGAGGGCAACCCCCACGTACTCAATATCCCGAACATCCTACACCTGCACCACCCAAAAAGACCACATCACGAACAACTATAATCCCTCCTGCCAATTACGGTCCCGTACGTGGAAGCGCAGTCCCTGGATTACAAGCTGGAACAGGTGGGAAAGAAAGTTTAAACGAACTTGGGTTAGTACCACAAAGTGTATTGTATGTCAAGTGGGAAGATGAGAGTATGAATGGTGAGTTTATTCACCTTTCCATAATTCCAATAAACTTCTCATAATCTCACTAAAATACCTCTCGCCCAATAATCAAATACCTCATCGTATGATCTTTCACCACACAACATGTTTGACTGTCATCTACTCCTGGAATAACTATGATCGGAACTTACACAAAGCTTCGGGTTACAAAGCACCTCTATTATCAACTTTATTAGAAAAGATGGTCCCATTACCTTCTGCAGCGCCGAAGGAACAGTCAGCTCCAAAATCCAATACTTCAGGATCAGGTTCAGGAGAAGGTAAGAAAATACCAAAGTATGTCGTTTTTTGTCATTTACGAGAATGACCTTGTTGATAGATAGATGGTTACAGAAAGGTCTTATGAAACGAAAATGAGATTCATGCCCTTAAACCCTTGTTATAGTACATTGCATTTCATGATGATGTATCTATATGTCAATTTCTGTTTCATTCCGGTACTCCCACTCTTGCCCTACTGTAGCACTGAAGTCACACCATATGTTGTATATGTGTTCTACACAAGTAACAGTTGAAAGAATGAACAGGAGGTAGAACAGATACTTTACAATGCTCCACCGAGTCTTACACAAGAAGGAATGATAGTGAGAAAGAGGAGACGATGGATAAACTTACAATACAAATAATCATCCACCAAAGGTAAATAAGCCTCTACGAACTCTCCCACCAATCCAACTACCGGAATCCTCTCCAAGGTCCTTACCACACCCAATATCTTAGGTCGGGTCCATCCGACCCACATAGGACCAGAGAGGAAGAACCTCTTTGCTAACTGACGATCTTGCTGAGCGTAGTGGTCGGCCAAAAGGATAGAACTGCGTGAAGAACGAAGAGATCGGGAGAGGAGCTGAAGGATTATAGGGATGAGGAAAGGGGATAAATTCCTGGAAAGAGTAGGGAGGGAGAATGGACGGTATACTGATGCATGTGGTTTTTTCTGCAGAATTAGCTTTCCCTCCATTCCCATTTATTCATTGTCTCTTTGTTCCCTCTTTATATCGAAGCAGAGGAGATTTTACTTGTCATGTTGCATGCCAGACAGCTCATGAGGGATATTGTGACCCAAATTACTGAGTACGATGACGTCGGTGAAGAGAGCAGAGGGAGTTACGAGGTGACTTGCTTAGTCATATAGAGGGGATGAGAGGGTATTGGACAACAAGACGGATGAGGTGCTCACCGCAGACCGTAACAAAAGAATCACATGCACTAAGGTTGAACTGATACTCAATACCTCGGATATTACCTCAGACGTAGAGTCGAGCTCAGGCAATAAGGTCGTAGGGTGAGGGAGGTAAGTTTCTGGGAGAGCCGACGAGAGAGGGTAAAGATGTGTTCGGAGTGGGGCTGTGGAAACGGATTTCACTGCTGGATGGTCGATTATCTCAGTCTGGCGTATGGGACGAGAAGGATAGTCGTAAGATGGAAATGTGTTTTGAATAGAAGATGAAGTGGATGATGAGGGGGAGGATGAAGAGGAGAATGCGGATTGGGGAAGAGAAGAGGGATCGTATTCCCTCTGAGGAGTAGCAGGGGAGAGCACAGGACGTTTGGTGATGATTAATATGATAAGACGAAGGATTGTCCTTATTTCTTCAGCTATGCCCCACAATTTGCCCTTTGTCCGCACATAACTGAAGATGGCCGATCATGTCATTGACACCCTTCGAGTCAAGCTTATGAAGACAAACTTCGATTATGTTAAGGAGTGGCATGGTAGGGAGGGAAGGTGATGATCACGATGGAGTATCAATGATCAGGAATGTCAAAGAAAGAACATATGACTCACTTCAAACTCTCCATCCACACTACAAGTCTCCATCTAATCTTATCTCCCCCTTTCTTCTTTGCTACCATTTCCACCAACAGCTCAACATAACTAATAGTCGTCAATGCCCGACTGGCACGACGGTAGATACCTGACTTCTTGGTCCAATATCGTGTATATCGCGCGTGCTCACTGGGGGTTGGTAGGATAGTCGAATCTCCCGATGTACTCTCGGGATTGACATGTTCAGAGGGTGGAGTAGATTCCGGTTGAAAAGGATGAGGAGGTAGAGAAAGAGAAGGGTCGATTCGACGTTGAAGTAGAGTATCGTGGTATGATGTCACAAGGGACAGTAAGGCGTATACTATCTATGAGCACTTTAATCACAGACAGTATTAGGCATCTCTAGTCATACTTGAATGGAAGTGAAGCACTGTGGAATATGTGGAAAAGGTGGAATAACTCACGCCCTTCAGAAGCCACCTCGGCATCTTCGAACCTTCCTGGTAAAAGCCAAGTGAGTGTACGTAGAGAAGATTCGATAGATGATACGGTAGATACATTATCGACGAGTAGCTTTTCATATGTTTTCCGTAGATTTGAAGGAGGCATCATACACTATTTTGCTAGTATATTGTGGAATGAGGGAAAGGGGAAAGTGTAAAGTGGGGAAAGCGGGGAGAAGGAAAGGAGATATCGATTCCAGACATCTACACATCATCTTTATCGTCTTTCTCTCCTGAGATATCCTCTACTTCGCCCTTATCGGGCTAAGGGAACAGAATAATAGGTATCAGACCATCATGTCTGATTCTCTTCCTGATATCATTCACTCAATGTCCATACAACCCGTGGTACACGACAACAAAACCACTCTTCCAGCGAGGGATTCAACCTACCAGTCAGCTTACGATGCCGCCGGTATATATTCCCTCTACGGTGATTCTCGAGGTAGTCTTGATCAATATCTTAATCAACCAGAAATGAAGAACGGTCATGGTTCACATACTCAAGAGAATGATATAATTGAAAAGATGGAAGAACTTCAAGAATCCCCTAAAATCAATTCACCACCTAGGCCTATCGGTCTGTCACCTTCCGTCTCGATTCGGCAAAGAGCTTTGGATCTTTCACAATCCGAACTCACCGATCTTCCACAAATACCAGCTTCAGATGAATTGATCAAGAGAAGAATATCAGAAACACCAGCAATCGCTATTTCCAATCATGATGATGGTCATTCTCCCTCTACACCTCCCCCGGCTTCTCCTAGGATAGACAAAGATCTTCCAACTGTACCCATACCGGCACATCACTCTTCAGTAACATCAATGACTCAAGGTGATTATCAACTTTTCGGTGAAGAAGATGACCCCCCTGGAGTGGAAGGAATCCACAATGGAGAAACTAGTCAACCTCCCGTCTTAGGGAATGTCATCTCTACTCCAAAGCAGAAGAGTACACATCATTTGTCACCGGCAAAACTAAGAATGTCCAATATGTCAAACTCGTCCAGTGTCCTCAGTAATTCAACACCACCGAGTAGAAGTCCAAGTCAAAGTCAAATATCCGTCTCTCGTAGTTTCCAATACCCAGGAGAGGAAGCTGATGCTTTTCATGTACGTTCCACTTGTGAGTAACGTCTCTCACCTGTCTCTCTTTTCTCATCGTCCTTCTTATCTCATCCGACACTCTTTCGTCATGCTCTGTCTGCTTTCTCATATGACACAAGTACTTTCCGACGGGGGATATTTGGGTGGGAGGGGTCAAACTGCGAGGCGAAAATCAAGAGCTGGCAATCACGACGACTAGCTAACTGTCAGACGCACGGCTGGAAAAGGAAGGTGTCCATGGAGACGGTTGGGATGCAGGTGTTGAAAGAACTCGCGGTGGTCCATCGACGGGGAAGAGAGCTACAATGTTCGTCGCCACTAAAGGAATGGATATAGGGGAGAATGAGCGAGAGTTCTTGGCCTCTCTAGACCGGTGAGTTATTCTCATTCGCAGCTTCTCCTTCTCCTACAGGCCAGATGCTAGGCTCGTATATCAAAGTTGGGCCTAATTGACAGATACGGTTTCATCAACGAGCCATTAAGGAATCGATCAGAAACTCGACTCGCTCTCATCCCATCGGGTCCACTCCGCCGTGTACCCAAACTCCCTCTCATATCACCCTTGGCAGGAAAACCTCCACCTTCTCAAACCCACATGGACATCATGTCGGGTGGAGGAGCCGACTCTCCTCGTGCACCTGAAACACCGAGGAGTATACCAGGAGAGGATGAACGACATCGTAAGAAAGAACAAGAGAGAGTGGAGAAATGGATGAAGATGATGATCGTGAAACGACGAGAAGGGGGGAATGCAGTGGAATGGGGTTGGAGAGGAGAAGCTGAGACGAAGGTTCGTCTACTCAGTTACAACCCTGTACTCTTACTCCTTTTCTGACTCACTTCCCCGGGGCTATTCGAGTTTACAATGGTATGAAGCTGACCACAAGCTCCTCACAAGAGTGTATAAAGGTATTCCGGATCGATGGCGAATGGCAGCTTGGTGGACTTTATCAGAAGATACCGTCCGATCACAAGAGCAACAGGGTCAAAAGAAACATAAATCCATCGAGGAACTCTCCAATGATTACTTGGTCAGTATACTCCGAGATTGTAGAAGATTTGACTGAATTGACAGACTCGACTGGATCTTCCTTCCTCTCATGACGTCCAAATAGATCTAGACGTTCCTAGGACGATCTCCGGACATACTTTGTTCGTCACTCGTTATGGTTCTGGTCAACGGTCGTTGTTTCACGTTTTACACGCATTTTCATTGAATTGCGATGTATGTGGGTATTGTCAGGGTATGGGACCATTAGCAGCTACATTGTTATGTTATTTCGATCCTGAGGTGAGTGTATCTCTTCTCTCTCTATTTTCATCTTCTTCCTTTCGCTTTCGTCTCATTCTCGACCCTTCGATCTATGGGTACACAAAGATTCTGAGATTCTCCCCTCAAGTGGACATAACCATACAAGCTTTTGGTTTGTTAATTGGGAATGGACATGTAATGTTGACGTTTAGCGAGCACACGCTCTTATGGTCAGACTTCATGACGTATACGATATGCACACCATCTTCTCTCCCGGGTTTCCCGGCCTGCTCGAGGCGTTTTACGTTCAAGAGAGACTGATGGAGTATCTCATGCCGCAGGTATATGAGAATTTCGTTAGTATCTCTTCGTCCTACCCATTCTTTTCATACATGACAAATTGCGAATGAAAACATCAGCACTTCCCGTTCCTGTCCTTTCATCATCAATCATTCAACGGCATATCCTCTCCTGTCGGCTATCTTAGCTATGGGGAATGGGTTTTCTGTCCGCTATCAAACAGCGACATTACGGGGAAAAGGCCGCTGACACGAAGCGACGACATATGATCTCTTCATCCGCTTGGGGTACGAAATGGTATATCACTTTATTTGTCAATACGATCCCTTTTGCTCAACAACTTCGACTTTGGGATGCATTATGGTTAGACGGAAGGGATGTGATAGTCCTGATGAGTCTCGCTATATTGTGGGCGTTCAAAGGTTGGTCAAGAAATATTTCATTTTATCCATCTTCTCTCCCTCCTTATCTATGTCCCTGTCAATTCCCCCGACCTGTTATCTTCACTTCAATTCCTCAAGCACCCAGCTTTCTGGGGTCAAGAACATACTTTCCTTCTTCCGTCTTTCCTGATCACAATCTCTGTCATTCAATCTACCAAGCGAATATTCACAGACGGAGATGACATTTCGCTATGAGATTGATGAGAACTTATAGCTCACTCTTCAGACCTCCTCTCAGCTCCAAACGCTTCATTCGAATCAATCCTCTCCCTGCTCTCTTCATACTTCGTAGCGGAAGACGATGACGTGCTCATGCGTTGGATCCGGAAGATGAGACATCAACCAGGTTTGAAACAACGTATGGATAGTTGGAGGACGGAATGGGGTAAGATGGTACAAGATGGTACATCTCGTGATGCGCTCATATGATCTCTCCTTTTCCCCTTCACCTTTCAACCGATCGGCCGCATTTATGGGGGTCAAGGGGTGAACGGACTTCGTATGCGGAGTAGGACGAGCCTTCTAAGTCGTGGGTGAGATATTATAACATTATTGAGCAATGTGATCGGAAACGTTAGGATGACAGTCTGAATAGGTCGGGGAGATAGAAGAACAGGAAAAGGAAGCAAACGGGGAATTGGGTACGAAAGAGAGAAGTCAGACAAATAATCATCACACAAGTAGTTTAGACGAACATGTTGGTTCCTTGTATATTCCGCAGCATCATAGCATAGTCATGACATCCACCTTTGCATATTAATCACCTCATGAAATTGATTTCTCATCTTTTACGACATGATACCTGCTCATGCCTTCATGCCAAAAGCAACACATCTATAGTCAGAAAGAATGCATGATGTCCCCATTTGATATGTACATTGTCTAAACTTTAAACCTCTTGATATCTACTTGTACCTAAACATATCTATGAACGGGTATTGGGCCTGTAACGTCTGATCGTAAGCCTGGCTTCTATCTCAAAGTCATAGTCAAATGCGGGGGAAGATGGTCGAGTGGTTAAAGCAAGTGAAGAAGGAGAGCACAGAAAGACGCAACTCACGGCTCATCATTGAACACCATACTCGGATCCAAATCACCATGAATGATATCATAGAACAATTGAATAGACGACTGTCTGACCCAATTCCACGAACTATCAAACGTACGCGCTTTGAGAGCAGAGAAGACAGGGGTGATACCTTCGATATAGGCGTCACCATGTTCCATCTTGATTGCATCAAGCATAGCTTGTAGCTTCTCCGCGGATACCTGACAGTCAGTCATGCATCCCATAATCACACTTGTCGCTCGCTCAAACAGGCTTCAAGTGTGAGAGACGACAGATGACACTGATAGTAGGTGAAATCGAGAAAAAAGAGTGCTTCGAAGGGAGGAAGAACAGACACTCGACGACTCACCTTTTCTTCATCTGCACGTTTATCACCCGCCCTCACATCCTTTCCGAGGTAACGAGACAACAACTCAATCTCCCTTTGCATATGCTCCTCCTGCTTGAGGACAAACTTGTCAAACTCCTCGGAATTCATCACTGCTCCTCCACCTCCACCACCGGCAGAACCACCACCACTTCCTCCAGTTGACAGAGACACACCAGCGTACGAAGCATAGCTTTGAGCCAAAGAATCCAAAAACGCTTTCGCTTCCGCTTCAGAGCCCATACGTTTTGGTGGTTCGGCAAGAATACCAAAGAATAACGCCGAGTCCGTACGGAGTGGTCCCAGACCCCATTGTTTGTTGAGATGGGCACGCGCTACAGAGATGTTGAAGCCACCAGGGAATTTGGAAGAGATCATGCGGTTCGTCAACGCTTGTGCGTGCTTGCCGAGGACAGAATATCCGACGTTGAGTGCAGCACCGAGTTCGTCCAGTGGCAGGTCTTCGGCTTTGTCAGGAGCAGATGCGAATTCTACTTGAAGATCACCAAGGATTTCATTCTGCAAGGTCGACTTTCCACCGGATAGTTCCTTGAGAGACTTGCTGAGCGGGATTTCCGACGCCATTTTCTTGAGTTTCTGAGCGACGATTATTCGGACCGTATCGACAGCTTTGGGTGGGGCATCTTCGACGGCGGCAGCGGGTCCAGCAGAGGAGGCCACGACCGGGGTAGCAGCCACTGGAGCGGAATTAGCAGGGGCGATAGGAGCAGATGCACTGGGAGAAGGTTCGGACGGAGTAGTTTCTTCCGGCGCATCCTCGAAAAGATAGTACACCTCGCGCTGGTTTTTGGCGTGACAGTAAATCTCACGCTTAAGTGAGATTGCACCATCTTGGGCTTCGTACTTGGCTTTGAGAGTTCGAGAAGCCATACCGGACAATGTCGGGCTGGGACCGATTTCTATGAATCGCTCGAATTTGGCCAAAGAGAAAAGGACATCCTGGGTTTCGATCCAACGGACGGGTGAAGCAAACCTAAACTGGTCAGCTCAGTTTCTGCTTCATTTCAGATCGACTCACTGGTAAGCTAGACATTCAGTCAGGATATCATAAGCTAAGCGCTGACGCTTGCCAGCAGTATCCCACCCGTCCTCTTCCCAGCTCTTGAGTATAACTTCCATCCTCGGCGAACTCGTCTGGTCGAAGATCGTCTGGACATATCGCTTGCTAACTTCAAAAGGTTCAGCCAGCAAATTGGGGATGTACTTGCCCACCAGTCGGTCCGGGTCCAATTGTTTCGGATCGATCTTCTTCATTAGGTAGTTACGGAAAGCCATGACACCGCCCCAGAGGTAGCGAGAGTGGAAAGGGACATCGATCCCGGGCAGAGGAATGGTAGCGAATCCACGCTCCAAAATGACTTGCCCGTCTTTACCTTCTTTCTCGATGACTAGATCCCAGCACCCATCAATGATCTCCGCAAGCTTGCCTTTCAGCTCGTCCACACTCATCATGGTCGACAGCTTCTCCAAGTCGATCTTCTGAGCCTTCAGCATGTTAAGAACATTCGTGAGACACGCAAGAGCACGAAGTTCACCGGCACAGACGTATTGCTGATTGGCGACATTGAGATTGACGATTTGAAGAAGGATTGACTTCTGAATGCTGATAGCGTCCACAATCTCACGTAAAGCTTCCTCGCTGAAGGTCTTGCCAACTCGAGAAGGATTGCAAGCCATCATGGCGTAGTTGGATTTCCCATTAGCGTCACGGTGAACAGCGCGCTGCATCGTGATACCGCGGTAGAAGACGACGTCGGCGAGACTTGAGATGGGGAGGACATCGGCAATCGCAGCAAGGGCAGAGTACTCGCCGAGGGAATGCCCAGCAAAGGAAGCATTATGATCGATTAATCCCTTCGATTTCATATCATCGAAGGCGGCTTTCTCAGTGACGACGAGGGCGATCTGAGTATATTGGGTGGCGAATAACAGCCCTTGGGGGTGAGAGAAGGTATAGCTCGTGGTGTACAGATCGATATCGCTGAAGAGAGGTTGTGAATGCATTTTGCCCTCCTCATCGATCGTGTCGTACATCAGCTCCATGTATCGCTGTCGGATACCTTGCCCCTTTATACCACCGAAGTGGATAGTGATCTCCTTGGGGTTGTTTTTGACAATGTCGACAATTGAGAAGCCATATACCGAAGTCAAGTGTGCGTCCGCGGCGTCCCAAACAGCACGAGCGACAGGTGAAGTGTTGTAAAGTTCCATACCCATGCCAACCTCCTGCGACCCCTGACCAGTGAAAACATACGCTGCGGGAGGCTGCTGAACCTCGGAAAGACCGTCAAGGACCTTGTCTCCGTGTTGATTGAAGGCTTCCACCTTCACGACCTTGTTCCCGTCGCGCATGGCGATGTGAGTGAGCTTGACGCTGATCTCATCACCAGGGAGTACCATGCCGACAAAGCCGACTTCATATGATACGACTCGTTCGGGGTGGTTGTCTGCGACGGTAGTTTCGAGATATTTTCGAGTGGCAGCGCTATTCCACATGCCGTGTGTGATGGTACCGGGAAGTGAAGCCAAGTCGGAGAAATAGGGGTTCACGTGAATGGGGTTGAAGTCGCCCGAGATCTTGGAGTAAGGCTCATTGGTCGCTGGCGTGATGTACCTGGCAGAACTCGCATCGGTGATAAGCGAGTATCCACCAGTTTCCAGTGGTACCGGAAGTCCGACAGGCTTGCCATGTCGTTTGAGATATTCGACGACGGGGTTACCATGCAAGTTGTGTGCTTCATACTCGACTGTTGCGACCTGCACCAACTTCTTTGTGCTGCTTCGAACGAATGCAGCTCCCGTCACCCTGATCGAGCTGAAAGTAGTCTTATCCTTGTAGCGGAGTTCCGATTTCGTTTTGAAGGTCAGAGTTGTACCGACATCAAGAGGAATCGAATCATCGTCCCATTCGAACCAGGGTTTAGACTGTAGGACACCGATAGATGTAGCTCGGTCAAGTGTGACCACGTGGTCGGTTTCGTCGATGATCTGGAAAGTGTTTTCGAAGTCTTTGAACTGACCACGGTATAAGAAAGACGAAGTGACCTCGATAACGGGCTCGCCTCCGCGGAGGACATATCCCTTGACGGTGACCGTTTTGCCGCTATCACTTATGATGACCGCAGCTACACGAGCTTCGGCTGAACATCGATCGCCAGCCCGCAGCGGGGTCACACCGTCCATCATTCGGAAGCCGTTTGAGAGATGGACGAGGTTAAGCAAGTCGCCGTCGATGTCCTGAGGGAAAGTAGCTTTCATGATCGCCTAGAGTTCAGCGATACTCCACTCGGCGTTCATCGATCACTTACCTGCCAACCCAGAACAATGGCGAAGTCCATAGGTGCCATGATCTTCTCGTTGCGAGCGGACTTGAAGCTTTCTCCCTGATTACCGATCACATCGCAGAAACGTTGTACAATTTCAGGTACGACGACAATGTCTTCGCCACTGAAGACCGAGTTCACGCTGAGTTGTGGAAGCTTCTGGTCGTCACCGAACCACAGGCGCCAGTAGAAGTCCTTGATACGGTCGTTCCTACCTTCAACGACTTCGTGAATAGGGGCATAACCCATTTCGGGCTTGTAAATGAATTCGAAATACAGGGGAACAGCGTAGCCACGTCGCTCTTCGTTCATGACGAGCGAAATCTTGCGAGTTTTGGTATCATACGACATCTCCACAGCCTTGAAGTCGGCAGGGTGTGGGCCAGAGGATCGTGCGCTGCCGCTCAAGGTCACCGATTGGACTACTCCTTCAGCTGTTCTGATCTCGACGGACTGACCGGCGCGAGGGGTAAAGATACGGCGGAAGGGATTGCTGACATGACTCGTGCCTCGCACAATATTGACGGTAGTCAGGACGGCACGCAACCAGCTGACATCCGGACCAGCGACGGTTTCCAGCCACTCATCCACCGAAGGAACGATAGAGCCGATGGTGAGAGTGCGAGCATCTCCTTGCAATCTGTCTTCGACGGTGATTTGACTCTGCCTGACAGGCTTGGCACCGATGTAATCGATCTTCGGGACCTTGCTTTCGTCCCCGCCGTAGTACTTGTCGAGAACCTTTCGTACCAGCAGAGCTTCAATATTGCCAAGAATGTCCGCCACAGGCTCGTCCACCACCGTGGAATGCTTTGCCGCTAGGGGACCCTGGAGGATGCATACGCGCTGAGGGTCTTGATCGAATACGGCGTCGATGTCTTCAGACGCCCAGAGGGAGTCCTTCTTGAACCAGACCTCGAAGTTGTTGTCAAGAATAGGAATGAATGGTACCGGCTTTTGCGACGGACGCTGACAGATGGTCAAGAAGAATGCATGGTCCTCGGCAGCGACCAGTTGAGATCTAGCACGGGGATAGGTCGAGAAGAATGCGTCGATGGTGGGAGCGGGAGAATCGAGGGCAGCAAAGGACTGGATTAGGGACTCTTTGGTTCGTGTTCCGTCGACTCCAGCAAATCGCTCCTCGACACGACGCAACCAGTCGCCGACGAGGTTACGGAGGGAGACGTCAACCCAACGGTTCTGATTCGTGACATACATAAGCCGAAGCATACGTCGAGTGATCTCTTCGTAAGTCATTTGACCGATGTCGGAGACGACGCTTTCGTCCGCCTTTTGACCGAACCAAGGCTTTTGATGATCCTTGTTCAGCCGCTCGATGACATAATCTTTCTTAACCTCCAACCAGGCAGCCCGCTTCTCCCTTGGCTGAGAAAAGACAGTATCATCGAACTCGCGCCAGAGCTTGACACCACGAGTCGCGATTTTATGAATCGGCTCGCCGAGTTCGGAACGGACAGTGAGGATTCCGCCTGTGGGTTTGTCGTAGGTACCTTCCCATGCAGCGTCGTCTACACCAGGGGCCTCCACGATAAGCTGCTTCACGGACCTACTCGTATCGGCTTCTTTGGCGACCATCATACGACTGGCATACAACGCGCCGTCGAAGGGCATTGGTTGAAGGTTGAACATCTCCACCGCCCATTCGCCTGAAATACTACACAAGTCAGCGTATTTCAGCCTTCTCAAGCATGAGTGCTCACTATGGCCACACATCGTCAGCTCCGCCAAAGCCTGATCCAGCAACCAGAGATATGTTTCGATGTTGACGGATGCTGGCGTAGGTGGCGATGATGGGTTGGTGAAAATCTTCACAGCTATGATGCCCACCAGCTCGGCCGCCCGTCCATTGCAGTATGATAGGATAATCTGGGTTGGATGCCGCGATGTTGATGACTTGCCGGATGCCTTCGACGGAGCCGGGCTTGAAAGCGATATGTTTGATCCCGACAGCTTTCAGAGCAGTTATGATTTCTGTAGCCTTCTCGGAACTAGGGATACCCGCAGCCACACAGAACCCCTCGATGGGCAGTCCTTCACGACGCATTTCCTGCCAGAGGGGAAACTGAAAGCTAAACTGCCTTTGGTTGATGTACAGAGCGTTGAGAGTGAGACCGACTCCAGGCTTGACTCGCTTTTGGATTTCGGCCACTTTGGAGCGCAATGCATTCGGATTGTAGTGCCCACCACCAGCGAGCTCGATGTGATAACCGGCGTTGAGGGTCGCAGAAACCAGACTCGAACCAACGGTGGTGGGTGTCATACCCGCTACCATGATCGGTGGTTTGCCCAGCATACGGGAAAATGCAGTGTCGATGTGCACCTTTCCATCCCTAGTGAGTCAGCATAGTCCGTGAAGGATGTAGACAGAGCACTCACAAAGTGCGCACCAGTTTCGGACTCCACTCGTGTGCCCATACCGGTTCACGCTTCACCTTTATCGCATCATACAGCTCAGCAGCGGCCTTGCCCTTCTCACCGACCACCACCACGCGCACACCACGTCCTTCCACGACGCGTGCAACAAGGTACCCGACACCACTATTGCCACCTGGACCAAAATCAACACAATGCGTAGCAGTGGGGGGAAAGTTGCAAGCGACACCCCAATGAATGTGCTGAGTGAAAATCTGATCACAGAGAGCGGCAGTGATCGTCGCAGAGGAACGCACATCAGATCCTAAAGGTCAGAGAACTGTCGCTCCGAGTGTTGAGAGCTTACCATCTTCGGTGTGATATATCGTCAAAGCCAAATCCTTCCCAGACCATAATTCTTCGCCCGCTAGATCATTCTCGACTACCAGCTTGGTACATCCTTGCAAGTATGCGCTATGATAAGGAACATTTATGGGGAGGAAGCGCATATTGAAAACAGCTTTTCGCTTCGAGAACGGCGTCTTGCTTTGATCCAAGCCCGGAGGGGCCATGACACGACGAAGGGCAGTCGCCAAACCGTACAGAGCCCTTGCCGGACCGGTAACGACAAACATCGTCGGGGCGTTGTGTAAAGAAACACCGATTTTGGAGTTATCGGGGAGATGAGCATTGACCTTCTTCAAGTGTCCCTCCAGTGCCTTCAGGCTCAGGCCGTTCACGGCGAGCATTGGAGTCGGGACCCCTTCGTTATTCGCCACGGAGTCTGCGACGATCTGAGGTTCGACCGACAAGAGAGGGAAACCTTCTTGACCACGAAGACCGATGTAGAATAAAAGTTTCACAGCCTTGAGGATGTTCTCGTCCAGCGCGGCCCAAGTCGCAGATGCGGCAATGGCCACAGCGGAGACGATACCTTGAGAATGACCGGTCGCGCCTTTGAACAGGTCTCGCATTTCGCCAGGAGTAAGATCTGTGACACGACAGGAGACGACATACTGCAAAAGCTGTACCACGCCGATAAGAGGAAGGGACAAGGGGATGGAAGCGAGGTATGGAGTGGTGGGAGAGGGTTTCGAGCCGTTCAACCAAGCTGCGAGATCAAGACCTTCAGTGTAATAGGCGTGGTTATCAGACTCGGCCTTGGCGCCGAGGGGCAAGAGCACTTCGCTAGTGATACGTGACACGAGCGCGGACACGAAGGGAGAGTATACGCTGTACAGGTATTGAAGCTCGAGAAAGTAGGTCTCGATGTCAGCTGTGACTATAAAACGATCTTTGTACTCACTTCGTTAACACCTTGCCCTCCAAATACACCGTAGAGCTCAGCACTACCAGTCTTTGCAGCCTCAAGAAGGGCCGAGGGATGAGCGAGCCGCACTTGCTGAGGTCCAAGCAGCGATCTCGCCGTGTCAAAAGCCTTGAAGTAGGCGGTGAGGATCTCCGCACGGGCCTCCGGTTCGAAGGATTGGACCAGAGAGTGGATGTTAATAGTGGAGAGGAAGAGCTCATTGAAACGGTTGTAAGAGGCAAGGAGGACTTGGCAAGTCTCGGAACCATGGGCGCCAGAAACCTTGTCGGCGACGAATGAGAGGAATCGAGCGAGGAGCTTGACCTGGGGTTCGTTGGAGACGGGCAAATTCAAGGCTTCGTCATCTGGTTCGTTAACGATGGCAGCATCGTCTAGACCGAGTCGAGAGTCATGAAAGTCCTGAGCTAGGACCTCAGACTCTACCCAGGCAGATAGAGGAGAGGCGGGGACGAGGATAGAAATCCTTGCGGCAGGGGAGTGAAGGACAAGGGGACGGGTCGGGGTCGAGGTGGAAGACGATGCCATGACGGAAGAGTAGCTACAAGATGAGAGCTGCTGTCCGAGATGAGATGATATGAGAGATGAGATGATGAAAGGGGAAGATGAGGTATGATAAGAGAGAGAGAGAGAGGGATGAGATGGAATGTGAGAGGCAACTTTTGGTTGGGGGAGAGTGAGGTGTGGTGAATTGGGGTGAGCGGCTATACTCGGCTTTTGACCTTTGGGTGGCGGAGGGATCTTCCCCACAAAACCGGAGCCAAAATGTTCCCCCCATCCACACGTGAGCTCGGACCGTCCATGGCCCATTCCCCATTCCCCATTCCCCAACTGAAAGACATGGCATTCCACCCAGTTTTACATTACCTACTCTACATTCGTATCCTCTCATCCTTACCAATCTTCCCCCAACTCATCCGCTAGCCCCAAGCCGCAGGCCGCAGGTTTATCCCCAACCAAGCTAACTTGCCAAGTCCACGTCATCTATTCACCTCGAATCTCTCCTCCCTCCTTCTTCCATCCCCACCTCACCTAACATTCCTCCTTCCCTCATCCACGTCTCTATCCTAAATTATGGCAGCTGGAATGGACTCTGAGAGTATCGTACGTCGTGAGATCACTTCACGATGTATTGCCATCGTACGTGTCGCTCTTCTCCTCCGCCCATGACTTGACTGATTCCGACAGATGAATCGAGCGGATTCCACCCTTCTTGAGTGAGTATCAATTTCAAGGGGCCGGCGATTAGCTCAGCTCACCTCCTTAGCTACATGAAGTATCACATTGACAGTGTGAATGCCTCCAAAGGTCCGACATACGAAAAGGCCAAGAAGTTTGGTCAGATTCTCCTTGACAACTGTGAGTGTGGTTCAAGGGCATGGTATCATAGGCTAGCAGCTGATATCCAAGGTCAGGAAGCGGTCGACAAACCCCCGGTATACCGGGATGTGGCTCTACCGACAGCGCCGCATACCGAGATCACCGCCAATGGTGATGTGGTCTACCGTGAAGTGCTTCGTCAGAACGTGCGCAAACTGGAGAGCTATGTGAAAGGTGAGCTCCTCTTGATGCGTTCATTCAGGGTGGATCATGACATCGCAGAGATGGCTTCTGGAGGTGCGGTCGAGCCAAGAGTAAACCTCGACAAGGTACAATCTGACATTGGTGAGTCTTGCACGCCTTCGGAGGACTTTGTCTGACGATGTGTCAGAAAAATTGTGGGAGCTGGTCAACTCTCAGCCGTCCATCACCCCGGCGCAGAAATCGGCCATCAAGTCCATGTACTCCGAGGTCGTCAAATCACTCGGAAATCCCCTATCTGCCGATCTGAGTATTGAAGCCATCGGTCGAGTCAAAGGGCAACGTCAACGTCGTAGTTCCTCCCAATTCCTGCGCCCGAACGTCGATGATCCGACCGAAGTCGAGGAGACACACTTGCCATTCTTGCATCTGAAGCGGAAAACAGGGACGAGCTGGGCTTACAGCCAAAAGCTCACAAATATCTGTCAGTAGTCCTTCTTTACTTCCGTCATGGGCTGACCCGAAGATCTTGATGTCTTGACCGAGATTGCGACTTCGGGAGTGAGCTTCGCCAAGAAAGCAGCTCTTCTTACCGGTGTTGGCAAAGGCAGTATCGGTGTGGAGATCCTCAAGGGCTTGTTGTCCGGAGGTGCCATCTGCGTCGTGACCACATCCCGCTACAGCAGAGCCACAGTCGATTACTACAAGAACATCTTTCACGAAATTGGCTCAAAGGGATCCAAGCTTATCGTCGTTCCGTTCAATGGAGGTTAGTCTTGGACGTTGACAGCACCAATATACTGACCTTGCAGCCTCTAAACAGGATGTCGAAGCTCTAGTAGATTATATATACTCCAACCTTCAGATCGACCTTGATTACATCATTCCCTTTGCGGCTCTTCCGGAGAACGGAAGAGAAATCGACGGACTTGACGACCGATCAGAGCTCGCCCATCGTCTGATGTTGACCAATCTCCTTCGCCTACTCGGTGCTGTCAAAGTGAAAAAGGCGGCCCGACGCTTCGTGACACGCCCCACCCAAGTCGTTCTCCCCCTTTCCCCCAATCATGGAACCTTCGGCAATGATGGCATGTACGCCGAGTCTAAGATATCTCTAGAAACTCTGTTCAATCGTTGGGGAGCAGAGTCCTGGGGCGAATATCTGTGTATCGCAGGCGCAGTCATCGGCTGGACCCGAGGCACTGGTCTCATGAATGCCACCAACACGATCGCTGAAGGTCTGGAGAAGCTTGGCGTGCGCACATTCTCTGCCAAAGAGATGGCATTCAACATCCTCGGTCTCATGCACCCCTTGCTTTTCGACATTACACAGATTGAGCCCATATGGGCGGATCTCAACGGTGGCATGGACCGCGTGGCAGGTCTAAACGAAGTAATCACCAGCATCCGACTCGACATGAATCGTCTAGCGGATCTACGCAAAGCCATCGCTATGGACAATGCGCAGGATTTCTTCGTTACCAATGGTAATGGCGCCGAGCGCTTGCATCAAAAGGTCAACATCGCTCCTCGTGCCAACTTCCGCTACGAATTCCCCGTGATTGAAGGTCCTGACGTGCTCGCCGAGCTCGAGCATCTGCGGGGCTTGATTGATCTCGACGAAGTCATTGTTTGCACAGGCTTCGCCGAAGTTGGACCCTGGGGCAGCTCTCGAACACGTTGGGAGATGGAGGCCCGTGGCGAGTTCACCATTGAGGGCTGCATAGAGATGGCATGGATGATGGGTATGATCAAGCACTTCGACGGCAAGCTGGCTTCTGGGGCAGCGTATGTCGGCTGGGTGGACGCTAAATCGGGAGCGCCTGTCGATGACAAAGATGTCAGGACCAAGTATGAAAAGGATATCATAAAGCATTCCGGCATCAGATTGATCGGTTGGTCTGAGCACAGATGATAGATTCATGAGCTGATCCGTCAGAGCCCGACCTCTTTTACGGTTACGACCCAGAGAGGAAAGTATTTCATCAAGAGATTGAGCTGAACCATGATCTTGAACCGATTGAGGTACCTGCCGAGGACGCTGCTCGCTTCAAACGCGAGCAAGGCGACAAGTGCGATATCTGGGCGCAAGCCTCTGGCGAGTACATGGTCAAGTTCAAGAAAGGCGCGAGGATTCATGTGCCGAAATCGATAAAATTCGACCGTCTCGTGGCTGGACAAATCCCCACCGGCTGGGATGCCAAGCGGTATGGAATCCCCGACGATATTATTGCTCAAGTCGATCGGTGAGTCAGTCGTTCGTTGACGTGTAATGCTGACTATCAGCACTGCGCTTTGGGCGTTGACAGCCACCATGGAAGCCCTGGTCATGTCCGGCGTGACGGACCCTTACGAGCTGTACAAGTATATCCACCCATCTGAAGTTGGCACTTCCTTGGGCTCCGGTATGGGTGGCATGCATTCGCTCAGCGCCATGTTCAAAGATCGGAGAGAAGAGAAGGATGTACAGAAAGATGTATTGCAGGAGACGTGAGTGTTACTGTGCCACGAAGTATCAGACTGACAAAACAGCTTCATCAACACCGTCGCTGGTTGGGTTAACCTTTTGCTCCTATCGGCTAGCGGTCCAGTCAAGATCCCTGTCGGTGCCTGGTAAGATTCTACGTCGCTGAACATGACTCGATGCTGACATTCAGTGCTACTGCCCTTCAGTCCATTGAGATCGGCTGTGACTCCATTCTGTCCAAAAAAGCCAAAGTCATGATCGCCGGTGGATTTGATGATTTCTCAGAGGAAGGTTCATTCGAGTTTGCCAACATGAAAGCGACCAGCAACACCGAGACCGAGTTTGCCATGGGACGTGAGCCCAACGAATTCTCTCGTCCCATGACCAGCACCCGTGCCGGATTTATGGAGTCGCAAGGTTGCGGTGTGCACATTTTGATGAGTGCAAAGACGGCCATCGAGATTGGTGCAAGTATCCAAGGTATCGTCGCTTACACTTCCACCCATATGGACAAAGCCGGTCGGTCGATTCCCGCACCTGGGCAGGGTGTCCTCACTGCCGCGCGTGAGATCACCCCTAAAGAACCTCTCCCATTGCTCGACATAAAGTACCGCGCTAGACAACTGGCGTTCCGTCGACGACAGATCTCCCAGTGGTTGGAGAGCGAACACGAATTGTTGGAGACGGAGCTGGAAGCCAGAACATCGGGGAGTGAAACGGACGAGTGGTTGAAGTCGCGTGTTGCTTTCATCGACAGTGAAGCACAGCGACAGGATAAGGACGCGCTCTCGACCTTTGGGATGCTCAAAGGCTCGAACCCTGCCATCGCGCCTCTTCGTCGGGCTCTTGCTGTCTGGGGATTGAATGCGGACTCTGTTGGAGTAATCTCCTGTCACGGTACCTCGACTAAAGCGAATGACAAGAACGAATCGGGGGTGTACAACCAACAATTCCAGCATCTTGGTCGATCTCCGGGAAATGCCGTACCTGTCATTGCTCAAAAGTCCCTCACAGGTCATCCAAAGGGTGGTGCCGCCGCTTGGCAATTCAACGGTATGTGTCAGACCTTAAACTCTGCCCTCGTTCCGGGGAATCACAACGCCGACAACATTTCAGAAGAGCTTCGACAATACCCCCATCTTTTCTACCCCTCGAAACCGATTCAACACGTCCGTCTCGAATGCGGTATTCTCACTTCCTTCGGTTTCGGTCAAGTTGGAGGTGAAGCTCTCATCGTTCATCCACGATATCTCTACGCTGCTTTAGAACCTAGTGTCTTGGCGGAGTATCAAGCCAAACGCAGGAACAGGGAATTGGACACTTACTCTCGAATGTCCAGTTCGATGGTACGTAATAATCTGGTACAGATCAAAGACGCTCCTCCTTATTCCGCGGAGCTCGAGTCGAAAGTCCTTCTCAACCCTTTGGCACGTGCGGGCCCAAGCAAGAATTCTTATGCTTTTCAAGGTAAACTACCTAGCTCTGTACCTCTCAACGGGGCCAACGCCAAGACTCTTCAAACATTGTTCTCTCAAGCTGGCGATATAGCCGGGGTTGGGTGAGTCACAATCATCTGACATTTCCAACGACCCTCCCTTCCTGACAACCGACTCTTTCTTGTCTCCCATGCCTAGTCTTGTCGCATTGTGAGGTCTCTGCTGACGTATAGCGTCGATACAGAACTCATCACCGCCGTCCCCACTTCAGAAACTTTCCGTCAACGTAACTTTACCCAGTCCGAGATCGACTATTGTTCCTCTGCTCCTGACCCTATTGCGTCTTTCGCAGGAAGGTGGGCGGCGAAAGAAGCCATCTTCAAAGCTCTCTCCGTACCATCCAAAGGCGCTGGAGCATCGATGAAAGAGATTGAGATTGTGAATACGGAATCTGGCCCGGAAGTCAAGTTGTCCGGAGAAGCAGAGACGGCTGCGGGGGGAAAGAAGATCAAAGTGTCTCTCAGTCATTCTGACACTTCGGTGGTAGCTTTCGCCGTAGCTCAGTAAGCGGTGTTTCGATGATACATCACAGTTTCAAGAGCTGTATAGATGGGATTCATGTCCGCAGGAAAAGGGTTTTTACATGTTTGAGGGATACTCGTAATGTGTATATCTAGGTCATCACAGGTAGACAAGGTAGAGCATGCATTGTGCATATAGATTTGAGATGGCACACTTGACCAGGTCAACCCCACGGCTCATGCTCGCACTTGCAAGTACATAATGCGCGCTCTGGACGAAACTCGAAGGGGAGGAGAGCCATGGAGCCAGAACATGCAAGACAAGTAAGACGAATTTGATATGTGTCACTCGAAATCTCGATCGATCTCCACCACTTGAGATTTCAACATTGACATCATCACCTAACCAGCCACTCTTGACCAATCACCTAGCAGTATGCAAGTTATTGCCATGCAAGGTATATCAAGCCTCCGAATAGACTTCTGCTTCCCAAGTTGAACATCACTGAGAGGTTCATCAATCATTAAACAGGAAAATTAACCTCGAACAACCAATACGATGGCTGATCAAGTAAAGAAAGGCGATGAAGTATCTTGGAACTGGGGTAGTGGGCAACCTTGTGAGTTTTCTCTCCCTGCTATCTCGTTTGGCTCGTTGGGCAGTTCTCTCTGAACATGCCATCTTACTTTCAATCTTCTTTTGGAGCGGATATAATCACCTCCTCGTCTCCTGTGTGTCTCTTCGACAGAGGACCTTTACGATTTGTTGGGAAAGAGATCTAGAGTACAATGCATTTCCGATAACTCATCCCTTTTTAGCTATCTCATGTTGAGTACTTGTCAATTTTGGGTGTCTCGAAATGGGGAATACGAATAGAAGCTGAGACATAGCTGGTAAAGTAGCAGAAGTCAAAGAAGGAAGAGCCGAGGTGACTTCTAATAAGGGAAATACTATTTCTAAGAATGGCACCAAAGAAGATCCTGCGGTAGTTATCGAACGTAGTGGGGTGAGTCATTCTTCAGTTTACTTCAAGCTTATCTCACTTCCTCGTTCCCCCATCTCCCATCCCCCATTTTCCGGCTCATCGCATAGGGATAGATGGGAATTATTCCACACATCTTCATACGTGGGCAATGTGGATTCTCCAATCCCTTTAGCAGATGATGGTCTGTTCTGTTCTGCGTTGTGTATGATCGGCCCTTCCTCCATGGTCAGTCTCCAAGGAGTGCAGCGTCAAGTATTGGCTCTGCCTGAGAATACAATTTATCTTGTCAAGTCGATGAATCGATCAGGGACGACAACTTTGTTTACTGACATATAGAACAACGTCGTCAAAAGGGCACATGAGCTTAACGAAGTTGAATCGTAATCCTTCTTTACTGGCACCCTCGTCTCATCCTGGGAAAAACTCGAGGCTTTGGGATTTGGAAAGAAGAAAAGTATGTCTGCTGTATGTACCATTACCGATCTACACGACTTACCTCTTCCGTCAATCCTCATTTCATAACTTCTGCAATCGGTAATTACCTCAAGCATTTACTTACCCAAATGCAGCAAAATCTTCTCAATTTCAACTACAATACCACACAGCTGACGCATGCGACGTGTCAACTAGCAAGTCAGAGCTCATCTTCGTCCATCGACCCCTCTGCAATCGTTACACTTCTCCGGATGAACCAAAATCGACTCCGCTTCCGAAGTCACTCCATCTGAATTTTTCGTCTCATTATGAGATATACACTTAGTCTCATGTTACTTACTCGTCTCTTCCCTTTTACTGACACTTGTCCTTCTCCCGCTGGTCGGCTAACTCACTTTCTTTCTATCACACTCTTTTTCGTCCCTCGCCTGGCGCGTTTCACACTTCAATCTTTAATCTTCATTCCACTCTGCTTGACAGGTTCTAGCTAGTCATACCCTTGTCCCGTCACCTTCGGTCATACCTTCTCAATACTCACATCATCTTTCATCACATTTCCTCTTTATCTCGGCCCATCTCTCTGTGAGCGACAGTCTAACATAACACGAATAATCAACCTCAAATCATAATGATCAACCCTATCAATCCTCAAGTCAGACCCCCTGACTCTTTCCGTCGAGATGAGGACGAGACCCAAAGTGAAAACGAGGCAGAAAATCAGAATCAGAACGATGAAGAAGATACAGATACATTTTCATCTCAAAACGTACCTTCCAATCATTTCAGTAAATCTCATTCCACCCGGATGTCCCTCATTCCAGACTGTGACTCCGACGACGATGATGATCTTTCTGACCTCGACTTTGATTTTGATCTGCAATCAAGAGAGATAGACTTGGAATGGGACATCATGTCTTCCGTTGTAGCTCGGATTTCAGGTAGACAAGTCAATCCGATAGAGTCTTTGCAAGAATTAGGAATTGTTAATCCTCAAGAAATATTACTGGTCAAGATTGATCCTACTTTTGAAGAAGATGCAGCGCTTGAAGCAATGCACGATTTTAAAAGATATCATCATCCTCAATTTCCTTCTCAACCTCCACCACATATGTTATCCCGATACCATCATCCTGAAGAAATCGGAGAAACGCATCGTGATCATGACGATCAACCTGAGAGCGTAGGGGAAGGAGCGAGGGAATTGGAAGTGATGGAAGATGGAAGAGGGGGTTTAGTCAAAAGGATCGTCCTTAACCCTCCTGCATCTTTCCTACAAGCGGCAGCTTTGATATCGATACCGAACGTAAACGAACCTATAGGTTTCGGTCCAGGTGGTCAAGCTGTCATGGGACATTCACAAGCTGTTTTACTTTCTCCAAGTCCCCTAACCCCTCCTACTTCTTCCGATACTTCATCGCCTAATGGAGTGGATGATGGTACAGGACAATTGGAGATTCCGGGATTACAAAGTTTAGCTGGTTTATCAACCGATTCACCAACACCTTCAAACTCAGGGATTGGTCAACAAGGTGTACCATTTGAGGTTTCCCCAAGTTCTTTAGTTGTCCCAAGTAGTACACAAACTCCATCATCAATTTCTAATCCTTCCGTCTCCAGTGTAGAAACCTCAACAACCATCCCAACTCAAACTTCCTCATCCATCACGACAGAAAATACAGACACGTCGACCCCTACCTCCTCCTCCACCCTTTCTTCGTCCCCCAACACTAGGGTCTCATCTATTAATCCAACTTCATTATCACATACCACCCTCCCTACTCTGGCTGCAGTCATATCAACCTCTCTCTCCATCTCTTCCCCAACCAGTTCCAACACCAATGCCACCATCCCTCCCTCTTCCTCTTCGACATCCGGCTTCACTCATTCAGTAGGGTTCATAATGTTAATGGTATTACTAGGTCTTATCCTTATCGGAGCCTTAGCAACTCTGGTTTCTTTCTTAAGTCGACAATGTCGTTCTGAACCAGATCACGAAGATGGCTTATCGGACATTGTGAATTCTTTCACTCATTCACCTTCAAGAACTTCTTCTATAAGATCTATGAGATCTAACAGATCAACTTTCGATAATCCCGCAAGCTCTTTACAAAGAAGAGCAAGCGCTTTCGCTTCTGTCACAGGTCAAAGTCCTTTTTTACATTCCGGTACGGCGTTTGAAGGATATGATGAAGAACATGAAGAAGAAAGTATGGGAGTTGAACAATTAGGTCATGAGATGGATGGGATGGGAAAGTTGGAAGTGAGGAATGGAATACCTGAAGAGATGGTAGGACAGTATAGACAATCTGGAGAATTCAAAAGATCTGGGGAATTTGGAACACCACGTGAATCTGTACCGGGTTCTACACCTAGGTTCATGGGGTTAGAAGGTTAGTAATCTCTTTTCTCTTCGTTATTTTACCGATATTCCTCACTGCTCAGTATTCCACTCTTGATACAACTGCTGTACCAAAATCTCATACCACTTCCATGCTCATAAAAAATACTTCAGGGTGATTTTTCAGTGTCGTGTCGGTGGGCTGGAGGAGGCGTAATTGCCAGCATCAGAAATCAGATGTACGGTGATTAGATCTGTCGAAGAGTCAGAAATGTGTAGCTAGTATCCATGCGTTAAGTGAGATTGGGACTGATGAGGAAAGAAGGAAATGGAATACTTTAAGTGGTCATGATGCTAACACTCAGACGGGGGATTAGATACTCCTTGGGGTAAACCTCTCGAACCAACTCATAATCCTTACCTAGCCGCACTACACAACCCCGATCCCGATCCCGACCCTTTACAACCTCCCTTCTCTTCCCCTCCCGCATCAATAACGGACCATCCTACTCGAGCATCCACATGGGCTTCTAACCTCCGTCAAACTCTTTTCTCAGCGATAACAGGTCGTCCTTCCGAACCTCAAGAAGATCGATACACTCGTACCGTTCTCCCCCTCCATCGAAATTCTACCCGACGAAGAGATATATCGGCACCGAGTCGGTATGTCGAACATCAGAAAAGAGTCGGAGGGTTTGAGGTCATCGATGAGAAAGATGAGAGTCCATGGATGGGGTCTGAGATGACACCTGGAAGTGTGAGGGAACGGGGGATGGTAAGACGGGATAGTGAGTCGCCAGGGGTTGAAGAGTTGGTGAGAGGGGAGAGTATGAGGAGTGTGGTAAGAGGGAATAGTATGAGAAGTGTGGTAAGAGGAGATAGTATGAGAAGTGTGAGTGATGGTGGGTGGAGAGAAGGACGATAGTTTGTTTGAAATGAAGTATGATGAAGCTGGATGAATTGGGTCATTATGTCGTCTAATCATTTTGTTTCACGTCGATGTTCATGGTAAATGTCGCAAAAATAATCAAAGATTATTTGCACGAAGATACAATTCGGGTCGCACTTCATGGCTGAGATTTTGGTGAAAGAAGGACCTGAGTTGCACCTTATCGTGTACTCAAGTACCCTCGGGATAGAAAGGGGTTCAAGTCGTGAGTCGAATGATAGCAAAAACCGACCGCGGGGAGAATTGTGATACCTCATGGTATCTTTAATATCATACTAACCACCACACCTCTTTCCTCTTCCAACCCTCCTTCTTCTTTGGAATATCCTTTCCATCCCTGTGGGCTCCATCGAACATCAGGAAACTTAACAATAACCCCACCTCTTTGCGCCGCAGATTGACAAAACCTCTCCACGGGTCCTCGACCTGTATGTAAACCCGCTGTGATATATGCTTCTCCTCCAGGTCTGAGAAGAGAAAATATGCTATCAAGGAGAAAATGATGAGAATCGGAGATCCAAATAAGGTCAGCGAGTAGAAGGACGTCAAACTTTTCTTCTGACCCCCCAATCTTGTCCGGTCCCATCCTTGGGACATCCTGATCAAGTCGTTCCTCCTCTTTATTGTTGACCTCTTGTGGGTTTAGGAGATCTGTGGCATGGTTCTTGTTCATCAGAGAATTTCTCGGTGGGTGTCTATTCGACAACGATGGTATATTTGTTGAACAGTCGATCGAGGTATAGTTTATGACAGTTTCCGATGGTGAGGGGGAAGGTAAAGCTTTCAAGACGGGATTAGGATTATCACCCCATTGATGTCCCACCACTTCCCATCTTCCATGAGAATCCCCACAAGCTCTTTGAAAATTCCCTCGGATCACATCGAGTACTTCACTCACACCCCAATCGGTAGATACAACACGATGACCTTGAAGACAAGCGATGATCCCTGGTAAACCACTCCCTGCGCCCAGTTCTGCTACCCTAAGCTCCGGTTTTATTGAGGTGTGGTGAGACGAGCGTGAAGGAGAGTCGTATGGAGGTAAGTCAGAGAAGGAGAAAGAAGATAAAGGGGATGTGGGAGAACATAAGAGATCAGCTAGGTAGATGGAGGAGAGCCATAAATTTTGTGCTTGAAGGGTAGTGAAGAGTTCCGCGGGTGGTTGAGGGAGTTGTAGTTGGATAGGGAATGTTATTGACTTTGCTTCTGATGGTGGAGCTTGAGGAGGGGTTGAAATAGTTATGGGTGATTGGGAGGGAATTGGATGGAAAGAGGTGGTATATGGACTATGGGAGGATGGGCGTTGTGGAATGGGAGATGGGGAATAAGGGATGAGTTTGTCGGATGAACTTGGAGAGAAAGCGATAGGAGGGATGTCGAATAGAGTGGAGATGGAGGTATCGAAGATATCCACCGGATCTTGAACTTCTTGTTCAATTGTCATCGTCTCATCTGTACCTCAAGTCAGAGTGAAAGGTCAATTTCTGGCGCCATATACCTTAAACATTCGTAGAGGTAGGGTTCAGGTGAGTAAAGTGAAGAGACAGTCGGGAGTTTGAGAGGGGTGGACCTCCTCCACCTGTCTCCCAGTAGATCGCCACATTTACCCTCGGCAATACGGCGTTATGTATTCTCCCCCACGACGCGAAGATTTCTACAATTCTAGACTATCACGCGCATCCGCCACCCACTCACTAACTAACTCACTCAATCATTCACCTTCTCTCTTCACTTCTAAACATTTGACTTTCATCCCCCGAGCAATCATGTCTCAATCCCAGAACATTGCCCCTCGTCTCGAAGCTTCTCTCAATGTCGCCCCCACACCCCAGAACACACCACTAGACACTGCCGTATTGGCTAACCGACCCGCCGTGGCAGGTAAGACCACCATGGAGGAGATCGGCGAAGGTGAAGGCGATGAAGGTGTTGAGGATGAAGAGGCAGGTATGAACCCTGCTAGCTTTCTTGCTCAGGTCAGTTGATTTCTCATGATTTACTTCCCACCTCTACCGTACTGGTTGGCGACCTTGAGAAAGAAGAAATTTTCGTAATGACCGTGCGTCACTTTTGATGCACACGTGTCGATTCTCAATTCTTCTTGCATGATATCGAATTTCCTCAACATTTCAGATGGAATGCGAAAAGCTTTATATGAGAGTGTAAAGGAAGAATGTTAATTCTCAGAACCCCGCACTATTGGCTCTCGCTCAATCAAAATTCGAGGCCCTCGTAGGCCGACCATCGGGTTATCTTGAAAGTCTCCCTCCGGCAGTAAGACGTCGTATCGATGGACTCGTTGGAGTGCAGCAAAAACATTCCGTCATTGAAGGAGAATTTCAAATGGCCATTTTGGATCTTGAAAAGAAGGTTCGTCAGCCAATTGAAATCCCCCCCCCTCCCTTCTTCTCTCGTCACTTATTGATGTACGACGGCTGCCATGTGATGGTTCATATGTCATGCGTGGGAAGCGGATCTGCGTCCAGTAGCTTCTGTTGAATCTCGCTTGAGAACCGGTTTTGATTGATCAAGTAAAGAATGTTGCTCATGATTAGTTCCTCGAGAAATTCAAACCTCTTTACGAACGCAGAGTAGAGATTATCACTGGGAAAGCCGAACCTACTGATGAGGAAGTCGAAGCTGGCAAAAAGGCCGCGGAGGAGGATGAGAGCGAAGAAGAGGAAGAAGGGGCCAAAGTTGAAGAGATCAAAGAAGGCGGAGAGGAATTGGTCGGTGTGCCAGAGTTTTGGCTCACGGCGCTCAAGAACCATGCTCCCATTGCGGAGACCATTGCGGATCAAGATGAGGAGGTGAGAAGTTGTGCTTGCCCATGTCGCGTCATCTTTTCCCCGATGCCGGCGATCTAGGTCATCCGTGATGGGCATCTGCTGCCCAAAGTGTGGTTGGAGATACGTGCATGTATGCTAATTTCCAGGTACTCAAACACCTCATCGACATCCAACTCACTTACCCCGAGGGCAAGCCGCCCGGTTTCCGCCTTCACTTCACCTTCGCTCCTAACGACTTTTTCGAGGAAAAGGAATTGACAAAGACTTATTACTACCAAGTGCGTGGCTTTGCCTCTATATCACCTGCACCATGTCGTTCCACATCTCTACTGTACACTCACACCCTGCGGAGCTTACTGCACTTGGAGAGTGTCCACAAACAACGCGAAGGCTGACTTTACAGGAACAAGTAGGCTACGGCGGAGACTTCGTTTACGATAAAGCCATCGGCCACCCTATCGCATGGAAAGAAGGCAAAGATCTCACCAAAAAGATTGAAATCAGGAAACAACGTAACAAAGCTACCGGTCGTACTCGAGTTATTCGCAAATCCGTACCTACACATTCATTCTTCAACTTCTTCTCTCCTCCTCAACCTCCGAACGAAGAAACTTTGGAAGCTGATGATGTGGATGATGACGAGATGGAAGAACTCAATGCAAAGTTGGAGATTGATTATCAGTTTGGAGAGGATTTCAAAGAGAAGATCATCCCACGTGCTGTGGATTACTTTACCGGTAAAGCGTTGCAGTATGAAACGGACTTTGAAGATGAGGATGATTTTGATCTTGATGAAGAAATTGATCTGGAGGATGATGATGATGAGGTGGGTTTAGTGGTTTAAAATCAAATACTTGATACTGACATGTAGTAAACGTTACCTCGGGTCAAGAGTGAGCAGTGGGGGTGAGAGGAGGGAACATTGGTGGGCGTAGTGGGTCATCTTAGGGAGCTCAGAGGTAGATGGTGGGTGGGTGGTGAATTTATGTGTGGAGTATTTGGATTAGGTTTGAACATGACGATTATTCTACTTGAACCATTTTTGAGACACCCAATTGTTCATAGGATCCCATAATCATGCTTTGACCGATCGATAGATAGGCTCATTTGTGATTGATGTATATCATCTCCGACGAGTGATGGAATGCTACTTTTCGTTTCCTCGACGTCAGGACGACTCGTTGCCGACTGAACGTTACATCGATATTACGCTTTCTCCCGTAACTCACTTGACGTCTGACTTCAGCTGGGTGCGTGTTTGAATTGAGTGTGAGCGAAGCAGCGAATTCGAAGTGTGGTTCATGCATAAGGGTGGAGAAAAGATGCACACACGCTACAAGATAGATTCACCGGATAAAGAAGAAATTACAGTTTCGAGTAGATGATGCGGAAGAAGGGCAGCTACCAGACTCAATAAATCAGAGCAAAGAGTTTAAGATTATACAGTACAACTAAATATGAAATAGGTCATTTCCCTCTCATCAAACATCCCTTGTGATGTAATCGAAAATTCCAAGACTAAAGGGTCCTCCTCATTAAATAACTATCCTTCTAAATTCTTCCAAAGTCCATCCTGCAGCTCTCATACTTTCTCCTCTTAAATCTTTCACCTCTTCATCTAAATGTTTGAATAAAACATCTTTGAAACTATCCATTATGGCTCTAAGAGCAGTTGGGTTGTATGATGATGGATTTCGTAATGAAGTAGATAAGAATGAATCGTAATTTTCTAAACCTGACATATTAGTGGTTTTTCGATTTTCTCAATCCTTAATTATCAATGAACAAATTGAGGAGATAGATCTGATTGAAAGATGAGAACGTCATTTATCCACAAAGAGATCAGTTTTGAGAAGAGGATGATGATTATCTGGTTGAGAACGAGTTTGAGGGTGATACACCTGACGAAAAGCTAGAGAAAGAAGAGAAGCCAGATTGATTCGAGATCGGGGATGTTGTTTGATTTTGGAGGTATAAGATGTGGAGAAAAGTTAAAACATCCATGGCTTTATGGAAATAGTGGTTCGAATTGAGAAGGATGAGCATTGATATGATTGAGGAGACAGAAGGAGAAGAAGGGATAGCCGTGCTCACCTTCATGTATCAATTTATGAGATTTCAAATGTTCACCACTCTCACTAACACCAACTTTGAACTGTGGCATTTTCTTTGCTAAAATAGGAAAGATATGTATTTCTTCAATCTTGTGATGCATATCGAGATGATGTGATAATCCTTGAGCTTTACGTAGGAAAGAAGATAAAGAAAGACCTTGAGTGTGGAATCTACCGTCTGCATTCTGTCATGTCAGACTTTGTTTCTTCACTACCACATTGATAAGAATCGTCTAGTTTCGATTCGTTATTGATAAATTACATATTGCTTGGTCATACTTGATAGGATTAATTTGTGATGGATGGTGATAATCATCGTTGTCAAGAAAGGTTAAGGTGCAACTGATGATCTTCAGGTGTGGAATTGTATATATATATATATATATATATATAGAGAGAGAGAGAGAGAGAGAGAGAGGGCTTCGATTTCGATGATCTGGGAATAGTACGTGAATGAAAAGGGGGGGGGGGGAAAGCCTTTCTGACAAGATAACTTTGAGAGAGTGAAGACGAAGTCGAAGATAGGATTCAAAAGTGAAGAAAGATGAGGGAAGCTTACAATGTATATATAAGAGAATTCTTCACGGAAATAAGAATGAAAAGCATCCATTCGAACTGCCATCCTAACATATCAGTACGAGTAACTTAACAACATACTTTCATCTTCCATCGTCCACTCTCCCGTTGATTCGCTGATTCCGCTCCCTGAAGAATCAAGGTTTCGCTCTAACAACTTTCAACACGTTCCAACCAGGAAGATTGTTATTCCGACGAAAATCAATTTCTTAGTCGTATGACACTCTTGCTAATAACAAGAACTCCAACCAAATTTTCGCACTCGTCTTTCTCTCTTCAGGAAAAGGGTGGAGACCCGACGATACCATAGCAAGTTGTTTGTGAGGAAAGGAAGGGAAGAAAAGACTGACGAATCCCATTCTTTCTCTAATTCAGGTGTTAACCCACAATCCAGATTCTCCTCCATCCCTCTTACCTTCATCTCTTTACGTATATTCTGTCCCTCTCCTCTTACTTGTCCCCCAATGATATCATCCTCACCGTTCATCCCATCATTCTTTACCTCTTTTCCAGGAGTAGACATCCTTGAGCTCTTATCTTTCCACACCTTTCCCTCGGAGATGGTTCTCACTCCACTCTGACCACTTGCTATAGTCCCGAGTACACTTCCAACTCCAGATCCAAATCGGAGGTTCCGAGTGGAAAACAACGGTCTCCAAGTTGATAGAGAAAGTTTGAACGTATTGACAAAATTAACCAGAATGACGTCTAGTAGAAAAACGATCAACAGCAGAAATCGAGAGTAAGGAATTGAGGAGGGAATGTATGTACTTATATTGACATGTTGAGATATCGTGGTTTGGTAGTTTGGTATGTTAGTGAAGTAGACGAGGGAAAAGTTGGTCAGCTGATTTGATTAGATTGCCATCGGCCATCGGAAGTCGCCGCCGGCCCCGATCGTCCGCATCGACGGTGAACAGTACGGCCGCCGTAATGGACCACAAAAGCCGAGAGGTTGAGGGTGCTTGGTGCATTGTGCAATGACATTGAAGAGGCGATATGGTGGGGACAGCTTGGAGGGGATTGATCTGAAGGATATACCGATTGTGAAAGAAGGGATTGTTCATCTAGGTCAAGTACAGTATTTTGTCAGTGATGGAGGGGAGGGTCTGGCGGAGACGACGAAATCGGACGACGTTTGTTAGAGTTTGTACCCCCATATAATGGATAGAGAAACGAAGAAAACACGAATGAAAAGACATTAAGACAGAACAGAGGGAACAAAATCACTTGTGTGAAATGGATTTGTGAAATCAACAATAGAAGAAATACAAATGCATCTTAACCTTCTACAATTACTCTACACCCATTCACCCCACCACAACCCACATCCTACCCCCCTCACCTATATTTCTCATTCGTAGGTGGTCGATAATTAGAACTAGCAGCTACCGCACCATAACTTGGTGGTCTACCATTATCATGTTCATCATCATAATCTTCTTGTCTCCTTTCGTCATACTGAGAATATTGATGAGGATTATTACCTCCTTGAGTCGGATCATACCCATTGGTCCCATTCGCACCGATATTATTCTCATTACCAACCGAAGGATTATTACCATACCCCAAATGAGGATTTGGTAATCCAACTACATCTTCCCTTGCTCTATCCTGAGGAGAAAGAGGTGAACGAAGTAATGTCGTATTATCTCTATTGACCAAATGTTGTGGAATAGGTTGATGTACTGCGATCTGAGATTGTATTTGATCATTCGTATAACCTCCTCCTCCTCCATATGCGTTGTTGTTGTTATACCCAGGATGTTGATTTGGATTAGGATTAGGACTGATAGATGGAATAGGAGGAGTGATTCCATGTCCGAACGTTGATCCTGTATATTCTCTATCATGTTGCATTGCAGCAACTCCTACTCCTTCGTAACCCCCATAAGGATCTGAATTCGGTCTTGGATCAGAAGAATATTCATAGTTTCTTCCCGGAGTAGGAACGGGTTGTGGCATGACGTTAGGAGGGTAATTTATATTGGATTGAGAGTAAGGGTTGGGTTGTGATTCTGATGTGGGGTATTGATTAGGTTGATATGGTGGATAAGTTTGATATGGTTCTTGATAAGGTTGTTCATAATCTTATCATCAGTCTTTTCCCCGGAATCTTAAATTCGAAATGACGATCAAGAAGTGGTAGAGCAATCATGATCATGGAACATAATGCAGGAGTAGATGAAAAGTTAGAGGGGAGTTGGGAAGGAAGAAAGGTCACTCACATTGATGTTCACCACCAGGAGTTTGACCTCTATAAATCCCATAAGCAGGTTCAGGTCTTTCAACACCCGCACCACCTGCACCAACACCAACAAATTCACCTGCACTAGTCATTGCACTTGGTGAACTAGGTCTATTCCATCCATAACCTAAAACATGAGTTTGTTCTTGTCCCATCCCATTCCCATTATTTGGTCCAGGAGTTTTATTCCTTCTTCCATATCCCGTTCCAACACCAGGAACGACAGATCCATCTCTATTCAAACCTCTTCCATATCCACCAGGAATAGGTTGATCTTCATATAAATATTTATCATCCGAATCATCTTTAGCGGTAAGAGGTATAGTTTCTGATCTATCAGGATTAGAGAAAGAAGGTAAATCTTGTTCTTTCTTTCTTAATTGTTCATCCCTAATAGCTTTTAATCTCATTTCGTCAGGTCCATTGGCAGGTTGATAACTTGGTTTATAACTATCACTTTCACTTCTTGATCTATTTCTTGATCCTACGCAACATCTTCCAATACCATATGCGCAGCCTGCAAATCCTGCGAGAAGCCAAGCGGCGAGAGTGAGCCAGACACATATACCTATAGAGGCCGAGGCTCCGGATACGTCGTCTATACGCGCTTTGGCGATGTAAAATATGACGAGGTCGAATATAAGTGCTAGGAGGGAGAATGTAGAGGTGAGAGAGGCGAAACATGTTGGGAAACATAATAAAGATAGGGATGAGATATGAGAGAGAAGACCGAAGATGGTGGAGAGGACGGAGAAAGCCAAGGCGATGATGTGTAGGATCAAGGTGTATGTGAGGTAATGAGTGATGGTTTCGGGAATGTTGAAAAGGGTGATTCCGAGGAGAGCGTTGGGATCTGGTGTGTTAGTATAGGCATGGTATATTCATTGTCAATCCACACGGCCTTGACATTCGAAAACAAAATATGGGATGACCTGCTCTGCGAGATGCATTCCATCTCATTGACCCATGAGAAGAAGTGACGGGGGGAATAAATGAACCGCCTCAGGCCCTCTAAATTTCTCAAATCACAGGGCTACAGCTCTGATTCAGGTAACACAACGCGCCGAACCCACCACAAGCTAGTTCGACAACATAACCCTCCACATCATCAGAAGGGATTCGCTGCTCGCAGGACAGATGACCGAGCTCTAGAACAATGTTCTCCAAGTATTCCAGCGACAAAGTCCAGAATAGATGATAGGTAGGAGAAACATTTTGATGAAGAACACAAACACCAGAATGTCTCATGTCTATACTAGACAAGGATAGACGGTCAAGTCTCATGAACTAGCATCCAGGGTGAGGATTGAAGAATGAAGAATGAAGAATGAAGAATGAAGAATGAAGAATGAAGAATGAAGAATGAAGAATGAAGAATGAAGAATGAAGAATGAAGAATGAAGAATGAAGAACAACTCACCAAACTCATAACCGACTCTTGGTCCCACACAAACCTGCGTACCAGTAGTCAAACAATATCCTAAAGTACCCAAAGTCAAAGTCCCAGCATCTTGCCCAGAACTATAAGTAGCTTTAAGGAAAAATAAACTTTTCAATAAAGGTGTATTAAACGATACGATAGCTAATAAGATCGTAGCTGATAATGAGAGGAGTGTACCTGGAGTAGCTGACCTATATCTGATTGCCATATTGTGAGGATCTTCTTTAAGTATGACAACTTGTTGAATGATTCTTTGGTAAGGGTGAATTGTGTTATATATTTCCAACCTCTAGCCAAGTTGATTTATCTCTAGAAGGGATGAGTAGACGAATTGATTGACTTGATCCAGATGAAAGAAGAAGTATTGTCTGAAGAGGGTAAAACGTCGAGGGATGTTAGACTTGAGTGAGTGAGTGAGTGAAAATCTGTGAATCTTGATCTTGATCTTGGTTTTTTGAAACACTGGATGAAATGTTTTTTCGTGGTTGGGGATAGTTGATCATTTACCAGTGTGAGGTAATCATAGGGTCGAAGTGTAAAAGAATGGTTTATCGTATTCCAAGTTGCAATTTACACTGTATACTGTATACTGAGATATGTTCGAGTGCTCTTGACTTTCCTTGACAATTGGACAAGCAAATGGGAAATGGGATACCAGGTTTGTCTGTGCGCTGCGTTGACCAACTTGTTTCACTTTGTCCTTTTCCACATCCACACCACCTACAGCCTGTGACAACTAAGTACCTAGACTTCGAGGCTGGTGTAGTACTTGAGTGGTCGGAATGACGACCAGCGTCTAGATGCCTGACACCGGATACCAAAGAAGTCTCGGAGTTGATGAAAGTCGAATACGAGCCAACAGCGAGTGTTGGGGGGGATGGAGAGAAAGAGAAAGCGAGAATGAAAGACGCGACGCGAAAAGTACAAAGATCCTTTCACTTAATCCCTCCTATTTCCTCCAGTGTGTTTCTCTTGGTCTGATATGTATGAATGTAAGATCTGATGTTGTATGATGGAATGACGCGTTATGAGCACGAGTACAGAGGTCACTTAGATCAGCTGTTGATTGTGATTGTGTGGCGAGCCGAGTTGAGAGGCGGTGTGGAAGCGGTGTGCAACCAGTAAAAAGAATTTCCCGATGGGGCAAGTATAGTATTCCTAGCAACCACTTTCACTTGGACCAAATAAACCTTGCTCTCAGGTGAAAAGTAAGGATTTGATAGCTGACATGTAGCATAAGTCATTCATCAGGTAACTACTGGTAATCTCTTATACACCGGGGTATAGTCTAATCCATACTAAATCCAAATATCCAGATTTTACCTTGCTCTCAAGCATGATCTTTCTTCTTCTTTTTCTTCACTCGTCAGCTTTGTCACAGAAGCATATAAGAAAGCTGGCTCACCTTCTTCTCCACGCTCGCTTCGAGCATATTGGCCACCACACCTTCCTCCATCTTACTTTTCCGTTTCTTCTCTTTCTTGAACGTAGCGGGAGTAGATATCGAGATGGGTGCGTGGATCGGGGTGGTTAGGACTGGAGCGGAGATCGGGACGGGTTTGGGCTTGGGAGGAGGCTGGAGTCAGCAGGGGTCGGTGATTGAACATTGTCACTAGAGAATCGGTATTCCCGGTTGCCAGGGCTGATGACGAGAGTGGACAAGTTTGATGGAATTATTGTCGATGAGGAAAGACAGGACAGAAGTCAAGATCATTGGGGAAACGAACACCCACCTCATCATCAGAAGACGAAGTGTCACTATCCGAATCCGAAGAGTCTGATTCCGCTTGTGCAACTCGGACAGGGGCGGTCTGTATGTCAGTCTATGGCACCTGTGACTGATTCCCTTGACTCAGTCTCCATCAATTAGAGATAGTTCTCAATCTCCACCAATTAGAGTTAGATGGTATGTCGAAGTGATGTGAACCCAAAGTCGACTGGAAGATAATCCCATATCAGACGCGTGGATAATAACTTCAAGGATAGGATGTACACGACAGACAAGGAATAAGTAAGATAAACATACAATTGGACCAACACTCGGTTCATTGGATCGTTTATAAAGTTCTGCCGATGTGTTGTATCCGTTGACCTGTTTGGCATATTCGGTTTCGTAAACCTGCTAGTCAGTACTTGCTTCGATATCCTTCAAGTCAAATCCCTCTCCTATCCTTTCCCACCTAAGTATGTCTACGACTCGCGAAAACCGTTAGTCCCACGACCGTCCGCGTAACTTCTACTTCATTTTGGGCGTTCGGGTATACGCTATCTTCCCAGGAAGCGCCTGCTTTGAGACAGATTCAACCTCTCCCAGCTGCAAGGTGACAAAGCCGCCAAGAATGCGAATAGGGTACGACGGAATACAACGAGACACTCACCCTCTTCTGCTCATCACTTAAATCCTTCCATTTCTGAGAAATCATCCCCAAAACCTCTTTATACGCAATTTCAGGATTCGTCTTCCTCATCTGATCCCTCACTTCATTCTGAAACATGATATAAGCGCTAGGTGGACGTTTAGGTGCATTCGGATCTCTAGGTTTCCTTTCTCTTTTCTTTTTTTCTTTCTTTGCCATTTCCATAGGAGATCCAACACCTACTCCTTGTCCAACACCTCCTATAGACGAACTGTTTCCAAGAGAAGGTCTTGAACCTCCTTGAAGTTGTTGCATCTGATTATGTTGAGCTTGAGCTTGAGCCATCAAAGCTTGGAACGAAGCTAATTCCGCGGCATTCGGTAGGAAATTCGGTAAACTTTGAACGTGTTGTAAATTTGGCATGGGGAGAGATATGTTTGAAGGAGTTAATCTAGCATAATCTTCGATTATGGTAACGCAACGTGACATGACAGCTGCGAGATCTTTGAAAGATGCGATCATCTGGAACTTAGCATATCTGACTTTTTTTTCTTACATTCCGGTTCTTTTTTGGATATGAGATGAGAATCATTTGGCGTGGCTGACGCGACGAAATTTTGGTTTCTTCAAAGATTGCGGAACGGCAATTTCACCGTTCCGCAATTTCAATCGTCTTAATTATATACAGACATTTTGCTTAGTGAGGAAAGATAAAGAAAGCACACAGGAGGATAGAGTGGAAGGGAGAGAATGAGCAGAGAGCAGAGCAGAGGGAACGGGGAACGAAACTTACCTCTTGTCGCTTAGCTTCCATCTCCTGCCAAGAAGCATTCGACATGGTGATAGCTGTGGGAGTGAGCGACAAATTCCACATTGTTGTATGGATTCCCCCTCTGACTTTGGGAAGATCGAATAGAGAGATAGAGAGGGGTATGAAAGCGAAGACTTGCTCAGTTCAAGGTGTATTGAAAAAAAAAACTTACCTTGACAACGGAAAAGTGGAAATGACCAAATTTGTTTCACCTGAGTAGTAGGATTACTACGATTACTGGAGGTGTGCAACGCAACGTAAGGAAAAGGAAGAAATGGGATTAACAATGTCAACCCAAAAATTTAAGGAGGGATTAGGAAAAAAGTAAACAATCCGAAGGTTAAAATTTGCAATAACTAAGTGGCGGTTAATCAGAATATATATTGCCGGTAATCCCGAGTTAATCGTTTCTAATGGCACCTTCTTTAGTGTACCATGAACGATCGATTACCTTACTTTCCCCGCACGCCTGGTCTGAATTGTTCCACAGACCACTGACATGATTAGAGTCATCGTTCCCGTAAGTTACTGCAAAGTCTTCAAACCTTGGCTTGTCGGGTGATACAGTACTTTTCGTTGCATATATTCAAGTATTCTGATCATTCTCTTCCACCCATCTCCTCACCGCCTTCTTAGACTCTAACAAAACCCAAGTCCTCCTCCATTTATCCTCTACCTTCCGTCTATCTCTTCGCTCACCATGAATCAATCCAGTATGAGGTTCCATTCCCCATTCTCGCCATAAATTCGCTATCGTCCCGCAACATTGCCAGATGTCTTCGTGATTCGCGTCGAAGAGTACCCACCAATTGTCAGGCAGGGGTATACGAAGAAGACGGGTGGTTAGGAGTATACTAGCGCAAGCGAGGGTGTGAGGGGGATGATATACGTATGAAGGTGTGAGGAGACTATTCGTCAGCTTGATGCATTTCCTCATAGGACAAGTTAGAACAGTAGGTCTAGTCACAAGGGTCAAGAATATGAGGAAAGTAGATGCGTAGAAGAGAACTCACGCATCGTTCAAAATTGACCAACATGATTGTGCTACGTCTTTTTCAAACACAAGATCGAGGATCCGACAATAGTTGATTACGTGAGAATAAGGTAAATCAACCTGATGATTAAAAATGCACGATGGAACAAGGGGAAAAATGACGAACTTGCATGTTGAATCCCAATCGTTTGAGAATTTGCATCTCAGAACTAACGATGATATCTTTCCCTTATACTTAGTATTCCTTCAATTTTCATCATATCGCCCTTGATGAGCAGTAGCGACAAGCAGCCTACTGAAGATGGGAGAAGAACCGATGAGACAATTGAGGAGGAGTATATACAGAGCGACCAACAGAGTTACGTAGATGCGAGGCCTTGTCAAGTCAAGGATGGGACGTAGGTGATGGAGAGTTGAGGAGGACTTACAATCCCAAAACACCTCATCGTGAAATCCAGGAGGTTCAAAAGAGAATCCCTCCCAAATCTTCATATTCTCTTTCTCTTTCCCTTTACCAGAAACTCCCCCAGATCTCCCAAACATGTCCCCGTAGATCGATGCCGATTGGACCAAAGGTTGATCAGCAGGAAGAGCCAACAAATGTTTGATCCTAGCCAACAAAAACATGTATGCGTTGATCAAGTCTCTCAAACGGATCGGAGTTTCACATAACTTTGAAGAGAGATAAAGTGAGGTGATAGATATGTCCTACTCTTAGTCATCTTGGTCAAGTATTACGAGTCCAACTCACGGTAATCCCGAAGGAAAGCATGGAACTGACGTAGTAAAACCGATGCAATAGCACTTGAGCAGTAGCTATTGTGCTTTGTGGGCTTGATGTTAGTCATAAGCTTCGAGGTTACAGTCAGAGGAGAGGTCAACATACAGATCTAGCATTATACCGGCTTCTTGAATTAACATACATGCTGCTGTACGAAGGTCTGATTCTATCTCTTTTGGGAGTCCATCGGAGCAAGAGGGGTTGTGAAGGATTTGAGAGAGAGTCGCGAGGGGATGAGGGGTGGGTGGCATATCTCCTCTCTTTGTCTGATGATCATATAAGAGTAGAATGATACGTCGTCAAATGGTAGCCAAGTACGAGTAGGGTTGGTCTGAGATGTCAGAGATTTTTCGACATTGGGGACAAGTGGATAGTTGGAAACCACTGTGCAAAAGTTAGGCGCGCCCCTTAGGACAATCTCCTATTGCACTTGAACATGGATGGAAGGGACAGAGGAATATTCTGGTATATCTATTACCAATTTATCCCAAGCTCTGGTTGGACCAATTTCACCCCTTTCCGTTCGTCGACAATTGTTTCTCTTCCTCTTGTCACTCCATCACCGTCACGTTCCGACCAGGAGTACACTGTACACTGTACGGCTCTCGTCGTACGTCGTTGAGTGAGTGATCATGTCGGAGACTCCACCGTTGGATGTTTTACGCAGTGAGAGAAACCTCACTCCGGAGATCACATCGTGAGTTGGGTAACCTCCTTGACCACCAGATTCGCTTCCATTTTCCCACCACCTTCACAACATCTATACTCCTGCATGATCTACCGTAGTCAAGTTTTGGGTGTCTTGTTATCTCTTTGTGCTGTAGTATATGTTTCGTGACGAAGCAATCGTATTGCAATTGAGACGACTCTCCCCACTGACCAACAGAAAACGTGAGGCAAGACATCATGACGAAGATGACCGTGACAGGTCCCGTCGCCATAGGCATCGCGAAGAACGCGAACGAGAACGAGATCGAGATCGACCAGAAGAAGAAGATCGAGAACGTCGTCATCGTCGTCACCGTGAAAGAGATAACGAAACTGAAGAAGAACGTAAAGAAAGACATGAACGTCGTAGGAGAGAACGTGAAGAAGAAACTGAAGAAGAAAGAGCTGAAAGACATCGTCGTCGTCGTGAGAAAGATTTAGAACGTGAAAAAGATAATAATCATAGAGAAAGGGAACTTTTACCAGAGAAACCTCTTGAACGTGAGAGAGACTTTCAACGTGAGAAAGAAATCCCAAGTGAAAGAGAGGATGATCGTATTAGGTACAGAGACAGAGAACGATATCGTAATGGTAATGGACATTCTCGTGGACCTGAGAGTGAAGGACGTGATAGGAGAGAGAGTAGAGAGATAAGAGATGATAGATACAGGTCTAGAGATAGGTCTAGGGAAAGTTATAGGTCTCATAGATCTCGAGATTTGAGAGAAATGACCAGAGAGGAGAAGGAAGCAGAGAGGGAGAAAAGGGATAGGGAGATGGCAGAAGAGAAGAGAGAAGCTGCTAGGTTGAAAGAAGAGAGATTTGCGCAGGTGCGTTTTCCTTCATTCTTCAACATTTATGTCCACTCGTTTCCTCCTGAGTCTTCAGAGTTGACCTCCCTTTTTCTCTATCTCATTCAAAGTTGCCAAGGCGTCATGTCACCTGGATTTCTCGAGACACTGCTGACATCCAGATGGACAGAGAACGCGAGCGTGAACGTCGTACGAGAGAAAGAGATTTCTCACCTCGTCGACGTCGTCCCTCTCCCACATACGAAATACCTCGTCCTCGTGATTCCCCTCCTCCCACTAAAGAGAAAGATCCCGTTAGCGAACTCTTAGAAGAGGTAGATTCTGAAGCCCGCTCGGTTTTCGTCTCACAGATATCATCAAGGATGACGTCCAGTGATCTAGGTCTGTTCTTTGAGGACAAGCTTGGTAGAGGTGCAGTGAGGGATGCTAGGGTGGTGACTGATCGAGGGTCGAAGAGGTCCAAGGGGTCAGTACAGATCTCCCCTCTTCCACTTCCATACTCACTGAACCCCTCGCTCGACTCAGCCTCTTGCTCCACTTCATCGACAAACGATCGCTGTCGCTCTATCTTGCTTCGGATTCACATTTGGAAGGTATCCTGCCTTTCAAGCAATCGTTGATTGTCATCATCCGCCATGAGATCGTTAACACGTGGCCGTTGTCTCGCTTTGAACAGGGCTAATCTGCAGTATTGGGTACGTCGAACTTGACGCAGTAGCATTGGTCAACAGGGCTCTGGCGGTGAGCTATTGTCGTCTTTGTTACTTCGAGTCAAGCTGACGAATAGCTATCCGGGACAATCGTAATGGGCATGCCAATTCAAGTGACGCTCACAGAATCAGAGAGGAATCGCGAGGGTATGGATCTAGCTGCGACTATAGCCAAGTGGGTCTAGCATCCGTCTCCTCCACTTGACCTCGATCTCCGAGTATTCTTATCCTTCTTGACCCCATCTATCAGAACGTCATATCGATAGTCTCTCGTCAGCTAAGTGGTTGTCGGTCAGAACTGATTTCTACAGACTCTCAGCATCCAAAGCTCGTCCTCAAGTCACTTACCAGACCCGTTTCCCACCCTTGTCCAATGGACTTTACATACCACCAGGGGTTGACGTAGATGCAAATCGCGATGCTTCGGTGCCTTATCATCGACTGTTCGTCAGCGGACTGGCGTACAGTCTCGCGGCGGATGATATCAAGCAGGTGTTTGATCCGTTCGGGCAGATTGACTTTGTGGATTTACATCATGATGTGGTGAGTTTCCAACCTCCCTACATCCTCAGTATAGTCTATTCATTACATGTTTCAGTATGACCTGCTTGAATCTCACAGAATGTGCTGCATCCGAGTTGTTCCAGAGGCGAACATCATGCAGCGAAGAGAAAATAAACAGTGCTCCCATATCATAGCTAGTGAATTGGGAGGCCCTGTTGCTGTGGGGAGGACGATGTCGATTGGCCAATGAAAGTGAATGATGACTGATACCTCAGACTGGTCAGAGTAAAGGTACCGCCTACGTACAGTTCCATGACCTAAAATCTGCTCAAACAGCTTTGGACGCTATGAACGGCTTTGAGATTGCTGGTCGGCCGAGTGAGTAATCGTCCCCGTTACTACTCGTTTCAGATGTGATCTCAGGAGCTGACCTTCAGTCCGTGTACAAACCATACAAGAAAGAGCTCACATCAGTGAAACCCTCGAAGATGCCGGATATTCTCAAGGACGCAAAATGGATAATTCCACCAGGATGTCGCTCATGCAGAAATTGGCGAGGAACGATGGGCCTGGTTCTGCGTCGCCTGCTCCAAGGCCACCTCCGTGAGTCATAATTCACCCTTACAGTTTTCCTGTCATAAAATGCACATAATTGACAACAGTACCAACAACGCTCCTGTAGCTCCTACTCCATTCATACTAGTGAACAACATGTTCAACCCTGAAGAGTGAGCTCTTCCGTTTTCCCTATTCATGCCGAGCTGACAAGATAGGGAAACGGAGAGGAATTGGGATCTGGATCTAGCGGAAGATGTCAAAGGTGAGATAGAATCAAAGTATGGGAGAGTAAAACGGATCAAGGTGGACAAAATGTCTGCTGTGAGTTACGACCCCCATCTGTCCGCGATTATTCATTTCTCATTTTACCTCTGGTCTTGATTCACCCCATTCACTCTGCTCCACATCGTTCAGCACCATCAGCCTGGTCTTCAATCGTCCCACGTGATCGATGTCACCCCAATGTGCCCATATGATCAAGGTCATCCTGACTGTCACTGACAAGCAGGGCGACGTATACGTCGAATTCGAAGGTACGGGAGCTTCTGAACGTGCTGTCAAAGGATTGCACGGGCGATTCTTCGGAGGTAGATCTCTTCGTGCTGGATACATTTCGGAAGGTTTGTTCAAATTGCATCTGTGAGTAAGGTCAAAAATGGATGAGTCGCATGTGAGTGGTAAGGTGGGGATAATACCGTGAGTATGAATGGGGTCATGCAATGTTTTTCATCTTATTATTATGCTGCTTCTTAAAGGTGAGGTCTTGATGACAGTTTACTGAGCTAAAAGGTATGATGGTAATTGAGATAATCGTCTCTGTAATCTTTGACACTTACAAAACCGATCAGAGTAAAGTACTTGGAGTATTATCCCCTCGTACTTCATTAGAGTACTAGTACTCTAGCCGTATAGTAGGGTACTTCTCACGAGTAGATAGAGTGATATGAGTAGGGTACAGGAGTTCAAGTAAGAGTGGGTTAGTGAAGGATGGATGTGGTCGGTTATCGCTTAGCCGGACCAACCATTTCACCAACAATTCACTTGCACTTGAACCCTTTCTCACTTTCCATCTTGACTTTTCCTTTTTCCCCATTGAACCCCGTCCAGCCCTTACCCTCTCCCCACCCCATCACACAACGAACAGCGTCCAAAGCACGACTCACAATGTCTATACAATCCATCAAAGAAGGTGACTACGAAGGTCAGTCATAACTATCTACCTCTCCGCAATCCCCATGGCCCTATAACTCCCTCTTGGGTCCAACGCACTAGGTCTGTACATTGACAACCTTGAGATCGGAACTTCGACCGGGGATGATATTGATATTCAGGTATCAGAGGTGAAATACGTAAAGTACTTAAACAACCTCAGTATGATGATGGTTCTGCAGGACCTGTCTTTGTGAGGTATGTCACATTCTTCATTTTACACTTCTTCGATTCATATCTCCGATCTCATGTATACCTAGCGAATATCACTCATTTTTGAGCTAGCCTTATGCACGTCGTGGTGGTAGATCACACAACTTATCTCTACTTTGTCCATGTCTATATCATACAGGTTGGAGTATTTCAGCAGTACTTTGTGCCCCTATACTGCACGGTGATGACGGATTGGAACACTTACCACGACCACTTTGTATTCACTTACTAGACCATAGTATCATAATGAAACAACTCTGACGCTCAGACTTGCTTGGCACGCATCTGGAAATTTCAGCTTAGTGGAGGTAAGTACCCTTTCTGGACCGAGGTGAGGCTGATGGGTAAGCATAATGGTGGATCTAACGGGTTGGTTTCACACTTGATTGAGGAAATGAGCTGATTTGTAAGAGCGGGAATGAGATTTGCTCCTGAAGTAGGTTAATCTCATTATTCTTCTCACTTATACTCGATTGATTTTCAAGATGAAGCAATTAGAAACATGCTGATGGATCAAGTCGACTGATCCTGCCAATGCTGGATTAACTCATGCTATCGATTTCTTGATGCCTATACAAGCTGCCAACCCATGGATATCACATTCGGATTTATGGAGTGAGTCTGTTATCCCCCCCCCTTTTCCACACTATTTCTCCTCTGGAGTCCGTCCCTGATCCCAGCACTGGCAGGTATCACAGCCGTCGAAGCTGCCGGTGGACCTCGAGTACCCTGGCAACCAGGTCGGACGGATTACACTTCTGCCGCTGCTGCCGAGGAGCATCGAGGGCAAGTGGGGGATCGGTTGCCGGACGGGGCGAAGGGAGCGGATCATATTAGAGAAGTGTTTAGTAGAATGGGATTCACAGATCAGGTGGGTGAATTTAACGTTTGTTGTCAAATTTACTCGTACTTCTCCTACGGCATTCATGTCCCGGATAGGACAGTGCGTTGCCTATTGACGAGATGCTGCTGAGCGTTGTCATGAGGAGCATCTCGATTTCCTGTCTCAAGCCGTCAAAGCAAAGGACGAGTATGTGTCTTTTTGTTTATCATAGTGAAGGGGACTCCAAGATGTACATGGAGGAGGACGATGACGCGCTTTAGCGAGGAGCACTGTATAGGAGATGACTGATATGTAGGAAATCGTCGCTTTATCAGGCGCTCACGCCTTGGGGAGATGTCATCCCGATAGATCGGGGTTTGATGGGTCAGTCGTCGCATCACGATATATCAAGGCAAGCTGAGAAATAGTCCATGGGTCGTCAACCCCACTCGGTTCTCGAATCAATATTACAAGCTCTTGTTAACTCGGAAATGGGTACCGAGACAGTGGGACGGGCCATTCCAGTGAGTCACCCATGTTCTTTTCTCTCTTTCCTCTCTTTGACTTCTCCTTGTACCCTCGTGGTCTTCGCTAGACACCCTGCTCTACCATCTTGCGATTGAGCCCGCAAGATTATCATCTCACCTTCACTTGTCATCTGTCCTCAATGCTCCTGGGTTTGTGAATTGACATTGATGATAGATACGAAACTACCGTGGCGGGTACCAAACTGATGATGCTTCCTACCGATGTGAGTTATTCAATTCTGATCTTCATCAACTCTTGGCCTAATTCTGAGAGGTCGATCGAACTGAGATTAGATGGCTTTGATAGAAGATGAAAAGTTTCGTCCATGGGTTGAGAAATACGCAAAGGATCAAGATTTGTTTTTCAAAGATTTCGCTTTGGCATTTGGAAAGTTGCTCGGTGAGTTGATCCATGAGATCTTCTTAACCAGCCTTTACTCTAAACATTCACCACTCCATTTTGACCTGAGACTTTATTTCCCTTACCAATGTTTCAATGATGTGATTGTGGAAGAAGGGAAAGAGCTATGCTGATGATAGAACTCGGTGTTGATCGAGATGATACTGGTTTCGCTAAACTTGTAAAGAAAGCTGCAGAAGAGGGGAAACCTTTGGATAAGGTGAAAATGGCCGGTGGGGGTTGTCCCTTCGCTGGGACTGGTCCAAAAGGGAGAGATGCGAAGTTGTAGTGGATTTGAAGTTTACTTTTGTGCTTGTCTCACTATTCTCGCACTAGCTTTTGTGGGTTCCCACAATGCTTCACCCTCCATCAGTTGTAGACTGCCCATTGTATCATCGAACTCTTCTCTTCGCCGTTTATTGTCACAAATGCTGGATAACATGCATGTAGCATCTACCTGGTATCTTGTCTTCACATTAATGCACTACCACTCATTCGCAGTGGTCCTTCTCCATGATCACGTCGTCATCCAAACTCTTCCCAATCTGTTCACATTCGACCCACACTCCTCAGTCTTAACGTACTACGTCCCTTTCTCAAACCTCCATTCATATCAAACACAATCTATCCTAACTTCCAACACATGTTCCATTCTCATCACCCCTAACCCTCCATCCATCATTCAACCATCTTCATCCTGAACAGTGCCCTCATCCAGCGCATCCATCCACCCATATGACCAATCAAGAGATCATGTTAAGATCTCACTTAAGATGAAAAGACGAGAAAAAACCTTTCAATCACATGAAATCTTCATCATCCAAAACATCATCATAAACTTCCGTATCAATCTTTCCACCAGATTTAGCACCACCAACGACGACGGCACCTTTCTTCACAGTCGTTTTCTTTTTCCCATTCGCTTTATCCCTTTCTTCCTGTTGTTTCGTATTTCCCAACACTGTCAAAGTACTCGATACTTTCCTAGTTTGAACAGCGGTCAGAGGTTCACATATATCTTTAGCTAGAGATTCTACGAAAATCGGATAAAGTGGGTTTGATATGTGTCGTGAAAGTAGAGCTGCGTTTAAGTTTTGAGAAAGAAGAATGAAATCGGATTTGGTTTTTGGTTCTGCTGATAAGACAGCTTTGAGAGCGTCGGCTAAAAGGTTTAGTTTATGTACCCAATTTTGGCACTATCGTATGAGATTTGGCTTGAAGAGAATGTAAGAATTGGCTTTAAATATAGGTGGGGAGTGGACTGATGCGATGTGAAGATATATAGAGTGTGTATCATTTTAGACGAAGTTAGAAAAGTAGGTCTGTTGAAGGGTTTAGTTGGCTGAAGAGGGAAGTAAGGCGATGGGTGGAACAATGGCAAAAGTGTAAAAATCCAAATGTATAAAGAGGAAGATGAGAAAGAATACGGAACAACTCACCAGTATCTAAATTCGTAGCTCCCATCAAATCCGATGCAGCGGCTAAATCAGCTTCTAACTCTCTTTCCCTTGCTTGTCGTCTTTTATCTTGTTCAGTGGTAAGGTCGATCAATTCGTCTTCCCCCGAACCATTTGCTCGCTTTATTGTCAGTATTTCATTATATCTCTTTATCATTATCGTCTCTCCCCCTTTCTCCTCTTCCAAGTATCTCTTCTTTCTTGTTACCATTCCCGTTTCTCGGCGTTAATCGCTATCTACCTCTTTGGTATCATCCCTCTACCCTCATGTAGCCTTTGAAAAGATGGAGTGAATGCCTTTCATTGAGTAGATACGAGATAAAACGTACAGCTTCAGCGGCCAATTTCTCTTTCTCCGCCAATTTCTGCTTGAGGGTCATCTTCTTTTTCTTTGGCGCAGCAGCTGGAGCTGGAGTGGGAGCTTTGGCTTTATCATCATCTGAAACATCCCAATCGTCCTGCCGTCAGCCACGTTTCGTATTTTATTTCTCCCTCATGAGCACTTCCACTGGCGATTGTGGTTGTAAAGAAGTACATATGTTCATGTACGGTGGCGACAGTGTAGATCATGATGATGGAAGGGAGAGAAGTCGCAATGAACAAAAGAGGAAGGGTAAGGGTAAACGTACCAGTTCAGCTGGACTTTCTTCATCATCAAACCGTCTGGAAACAGGAGGTGGGATGTAGACGAGGTTGGAAGTGGAAGGTAAATCGTCTGTGTCTGGTTGTGAGCCCTTACAACTTTCTCAACTTTGAAAGATGACATACCCCAGTCGTCCATCTTTGACTCGTTAGAACGTTGGGCAGCTGTTTGGTTGGACCTTTGTGTCGTTGAAGGATGGAGGATGATGATGGGACTGGGGAAAAGAAGGGAAAGGAAAGGATATATGTACTTGAGTCCAATCTGATTTTCGCACTTTTGTTCTCTGGTGTGACATTCCTCAATCTGGTCAACTTGATTATATTTTACGTGATATTTCTGATGTTTTATCCAAAATCGTCATCGTGACCATCGGAGTTCCCTTTACAAGTAGTATACCGAATACACTTTGTCTCTCTACTACCCATTACCATACGCAGTCACGACAACAGTCATAGGGAGACAGATCATATCATTAGATACTATTTCAGAAAGTATCTTGAATACCGACTGCTCAACTGGGATACTGTCTGAATAGCTTACGACTGAATCTGTGACATTACTACTTCCACTTCACATCCCAATATGGCCTTCTTCTCTTCTATCCTCAATTGGCTCCGATCTTTATTCTTTGCTAAACATCTCGAAGTGACAATAGTAGGTTTACAAGTGAGTCTTTTCCTCTTTGTTTCTATCTATCATCTTATCAACTCAACGCATACAGTACTCGATCGTCACCTCTTGTGCTTCATGGCCTAGTGACATAGATGTGTCGCCGTGTAGATATGTAGATGCGTAGGGCTCAGGTGAATGTGAACGTTCAGTTGACTCTTTAGGCAAGTGGTAAAACCTCGTTAGTCCATTTTCCCTCTCTCCCTTCGAATACTCCTGCGTTCGAATGAATCGAATGAATCGAATAAAACACTCCTCATAGATTGACCCCCAATGAAAGAAATACCCTCGAAGGTATTCTTACCTCCAAGAGGAGAAATCAGGGGAAATATCCTTTGAAGATCTCCTTCGTCATTAGGACCACGAGGAGACTTGCGATAATTGATTAACATACAGTCTCGTAAACGTCTTAGGATCAGATCAATGGTCAGAAGATGTAGTACCTACAGTCGCGTTCAACCTTCGTCAAGTAAGAAAAGGAAACGTCACTATGAAAGTTTGGGATGTGGCTGGACAACCGAAATTCAGAGGTATGTGGGATAGGTATTGTCGTGGTGCTGATGCTATCATGTGGGTGATCTTGCTTTTTTTTCTCTACTTTATTCCCCCCCTCAGCCCACTTCGATTATGAGTTTGCTGCATGTTGCCTTGGTTGGAGTATTGACTAAATGCTGATGATCAGATACGTAGTAGATGCAGCAGATGTGAGTCTACTCTTCTTTCTGTTTTTCCAAAAAGAAAAGAATAAATTGATATTGACACAATTAGCCAAAATCACTTCCAACAGCAACATCAGAACTTCATTCCCTTCTCTCCTTGCCGGCACTCTCAAACGTCCCATTATTAGTTTTAGCAAATAAGAATGATCTTGCCGATGCTATAGGTGTAGATGATTTGATAAGATTAATGAGATTAGGTGAGATAAGAGGGAGGGTAGTTTCTGTGAGTATTTTTTGACCTCTTAACATTCAAAATACACATTTGGAGTTCATCTACCACAAACGTTTTGTATCGTTCTTTTGAAATTACCCAATGAAAGTTAAGGGAAGAATCACAATTATCAGACTATGAACCGCTAAACCCTTTAGTGTTACTCCACAAGCAACAAGACGAAACATAATCTTGATATCGTAATTTCCTGGCTCACACAACGAGCTCATTGATTCATTCTCCACAACTCACCTTTTACCCAAGTCATTTTGACACATCGACCATCCTCAGGTATATCCTTCGTGATCATTCATAATCATCAATTCATCATTTCAATCATGTATCATAAAAATATGCATGTTGTATGTCTTTTTCGTTATCCTGCCCTAGATGATCTACTCATTACTCATAATGAGTATTCTGCTCGTAGTCTTGAAAGTACCAACCAATTTCAATCGATTCACTATCCATGTACCATTCATTCTCCTTACTTCTTGATACATGGCGTTGATCGACTTAAAAAGGAGAAGACTTCATTATTCCCTCTGATCTTACAAGCCCTGATCTGACCTCCCATGTGCACGTTTATCCTCATGACCATCACGTCCGTTCCTGCCTTCCTTCCGAACATGCCCATGACCACCACCTCGATCGTGTTGACCCGTATTCTCCCCGTGTCTATGTGTGGAAGTATGAGATCCACGAGGATAAAACTTATGCCAAGTTTGTTGTTCCACCACTGGTTTGACTGGGTAACCTTTAGGTTTTTGATTATCGTCAAGTACTTGAAATCAGCCATCCTACATTTTCTTTCACATTACTCCACTGTCTACTCTTCAATGTCGAGATACTTAACGAGGCATAGGTGTAATCACCATCTACTCTCATGTGAATGGCTCTCAACAAGGTGATTGACCAATGGGTTCAAGAACCTTGAAATGCGGGATGAAACTTGATCACTATCCGAAGGTACCATCTCGAGCCCCATGTTGGATGCAAGTGTAATCAAAACTTTAGCGAACCCAGATGGTTCCATTATTCCATGTTTGGTGCAGAATGAAGAATGGTATTGTAGGTTGATAAGAAAGCGACGAATGAAGAGAGTACAGAGGAAAGTAAGATAAGAAAGAGACTCACACCATGGAGTTTGAACAAACGTAGGGGGTAACACTTTGAGTTCGGACAACCATAATTTTGTATAATCATTTTTAGGATCATAATCTTTTGCTTGTTTGAGAGGATTGAATTGTCGGGATGAACGTGGATCGTTACCTACTCCAGCTGAGAGTTATTTCGGACACACACAACTTCTTGAAATTTGTATCGTTTCAGGATAAAAGTGTTTGTGGGGGTTAGGAGGATTTGAATGATGACTATGGGGAGAGGGAAAAGGAAGAAGGAGAGAGGAAGAAGGGAAAAGATAGAACTGACCTTGATATTGCCAATTCCCCCAACTAAAAGTAAGCATGAGCTTGGTCTGGTGGTAGTTCCAGATCTAACAAGGCAGAGACCTGCAGCCAGAGTTTCTTGAGAAAAAAGGGAGGATAAAGTAGTCTGAATTGGTAGATTGTGAAGAGGAAGGAGGAAAAGTTGGACGTATGAAAAGAGGATCAGAAAGGGAACTCACTTGGAACAAGTATCATAATCTACTAAATGCATTTCGAAAAATTCAGCACCAACTCGCCAATCTACATATCTACTCATGAGCTTTGTCCATGGTATTCATCGCACGACGTCCAGTCATGAGGATGGCCACTGATCACTGACATTGATCTGCGAAAGGCAGTCACATGATCAGGTCACTAGAGGGCGACGATTGTGAGGCGCCGTCACATGACAAATTCACGATGATAAGGTTGACGACAGAGAGTGAAGGGGGAGATTGAGGTGCACAAGGAGAAGAAGGAAAGTCTAGGGGAAGACTTACAAATCCTTCACTAAAAAACTAGCTACATTCTGTCTACCTCTATTACTCATCCACCCAGTCTCCCTCAATTCACGCAAGTTCGCATCTACAAAAGGTACACCTGTCCTTCCTTCACACCATCGTCGAGCGGGATCATCCTCGTTTTCCCAATTTGGATAATGCCATTCTTGTGGATTTGGACGTTGAGATCTTGGATAAGTATTGATCTGTTCGCTGAAACCTTTGGGCAGAAAGAGTGAAGATTTCGAAGAAAAAAAATATTTGTAAACTGTAGACTGAAAGAAGTCTCTCCAGAGAAGTTCGAAGATGATCCCTGGGGTCAATAATGGCTGAGGTGGTTGTCATCACCCTACACTCTTCTCTCATTTTCTTTAGCCGATTACACTACTGCTCTTTGGGAACGGGTGGTACTAGGGGATCTGCCGGGATAAGGATTTTGATGCAGGTGTGTAATGCCAATCCCCATTCAAGATCCATTGAGAGATGGGGAGAGTGTTGACTTAGGTTCATTCTTGACGTATAATTTTTCACAATCGCGGGGAAATCGGGATATGGGCAGCTTGATGGAGCGGAAGATAAGGAAAAGTATAGGAGATTGTGAGATGAGTGGAAAGACGAAGGGACAGTGCCAACTCACAATACACATTATTGTAAGTATCCTTATCTTTTCTATCCACCTTTTCCAATAATCCTCCAACTCTCCATCCTATCTCTCTAGCACTCAAACAACCCAAACTCAACCAGCAGGAAAACTTGGTACTGAACCCTTCACCTATCATTCCATTTCTCGTGGCTTTATACTGTTTCGCTTTGCCCCCACCAGTCCACCCCTTTCCATCTTCGTGACCCACATAATCGTCCAACCTTTCCAAAGCCGCCTTCTCACCTCCTTCAAATGGAACAGCCGAGCTAGGATGGAACACTGGCAGAGCATTGTTGTCCTTTGCAGCTTGAGACCATCCCCCCACTGGCGGGGTATCGAGGAGAGGTTTGACAAGTTTCGTATATATTTCTACCACACTTGTGTCTTTCCCCAAGACACCACATCCTTCTGGAAGGGTAGAGAATTCCATTTGAGGGGCCGGTTTCAATCGTTGTCCATCTATATCAATCTTGATATTTCCTTGGCTCAAATGAGATGTTCGAAGTGGTTGTTTCAACATTCCTCCAAGAGATAAACCTAATCCTTCGCAATTCTTCCTGAATGCCGTGTAAACATCAGGCGTTTGTCGTCGATCGAAAGGTAAATCTTTGATTGCTACCAGGGTTTTACTATCCACTTTGTTCATTTTGACTCCTATCTTCTGTAAGGCGACTTCGAGATTGTCAAGCATATCTTTCTCTTCTACAGTTACTTCGTCTTGTGCCCATACTCCCTCGATCTCTGACGTTTCTTTCAGTTTCTCAATGAGGACCGGAAGAAGTCGATCTGGTCTACCGTAGCCTATCAGGAGATCTCCACCGGAACGTCGGTAAGTATCCCGGAGATAGAAAATTGATTCTAGTAAGAATCGAAGACGGTAAGGAGAAGTTCGATGAAAGTTTGCTACTCGAGATCGAGGGGATGGTCGAGTGTTGTTGACACCCTTATCTTGCTCACCATCACCGGAACCGTCCTCTGCCGGAGAGTTAGCGTTGGGTAGGCGTGGAGGAAGAGAGGGAAGAGCGTGGGGTAAATGGAAGATATCAAGTTGACGGGAATCGATGATATATACAGGGAGAAAGTGAGTGACTCGTTTGGAAATGGAGGAACGAGGGGAATGGGATAGATGTAAAGAAGGAAGGTCGTGTGTGCGGAGATCGAGTGTGTGGAGATGGATGAAAGTGTAGGGACGTGACATTCTGACTATGGAGCTTTTGAGCATGAGCGAGGTGGAAGGTGGGAGGTGGATTTGATCAGTACTTAGTAGCTCAGTAGGGGTGGGAAGTGACTAGAGGGAATAATACTGAATTTGGGTACCAACGCAGAAAGATGAGGTCACGATCGATCGAGAGAACGGTCAGCGTCATAGGTGAAGATCGATACGAGTACTGTACAGTTCTATATCGTCAGCGGTGGGGGTTCACACTGGCACAAACGTGACCACTTTAGCTGAGCTTGTCACAGCGCATCATCTCACCAGCAGTAATTCTGGCCGCTACTCTGATGTTTCAGTGCTTGACTTGTTCAACAAGAAGATACAAAGATGGACGACGGTCAAAAGTCAAGATAGCAGCTCGGGGAGATTTCGGCAAAAGTGAAATATTCCCCATTTTTCTTAATTTTCTCCCATTCCATGCTCCGGACCGGTTTGTCCGGATCTTCTCCGTTCAAAGCCACCAAGCCGCCAAGGTTTCCCCCCTCTCCAGCATCTTCTCTTTTCTTCTTCTTTCTTTCTCTCATCCGTCTCTCTCTCTACATCATCTCATCTCTCAACCACAACCATTCAAATTCACTTTCACAAAAGCAGTATACACCAAAAATGCCAGTCTCCCTCGCCCTCCTCGGTTCAGGTCTCTTCGCTTCCATAGCTTATCTCCCAGCCATTTTCGGTAATTCCAAAGATGTAATCCTCCATACAGTCTGGTCACGTTCTCAATCATCTGCCGAATCTTTACTCGAAAAATGTAAAGAACTCGGTATTTCTCCACTACCAACCATCCAATTCGGTGATACCGGTTTAAACATCTTACTCAAAGATAAATCTATCGATGGGGTGATGTTAGTTTTACCTATCACCGCTCAACCACCTTTGGTTATCAAATGTTTAGAAGCTGGTAAACATGTTTTATGTGAAAAACCTTTACATAAAGATGTTAAACATGCTAAAGAATTGGTAGAAGAATATGAAAAAAGGTTTAAACCAAAAGGATTGATTTTCCGTACTGCCGAAAGTAAGTAGATATGTCCCTCTACATTCTTATGTTTTTCACATTCCCTTTCTTTCGAGAAACTCTTTTATTCCACTCTCTGATTTATAAACCTCCCTCTTGCTTCACATTTAGACTCTCTCATGTCATCTTGTTCTTCCCCTTTCCCGACATCCTTATCCCATATAGTTTTTACGGATTCTGTTCCTTCACCCCAAAAGACATCTCTATAAATCGCAAGTTGGAATGTCACATGATCTCGCAATTTTCAATATGGACTCTGTATTTATCAGAACACATGGATAGATGAGTCTCATGAGTCGAAGTTAACGTTGTAAGATTGGGCGCATGAACCAGTACTTCATTGGGCAGCATCTAAACTTCGTGAACCATCTTTAGGTCCTGTACTTTATTGGCAACTCGGTCTTTCAAACGTTGTTAAACCAGGTTCTCATTGGCACGCAACTTCTTGGCGTACTATACCAGATTATCAAGGTGGTTTCATTCTTGATGGTGGTGTACATCAAGGTGCATTACTTCGTATCGTTTTACCAATCCCACCTTCAACAATATTATCACATGCTACTCTTCATAGAGCTCATTTACCACCTCATGACACTTTCGTAGCTATCGCAGCACCACCAATTTCTTCTCATACTCCTGCTCATGGATACGAAAAAGTTTCATCCGATTTGAATAAAGATTTACCTCATAAAGTCGAAGATATACCTGCGGAAATCGGTACTAGTGCACCTTTCGGTACAATCTTGATGACTTGGGCGCAACCCGATTTACCGGATTCAGCTCCGGCAGGTATGAACGCTTTGGAAATCGTTTGTCTTCATGGTGTCGTCAGTATTTCTTGGCCTGATAAAAATATGAAAGCTGTGATTACTGCTGCGAATGGAAGTGGAGTTGTGAATGAAGAAAAAGAAGAAAAACAAAGTGGTGTTAAAGTTGAGATTGGAATGTATGCAAGAGCTATAGAAGCTGTTAAAGAGGGTAAAGAATTGGAAGAACCTAATTGGGCTGATCCTAGGGATTGTCTTTGGGATTTAGCTTGGGTAGAAGCTTGTTTACAAAGTGGTGGGAAAAGTGTTAATATCGAGGGATTGATCAAGGGTTAAAAAGTGGTGTTTTTTCGTTTGGGGAACACTAAGGGGGTAACATACCGAATATTAGTGAGGTATTATGGAAGGGTAAAAAGGTTGGAGGGAAAATCATCGAATATATCAGGGGTCAGTGAAGGATTTTTTAGATCAGTCAAACATAAGTGGGAAAATAGAAACAGGATGCAATGCTTTTATCTACAATTTTAATTCTACTAATTATGCCTAATTAATCGTTATCATCATCAGACAAGAAGCAGGGATTCCATTTAGGACCATAACTCGCAAGTCGTAAGTCGTTAATCGTAAATCGTAAATTCGTGAATCATGAGTTGTGCGTCTTCTTCCAATCGTCAAGGTAATCTCACCTTTCACTCCTCTCTTCCTCTCGTACAACTCATACAGTCAATCATAACCGACGTCACACCCTCCAACCCTTCCACCATTGTTTTCAATCCTCGTTTCGTCATAACGAGGCAGGTCATACGAATCTTCAGTCCGAAAATCCATTTCGTCATATTGGAAAACAGATAAAGTATCCCGTGGAAATTCCATGCCGCCATATTCAATTAAACCAAAAATTCTTCAGGTGGAATTTCCCGAAATTTGAATTTGAAAACTCGTTACGTCGAGTCCTTGAAGCCAATAGGAGGGACATCTAATCGGATTTGGATAGACGATCAAGTCTTCGATAGAGTTTTTAGAGAGGACCATTCTTTCGAAATCAACTAGAATAGAATGGAAAGACGTTGATTATCAAAACCATCATAATCCCACAGAAACATTTCCCACTTTATCAGATCCCAAATCCCACCAAGTCCCCTTCTCTTTCCCTTTAATCGTCACGTCCGAATCAGCTCTTTCTCTCCCTTCATCTTTCTCTTGTCCTTTTGCCAGATCAGGGTTTCGTTTGATAAACGACTTGAATTGTTTTCTATCAATTTCCAAAGCGTAATTCTTCCAAGCCCAAGATTCTTGTGTTAATCCATTTATTCTCATTTCTTGTAATTTCGTTTTAGCTTCTCTCTCTCTGGCAATCATCTTCCAATTATCTCTTTCTTCTTTCATTTTGTTCGACTCTTCTTTCATGTCTTTCAACTCTTGGTCTTTGAATTTGACTTCTTCCAGAAGTTTGTTTCTCTCTTTTTCTGAATTTCTCATATCTTCTTGTTTCGATAAGAGTAAACCTTCGATTTCTCTTTGATGTGAAATCCGATTCTCGTCCAAGGTGTATTGAGAACGTACGAGTTGTTCACGTATTGATTCAACTTCCGAGGTGGAGGTTTCATTAGCTGAGATAGCTTTTTGGAGAGATTGTTGAAGTGACGAAATGGAAGATTTATGGATTTCGGAATTTGATGTTTGAACAAGTTGAAGTTGAAGGTTTTCTTCAGTTATGGTATCAAGACGTTTACGAAGTGAGTCGAGATCAGTTTCGAGATGTTTGTTTCTGTCCAAAACTTGAGCATACTCTTTTACTCGAGAAGACATGGTTTCGTGCATTGCTTCGTCCAGTCGAGAGAGACGGGAGATGACTTCATCTTGAAGGAGTTGTTGGAGGGGTAAGGTGAGTTCAGGAGTGGAAACGGAAGGAAGGGGAGGTTTGTTACGTTCTGCTTCGAGCTGAGGTGTTAGTGTATCCTCTCAGTCCCTATTTTCGAGATATATGCGACTGTTTGCAGAGACCCACGAATATCACAAATGATAGACTGTGTACGAAATGAAGAAACCCAGAAAGATTAGACTCACCATCTTATTCGCTTTTGACAACTCTACATCCCTTCTAGCAACTACCAACTTCATCTCACTCATTTCCTTCTTGACATGATCCCTTTCCAACTCCGCAGCAAGTCTTGCAGCCACACAAGCGTCCATCTCTCCTATCATCTCTTTCTGTTTCTCTTCCATCTTCTTGATACTACTTTCCATCCCATTCATTTCATCCCTCACCGCATCCCTTTGTCTCTTGACGATAATCAATGTATCTTCTGTACTCTTCACCTTTTCTTGCGATTCTCTCACCAAACGAGTCAAGTCGGTAATTTCAACATCACGTCGGTCTACTTCTGAGGATACAGTATGGGAGATATCGTGTCGATCGGAGAGTTCAGTGATCTTATCTAGAAGAGCATGTTGACCAGTTAAGAGTGCACCAAACATTTCTTGTGCTCTTTCATGTCCTGTAACCGATTCGTTTGATCCGCTCTGGGGTCCTACTTCGTTTGTTGAAGAACCTGACTCGGGTGATTGGGCAGAAAGGTTTGGTCGAGTTGAGAGTTCAGGTTGAGGAGAGGGAGATAAAGAGTCTGAAAATGCAGAAATAGGAGGAGGGGCAAGACGATCTTGCATTTCTTGTAAACTTTCTAGAATGTGGGAATGATTTTCCAACATATCGGAAATATGGTGTAATAAGGGGTTTGGAGATTTAGGAGCAGGTGAAGAGAGTATATCTAGTTGTCAGTGAGATGTCATTAATGTCATGACTAAAATCTTGTAGGCGGACGAGCATATACCTTCGATGCTCGTGTTCACAATCTTCGCAGGGCACAAATGAACAATGTTGTTGCAGCGACAAGCAAAAAGAGATCATGAATATGAGAAGACAACTAAATGGAGGAAGGGACAGAAGTATGAAATGCAGTGGAAAGGAATTGAAACCTCTGAAGAGCTCACTCAACTCACCTTGGACAGAATTAGTCAAACCAACTAAAGCATCCTTCACCTCTTCACTGAACACTTTTGCCTCTCCTTCTCTCTTCTCCGCGTAATCTCTCATATTCGCCTCATGACTCCTCAAACTTGAAACAAGACCAGCAATAGCATCCATCATCTCTTTACTTCCTTCACCCGGAGATGGTGTATGAGACACAACTCTCTCTTGAGCTTTACCAGCTCCATCTCTCATTGGGAATTCCGCACTACTCTGAGCACTCGCAGTGGGTCTACTGAGATTTGTTCCATTGACATTTAACAATCCATCTTCTCTTTCATTACTCTCTTGTTCTTGCACCACATTCGCTTCACCTGTGACTTGATCACTAGAAGTTGACGCGATACCACCTTCAGACGTTGGGATGGGTAAACGACCATGAACTTGCAAAAAGGTCCGGAGATCTTGGACACGTGAAGCTAGCGTCGTGGTTTTTGTCGATGCTACTCCAGCTCCAGCAACAGGTTCCGGTACTTCTGCTTGTTCCCCCGACATTGTATGTCTTCGTGAGATTGATGGATGAGATGCATGGACAGGATAAACCCAAGATCGAAATCGATTATCATCATCGGCTGATACTCGTATATGAGGTGTGGAAGAGTCTCGATGGATATGATCGGATTCTGGCTCGGTAATGAAGACAGAACCAGAAGCGGGAATGTCAAGATATTCAGGATCGAATGCTGCTGATTCAGATGGTGATGGCCAATCATCATCGGTAGGTCTTTGTTTGGTCTTGTGTGGTGGAGTGTTATGAAGATAGGTTGGAGAACGAGATCGAGACATGGGTTGTGGCGAGTCATGTAATTGTAAAGGTGGACCATTTCCGGAAAGAACATGTGAGGATTTGTGTGCATTGGTAGATGATTGTTTATGATCCAGGCGAGGCGAGGACGTCGTTATGGATGGGTCGGGAATTTGAGGTACGACAAGATCACTCCTGTTCGATTGTGAAGATTCCGTGACTTTTGGATGGTCGGGAACAAACGGCGGTGCGAATACAGACAAAGCCGGAGGTCCAACCTTGGGCGCATTTAGATCCTGGGGCAGGAAAGGAGGGGCGGACACGGATAATCTGGGAGATCCAGGTTCAGACACGTTTGAATCCTTGGGCATGAAAACAGGGGCGAAAACAGATAACTTAGGAGATCCAGGTTCAGCGACATCCAATTTCCTGGGCATGAAAGGCTGAGCTAAAACAGATAATTTCGGAAGATCAGGATGAAATTCTTGTCTTTCCACAGATGGTGGAGATCCAAAAATGAATGGAGCCGCATTTGGTCTTAGAACCCCTTTCCCTTTGCTTGTGGGATTGAAGGTAGAGCTATGAGGGTTAAGTTGTTGAGTTGAAGTCTGTCTCTGATCACTGGGTCTTGGAGGGGTTGAACGTTTTAGACTGAACATCCGTCTTTGATGGTCTTCATCGCTTTCGCTGGGTTTCTGAGAATCCACATTTGGTAGGCCTGAGGTCTGGCCGACATGGAAGTTGGTAAATGGTTTACTTTGCGGGTCCAATAGATTCCTCAAGGATCTTGTCTCCTCTTCTGGTTTTAAGTGGATGTCAAGTCCGGCCGAGGCAGATACCAAAGAATTCGAAGTTGCGTGTGTACTTGCCGAAACTGGTACGTCGGGTTTCAGCACTTCTACTGTTCGAGATTGGGGTAAAGTGGTAGTATGACGCGAAGGGAGCGGTTGAGATGGAAGGATGTTGATGTCCATTCCACCTGACTGATGTTCAAGAGGGAAAGACGAAATGGCCATCCCCATTCCATCTGCCGGTGGTTCTGGAGGGAGGGTGGCTTCGAGCACATCTTTGGATAAATGGGAATTGAAAGGTTTTCGGGATGCTGGCGGACGTTCATGTCGAGGTGAACGTATATCATCTGCTGGAGCTGGGGAAAGGTCTGATATCTAGACATCAGCAGTTGCCTGTATGCGCGTTGTTCCTCTCGGAAGCTTATTACACCGGGAAAGACAGGCGGTGTCATGAGAGGATTGTTGGGGAGTCGGTGTGCCAGTCATACTGACGGCATGGGCGTGAAATTTATCACGGAACGGGGATGGGTAATGACAATTGTTATCACGACGGATTAGATAGGGGCAGCCAAAGGGTCATCAAGATGTTTGGTGGGGGGGGGGGGGGGGGGGGAGAGCAATTCGCTAGGATGATGGAGTATATAGGGGAATAACAATCTACCACCACGATGGAGTGCAGAGAAAGTAGGTGGTAGGGTGATAAACATCACAGGGATCCGGAGGGAAGAAGGGGTACGAATAGAATAATAAACTTACACCTTCCACATCAACCACAACACCCATTCCCGTGATACTGACTCTAGGTGAAGCTGACCCTCTGATAGGTAATGGTACCAATCCCGATCCTACTGAATCTTCATCAGAAGGAAGAGGAGTAGCATAAAACAATTCTTCCATTCCTTCATCTATATCGTCATCTTCATCCGGCTTCATGAGTGTTTCCATGTATTCTGATTGCCATTCTTCTTCATTAGGGGTTACCATCTCTCTCGAACCGTTGTCCTGGATGTTCATCGAAGCCGGATTGAGTATCATGTCTCCAGACCGCACCCCGGCATTCAGGCTGGATGTACCATAACTAGAATGTGATACTCCACCCGAATTTTCGAAGTCGGGGTTGGTCATGTCAATCACCGATTTATTTGGTACATCTTCGAAGGGAGAATCCGCGGTGGGTCCGCCAGCTTCTAGAGTACTCCATATGAGTTCATGTGCTGGGACTTTCGATGTACCCATCAAAGACCCGATCTGTTGATCTCTAGCAGTTTGCGGTCCTTCCGGAGGAGGTATGCCAGTAACCATGATTGGAAGTGAATGTGAATGATTATCCATACTGTCGGATTCCGCCCCTTTTCCTTCATTCCAATCTGCCGGTGGTTCATCGATCTCCGATTGCATACCCTGCAACTCCTCAGAAATCCCTCTTGTCGGCATGATATTGTTCTCCAGCATGGTCGAGTGCTCCGGTACCACACGATATAGTGAGATCTGCCTAGCGTGGGAGGTCGATCCGTCATGACGAATGGGTTCGAAAACTGGTGCAGTAGCTCTGAGCGTTCCTACAATTCTATCCGTATCCTTCCCGAATTCAGGATCCGGCGCTTGCATCCCAAGATGCTTCAGGCTGTGAGTCTCGTGATTCTCGAGCGAAATAGTCCCATGTGTAAACGTTGAGCCATCAGCTTCATCTCCCACCAAAACAGACCGAGACCATTGAGTCCCCACTATGTTTGTGGGTGTGGGGTTATACACAGTGCAATCGTTCGGTATATCCACGGAAGAACGAACCGACATTTCTCTAGAAAGATCCACAGATGAAGTTCTCGATTGCGTCCCACTTCCTCCTATGGAACGAGGTACGAAAACTGCTGCTGTTGGACGCATCCTCTTGAGAGGGTTGAAAGGTTTAGCAGAGGCGGATAGGGTACGATGATGTTTTAATTTTTCGGATTCACCATTCTTCTTTGTGTTTTTCCCCATAGTTCTAAGATCTGAATCTTGGGACACTGTCGGCTGGTGGGTTCCTGTCGTTGAGTTCATTAGGGGAGTCGTCCCCGTGAAGTCGACCTTCGAAATCGGTTCAGCCTCTTTGACCAATTGTGAAGAAGACATGTTGATTAATTGGGCCGATTGTTTCCTGTTAAGCGGAATTTCTTTCAATGACGCGCTAAGATCTCCGTCCTTAATCTCCTGTGTCGGCGCGTTATCGAACCCTTCGTTTACGAGAAGGACCCCTATTTTGGTATATTTAGCTCGATCCAGTTGACTAGCAAAGGGCGAGGTGGGAGCCCCATTATCATCATCACTTGAAAGATGCTTGAACTGTGGAGACTGAAGGATTGAAGAATTGATCAGTTCGGATTGTTCTCGTCCTCTTAGGAGTTTATGTATCGCCGAAGCTGGACTATTAGGGACCTGTCCAGCCTGCTCCGAATACAATGTCTTGACCTGATAACCATCTATTTCATCGTCCGACTCTTCACTCTGTAATTCTTCTACTTGATCTTCTCGTTCCATATTCTTCTCTTCTCTCTCCTTCAGTCCCCCCCGATTGACCTCCTCATTTTTGTTCCGCTTTGGTTCTATCCTCGGACGATCCTTCGGATTTATTCCCTCATTGTTCGTTTTTGCGTTCAGCCCCTCACTTCCGTCGAAAATACCCGCAGCTTCCGGTTCATCCTCATTTGACGCCATTACCAATGATTCGAGAACTTGAGCATTCTGAAGATCCAGATTCACGCTACTCGTCCGTCTTTTGGCCCTTGGTACCTCAGTCTTGAGCAAACTACCTAATTGACGTGAGAGATAATTGTTGAACCTTGACTTGGTCGGAGAGATGATAGAAGCTGAGAAAACGTCTTCTTCCTCTTTCTTCCCTAGGGCCTGTCCGCTTGGATTTACTTTCGCCAGGCGTTCACTTTCTCCATTCGTGCGTTGTTCTGGTGAGACGAGTTCCGCTCTTGACCGTTTCAAGGGGCTGGGGGTGATTATGTCTTCTTCATCGGTCATTTTATCACTGAAATCCCCTTGAGTTTCTAGTCGGTGTGATGAAGGGTGGAGATCTTCATTAGCGGTCAAAGGGACGTCTTCGAATTCGTCTTCTTTGAATACTCCCTGTCGTTTCTCCACTTTCTCTCCAACAGTTTTGACGTTCTTGTCCACGTGTTCCACCGACATCTCCAGAGATTTTCTATGACCACTGAGTTTCCTCTCCGCGGGACCCTTAAACAAAGCCCCCAGTTGTCTTTTTAAAAACGCCTCATTACCCAGTCCTCCCCTACTTGAGACTCTATTCTGATGTCGGACATGGTCCGCATCGTCTAAGATGACGTCTCCATACTTTCGACCAGCAAGAGGTTCTTTAACGATGATGTCCGTTCGTCTCTGCGAAACGGGTGACTGATCTGGTAGGTTCAATCCGAAAAGTGGGACACTACGTCTCCCGGGAGATCCATGGTGTTGCTGCGTTGAATGAGGAGAAGTCGGTAGAATATAATCACTGGGAAAGCCCCGTGTTGATTGAAATGGTGTAGGGACCTCTGACTTTGAGTGGTTGGTAGGATAGTTTGGGGGTATGGCCGAGAATACCTTAATTGGGGAGTCTTGGTCGGACTGTATAGAGAGGAGAGTTTTATCCGGAGAGTATTGTGTGGAGGGGAAAGTCTTGTCCGAAGATTCCGGGTCAAGTTGTATCGAAGAGAGGGTCTTCTCAGGGGAATCTTCCAAGTGTATTGAGGAAAGGGTTTTGTCGGGAGAATCTTCGTTCCATTGCATAGACTTTGGAGGAGTAGGGAACACTTTGTCAGGTGACCCTTCGTTCATTTGCATGCGATTTGAGGTGGGTGAGTGCAGGCCGGCCAAGGTGGGTTGGGAGGTCGAGGCGTAGAGGGCCGAATGGCGTACGTGAGTGGCTGTCTCTTCGCTCAGTAGCGCCATTTTGGCCGCTAATGATCAGCTACGCCAATGAGTCAAGGGAGAATCATACCTTTTTCGTCGTTTAATGTCTTCCAACCTGACTGCCATGGTCAGCATCTATGACGATGTATAATATGGCGAAAGCTAGCAGGGATCTCTCACACGAGACCAAAGAGAAAAGGGATATCGTCATTGAGTGTGGGATCAGAGTAAGATAGTAGGAGAGACATACTAGATTGGGCGGTTTGACCACCACTGCTTTTCCTTTCCACAACCCACCTCCAGGAGCGTTTACTTCCGTGGATCCTCTACTATTTGGATGTCTACCTTCTTCTCCTAGTATAAGCGACTCGGGAGTTGGCTCCTCTGCTTGCATCATCCGGTCAGGCCTGAGGTTGTGTCGGGTAGTATGGGCGGCAACCTCCTCTGACACGTTCTCAGAAGTAGCATCTGTTGGACTATCAGGCAACGGCACAGTACGCGGTTCGACCGGTCTTTTTGGCCAAGGAAACAATTCCCCTCGTTTTTTAGACGGAGCCTCTGGGTCTGCAGGATCAGGAATGACTTCTTCCGGATCATAATCCCTTGGAGGCAGTCGGACCAAGACTGGTTTGGATCTCCATTTCGCCACTTCCTCCCTTCCATTCCCTAAAGCGTCTTCTCCTCCTGGTGACATATCACCAGCTTGAGGTGACTGACCGTCAAGAAACCGATTAACCGCAATGGGCGTGGTCGCCAACTTGACCGGTGATCCATCTCCATTACTAGAAGTCGACCTGGTCATCTTCTCCGCTTGCAGCTCTTCGTAAGTCTTCCCACCAGGTCCACCTAATTTCGCCTTAGGTGGTCCTCCTGTACGTTCACTTGATCTTCTAGAGCCGGATGTCCCTGTCCACGATCTTTCAGATGTTGTAGATGGTAAAGCGGGATACAAAGCGTGAGGAGAAAGAGAGACGATCCTTCTTCCCGCATCGTTAGACCGATGGGTTAGATTGGACGAATATGAAAATGCGGGAGAGCCAGCGATGGGAACAGGATGATGCAATGGTGATCGTGTCAAGGGCAATGACAAAAGCGCCTGAGGTGAGGCAGAAAGGGAAGAACGAGATGGAGAATCCAATGTCCAACTTCTCATTGCGTGAGGATGACTTCCTGATGGTCTCGAAGGTAGGAGGTTAGGTCCGTACGACGCTGAAGAATGATATGGGACACTTTGCACATGAACGGGATCCGAGGCCCAGTCAAAGGAACTTTCGTTAGTGGTGGAGGATTCATCGTGTAGACCCAAGGAGGATTGTCGGACGTGATTTGAGGTGGACATTTGAGGAGGTAGGTCCAGTTGTGGGACTGGTAGATTTTGCTGAGGATGATTGAACGAAGTGGCCCCGAACGATTGGTGAGAGTCCCAGGGAGGATAGGTGGTGAGGGTCGGAGGTCGATGACTGTGGGGACGATGAGGAAGAGGTTGGTGTAAGATGGGAGCCATGGGCGGTGTTGGTGCTGGTGGTCGATCAGGGGAAGGAGATGTGCTGGGGTAAGCTGAGGTAGAGGGCATGGTGGATGAGAGATGTGTGAAGGGCATCTAAGCGGTCAGCGCTGAGACCTGGTGTTGAGGTCAGTCGTAGAGCACAGAGCATATAGTGAGGTCAGAGGTCAGAGGATCAGAGGGGAGTGTTTGAGGTCAAGTTGAGGTTCAAGCAAGGCCAAAATGGAATGTTCACTTAGCATGTGTATGTCATGAATAAAGTGAGACGACTGGCTTACTCCTTATGGTCCCAACGTGTCTGGTTTTGTCACCGATCACCGTCCGACCATGAGCAGGCTAGAATGAGGTTATGGGAAGGTACACAGGGAGGATGGGACGACACAATGTACAGAAGTGGTGAGACAAGCTACGAGGTCATAGGACATGTCTGATACAGAGAGAAAGAGTATGAGAGAGAGAGAGGTGGAGGGGCAAAGGATAGAGTGGTAAGTAAGCTAGTAAACTTGATGACATCAAAAGATTTCTTTTGATACTTGGGTGGACAAAAGATGATACTTAACTTCATGCCGTCATGTTGCCTCACCGTTGTTTATGAGCACTTTAATCATATGCTTGATGACCATTATGGTATGCAAGTAACTTCACCTCACCATTGGTAGCGTTTTGAGCATCCATGCATTAATATTGAATAGAGGTTGCTGCTGTTGTGGAGGGTGAGACTTGGACGATGGAAGGACACTCGGAAGAGGAGGGATCTGAGCGTCCTCCGCGCCTAATTTCACACCTTATTTGCTTTTCCCATTTTAGTAACGCCATGCATAAACGTAATATCACTTCCGATCGAATACTAATCGACATTTGTATATTACTTCTTGATTAGTAAAAAGGATATACAAAGTCTTGCCTCGGCCGGAGGGGACGAAATTTGTGCTGTGACCCGAGGCGTCGTGTGCATGTTTTTCAGCCAAGAAAACCTCGTATCCTCTTCCTCTTCTTGTCCACCTTCCCTTCCCTCCCTCTCTCTCGTCTGTACTAAATCCCATCTGGACGTTTGATCGCTCTTTCGCCGTGTGAACCGACTTGTTCCCCCACGTGTCTGAGCTTTCCTTGTCCCACCCCACACCAACTTCGTGGGAACCCATCAGAACTGCTCACCTACTTACCGAGTGAGTCTACCTACGAATATCCCATCCCCTACTTCTCACTCTCCCTGCCCTTGCCCAAGACTGTATGACTTCGCGTGTAGAAAAGTGACTGATTGACTTAGTAGTAGCTTACGTGGTCGTGTGACTATTCAAAGGACCCTATCACACCTCTCTCGTCGTCGTCCATCACGCCACCCCACACCCCACATATTCCTCGTAATTATCAATCCCTCTTGTCACCACCACATCTCTCTCGCTTCTCATATCATCTCTCCCTTCCGGCTCTGTGCGACACCTCCTTGGCGCCGCCCATCCCTCCACTTTACATCTCAATATGATCAAACGATAGTCTGGGCGGACCGCAGGTCGGCCCGACTCCTGCCCTCTCATCGCCTTCTCGGTCTCAAACTACCTCAAGGATCGTCGCTTCGTGCTTCGTCGGCTCGCCACACCATCACCCCCATCTCGCCTACTTTACATCCCGCAAACTCCCTTTCTCTTAATCGTGTCATCCCAAAGAGGAATCATGCCCGGTCTAGTGAGCAGTGTTGGGGGACTCGTTGGAGCTGGGGTCAAAGGTCTGATGGATTTGGCGGAAGAATATATATCAGCTAGGGATATAAACCTCGATCCCTCACATCTCTCTTCTCTCACCGAAACGAAAAGTTTTGCCGTACCTATACCCCATGTCACATCTTCCACATCTTCTACAACTTCTTCCGCTAATTCCTCCGTCATCTCCCGATCAACCTTTTCGTCCGCCAGTCTCATCCAAGTCACAGACATCCCTTCAGGATGGATCCATTTACAATCCACATATCTGGATGACACAGGAAGTCAGAAGAAAGTTCGATGTTTTGGTTTGAGAAGCTGTACGGATAGGGATGTCGAGGTGGAAATCAGCAGTGATCTCAACGGACAGGTCTTGTTCTGGCTTGGTGAGGATGAACAAGGTATGTGAAATTCATGCTCAACTCATGATCACCACTTTCTGACGTTCAGTGAGCAGTTCTGCCTCGTCAACATCCTCCTTATCGAACACCTCTGGTACCACGAGTCTCGTTTTCACCCTTCCAGCTGGAGCATCTCTCACCGTGTGTCTGTCATTTCAGGCTAATATCGACGGCTTCGATCCACCCACCTCACCCACCGAATCCGAAGGTGGATACACACCCCGTCTCAAACCTGCTCTCTCGCGCAAGAGTTCCTCTGAAAGGTCATCCACTGCTGCCTCTCTTCCATCGGACAAGGCTCTCTCCGACCGCAGTTCGTACTCCTCCCATCTGACCGCCGTCTCCCGTGGTGTAGCACCCTCTGCTCGAAAGCTCGAACCCGTTCACAAAGCCTTCCCGGTGCATGGTTCCATCTCCGTTCGTGCCAACCTCGTTCCTACAATCGCCGACGACCGTGTCTCTCAGTCTATCACGGTCCCATTCTTCGCCACTGTCTGTCGATCGCTGTTCACAGCTGCCCTCATTGATCCTGAAACCGGTCTGACCACTGGCCAACAGCAATCTTCGGGTGAGCTATGTATCGACTTTGGGCCCGATCCAGTGGTAGGGGGTGAATACAACCGTGACATTCTACTTGTCAATAGATCCGAAATTGAGTTGGTGTGGACCACTGCCGTTGTCTCGTGTGGTCAGAAAGAAGCCATTTGGCTTTCTCTACGGGATTTGGATTCTGAGAATGTCTTTGGAGTTGACCGTTCATCTCAGCCTGTCCCTCTGCCGGCACTTTCATCTCGACACTTACGATTGGCTCTCCGAGTCAGAGCACCGGTCCCGGAGTTCGAATTTGACTTTGTCCTTGCGAACATTCATCAGAGCGGTAATGTTGTCACCTGCAAGGTTATCGGATCTAGTCGTAGTGCAGCCAATTCGGATTTACTACGGATCTTAAGTGGGACTACCTTGGATTTTGGTCAGATATGTGATGGTTTATGGGCCCGCAAAATAATAACTTGCAAGAATGCTGGAGATAAATCTCTCGACGTACACTTTTCCGCAACACCGGGATACGAAGTTGTCTTTCGATTGGCGGGTATTGCTGGAGAAGATTTGGATGAGGATTCTCCCATGGAACGACCAAGCAGGTTGGATCAAAGAAGTTCTGAAAGGTTCTCCTCTGCTTATCGGGATCCTTCTCGAGGCCGACCCACTATAACACGAGCTGCTTCCCCTTCATTCAGTGGGAGTCAACCGACTTCTATCCTCAAACACTCTTCTGGGACGTCATCAATCCCAATCAGCTCTGTGCGGTCAGAAGCATATGAAGCTGAAGAATCACAAATTGGATCTTTCCCCGAATCTAGCGATAAATCTAGTGTTAGGGATTTATCTCAGCCTTCTTCCCGACCATTATCCCGAGCTACCAGTCGAGCCTCCAGCGTGCACTTTCATACTGATGCCGCGGAATCAGACGAGGAAGATAACGAAACCCCATTCTTTGGAGCTGATTCTTTACAACCAACAGAAGAATCCGATGCGCATGCTAGAGGTCCAAACTTGCCCGATTCTCTTTCAGAAAGGAACATACCTGATCAAATCGAGGAAATCATCATGCGACCAGGTACGGAATATCGTATCTCCGTTATATATCGACCCGCAAGAGACACCACGAATGCTGCTGAGATTGCTGGTGCTCTAAGAGAAACAAACTTCCAAGTCTTTCTCGACTCGAATCCTTCTCACAAACTAGACTTGATAACGAGGAGAACGATAAATTGTACTTCCGAATCGTGTACTTCTATCATAAGTGTGGCCGAGATGAAGATCGATTTCGGTGAAGTAACTGTAGGAGCCAATAAATCCACTCTACTACATATTTCCAATTTATCCGCTCTGTCCGCCAAAGTTGAAATCGCTGCCATATCCAAAGTTCTTTCCGCAAATCGAAATGTCATCGTCATCCCTCCATTCGAAACAGTAGAAGATAAACTTGATTTCTTCCCGAGACGTATCAACGATGCCTACGAAAAACAAATTGTCGTGAGAAATTTATTGAATAGATTCAATGATCAAATTATTCAAGTTCGTTCGAAAAATATTGATCGACATAATGTTACTTTACATTCTCATCTTTACAAAATTTACACTCCATCCGGATCCAACTTTTTAGATTTCGGTTCGGTCGTGATCAATTCTCCAACTGTAAGAACGGTACAATTTGAAAACTTATCATCCGCTCAACTCATCTTGGAGTTGACTGCTAGTCAACCGGAAGATGTGGAATTATATGTGAAATGTGAAGATGCTCCGGCGAGGATTATTCGGAAAGGTAAATACGCAGATGAAGGTCAATTATCACCTAAAACTTCGTCGAATGGTGGAGGAATGAAAGAAAGGTTCATGGAATCTCTACATCAATTAGATAAAGATCCTTCTTTGAGAAAACCCAAAAAGGAGGTACCAAGAGTCAAAGAGGATGGACGTTTCGTAGGGATCATGGTCGCTGATGCTTTGAGGAAAAACCAAAAAGGAAGACAAGTGGTTAGATATGGTTGTTCGATGATGTTCAAAGATAAATGTCTGTTGGAGGATCACGAGTATTTAGATTTAGCTACAGGTCCACCAATATCGGGTCATAGGATACAACAGGGGAATAAAAAATATACTTTGTTGGAAAGTATAGAACAGGATGTGAAGTGGAGATTGAGAAGAATCAATTCGAACAGGACAAAATCTAGGACCGTATCTACAAAAGATAGATCTTCCAAAGATAAAGAAAGAAAAGCAAGATCTCCATTACTGAAACCTAAATCGGATGACAATTCTATTCCTTCTGTCCCTCGGTCAAAATCACCTCAACCTAAATCATCACATACCTCATCTCATCACAAGGCAACAACACATACAACCACTTCTCATACTTCTCATTCCTCCGTTTCTCATCATACGAAAGCAACGTCTCATCATCAAGTCGACCAGAAATCTACATCGTCGAAAACACCTCATGATCAACCTATCACAGTATCCCATCCCAAGTCAACTTCTCAACATCAAACGCCTCATGAGAAATCATCGTCCAAACACCCTCATGGGCAACACATCTCAGTATCTCATTCCCAATCAACGGCTCAACATCAAATCACCGATAAACCTAGATCAACTTCCAAGCCCCCTCATAATCATCCAACTTCCGTTCCCCATTCAAAGTCAACGGTCCAGCATCAAGTTACTGATAAACCTAGATCGTCGTCCAAACCCCCTGTTGTGAAGAATACTAAAGACAAAAGTCCTGCTCTTACTGGGAAGACCAAACAATCCACTTCTCATCTCACTAGTGATACTTCTAAAATGTCCCTCGAGACTCTGCTTCAATCTTTTCAATCTCACGATCTGAAGAAGACCACCATCTCTCAACGTTCTCAAGAAGAAGAAGAGGGTTATGTCAGAAAGATCATTTCGTTGAAGACAGAGTTAGAAAATGTGATTTCGAGTGGGAAGATCGTCCCTGCTAGATTGTTGACTATTCCTGCTGGGGAAAAGAGAGAGGTTATTTTGATCATGACTCCTAATGGATCTACCCGACCTCATGTGACTTTCAGAGCTAAAAGAGCGGATTCTAGGATTTATATCAAGTTAGTTGAGTTTGATAAGAGTATGTTGGTTCTTGCCGATCCGACTTCGACGCCGGGTACGAGTAAGGGATCTACAGTTGTATCGACAAGTGTATCTCCCACCAAAGTCGATTCTTCGGCTAGTGTTGATTCTTCGACTCCGAACTCTATTCCGACCTCCTCTTCAAATATCCCGTCATTTTCAACCCAGTCAAATGTCAGCACTATCCCCCTTGAAGGACAACCTTCAAATCATACACAAATCGACACAGAACAAATCACTCCAACCCCAACGACCATCTCCACCCACTCCTCAAACCCACCTGTCTCCAAAACCATCCTTCCCATCAAACATTACGAAAACCTAGAAGATATTGAAATCCCAGTCAGAGATCTTTTACTCAAATCATCATGTATTCGTTCCATCTTAGAAGTTTCACAAACATCCATCAATTTCGGTCAAACTGAAAAAGGTGAAATACGTTCACGTACAATCGTCATTCAAAACAAATCAGATACACCAGGTATATTCAGATTTCGTACTTCCGGTTCAATAGCATCTGGTGATATAAAATTAGGTTTAGGTCATTATGGTGTTATACCAGCATATGGTAGAAGAGAATATGATAAATTCTCTTTCACACCTACTATCGTTGGTTTATTTCAAGAAATGTTAGTTTTGGAAAATGTACAAGATGGTTGGAATGATAAAGTTTTATCCGTTAAAGCTATCGTTAGGAAAAAACCTAGTTTTATTGTCGATCCTGATAAATTAGAATGGGGTACGAAAGATATGAGTATGAGAGGTGTTTGGGTGACTAATGTGAGTAAGTTCGAAAGGACTTTTCTGGTAGAGTTAGAGATGGAGGAGGAGAATAAGGTTGAGAATATTCAAGATTTGAAACGTATGGAGATGTTGAAGAATACGAATAGATCGGATTCTTCAAGTACCATCGTCCCTTTCAACAAAACTTCGGACAATATGGTGTCAACAGAAACTATTACTACAAACTCAACATTATCGAACGATATCACAATCTCAACACTATCGAACAATACTACAAATCCAACATTTTCGGACAATGGTGAAAAGGTGAATGTATCAGATAGGATAAACACGACAGATCAAACAAATTCAACACAATCGTCTGACTGTTCAGATCACACACAAGAAGATGAGATACAACAAGTGGATATTTCATTAAGTCTTGATGATTCTCTTGTGGGTATAGTATTGAGTCAATCGGAAGAAGAAGAAGTTGAAAAATTATTACAAAAGTTGAAAATCGCAAAGAGGAAAGGTAAAAGTGAAAAAATTGGAAAATATGAAAATAGGTTGAAAGAATTGGGTATTGAAATTCCTATTGTTCCTTCTACTTCAATTTCAGAGGTCGATATTACTTCTTCACCTTCTCTTGATCTTATCCCTTCTGTACCTATTCCTTTACCTACTGTCGCTCCTACTTCAGCTCTTTCAGATCTCAATCCTTCTATTCCCATATCTTCTATCCCTACTCCAGATCTTGTCGCTTCCAATGCTGCTTCTTCAGCAACGTCCAATCCAGCTAGTTCTTTCACACCCGCTGCAGGTCCCATCATCTCTCATACCACTCATTCCGATCCCTCCACCTTGATGGAACAACCCGCAATTCCCGTCTTATCGAACCCTTCCCACTCTCAAGTTGTGTCCGCCCAATATGGTCAATCGAATGATACACCTAAAGGAAGTCCACCGTTACCTATCATCCATATAACGGACGAATCGGAAGGTGCCACAACTATCTTTCATCCTCTTACCGAAAACCCGAAACCATCAATCACGAATCATACTTCGACTACACCCTCGACACCAACTGTTAAAAGTTTATTGGTCACTTTGACACCTAATCAGAAGAAAAAGATTTGTGTACATCTTTCCGTCGTCCAATATAAGAAGGGTGAGCAAGTGGATAGTTCGTCCTCAGGTGTGGTGCCAAAGGGGGTAACGGATCGACCGGTGGGAAGTGTAAATCAGTCTACTCAACATATAGCTTGGGATAGTGGGAGTGAACAAGGGACGTTAACAACTCACCAGCAAACCGGGGTTAGTAGTGAAAAGGAGGGTCAACCTACGAATCAATTATCTGGTGGTAGTGGGAAGGAGGGTCAACCTACGAATCACTTATCTGGTGGTAGTGGGAAGGAGAGTCAAGCGACGAATCAAGCAAATGGTGGTAGTGGCAGTGGACAGACAACCTCTACTGAAAATATCGTACAGATCACAGAAAAGGAACCCCTCATCAGAAATAAAACCGTCAAAGCAAGTTTGAAGATATACGACAGAAAGAATAGAGACGAGATGATTACGGTACCTATCGTTGTGAAAGGATTGGATGGGGGTGACGAGGGATTGGAAACAGGGAAAGCTTTGAGAACTACTGATGGTGAGTTTGAGGTTTTTTATTTCTTCATCTTTTGTCTACGTCTCGTTCACCTTTCCCCTTCACTCCTCTTTAACATGTTCTGTCCCTGCATCTCGTCCTGTCCATCCAAAACCCCTTCCCCCCTCATTTTGAGCTACACCCCCCTTTTTCCTGCACAAATACCTCGCCCCGCGCCTACCGTGCACCACGTTCTCTAGTATACACCATTTCACGGGATACAGGACTCGACTCTCCCCCAACGTCTACTAACCCCAGACCCTATCAACATCGCGCTCATGCGTCACTGTCTAGACCTAGCGGCTAAATGTGTCCCTTCTCCTACCGCGTTCAACGTAGGATCCATAATCTTCTTACCATCTTCCTCTCCTCACTTTTCCTCTCTTCTTCGGTTTTCCAAACCTTCAACACCTTCCGAATCGGACAAGCAACCCCGTCCCATCATCTTCAAACCTTTCGAACTTGAAGGTCAAATAAAAGGTTTGATACTAGGTGAAGGATGGTCCAGACAAATACCAGGAAACACACATGGAGAAGCCAACGCTTTGACTAATTTAAGATCTGCTTATGAGAAGATACGTGCTGAGAAGAGGTTGTCGACTGTTCGAAGTGTTTCATCTACGTCAACGACAACTTCTGTTAATGCTTTCTCGAGCAAAATATCAACCAATGTTCCCTCTTCCACTCCTGTAGCTACGTCCTCGACCATCCCGAATAATTCAGTTTCTAAAAAGAAGAGCGTTGTCGATATGGATAAGACTGTTCCAACTACCATCAAAAAGACCATTGTCGATGAAGGGAAAAACATCACAATTCCTACTTCTCAAACGAATGGGGAAACGATTCGAACTAAAGAAGAAAAACGTAAATCTGGTGAATCAACTTTTATCCCAAAATTACAAGATGTTTTAAAAGATACGGAATGTTATGCTACTATGGAACCTTGTTCAATAAGGACTTCTGGAGGACCCAGTGGTGCTTTGGGATTAGTACGTGCTAAAGTTTGTCGTGTGTATTTGGTGAGTTCTGCTCTTCCTTGTCTGTTTTTAACTCTATTCATTAACCCTCACTCCCCCCCTCACCCCTCCCCTCACTCCTCCTCTCACTCCCCCCCCTTACTCCCCTTCCCCATCCCCTTTTCAGATCTTTTTTACCGCGGAACCTTCTCTCATCTCTTCACTTCTCACCCCTCACTTCGTACACGTTCCTTCTCTCCTCTGCACAATCAGCTGCTCGGTTGAGTTTACAAAACCCATATTTATATCCATGACTTGTGTCGTAATACTGCTGACCATCAGGGGGTGGAAGAACCACCTGATTTTGTTCAATGTGAAGGAGTCAAGATCCTCGAGACGGCAGGTATAGAAGTTGTTCGTGTGGTAGGATTGGAAGAAGATTGTTTGAAAGCTGCCCGACGTGGAAGGTCTTGATTTGGGTTGGATAGGGTCAGTGGGACATGTGGTCGTGAGTTGGGTTGGAATATCGTATGTGCGGTATTGACGTGGGTCTATGGTATGGACAGTCGGGTTGTGAGTAGAATATTGTTGGTATCGGAGTATACGATGGCTGTGTGGTAGGAAGAGTTGAGAATGTTGTCGTTAGTATTAGAATTGAACCACTTGATTGAAAAATGATACATTGCATGCTCTCTTGTTTCATACGTTAAGCACCAATCACCTGATCACCTGTTTCCCTCTTTCCTAAGTAGAGTATGTACCTGTACCATGTTTCCCTGTTCACACCTCTCCTGTCATCACTCGATATCTGATGGTGATCAGTAGTAGTTAGTAGTGACACCAAACCCGGCTAATCGGTTATGATCAATCAAGATTGGTGAGTGAGTGGAAATTCACCCACCATCACCCAAGTCTTCTCTAAAACTGCAACAACTCTACGTCTCACTACATGTCCGAGTGACACGGACCATCTCTAGTAAACATCTCACGATCACGCCATCGATATCCACTGGTCGGACTGGTCGAAACTCCGACTGACCGAGCACCGACCACCTACCGCTTCTCTCACAAAAGTTACACACGGCGTATCACCCGACTCACTCTCTATCTCTCTTTCCCACATATACATAATTCAAAGAACCAACCTCTCAAAACCCGTTCTCATCGGAAGTGAGACTTACGACTTCACTTCACATATCACACCATCTTACTTGGTTCTTGTATAATCCTTCACCAATCCTCACAAAGGATCTTTTCACTGTTGAAACGTATCTCGAGCGACGACGCTTCCTGCATCTCCTTGGCTGTTAAAAAGTACGCAGATTCTTCTATGATTCTTGGCACCCAAGCAACCAAGTAACGACATTACCAGTCTTCTACAATAGTCTTCTCAAGCAACCACATCACAACTCCTCTTCACTCCTCTAAGCGAATAAGACAAAAATACAAAATATCAACATGATCACGCCATCCATATCTTCAAAACCCGACTTTCAAACTTCTCCTAATCCATATATAAAATCACACTCCGACGATATTCACACTTCTCCTCACACACACCCAAATCACACTCCGACATTCACAAATCTCCCAATGCATATGAAAAACCACAAAGGAAATTATCGGCCGAAAGCAGTGCTATGGGCTGTATACAAGATGACAAGATGAAAAGAAAAGATATAAAGGAAAGGGAAAGAAGAGAAGATGTTATAAAGAGCGGTATGTCGTTTCATCGGCCGATCATGTTGTTTCTTTCACTACTCTCCTATCATCTTTTACCCCTTCCTATATCCTCCTCTCCTTTCCTCCACCTAACACCTCTCTCACACCACACCCCCTCCCCGCAGCTCCCCCTCGCGCCGCCCCTTCAACCTCTGTCAATCTATTCAACGAGATACAATTCCCCCGCTCACTTGGTTCTCTTTCTTGTCAAATATTACGACTACTTCTGTTGGATATTTCTCTTTTTCTCTCACTTTCGTCTCTCCTTATAAATACGCATTTCCAATCTTCCAACTCTTGACTTTTTTACCACCTCATTCACTCTTGGGATTTCTCTGAGAAAGTGCCAAAAAAAGTTCAATTCAAGTCTCATCTCACCGGACCGTACAAGCCGACTCCACTGGCCTTCTTGAAAACATCTCATTCATCGTCATTGTCACCTTGACCCTTACCGCTTAAAAGAGCATTTGTCTACGTCATTCTTCACACATACAGTACACGCAATCACGCATTGTCTTGTGTTTTTTGGACTTTTTTTTCCTTACCCCAAACCCATATCGTCATAAACCCCCCACCCCCACCCCTCTTGTCATTTACTTTTATCCGTTTGACAATTTATCAATTTTCCCCTATCGTTTTAACTCTTCCAACCAACACCTAACATCTATCATCCATAAGATATCTTTGTGTCGGTTTTCAAACATTGACAGACCCATCGATACCCTGACTCGTTCCCTTTGACCCTTTTGTTCTGTTTGACTTGTCGCTGATCCAGTCATTAACCCATCAATAACACTTCATCATGTCACTCTCTGATCCTACCATATTACCCATCATTTATGACGGTCTCGCTACCCCACCTTTATCACCTTCTCAAAACAATCATCACGGACATGGACACGGTCGGAAATCTAATCTTGCAAATTGTATATCTCCACCTTGTTCCCCTTTACACACTCCAAAAACTTCCCCGAGGACATCCCCAAACGCCGTATCATCTTTCCTTCCTGACTCATTGTTCACACCTGGTCTTCACGCACGTTCCGCAAGGCATTACAAACTTGTCGGATCATCGGATGTTAAATCTGACCCTGTTCAAATTATAAAACCTGATTTACAAAATACACATCTGGATCATCATCATGTTAATCTTTCTTCTTTCTTGAACGATACCGACAAACCCGACGTTGATCAAAATTTGATTCCCGATATCATACAAAACGTCAATCAAATCGGTCTTGATCCTCATGTTAATTTTGATACTTCCCACGATGTAAATTTGGAAGAATTACCAAACGATAATCTTAACACTGCTCATGACCACGTTGAAATTGATAATACAAAATCACAACAACAACGACTACAACCACAACTACAACACGAGAATCCCGAACATATACACACCGGTCAACTCGGTCATTCGCACCGCTCGGACGTCATCCTTGCCCGAGCTGATGTACCTGTCATACAACCTTCACCGGTTTTGGCTCAACGAAAACACATAAAAAAACCTTCTGTCGATAAATTCCCCCATACTCCACTACAAATCGTTACGGATCTAGATTCGTTGACTAGAGATAAGAAAGGGAAAATGCCAGCTCTTTCTCATTTACTCAGTGTGGGGAATGGTAGGGTTTTGAGTCTCGCTGCGGATGATAAATACGTTTATGCTGGTTGTCATAGTGGTGATAACGAAATTGTGGTAAGTACCATTCCCTTTCCTTCCTTTAACATTCCTTCTCTCTCTCTTTTTTCACCTGTCCTGGGCGTTTCGAAGACGCCCTCACATCAAAAAACGCCTGGGACATAATTTACGCCCAAACATATCAACAGTTCACCGCGACGCCCTTCCTCATGCTCAGCATTGTGATATGAGAGATAGCTTATCTTCAAGGTATTCTCTCGAACAAGTCTACAACCCATGTATCGGCTATTGGGACATCAAGGTAGTATTCTAGCTCTTATGGTGGTACCTGAGAAGAATTGGTTGGTCAGTTCAAGTAGTGAGTTTTCGCCTTACTTTCAGGTGACATATGCTGATTTGATAGGTGCAGGAGATATACGAGTTAGTCTCAATCAGCGGAAATGTATTCGAGAGCTAATGAATAGGTCTGGTCTACTAATACCCTTCAACCTATTTATATCATTCATCCATGTGACGACACTTCTGGAGATATTTATTGTCTAGCATGGGATGAGAGAGAAGGCGGTACGCTTTATTTCGGTGAGTCAAGTCATTTTTTTACTGATGGTCCTTCCCTCTTCCTCCCTTCACCCCTTTTCCCTTCGCGTCTGCTTTATTCTCTCTCCCTTTCCCTCTCATCCCTGCCTCTCTTACCATTCCTCTCCCTTTGGCCTGCCGCCCACCCGACGGCTCGGTCATACGGTCACTCACCCTCCGACCCGATACCCCGGGCCTCGATTGATTGGCAACCGCCCTGACACGTTGTCTTTCGATGATCCGTGGTTTTGATTCTGCGCGGATCAGTGATCCACCTATTCTCGGCCATTTGTCTACCCTACCGCTCCTTCGGTCTACCTTTTTGGTATCCAATCATCATCTTATCTCCTCATGTTGTCAAGGATGTGGTCATTACGATTCCCCTCTCTGTGTCTCCTGCTTCTCCCGTTTACAGTCCCTCCTCGAGACTCAGCTATGATAGATTTGTGATCTCATGGACATGATCATCACCTACCCCTTTCAGGCTTACCGTTTCTTATGATATCATCTCGTGATCTCCCACATACATGAAGACTGATACGTAGGCACTCAAAGCACCTCTATCGAATGGGTAAACTTTGGTCAGGATGAAATCCGTTCTCGTAAACCTTCTTTACCCACCACCAGCGCCAGTATCACCGTTGCTCTCGCCAATCTCACTCTTCCCAATGGTACTCTATCCCCACCCGTCAACGGTCATACCAATCATACCTCTCATACCAACGGACCATCCTCCACTGCAAGCGCTTCACCAACTTTGAGTCAACGTACAGGTCGATACAAACCTCATAAATTCTTTGATAACCCACCATCAGGTTATACATCAGGAATCACAACTCCAATATGTTCAGCACCAACTTCAGCAGATAAACGTCAACTTCAAAATCAACTCGAACAACTTGATCTCTCTCATCTCCCACACTCTTCTCATTCCAGAGATTTAGGTATACATAGAGGTTGTTCACACGTCACAGAATTAGAAGTCGACGTTTCACAAAGAGTCGCTTTTGCTCATTACGGTTACGTTTACGCAATGTACATGATCGAAAGACCAAATAATACAAGATGGTTAGTATCAGGATCAGGTGATACAGATGTTAAAATCTGGGAATGTAAACCAAAAGGTGGATTACAACTCTTAAAAGTTTTCTCTGGTTTAGAAGGTGCTGCATTATCTTTCTCAGTAAGAGATTCTTTACTCTATGCTGGTTTACAAGATGGTCAAATAGTAGTTTGGGATCTTGAAACTTCTGCGTGTGTCAGGACTATCGAAGCTCATGAAAATGACGTTTTGGCAATGTCAGTCTTAGGAACGGATCTTTATACTTCTGCTGCGGATGGAAAGGTAATAAGGGTTAATGAAGATTTTGATTGTACGGCTGCTTTTAGAGGTCATTCGGGGATTATACTATCTTCGACAATTGTGAAAGATGTTGGGAAAGATAAATGGGAATTGATAACGGCTGGAAATGATTCTTATGTCAAGGTGAGTGGTTTATTCTTTTCGTCTTCCTTTCTTTGCCTGCCTTTTATTCTCTAACATGTCCATCTTCTATCTTCCTAAATACCGCTTCCTGAACACCACATTCTTGATACCACTTCTCAATACCTCATCTTCTATACTCCCATCCTATATACCCCACCCTATACACACTGCTCTGATTAACACCAAATCCTCTTTTAATCCTACCCATCTCACCCACCCAATTCACTATCTGTCTCATTGGCCACTTCTTTTCGATCTTTCTCATTCTTCTCATCTCATATTTTACCGTCCTGCTCGTTACTTTGAATCCCAATCTCTCTCGTTTTGCAATCCGAGAACAAACGGCGATTGGTTAAGAATGTGACTATCTAGTGGCATGACGACCAATGTGGGGTAGGGCAGTAAATTTTAGGAGGAATGCACATGAACGCCGCACTGACAACAGATATGGTCAATCGACGTACCCTCTTCCAGAAGAGATGTCAACGATTTCGACGTGGAAGGTGAAGGTGAAGGTGATGTCATGTTGTACGCTCTGGCGAAACTTATTGCTGTACCGACGGTGAGCGATGAGGGGCACAGGGAAAGGTGAGTTGTTGGTTTTTGTACCCAATCCTGCTTCTGCCTCGAATCTTATCGCACTCCCTTTGGATCGAGGATCATCGATACGTGAAGGTGATAAGGACTTCGACCTCCGCCCTGAAGGCGATGAGAACTTCATCTTTCACCCTCTGAATCTATTCTCATCGCTCGTAAATGGGATCAGAATCTCATTTCACGCGTCCTAGATCCAATCTTATCGCCATGTGAAGATGACAAAGAGTCTCTTGCCTACCAGAGACGGAAACAACAGGTGGAAAAGGGTCATCGTTATTGATCAGATGACCGCAAGAGAATGAAGACTGATTCACAGTTGTCGACAAGGTGCACATCTCTTGAAAAAGATCTTCACTCAACTCGGCGCCCGTTCTTCCGTGGTAAGTTTTCCTCTTTCATCATCAGATCATCAACTCCTATGCTCCACCTTCTGTCCTTTCCTCGACAAAGTCTTTTGAATCATGTAGGACTAATCTATAGATTTCCGGAGAAAGAGGTCTAAACCCACTTGTATTGGCCACATTTTCCGGTAGGGAGACCGACAAACCTCGTAAAAGAATACTCTTCTATGGTACGTCCACACCGAGAGAAATGATGACTAATGTCAAGGTCATTACGATGTCCAACCTGCCGCAGAGGGAGAATGGGAGACCAATCCCTGGGAATTATCCGGTCGAAATGGGTGAGTAAAACTTGCTTTCATATCATTCTCGAACTTTTAACTGGCTTCTTGATCCCATGTTCCTTCACTCATTCTTGACACTTTGTCATCCATAACTTTTGCATGTGTGTACTTGACTTGTCTGGTGGTTCACATTCACTTGATCTGTTGTTGGTTGTTCATAGTACCCCCCAAGGCATGTATGTGGACTATTTGGAAAACTTGCTCATACCAGCTACCTATACGGCCGCGGCGTGTCCGATAATAAAGGTCCTGTTCTCGCAGTCGCTTGTGCTGCTGCAAATCTTCAACAACGTCGTGAATTGGACGTTGATGTGGTCATGTTGATAGAAGGTGAGGAAGAGGCCGGAAGCAAAGGTTTCGCTTCTGTGGTGCAGGCCAACAAGGTGGGTCATTCGTTTTGCCTCATTAGTGTTCCCTTCTTCATGACGTTTTGTCCTCATCACCGCTTGACTCTAATCCCCTCTGCCCCTCCCACACCCTTTCTCCTTCTGCGTGTCTCTCATACCCTGTGGCTTGTTCCAATTAGAACACTCATATATCGTCTTCTTCCTCCCTTCCTCCCTTTCTCTGTGTTCGTATGCCCCCCCAGCGCAATCTCCCGATCAGATGTCTTCTTCCTCTTCGCATTGCTAGTCCAGAGAGCGACACTATCAGAGTGGAGCTGACTGTCTTACAGGACAAGATCGGTCATATCGACGCCATCATGCTCTCCAACTCTACTTGGATAGGAGAGAATGACCCTTGCGTAGTCTTTGGCATGCGTGGTGTTGTCTATGCCAATTTGACCATCAGTGGGGAAGGTGATGATGCTCATTCTGGTGTAGACGGGGGGATTGTGGCGGAACCGATGTTTGATATGGTCAGAGTTCTTGGAGCTGTGGCAGGACCTGAGGGAGTGAACGTACCGGGGTTCTGTGAGTTTTTTTTTCTGCCCATCTGACCAGTTCTTCCAACTCTTGTGTTTCCATTCATGAACTCCATGCTCCACCTATCAGTCCTTCCACCTGTCTACTCGACTGTTCACCCACCACTAGTCTGTCGTCTAGCTTCGCATCGTCACTCACGAGTCTTCGCTCTGCCGTGATGAGAGGACACTGCATTCTGTTCTGTGACACAACATGGACATTTATTAGTCACAAGTCTGGTTATCTCATCTGACTGAAGCGGTATGACGAAGGGATACGAGAAAACTAACGTCAGACGACAAGATCCGAGCCCCATCACAAGATGTAACTTCTTGTCTTGCCGACGTCGCCCGTGCGTCCGGTCGATCAACCGAACAATTATCCAAAGTTTGGGCTCAACCAAGTTTCTCGATTAACAGCATCACCAGTTCAGGTATGGGGAATAAGACCGTCATACCTAAACGCGTCAGTGCGGATATATCTTTGAGGATCGTCCCTGATCAGGTGGGTTCGAATCATCTGAACTCTTTCCTTATTCCCGAGTTCCCTGCTCCTCCTTCACCAAACCTTCACTTGGTTACGGGCGTCAAGCTCTTCTGTACTACTCAGCACCTGTCGGTCATACGCTTGCTCCTTGGGGCCTAAGAGCATGAGTTGGGAAGGAGGGCTGAACTCATCCAAACTTGCTCGTGTTTGAATCAATGCTGACACGCCGACAGAGTAGGGAAGAAGTGGTGGAGACTTTAAAAGAATATTGTCGGAAGACATTCGAGAGTTTGAAATCGCCCAACCATTTTGAGGTAAGTACATCCACCTGCTTCCACTTTCAACCTCCTAGACGAAATCCCTTCGCATTCTGGGCTCATTGTCACTCTTCCTCCGCGAGGATTTCAACATCACTTAACTTCTCATGTCCTTCCGCTTAAGATGTATCCACCTCTTCACACTTCCCTCATCCAGACACCGGTACTTTTAGGCCTCAAACGTTGTACAAGGAACAAATCTCAGAAAATAAGGATGAGTTGCTAATGTGTAGATCACAGTCACTCATTCTGCCTCTTGGTGGTTGACTCAACTTGATTCACCATATTTCCGCGCTTTGGAATGCGCCGTCAAAGATATATGGGATGTAGAGCCTTTGCGTATCAGAGAAGGCGGAACTGTACCTACTATCTTTTGGTTGGAACAGGAATTTGGAGCGCCTTGTGTTCATCTTCCTCTGGGACAAGTGAGTCTAACCACTTCTTTTTTCCCTGATCTTCTATCCTGTCTGTCTGTCCCTTGAAGATACTTCATTCTCGATCTCATTTACATTATTTCCACCCTGAGGCGACACCCTTCTTAAACTGCCAACCCCAAGATGCCAAGATTCTATCCTCCACCGTCACCTCCAATCCGGACGGGACCTTTTCTCCATTTTCTCATCCAGTCTCGATTGAAAACCCCCCCTCCTCGGATCTCATCTTAGACCAAACGATTCATCTTCACCCCCGCCTTTCTCAATACCTTGCAAAGTGATCCCTGTTCCTTATGCTATGTGAGACCCAATGTGCACCTGTGAAAGATATCCACGACTCCACGCTGACTCCAGGCATCGGACGCTGGACATTTAGCGAATGAACGTATGAGACTTTTAAACCTTAGGAATGGTAAACGAGTCGTTGAGTCTTATTTCACCAGAGTGGCCAAGATCTGAGAATCTTACGTTCTCAAATTACCCAACATTCCCTACGCCTGCATACTTCCTTAGAATTATACATGTCACTTTCACTTTCACTCGTCACTTTTCATACCATCACAATCCCCACATCACAGAATCACATTATCTCCATGCCACCTGCGACGAAAGAAACACCACCATATCGCGATCCGCCTCCACACCAACACACGATACATCTGATCCATCATTCCACTATCCACAATTCCACCATTGCACCATCCAGCAAAGTTCAGTTCAGATTCAATCAGAAGTCATAGATTTGTTTACATGCATGATTTGATGATAGCCCGTGTTTTCGATACCTTTTTTCTTCGGAAATTGCTTTGATATATATATAAATATAGATATTCACAAATTCTATCAATCTCTACTTTGTTGATATCATCTTTTCCCAACTTACTTGAATTGCTAAATTCCCCGTTCGCCTACTCCTGCATTGACCGATCCCGTGAACTCCTCCATGTTCGAACGACTACCCAATCAAGAAATACCACTTCCATAGTCAGCACCACTTCCATTTCTATGCCCATCCAGATCCCCATTTATCCCGACCTGAAACGCCATACCTTGTTCCTACCATTCTTCCTCCAAGAGTCACGATCAAAAATCGATCTTGAGAGTATGATTCCCGATCGATCCCACCAATTTCCCATCGAGCCCTTCGAAGGATGGAAAACCAACCTTGAGCGCCAAAGTGGTGAGGAGAAAGACGATCAAGCAAAGGAGAATGGTAGGAAGGTAATCTTCTAATATGTGGAAAAGACGTTTAGGTTGATGGATGTCTAAAGCTGATGTGGTTGTGGTGAAAGAAGAATTAGGATGGTATGTCTCAGGAAGAGGGATAGAATGGTCAGATAGGATAGTCTGGAGACATAGACGGGATCCAGCTATGGAGATTGGGACCTGGATGTTAGTGTTGGTATTGGTGAAGGGTTACGAAGGGATGGTGGGTGATATGAACAGGGGAGATTGGGATAGGTACAGATGGACAATGATGGAGGAAAGGAAAAGTAAGGTGAATGCAAAGTTGACGATGAGATGGAATGGTGAAGGGGAGGAAGGGTGGAGTAAGTCTAACATGGTGATGAACAATGATCAAGGAGAAGAAGGGGAGGGACAAGAAAGTGACGGGATGAGTAAAATGATGAAAGGGGAGATGACAGAGGTACAGTGAACGAATACGATGATATAGATTCTGATTGACGACACGGTCAAGATAGAAAAGGAGTATACCAGGATGGGCAGCGTAAAAGACATGCGAGAAATTGAAGATGACGCAGAAATGATGTAGAACAAAATAACTCACCCCAGTACCTGGATGAGCACTAGCACCAACGAAATAAGCTCCTTTCAATTTCGAATGCCTGGCTTGATGTCTGAACCAAAGTACGTTCCAGAAATCATGAGTGATACCGAGTATACTACCGTGAGTCAAATTGAATTTATCTTTCCCTTTAACGTTAGTTCATCTCTTCATTTCAGTTTCTGTTCAAAGTCTGAGTCCATCGATTTCATTACTGGTCGCGCTGTTCTTTCACCTCTTATTCATCGAACTCGAGGAGAAACCAAATCTCTCCTTGTGCTACTCCTGTCCTCATGGCACAACTTGGAAAGGAGGGAACTCCGAAAGTCGCTGACGAAGGACAAGATTTCTCAAAGCTTGAAGAACTGGAACGTGACCAATGCCTTGATCCAACTTGGTCAGTAGCCGGGATGCAGCGGGGCTGAGGAAGTAGCAGATGGAGGGATCAGTGGGGTTTGTGAAGATCACGACTCACAAGTAAGAGGTGTATTCACTTCTTCCCATATTATCTTCTCCCTTAACCCACTAATTCCCAATCGACTTTCCATAACATCTATCACCTGTGTTTTGGCACGTTCCACCAAAATTGACCATTCTTGAGTGTTTTCGCCTACTCCATCTTGACCGTTCTCACGTACATGAGAGGAATGAGGCATGAGATGTCCAACGGGAACCAAAACTACGAGGGTATCTTTACCTGGTGGAGCTGCTGATGGGTCACTGAGCGTCAGGCTCTGTGAACTGATAATGAAAACGCATCCTCCTATACGGGTCAGGTAACTTGGGACAAACGTTGTGTGACATACGTTCGTGGTGAAGTCATGGAGACGTGTAAGTGGAGATGATAGAGATAAATAGACAATGGGGGAGAACGTACATTCTAGAAGGCACATTGACGTAGAAACTGGGCTCTCGGGGCATACTCTGACGTTTGAAGATATCATCGAATGAGCCTTTGTAATCTTCCGCCTGGGTATCAGTCATCTATCAACCGTTGCTTTCGAGGTGTCCCTTGATATAGCTCCTCTAGCGCAGATGAAAATGGGCAGGTCGCGGAGTGATGTTGAAGTGAGGTAGAGTTGAGTGGGTGACAGCGAAGGGATCGAAAATGAGGAGTAGGAAGAGGGACTGACCAAAAATATATTATGAGTACCCAATGTCTCAATCACGGAGTCCATAGCCCAGTAGAACGAGACTGACGAACATCTACCATCAGTCCCATTTCGAAATGTGACGATGACCTACGAATGCTCCCTTTCTTCCAACTGTTTCGCCTTTTTCGGCTCCAGCAGTTTCTTCTCCAAACGGACTTCATCGACTTTTTCAATCTTTGAATCACCTGATGGTTTCTTCATGGAAGGTACAATCCCATTCTCCGAGATCGAAGGTATCTCCTTGAACAAATTGTTATATGCCCAAACCAGGTCCGCATTGACGACTACCACATCTGCCTCTTTCACTTCCCCACTGACTAGCCGAACACCGGTGATACGGCCGTCGGTGTAAGTCACACTATCTACAGGAGTAGAATAGTGGATTTTGGCACCGTGTGATTCGGCGATAGAGAGCAGTGAAGCGGGTACCCGGTGGAATCCTCCTTTTGGATACCACTACTTGTCAGTTCTTATGTGTATAGAAGTATAGGGGAACATACGATGCCTTCGCACGTCTCACTCCATTGTAATAATCTAAAATCAGCATAACAGATACACTTCCCAAGGAAATTGCTCCCGACAAAGAAGCTGCTTGGACTCCTCAAGTTTTCTCGGCAGTGTGATGTACAGAGTAAGGAGTCAAAACTGGTGCAGAAACCTATGCGAATAGAATGATTGCCAAGCAGGGAGCGAAGGACAAGAACGACACGCACGTGTAAGCCCCCGGAGAGTCAAACGGTGAACTCCCAAGATACCTCAATCATCAGCTTTCACACTCCGACATTCGAACGAACGACCATGCTCACATGCTTCCGAAGGAGAACGCCCTACGCATCCGATCCGTCTGGAAATACTTTTCACACCGATTCCACATGCTCGTGAAGATGTGAAAGCGAAGGACGTTGATTACGACCGAAGGACGAAGGTAAGCAAAGATAGAATTGAACGTTTGACTGAGGACGAGGTCATAAGATAGTTTACCGTGGACGGCGGCTTCACTGTCATATCAGCGTCCCCCTCATCCCATACTTTCCAACAAGTAGCGTGTCTGATCGTGCCAATAGCGTCATGGAGAGTTGGACTTACCGAAGAAATCCCTCCAGCCTCTCTGATCCTTCGGGCCCTTCGAACCTCTCTACCTCCAAGGCCATGGCGGCTCTATCGCTGGACAAAACGACTTTTTCTCCATCGTGGAAATGCAAAGTGTAGTTGGGTTTGCATTGGACCAGTTCGACATGTTTCTCAATAGAAGTCCCGAGGTCTGAGTAGAGCTGGCGAAAGATAGGTGGTAAGAGGACAAGTGAAGGGCCCTAGAGGTCAACTTTATACCGTAGATTTCGATCGTTTGTGGGGCTCCACTCAGTGCACATCCGTCGAGTTTCGCCAAGATGAGACGATGTTGACAATATCGTAGTAGTCAAAGTATGAACAGATGTTGAAACCAGGAAATTTGGAGAATCGGAAAAGGATGCAGAGGACTGCCAGAGATAGGAAAACAGTTAAGGGTAGAGGGATGGAGACGGCGCCAGGGGTACTGGCAGGGGGAGGAAGAAGAGAGCGACACAACTCACCTGATCAAACCTATACCCTTCATGATGTATCAAACTACATCTTCCCCCAGAAAACTCATTCTTCTCATAGACCTCAACTTGGAAACCAGCATGAGCCAATCTAGCCGCAACAGCACATCCACCAACTCCCGCACCTGATCATCAGTCCTCGTCGTCAAGAGACAACTCACCGACGACGATAGCTTTCAGCTTGGCTCCTTCCGACCGATTATCACTGTTGGCGTTCATATCGAGCTGAGAATGAAGAGGAGAAAGATGGAATGAACGATACTGAGGGGATGTTCAAGTTGAAGAAGAGACCGATCGATCGATGCTTGAGAAAGTTTGAGTGGACGTGGTTGAAAGGGGGATCGACACCATCAAACAGATCGTCATCACCATCAATTTCTCGGTCTTCATCGACATCGGTCCTGGGGTTATCATCGACTTTGAGCACAAGGCGAATCATGGTCATCATAGTCATTATGGTGGAGCTCTGTAGATAAGATGATCATGGTTAGCAGATCCTAAGCCGTATGCGGCTTGAGTAACTTAGGTATTTAGGCCCCTGTCTTGAGGCCCGTGAACTCCACCGTGAGTTGAGCCCATTTAAGTCCATATTCCCTTTGTTGATAATCAGCTTCCAGTCTTTGAAGATTTTCTCGATGATCAAGAGGTCGAAAATCAGTATCGAGCCTGGAACATGGATGATCGTGTGATCATCCGAGTCAAATCCTAGGTTCAAATCGAAATGGATACCATCGTCACTACTCTATCAGCCGCTCTGAGAGGGGGGCAACTCATGTTCCTCGTCTACGGATCGGTCTTCTCAGGTCACTGAGCGACCGGCTACCAGCCATTAGGTTACGACAAAATGGAAATGGGGCGTCTAGTGGTCGGATTCCAATAGACACCATATCTCGCTTCACCGACCGCACGAAGTCATTCGTATAGTACAAGACTCAAGCAGACTCGATCACTTGAGCAGCACGAGCTAAGTTCAGCTGAGGGTAGGGGAGGCGATGATATGGGGACGTCATGGTCAGTCCGTATGTCTCCTCTCACCCTGAAATACACACCCTCTTATCTTCTCATGTCACCCCCACCTACGATCTTTCACTAATACTTCATCCATGAAACTTCCCCCTCCGTTCCCCTCTCCTCATGTTACTTACGAGCCCACCGTCATGTTCTCGAATGAGTGTCACTGAATCAGAAAGAACTCTTGTCATCTCTCAAGCCTGTCCACTCCGCTTCCAAACCGAGGCCCATCATTTCTCACCCGGTACCCTGGAACGTTACACCCCTTCACAGCCTCATGTTTGATATTTTCCCTCGACCTTTAACCCGGCGGTACAGATATCCGGATTCTTACTCTTGCCGCAAGTATGAACGTCATGACCCTCTTCCTCATTACATTTCAACAATGTTCCGCGATTTAATCACTTCCGTCGCTATTTGATGCTGTGGCCGAAGACTTCCAACAGCTTCCCGATACATTCTCCGCCCCGGATCTCTCTACTACACGTTCGTGTGCTACTTGTGGAACGATTCTTCTCCGCTCACCATCTATTATCTTAGAATCTTAGGATTCGGGTTGACTTCCGAAGGTCCGACCAATGTCTTTCATCTAATACCTGTGCGTTCGGTGTACTCTTTTCTGACCGTCACACTGAACTCACCTATACCGAGCGCATTATCCGTTGTCAATATTCACACTATATAATTATCTCGCTCGCCACTTCTCTTTTTATCTCCCTAAACCTCATCTCAATTGACTTTTCTCCTCATACAGAGCTCCAACAATCACACACCGAAACACTATGCCCAACGACCAAACTTCTAACAACTCAAACCCCACATCCTTCAATCATATCAACAATCGACCTTTATCACCTCCTCCTGCTCCTAATACACCTGGTCCAACACAAAAACCACAAGATCCTTATGGAAACATCATCATGCCTCGTCCGCAATATGGTTTTTATTCTCATCCCACTCAATCTTTCGCTCCTGATCCTAGACACCCTCCGTGGCAATTCCAATCACCTCCCCCTCAACCGTATCAAGCTTCACAACATCCTCAATTCCAATCTCCTCAATCTTTACAAACTCAAAATCTCCAATCTCAATCCCAATTCCAAGCTCAATCCTCTACTCAAAATCATCCTCAACCTTCGTCTTCTTTCTACGCCACACCTTTATTCCAACAATCTCCCAATACGATCCCATATGTTGACGATCCTTTTCCTGGACTCAAACGTGAAACACACTCACAATCACAAACAGAACAAAGACAAGATATACCTCAAATACATCGAACCATCTATCCACAACCTACGGGCGAAACTAGCTTCAGTGGATTTGGTTGGGCGGTAGGAACGGAAGGTTGGGCACCTGGATCGGCTACTATTGGGTGGGGTGGAGTACAGGGACAGATCTCTCCAGCACAATGGAGGAAGATGGATGAGGATATGAAGCAGGAAGAAGCTTCGAAGAAGTTTAATCCGGCAAGGGGGTGGTGATCATGTATGTGGTCGTTGGTGTCTGTTAGGATCTCTGAGAAGGTTTTGGCTCGATGTTAGGTGAGGAACAAGTCTAGAGGAAGGATATGTGAACTCGGCGGAGAGTGAGGAGGATAAGAAATGGGTGTAGATTCATCAAAACAATCCAATGACACAAGCGGCGGGAGAATTGAAATTAAGAAGGAAGTGTCATATGATTGAAAGAAACGGTATGCAACTTCACTTTTTCTGTAAAAGCACAACTCATTAGACACCTCATCTCCTCCTACATTTCATTCATGACAATTGCTCACTCTCTTCCCTGACACGTCTCCTCGCCTTGTGCCTTCACGAGGTAACCCACTTCAGGTCGGGTATGGGAGCAGGTCTCTTCGAAACGACCATGAGAAAATTTTCGATTTATTTCAGTGGCAAGAAAACATGCTTCATCCTCGAGGTTTTCCATACTTCCTTTCCGTCTTTCCAGCTTTCCGCACTTAGCCTCATCTAACCCCGTAGACCCGATCCGGTATACAATCCCATTCCCGAGGAACACTCCGTTACCCCCTCCTAAACCTACGTCAACCTTTTTTAATCTTCAAACCTCCATTCCGCATCTTACAACGTGGTAAACTTCCCCTTGGTGGTTCTATACGACCACATCGACCAGACAAACGTACTACACACTTTTTTATCGCCCTTTCCGCCTAATCACCGTACTCTTCCTATATCAAGAGACCGGGGTGGTCTCCGAACGATCTTGAAACTCTCACCTTTGCTTCTCCCGACATTGACGTCCCTGGAATCACTTCGATTTTCTTCTTGCCGCGCTCCGAAAAATGCGTCGAAAGAGAGATGGATTGATCCTCGGGAAGCTAAAATTATCCGGGATGATGATTGACATACAGTACGATGTTTGTAGGCTGAAAGGAACGGAGTATGACTGTAGTATAAAGTTTCTTAAGAACTTGGTTCCTCCGAAAACAATTACTTCATCACACCTCATTGAATCATTTCCGTCTTATCAGGACAGCCAAGATAGTGATTACACCGTAGCTCGTCGCTCGTACACACTCAGAGTCACCATCCTCTTTTCAACATAAACCAAAATCTCTCACCGGGATCTTCGCTTTCACTTCTAACCAATCTCACCCTCACCCTCGATCCAGTGCACTTTAACCTATCTCTCCTCTCTGAGGTTCACTCTTCATTTGTTCCCTAACGTCGAGTCAAACCGTCTTCTTTGAATAATTCGCATTTGATCAATGTTCCCATTCGGATCAAAGAAACCCACTTTAAAACCTTCCCAATCCTCCAGCTCCACCCCAACTCCCAATTCCAATCTGAATCTCAATCCCACCCAGGGCACAAGCTCCAATCCCAGTTCTACCCAGACCACAAGCTCCAACTCGAGACCGAATACTACTTTCACAAGCCCATTCGGTAACCCAAATCTAACCCTCCAAGAACGGAACGCCATAATCAAGAAACAATACGAATATTGGCTTTCGCAAGAATCAGAAAGAAGGGAAGAAATGAGGAAAGTACAGGAAATTATAATGCAATTGAATAAGAAACATGAAGAAAGTCAAGGACAAGTTAGGAAATGGGTTGAAGATCAGAGTGGTCAAGAGTGGGAATGAAATCACTGACGAAATTCCTCTTCTTCTTCTTTATCACCCTTCTCCAGCCCAATAGCTTATAGCTCATATCATCTACGTCGTTCTCTGGTTTGTGGAACTTTGTGCGAGTTTGAAGGAGGCCTTGACTTTGGTCGTGGGGAAAAGAATATATGGTGGAGAAGGAAGTATGAGCGGAAAACTGAAAGAGTGATCAGCTTATAGATATCAAGTAAAATCGAATGACTGACAGGATCATGCAATTGAACTTTTGAAGAAAATAGCGGGGACTAATCAGTGTAAAGTATAGATATTATGAGTACAAGATGAGAAGGAAGAGAAGATGGAGAATCCTCGTGCATGGCGAAAGATCAAATTGATCCGCGCGTTTTTCCTGCACTCCGTGTGTGCGTCCTTTGTTCTAACCTTCTACGGATGTACAGGTTTGAGATCAGATGTATGTGCGTTTTGTTTGTGAGAAGCAAAACACCCTCTATCCCCTCTTCTCTTTTCTTTTCTTCTCTTCTAAGTCCGGAACTATGATGATATTTACTCTATTCATAAGATTTGACAAGTATCGCAACATATACCACCATTCCCACAACCACCGTGATCGATATCATCCGCCTCAGACCAATTTATTTCCCTTCAACTTGGTATCACCCGTCACAATCAGCTTGAAAACTATCATTCCTATCATTCATTCGTAGTCTACAACCTCCATCCTTCCAATATCTCAACAAGACCTCAGAGTGCCGGTATACTCTCCGCCGCTCCCCTCAATAGTTCCTTCTCATCACATCTTCACCCGAGGTTACTTCAACAAGAGGGGTGTAAAACGAACAATCTACGAGATGTGGACTATCACACAATCTCAAAAAGAATCAATGGAACAATGGGTAAAGAAGCGTGCTGAAGAGAAAGAGAAAGAAAAAGAAAAAGAAAAACGAGTTAAGGAAGAGATGGAGAATAAGAAGAACAAGGAACTGCCGGAGAGACAGACGGGACAACAACTAGGGCGTCCGACGAAGCGACAAGAAGAAAAAGAGAGATCAAAAGGTTTTACAGAGGTTGATAAGGGTAAAGAGTATAATAAACGTTTAGAAGATAAGATGAAGAGAATGAAAGAAGGGAAAGCATATAAAGAATGGATTAAGAACGCTTAGTTCATATAGTAATTCTCGAATGGTTTGTTGCATATCTGTCCAAAACATCAAATGTAACCCGAAGACGAGGCTGACTGATGAGAATTTCCCAGTATCTCCAAGTTGACCATACGTGTACTTCGACATCGAAGGGACTGTCAAGATGGGGATTATACATAATCACGGGTGATTCTAGAAGAAGAGAATGGGTCGTACAAGGAACCTAAGTTGGGTCAGGGGAGTCTCCAAGACCCCTTTTTCCCATCTGTTCTCACCACGAACGCACGTACTTTCGCCTCGTGTGTACTATACGTATGACATCACTTCTAACCTCATGGCTATCCACTTTCCCCACTGACGAATTGTTATTCCGACCTTTCTAAAACAACAGGTTCTCAACGTAGGAAGTAGAAAGTGGCAAATGGGGGAATCAAACCTCAAACATTGGATCATCCCCTTGATATTCTGCTCCGAGATATCATACGTCCGGCATCCTCTTTGATAATCCGACAACGTACCTGAGGGGTGTGATCACTCTGTCCAGCCCTTATTCCCATTACTAGCTGAGGAAGCGTACAAATTTGAACCACCGCCATTCACCGGGATCTATCTCACTCACATACCCCTTACAGTAGACCAACCAATCCCCGATCCAAGATGAAAGCACGACGACAAGTTCACGTACAAGAAAAGAACTACAACTCTCCTCAAACTAATAAATCCATCATCCAATGGGCACGTGATATAGCCATATACGACCAAGCTCGTCAAGATAACCTCGCTCAATATCAGTCAAAACAAGGGACCTCCAAAGCTGGAAAACCCCTGAATATAGGCGATGACAAACCACCCGGAACGGTTGACTTGATGGAAGGACAAAAGGCCAAAAAGGACAACATTGGAGAGGAGCAGGATGGAGAAGAGTTGACCGAAACGATGAAGGACGATGGAGGGAGGAAGGAAGAAAAGAAGAAAAAGAAGAAAATTGAATCGTTTGAAAGGGAACCCAATGATCCGAGTCTACCCCAAGAAGAGTCACTTAGAAAAGAGGAAGACGAGTTGAAGAAAGAGAAAGAGGGAGAGAAAGAAGGGTTGGAGCCTACTGAAGTTGGTACTCCAGAAGAAGAAGAGATCGTTTTGGATTTCTTTCGAAAGAGTCATAAAACCAATCAGACCACACAATGATTCTATTTCTCGAGGTAAGAGAATTATACATCACTAGAAATACAAAACGTTGATCACCAGTTTCTACATCATTCATTCCAGACACACCACGCACCGGGAGAGGAGAAACGGGTTTCATGTTAATCTGTATTGTTGAAAACCCCCGTCGAACATAGAATGATGAGAAGGGGAAGAAATCTGATAGAGAGTAGAATCATAATGTAGATATATGCATATAATGTTTCATCTATCATAAGCAACACGAGAAAACAGGAGGAATATGGAAAAGAGGAAAGATCCTCGACGCACGCTTTTTCTCGGGCCACGTGAGAAAAACGAGGTAATACTTCAATACACAATCATTTACCTTGATAGTTGAAACTTTCCCCTACATCATGTTCGTAATATTGGAACAGATCAACGGTAAGAAGGATCAAGGGGGATGTCAAGGACTTGTCATCATACGACGACACATCATCGTCCTTTTCCCTCTTTTCACCTTCGACACATATATCTAAAATCAACCTGGTTCTCCTCCGTTCCGTTCATCTCACTTTCCTTTCTTTTTGCCATATATCTTTGCTCCAGAACCTGAGAGTCTCAAGGTTTTGAGAAGATAGTTAAGAAAGATGGTCTCCCCTACCACCAAATCTACTACTCGAACAACTCGTACACAAACTTCAACATCTCATCCTACCATCTCAACTCAGTCGTCCTCACGGACTCACCCTTACTCACATACTACTCGGTCCGTACCAGCTCACTCATCCTCAAATTCCACCTCCCATACTCCCGTTCAATCTCAAAACACAACCGTATCAAACCAACAATCCTCTCATCATACGACGCTTTCCGTATCTCCAAATGTAAGACAGGCAACCCAAAACCAAACTCAACAACCCTCCCGAACATCTCATACTCGACAGAGTCCCAGAGAACCAAGACAACAACCACAGTCCACCCCTCAATCCGAATCATCTAGACCCGGAAATCTTCCCTCTACCCCCGGTCCAGCTACTACCACTTCCGTGCCGGAACGAAGCAAGAACGCTCATACTCTTACATGGGATCGATTGCAACAACTTTCCGCTCATGCAAGAGCTAATCCAGAGGAAGATGATATGATCGACCAGTATGTGGAGATTGGAAAATTGTATGAAGCGCAACATGACTCTGGTCGGAATTCAGGTGAAAGACGACGAGGATAGAGGGATGGTTTGGAGGACGATAATGGGGATTATCATATAGATCACAGGACTCATGGATATCTACTCTCTTTTTCATGATATATTTACTCTTCACTTCAAATTATCCATTCCACATTTATGAGCAAAACTTCACTTGTATACTGGTCTGCTCATATTATGCAAAATCATCGACTTGACATAATTGTCAGATTGCGATACGCACGCACGTGGAATTCGCTTAACTGCCACATTTATCAAACCGCCACAGCCACATTCCAGTTCCGGCGGAAAGAAATTTCCTCATCCACCCAACTTTTAAACTGGCAACTTCACCCACTCTCCTTACGATCTCTTTCACCAGAGCACCCAGTCACTGATCAGTGATAGGATCAATAACGATACAAGATGGCAAACCCAAGACAAAGAAATAAAGCTAGATCTTCAAAAACTCATAAACCTTCTTTGAACCAAAAACGTCGTATGCGTCAAGCCAAGAGGAAACCACCAGCTTTGAAAGGTCCTCTGGTTTTACAAGAAGGATGGGATAAAACTAAGACTGTTTTTCAAAAGTGAGTGGTAATCATGCTATCACTATTCTCTCATCATGATACATACCTGCATTTCCTCCCTGAACCTGTTTTCCCCGTCTCGGACCCCTTTTTTTCCCTCTCAGAGCGCTTTTCTTAGACCCTTGTGTTCGTGAGTCACACAGATGAGTGAGCCAAATGGTACTCACTATCGTAGGCGTACCGCAAAACTGTTGTTCTGCATGGTATGGCAGGATGATTCTCAAAGCAGGTCTTGGCACGGAGCAATATGAGAAATGTGTCAGTCCAGTAGACTGATGGTCAGTTACGCAGCTCTAGGTTTATTACCCACCATTCCACTCCCTTCCAACGTCTCTCGATCACACAAAGCTCAAGTCTCTTTACCAGCTCCAGAAGGGGTAAAAATTGGTTTTGGACGGATAGTAAGGGATGAAGAAGGTAATGTTGTGGATATCATCATAGATGAGGATGAGAATGAGGATCAATCTGAAAAGATGGATGAAGATGAGATTATTAAAGAAGGAGAGGAAGAGACAAAATTGATGAAAGGTTAGTCCAATTGTTCCCCTTGTTTCCTTTCCCGCTATCAAAATCCAGACCATTGAAGTTATCCTTCCAGTTATCTGATTCTCGCGCTCTTCTTGTGTCTTTTGCTTCCAACGTCATTTTTATCTCTCGGCTCCCTTAATTATAATACCTACCCTTTACTCTTCTCGATAGATCGCTTTTTCCCATTTTTTTTTTCCCTTTTCCTTCCCGACTTTTACTTGATTTCGGGTCGTTTTGAGCGTTAGATGGTGCAAGAATGAGCCAGGGATTTTGAGGGAAAATTGGGGAAAGATGTCCTCTCGACTACTGCATGCGATTGATTTGAATGTAGAATGTTGACTTATACCAGAACTCCAACGTATAGCCTCCACCTCCAAACCTGTCAAAAGACATACTTCCACTTCTGAACACGCTTGGCTTTCTTCCCTCGTAGCCAAACATGGAGAAGACTATACGGCAATGAGCAAGGATAAAGAGAATGTTTGGCAGAAAACTCCTGGGGAATTGAAGAGGATGGTGAAGAAAGCTGGTGGGGTGGAAGGTTTGAGAGGGGTTTGAGAAATGTTGTAATATATCTCATTTTGTCTGCTGCATTCTGCATCTTCCCACTGCTTTTTCGGTCAGAAGTGATCAAACCTTGACGGAACTTTCTTCGATATTGACCATGACCACATTGGCACGAGCTCTGATTTGACACTGTCCGGGATTGGTGTTGGTAATTAGTGCATTGAGATTTCAAAGAACATATCGCATCATGCATAAACCACAGGGCTGTCTCCTCGCTTCGACGAGGTACCGTCCACGTCCCAAGTAGTAAAGGTCCAAAAGGTATATCTACCCTCATTTCAAAATACCGATCAACCGCGTCATATGTTTGAAAGCCGCCTACCACAAAGTCCAACGATAATTATCTCCTTGCAGCCCCCACTCTCTGTGCCAATGTGAGTGTAGGTTGAACAGCACGCCATACTTCTGCTCTATTCCGAGCAGCGGATGACGAAGAAGTCGGATCGGCTAATGTGATGATTCCCGTTTTTGGTTGAGTGGCGAGGATTTGATCAGAGTATAATTTCCTATATTGTCAGCTGACACTTACGAGAGAAATCAGCTTGACAAGACGTCGTGCTACAGACTATCGTGTGGTCATACCAACTCGACCAGATAATCTCACGTTTACGACGTCGGATGAGCGCGGGGAAGGAGGAATATGTAAGCATGCATGACAAACGCAGTACGCGGATGGTTGGAAAGATGAGCTTGAAAGTAAGAAAGGCCAATTTACTCACCCAGTGATACCCTCATCAACCAATTCCCTCGGAGCAGGATCAGGTTCCTTCCTAGGTATGAACACCCCTGCCTCAGCTCTCAATCCTCCATTCCCATTACCATTTCCATTTCCCATTCGTCTACTCAAAGATGAAGAGTTTTGTTCAATACCACCCATACGTTCTTTTAGAGATGGATTGAGGATAGTAACATGGAGAGTATTTCCATCTGCCACTATACCGTTATATTGTCCGACGATTATTTCCGCTTCTGCTCGAGAAGGGAATTCAAGATCTACAGAGATGATTTCCGGGGTTGAGGTGGGGGAGGATTTTGCACTGAGAATCGGAGCTGGAGAGAATGCCGACTAAAACTGATCAGCGTGGTCCCGTTCTCTCGAGATCCCGTTAATCCACTTCATCGAGGAAATGAAGGACGAAGTTGCGACATGAGGCCAATGTGTACTGACACAGAACATAGACAGCTTGGTGAATGTTAGAGGAGAATGAAGAAACTCACCATAACATCATCCGCCGTTGTACCAAATGCCAAATTCTCAACTCTCACCCAAACACTACCTTTAGCAGCCCCAACAATTCTCACACCTTCCTGTCCTCCTACACCTCTCATAAACCCCGAAACTGGTCCTCCCACTCCACCGGGAACCGTCGATGAAGACTGTAATTCCGTTCCACCATTCGAGAACAACCCATTGTTCCCTCTATTAGCAGGAAGTAGTTCCCTACCTCCTACAACATGCTCTCTTCCCCGTCTTCCTATACCAAGAGCATCCGCGACAGCCTTATTCTCCACTACACTCCTACTCAACCTCTTTTGTCGCGTAGGACCAAGAAGCTCTTTACCGCCATTACTAGTCGGTGTGGGGAACCCTTGCGATGTACCGGATTTGGAAGCAGGGAGAAGCTCTTTACCTTGACCACCGGAAATACGTGAAAGAAGGGACGGTTGGGAAGTGGATATACGTGATGCGAGGGACGTGACGGAAGGCGCGAGATCATGTTTCCATGGACCGGCGTCAGGGTTGGCTTTTGGGTATGGTTTTGACCGCTGAGATGAGTATATGATCTCTACGTTCTTATTCTCCGAGTTTCACAAACAAGGCTTGGCCGTATGAGAGTTGGGGAGGAGTGAGGAGAAGAAGGTGATCAGACAACAAACCAAAAGGGGAGGAAGGAGGAAACGTCATCGATGGCGATGACGGATGGGAACAGGCGGCATCTGAGGTTCGAAGGGTAAATTGGAGACAGCGACAGGGATCCTCAGCTCACCTCGTATGGTTTACTTCTCATCATGGTAATAACAATGTCGAGTGTACGACCGATAGACAGGGATTGGAGTGGAAGAGGAGGGGAGTGAAGGACTGATTGATAGGCACCTCAGGTGGAGACTTGGCACGCCTAACCAAATTGCAAGAATAGCTATTACGTAATTCGATGCCATGTGCACCAGTGACCACATCACCGTCGCACGCACACTTTGTTCAACATCCATCGTCATTCAAAAGTATCCTGCTATATCGCCACTCCCTCTATATCTACACTACCTCTCAGCAATCCACAGCCAAAATGGGTGGAGAAGGTATGTTCTCGTCCACTGAGTTGTGTCTCGCTGACGCCTTTTTCTCTTGCTACATTTGACAACCACATGACCGAACTGGCCAACCAACATTCCATCCGTTATTTCAAAATTAGGCTGGTTATTCCTCTTTGCGGTCCTTATGGCCGCCGTATTGCTCTTCACCATGGTATTCTTTGTGAGTTCAAGTTCATCGACATCTGGTGATTCAGATCTGGTGACTAGGTGTGATATACCTCGTAGTATATTTGAAGACAGTGTAATGTTGCAATATGTGAGAGGTGAAGTGCGCAGACTGACGGACAGATCATCATGTTCTCTGACCTGGAATGTGGTGAGTCACCATATTGTTTTTGAATTTGGTCTAGCTTCATCCAAGTAGAAGAGAATGGGAGATTGACGGGTCAGATTACATCAACCCTATCGACTTGTGTAACAAGCTCAATCAAGTGAGTGCTTCTCCTTTGTCATGCCACACCTCTCTCTCTCGTTTCTGCACCAAACATAACCGTTTGGACCTCAAAATTACAGGATGTTTCTTCTGCTTTTCGAGGAGCATGTACTTCTTACCTATGTCTCGACTTGACAGAATGCTTACTTTTCCAGTTCGTTCTCCCCGAGATGATCGCCCATGCCTTTCTCACACTCTGTTTCCTTTTATCCGGTCAATTCATTGCTTTCCTGCTCAACGCACCTTTAGTGGGGTATAACGTGAATAAGTGAGTACCTTCAAACCTATCCAAACCTTCCTTCATCCCTCTCTTCCACACCTCACCCAGGCGTCTATCACATGCCCAAAACTGATGTCATCAGGATCATGGCCAAAAATCATATGTACGACGCCACCGAAATATTCCGTACCCTCTCCGGCCATAAGAAAGAAAGTTTCATCAAACTCGGTTTCTACCTCGTATCATTCTTCTACTACTTATACCGCATGATTCTAGCTCTCATCTCTGGTAAGTTGCATATACTACTGCATTGATCAAGCTCATGTGGGCAGAAAGCGATTGATCAGCCTCTCTCCCAGCGGAATCTTATGACGTGTCAATGGCGAAGGAGTGAGCCGAGTATCTGTGAATGAAAACACGGAGTGGGCGGGACGGTCCGTTTCGAGTACGAGGTATGTGGGACGGGATCATTGTCGACATGCATAGCCTGGGCCAGTAGGTGCGTCTTTTCGGTCTGTTTTGCCGAAGCTCATATCTGATTCTAACATCTATGTCTAACGCGGAATGAATCCTACACAACTTCCTTGTCTACTTCCGTCAGAAGACCCATCCCTATCCTTTCCACTCCCGAGAATTCTCGCCTACGACTAAGTATCCTTCTCCTCCATCGATATCGATCGTTCTACCTTATCAGCATCAAGCGGCTGTACTGTGGTGAAACTTCCCAAAACTCACAATGCCGACACGAATACGTAACGAACAGTCTCAATGACTCTGTCCCCCTTTCGGCCCATAATAATCCCCTGAAAACGTCCACGTCCCACAGCCTCCCGATCCACTACCATTCCCTTGGCCTCCCCCACTTGTCTGGTCGTGTGACTGATTGCTGAACTGGCTGATCTCCTTGAATGGGTGTGGCATGGTTGTCAAACGAAAAGGCTGATGCGTCTCGAGTTTCGATACAATGGAAAGGGGAAAATATGTCGTCTGGTTTTTTTGACGTGGGGTCAGAAGCTGATAAAAAGAACTATTATCCTTGAGTGAATGGGAGGTCGTCATAATTTTGCGAGGTAGCTGACGTTACTGATATACAACATATCCACCTTGTCGTCAACTCTCCCAGACGTATTCTCTGAAATCAACGCTAGTCTAGGACCTCCAGTGGACGACCTTTCGTGTTCGCGACATTAGATTTGGGGTGAGGGTGGCTGACTGGTTGGTGTGACGAAGGAGAAAAGGATGATGGGAGTGACGTGGGAGAACTGTTTACTACTCGATCCCCTTCAACGTCAAGTCTTCAGCTGGAAGAGGAGAGGGAATTAGAGTGGAGGTCGGTAAACCATTGTCGACCTTCCCTTTTTCACCTTCGAGAAGACTTTTCAAGATGATCGAGACCCCGGTTAATTCGCATACATCGACAAGATGATCTGACGGCGAGGTACGGGACTATGTGCGGAAAGCCGCCGAGAAGGAGTATGAGGTGTCAACTTGGACAACTTTGATGAGAAAACCATCCTTAGTTTGATGTCTGATTCCAAATCTTGGATCTTCGTCTGACGTGAGCTCTCTCCAGCATACCTTTATTGATAAATCATCTCTAGATATCATACTTGACCCATACGTTCCATCCACATCAAGGGTATAGATGTATCTGCCTCCGAGATGGTCATTCTCCATCCTCCATTCAAGTCTTGTGACCTCATCTTTCATCGTCAAACTTGATCTTTCATCACTATCTTTCCACTTTCCACGCTTCATCTTCCCAATCCGGTCCGGTATTTCACGTGTCGTCCAAGACAAGCTCCGACCCGGTTAAAAACCATTTAGGTTAGATCATTTCCGATGGGTGGACGTCAACTGATGGGCTGGAATGACGGAGATGAAGATGAAGAGGGACTGTGGGTCCTGTATGTGATGTGATGATAACGTTGAGTATTTTGATGAAGGGCGAGGGCGAGGTATCACATGGTGTAAGTACGTCCTCCCTTTTCTGAGACAGGGCGTTATGAATTAGTTTTTCTGACCCTGTAGTTGGCTTACGAAAGCCCTTTTGAAATCCTTCCCACAAAAAAAACCATCCATCACCTCCATCCCAAGTCCACTATCGTGAAAAAAACACAACGTCTGGAAAGAGGAATTAGTTGAGACTAGGGTAAATGATCAATATCAAAGATTTCAATCCTCCGAGTTTCTGTATCCCGGAACATCCGGACCATATCTTGATAAATTTTTCACCAAGGTCCAAGACTCGCTTAAATGGTCAGATATCCGTCATGGGCGATGCGATCAGTGGATCAAAGGCGGAGTTTAGGTTAGAGATGCGGCAATGGATGCCGATGTTGAACGAAGATTGAGTATGACGAGTGATGGTTTGGTGGCTTAGGTCTAGATTATGTTCAAGAAAATGGACAGGAAGATCACATGAAGAGGACGGAAAGGGTGTAACTCAAGTGTGGAGATTCTAGACCAAAGTGAGAGAAGAAGAGTTGTTGGGAAAGAGATACGTAGACGTTTAGGATTTCCTTCCTTAGATGATCGGCTTGTGATGATGGTTTAGAAGTCAAAAATGATGTGATGCGGGTTATGGGTTGCGGCATTGGCGTTGATGGGATCTGGTTGGTCGGCAGAGGTTGATCGTCCTTGGGATTCTCAACGGAGGAAGTCCGGTGGACGAGCTAAAGGTGCCTGACCGACGGGCAGAGACGTTTTCGCCTGGTAAACTTGGTTGTGGGAGCTTGAAGGATTTTCGGACCCTTGTGTCCGTGAGGAATATCTACGAGGTGGGGAGAGAAATCGACCGTCAAGAGGATGGCTGCCAGGATCGGGGAGTGATCTGTTCATTTGCCGCAAGCAACAAGTCTGGCGAACGACGGATAATGTTGAAAGGGTATAAGGTCAGTTCATCATTAGAAGATTGACATGAAAGCCTGAAGAAATGGATATGTATCATTGTCCATGCGTACCAAACGTGAATGCCCAAAGATACAAGCAGTCATAAAGTCTCTATTCAGTCCTCCACCGGATTCTCTCTACTCCTTCGCCACATTAGGTGTCACCTCGGTCTACGGAAGAGCGTCCAACAACATGAGAGTTACCCTTTGAACATTCTGTGCGTTCGCAAAGCCGGCAATGGATATGGCGGATCCGAGGAGACCCGTCGTTCCAGCCGAATCGAATGAGAAGAAGAACATATTGTAGGTCGTGGTGCCGTCATAATTGAAGAAGTCCATGAATAGACGGTCGGGAGGAAAAGAGGGTATGTCCCAACTGGGTAATTGATAAGAGGCAGTGTGTGCGTCTGTCGTAGTTTGAGGCCCGTCACTGAGAGGACAACCGCCGAATACAACAGAACTACCTGTCAGCTAGGAACCCTAACGCCTAACAGATGCTCTTTGTATCCTTTTTGAAGACTTGAGCTCATTCGACCATTGAATGGGTAATATCTTGTTTCCCCCCTCATCTTGCCGGAACGAAGTGATGAGCGTGGAGAAAATCGCAGGGGAAATAGGGGAGGCACAAGAGGAAATGGATGACGAGTCGAAAGTACTCACGCTGCGGGAGCTCCACTTTCCATATTATACTGCAGCTGTCAGTTCATCACCTATCTTCAGGTATCAGTCAGACATACCTGTCCATTGTCCGGACCACTCCAGTGTTGAGTGCACATATACTCGGCGCCATCGGCAAAATAAATGGGGACTTCGTTCCCGGCGACAGCCCAGGTGAATTGTGTCGCTTGCGAGGAGTCCGTTGTCTGGAAAAAGTCAGATCTATGACCAGTATGGATTTGAAGGCCCTTTTCATTGTTGTGTGGAAGCTTGTAGGTGAACGTAGACATGATAATCGGATGACTTGTGAAACATAGCTACATGACGAATGATCACTGATAGATTAAAAGAAGGATACTTACTAGCTGGAAGTTGCTACCTGACAAGTACGCATACATTGAGGCACCGCCTGCAGACGGAATAGCCTGAATGTACCCTACATTCCCAAGACCGGATCGTTTTGCTGGAGCAGCTAAGAATCAGCATTTAGGATCATATAACCATCTTGGCTCGACGAGAAAAAAACAGCACGTACCATGTGTGGCTGTGGCGTTGAAGAGTCTCGACACTTTCTTCGGTGGTAAACCTCTAGCAAACCGTTCGGCATTCGTAAGCTCTCGAGCACCCCCCGACGTTCTAGTCTGCACATGTCGAGGAAGAACCTTCGCCAAAGCCCCTTGGGCAAGTAAGAAGCCAAAAGCGATAGTTTTCAAGCTGACCATCTCGATATCTAAAGTCTAAAGTCCAATGTCCAAAGTCCAAAGTCGGAAAACGTGAAAACAGGAAACGTAAGAGGTATGAAGAAAGGAATGTGTATCAATCTTTATCTTACATTCCAACAGTCTTTTGTTTCCTTTACACCTTCATTGTACTCCCATTTCTCTTCTTTCCTCCTAAAGCCTCTGACCCTCTACCTCACGTAAACACCTCTTAGGTCGTACAGGCAGGAAACAGAATGTTGATACCTGAAAAACCTGAAAGACGAAATTTGAACAAAAACAATCGGAGAATTTTACTCTTTCGCCATCCCGGTCAAGCCGTCCAGGTCCCGTGTAACTTCCTATTGTTTTACTTGACCTCAAGCGTGAGATCTAAACAATTTCCGAAACGTCTTTGTTCACATGTCCCTCGGCCCCTCGGACTGACCTCATCAGGACAAAGAGTCAGTATCCTTTCGTTTTCCTCTCAACACCTTGGACTAGAACAAAGCCCCAAACTGTAAAGTCTCGGTACGGACATGAGAATTCAGGGGTATCAATCGAAGAGGTGACACAATGACTTTTTAAGACTTGCTCTAAACCAGAGAGACGGACATATCCGAAGGGGGGTGACATTGAACGTTTCTCGGACGTTTTCGGTTCTTCAGAAGGTATTGTACTTCGTAGGTATCGTCGGTGATATGATTGATGTTAACGTTTCCGCCATGTGCCGCCAAGAGGCGGATAGAAGGTTTCTTCGTTCTTTTTTTCACAATTACTGTAGTTCTTCTTACATTCCCTTGCCTGAGACCGACTGCTCAGACGGCGTCATCACTGAATGGGTGGAATGAGAGATGACATATTCAAAGTTTACAATTTTTGATGGCGTTGATAAGATTACCGCTAGTGAATCGTATCCGGTATCGAGTTGATATGAGATGGTAGCGAGGTTTGAAGTGTTTCGATGTCTGACTCCGTGGTTTGACAGAGTTGACCGAATTGACTGAATATACTAAGCAACGTTTGAGGGTCGACTAAAAAGCCTGGGCCTCGGTCCTAGGTCCTGGTCGTCATGCGTCGGTCCGTCGGCCGTCGTCAGGCTCCGGCGTCGGTTGAGAGAACGATATATATGTGGGGAACTCATCAAGTGTCAATCATTCGGCCATCTTCCCGGCTAAGGTGGGTTTTCCGACACCGATGAAGCTTAGATACTCAGTAGTAGCGGTCAAAGCAGGGAAAACACCTCCATTGCTGATACATTGTCTCTAGTATCTTAACTCGCTTGACATATCGTTCCACGCATGCTTGTCGGTGCGAGTCATTCGGTTGCATGATAGATTCGAACACTCCTCTGATACGACTCGAGAGAAGTCCGTCTACATAGAATATTACTTGAGACCCAACAGCCATTGGAAACGCTCGTATGCGCAAAGGGCTGATACAAACATATCCTTCAAATATGTCCACCTACCCTTCTCTGGTCAACCACACCTGACTTACTCTCTGGTTTTGAGTGATTCATCGGATCGCTCAGTCTTTCACTAGTGAGATGGTGGTCCTACTGCAGACACTCAGCTACCGGGAGCTACTATTGGGTACCCTGATCATGATACTCGGGGTTGCGGCGTACCGCGGATCCGCGGACACACTCCGACCTCCAGATGCATGAGCTTATGCCAACGGTCAGGCACGAGGAAGGACCATTTGTGAACGATTGTCGTGAGTGAACAACTTCAACGTCATACAACGAAAGCTCTGTGGGTAGCTGAGGGTTCAGAATGAATATCAATTCTTCAAGACGCCAATGGTTCAGCGGCTGATCAGCGAATATAAGTAGTAAGTTAGGCGACAATTTCAACACCAGCCGGAGGGTTGGGAGGTGAAACTGCCACTCGCTTGGATTGCCACATTCCCTTCCTGACCTCCCTTCCTTGGACCCCTTTGCAGCCAATAAGTATACTTACCTACTTATGTGTTTGACTTACACATCACCCTCATGCCATCTCGCTCATCATGTCCGAGCCCAACGTCCCCTTGTTGGCTTCAGTCCATTCCTCATCATCAGCCGAACATCCTCTCTCTTCAGCCGTACATCCCTCGGCACGTCGTACCTCGTCATATTCCCTTCTCGCCCCTCACCCTCATGATTCCTCCAGCCATTTTCGTCGTCCACACGCTGCCACCATCTCTGCCCCTCGGAGAAAGACTCAGAATGCAGAAGCAGAATTACTCGGTCTTGAGGCTTCACACCTTCGGGAAAGCAAGACCACACTCAGCTCCCCGGCGACGGTCGCTCAGGCCATCATGGAAGCTGAACACCTCAATATCACTCGTTCCAGCTCGACACACTCTCGCACTCTCTTCAGTAGTCTCAGTAAGGAAGAGCTAGTAATCGTCAACAAGCGATTCGATCTAATGTCCGATCTTGAGCTCAGCGAATATCTCTCACTCTTCGGTTCTTCCCAATCATCCGCCCAACCCTCTGCTTCACATTCACCACATCCTTCACTTGATCCCGCCTCTCTGACCCCTAAAAATTCATCCCAGTCGAGTCCGTCTCAAATCATAGACGATCCGGACAGTAAAACACCACTCTTCCCTCCCTCCCCTCCTGGTCACGTCAAGCCCGAGATGGCCGATCATCCTTTGCGAGTGTTGAGTAGAGCCATCCGAGAGTTACAAGAGGAGATCGCCCGGTTGGAAGAAGAGAATCAGGTTCTTCGTTCAGCCCACCCTCATCCGGTCAAGACTGCAGATCAGGTGAGCTCTTCCAACGTGTTCCACGAGTCTTTACTCATGTTTAGCTGTCAATACATGATGGTATTGCCGACGCCCTTTCTTCCTCACTTGCTCCGGATTCTTTATTCAATGCACCTGTACCTCCTCAGACCATATCATCAATCGCGCAATCAATACGCTCCTCTTCTCCAGCTCCATCGGTTCGTTCCCATCTTTCTCAGACATCCCGCCGAACCAAGTCTCCTTTGCTCTCTCACACATCTACCCTCCCCACTGCTTCACCTCCCGTAACTCATGCGCCCTTGCCTGATCCAGACCCCATGTCGACCCCTGTGGCACAAGGAAAGAAGAACAACCGCACATCATGGACATCTGGTCTATGGGTCTGGAGTAATGGAAAACCTCGTCGACCTCGCAAAGGGAGTATAGGATCAATCGCCTCCTTCGGTCTGGGCATAGGAAGTCCAGCGCCGGCTGGGGTACCAGAGGAGAACGAAGCTCCCGAGGAAGAGGATGAGTACGCTTGGCGTAAAGGTGACGGGGGAAGCTCACCAGCTTTCAAAGCAATCTTCCTGGCGACGGTGAGTTTTGATGGCAAAGGGTTCATCTGACAAGATAGCGAATCATTACCCCTGACCCTTCTTCTATCCTCGTACCGACCAGTGTCTCGTCAAAATCTCTCATCGCCTACCTGGCTCATTCACTCGTCTCCAACGCTCGTGATGAAGGTATAGTGGCTCGTGAACCTCCCGGGCGTCGGCAATCACGAGATCTATCACGTAGTCGAGCTACTTCTATCGCCAGCCAGCTTTCTCCCGATCTGGCCAATGCTACTCCAACCCGCGAACGAGGATATGGAGACCAGGCGCTTGCTGCCACAGCTTCTCTTGGACGTACACTCCTGTCGTCTGTCTCCACCGCTACTATGCGGGCTAGAGCCATGGGTGAAGACATCGGTCGACCATCCCTGCTGAGCAGGGCGAGTCATAGTAGATCTTTGCCAACAGTGACCTCACTTGCGGCTCCTCAGCTTTCCGACAGCTCTCCCTTAGTCCAAACGTCACCGAATGCAGAGATCCCACCACCATCAGTGGAACTTTCATCGATCGTCCCTGATGATGCGCGTCCACCTACGATGGTACTCTCGAGACAAAATTTAGGTTCTTTCTTCCAATCGACCAAGCTTAAGACAGCTACGAGGTTTGACAATGGGGAAACACCCTTAACGGATCGGTACGGTTTCATATGTGAGCTTTATTGGTGTTTCCTACTTCATGCAGCTGACTGACAGACGACATTCAGCACGCAAGCATGCTCAAGGACGCCAGCGCCGCAGGAGCTGTAGCTCCTGCCTCCTTGACCGGCAACGTACTTTCGACCGAAGAAGGTTGGGTCCGTCGTCGCAAAGACGTAGATTCGAGGTCGGAGTCCTCTCCTAGACCATCGTTCGATTCTACCAGATCAGAACAACCGTCCCCTCGGATGTCCCTCGATGTTCCTCTCGCCTCTCCAACCTCAGCCCAAATACCAGCTGTATCTCGATCATCCATTGACCGTGGCCGTACAGTCCCACCTCCTAGCCTCGTCATTAATCCTACGGCACCAATAACCGCCAAAGAATCTCTCACAGTTTCCACTAGAGGCTCAACCTCTCTTCACTCCACTGCTACATCCACACCTCTGACAACCGCTACCACGTCCACTACCATGCGACCTGTTGATAGTAGGCGTACCGTCTCTTCTCTCCTCGATAGACTCACAGATATGCACGATGCTCAACAGAAGGAACGAACAGCCGAATGGGATGCGTTTTTACGCAAACGATCAAAATCCCGCTCGCAGCTCCCCAATGGGACCAAGACGTCAGGCACTTTGTCAGAAGATTTAAGATGGGGCTCGGGCTTGATAGGTCTGTCACAGATGGGTTTGGCAAAAGATGGACAAGAAGACTGGAAAGCCTTTGCCGCGCTGGTAAGGAAAGGTATTCCATTGGCATATCGAAGCGACATATGGGCCGAATGTTCAGGAGCCAAAGATTTGATGGTGCCGGGTGAATATAGGGAAATACTCAAGGTGCACGAAGGAGATGTGGGACCTTTTGACAAAGAGATCGAGAAAGATGTAGGGAGGACTTTTCCTGGAAATGTTTTCTTTGGTTCGTCTTGGCTTTTTTTCCGTCTCCCTTCCGTACCCTCATCGAGCTGCTACTGAATACCATCATCTCGCCAATTGTGTCCTGATAATGTGTATCACCTTGGTCACCCCATCACTTCTCAATCCCGGTGCATTGATTACGTTCATTGCATTCGGGTTACAGAGCTGAGTCGGGAATACTGAGCTGAGCTGACATGTACAGGTGGAGACGGACCTGGCGTGGCCAAACTACGTAGAGTACTGATTGCTTATTCTTGGTGAGCAACTGACTTTCAAAGCAATCAAATCCGAGCTGACAAAGAGGCATAATCCTTCCGTCGGCTAGTGAGCCTATCAAATATCCAAAAGAGTCAGAGCTGACACGTCTCTTCTTTGTATTTCAGTTGTCAAGGTTAGTCTCTCTCCGCACAATTTTGATGATGCTGATGTCAGGAATGAATGTTGGTCTCTCAGTTGTCAGAGGAAATAGAACTCATGAGTAGATGCTTGCTGCTACTCTCCTTCTGACGCATTCGGATGAAGGTGAGTTGTTACCCAATTGCAGATCGTTTCCTTACCCTCCTCAAGACTGAAATTTCATCCTCTTGTTCTTCGCTGTTCACACCTCTTGCCACTATCCGGTCCTCTTCTTGAGTTCGTCACAGCCTTTCTACCTATTCCACTTTCTTTCGCCCGGAGCCGTGGTAGGATGTTCAGGAATCACCTCCTCGACATGAATCAACCCACTGTTTGCATATGAGTCATGAAACATCTATGCATCTGACACGAAGCGTGAATCAACACTGATGACCAGAACAAGCATACTGGGTGTTACTGTCCATCATCGAACGACTTCTCCCCACAGATTTCTTCGCTCCTTCTCTACTGGCTTCAAGAGCGGATCAAGCCGTCCTCTCCGACCTAGTGGCGTTACATCTTCCAAAAGTTGACGAAAAGCTATCGGAAGTCGGTCTGGACCTTGCCAGTCTGACATTTGGCTGGTTCTTGAGTTTATTCACAGACTGTTTACCTGTTGAGGTGAGCATTCGCGCCTTCCCGCGCCATCATATTTGTACCCTGCTTTCCCACACCCCTTCCTGGTACTATTCTACTTCGCTGAAGCAGAAACTGTCACCAACACTTTGCCATGTCAAACGGCTGGCCTGACTCATGTCTTTGCCATTACTCCATGATGGCTGAGAACGGCGTGGTGGTGATCTGACCTCAAATGGCTAATCATCAGACGCTTTTCAGAGTGTGGGACGTTTTCTTCGTAGAAGGACATGCGGTGAGTAGATCTGCCCCCAAATCCGTATCATCCTGCGATATCCTCTGTCGTCGGAAGTCCTTTTTATGTAAGGCTGACTTTTAGTCCCTGTTTCGAATCGCCATCGCTATACTCAGGTTGGCCGAACCCGACATTCTGGCCAGCGAGGACGTCTCGGGTCTTTTCGCCGCTGTCAACGCGAACACTGCACGTTTATGGGGTGCGGATAAGTTGATCCATGTGAGTGGTCTGTCTGATAACCCTTTTCACAACATTTTTGACTTTTCTTCTTTCCTTGCATCGCGCCCTCTCCTTTCCCACGACGCGGCATCCTCACGCAAAAAAAGTCGATTCAATCCGATTCGTTTGAAGCTGATAGATAGCTACAACACGCGATCAAATCAGTGGTCAAAAATCAAGACATCGCCGCGCGATGTCACGAAAAGGTCGTTGAGCTTCAAGCAGGATTTGAGGATCCTCCCTCAGACGCAACTTCACGATAATGATGATATCATGCTTCTCAAACTTCATTGGTCACCTCATAGTCTCAGATCATCTAGACTGTGTCACATCTAGCATTTAGACGCGTTGTATGAATTGAAGATGGAGAAACAGTCGTACTCCCAGATCACGCGGTGACTCACCCGCTCTTGGCCACCAAGTGGGTTATCTCACCTGTTCAGATTTTTGACAAAGTGCGATAAGCTTCATTCTCCATCCTACATCCTTCACAATGCCGTCATTCACCGTCGCAAACACACAAATTAGCATGAAGAATAAGCATGATCCTCGGTAACCATCTTTTCACTCGTCTTCTACACCACATTCTTTCTGACAATCTTCTCCCTCTACGGATCAAACACTCGATACTTCTTCGCGTACGACTTGCATTGCTCTACTTATCCACTCTTTCAATACTGCACGTCAGTATGATCCGTCCGTTGTTGTTCGCCCTAGGATTGGTGTCTACTTTCGGAGGTGCACTCGCCAAAGAACGCATGACCAACGCGGACAGGTTCAAAAGAGGGTTACCCCCCTTGGCTCCTGGGAGACGATACGATCCAACGGCTACTCATGGTGAGTTATTGTTCTCTGCACTCTCGATGTAATTTCCGATCCCAACAAGTCTCAAAGATCGAGTATCCTCGAGCAATCGGCAGAGGGATCGTTTTGGTATCCTCGAAGTGTATCACGCCATTTTCAAGCCGTTTGTGAGAGATTACTCTTGTTTGCCAACTGGTCGGTGAACGTATAACAACTCCTTACTGACCGGCAGCCCTCGTCAGCCGAGTATCGGATGATGCTCGACAAGCGATCATCCAAGCTTCTCCCCCGCCTGGACAGGGGAATAGAAAGCGCGAGGGAGATCCGACGGTGGATACATCTTATTTGAGCTACAGTTTCAACGGTGATGTCTTTTACTTCGTGAGTCTGTGTCTGAATGCCTTTGAACTTTCCACTTCATGCCATTCCTCATTCTACTCTTTCTGCCTCACTTTCTGATTCACCTTCAGCTTTGACCTTCCGCATCACTGTCAATTCAATTTCCCAGTTATCAGCTGCTTGATCATGTCAGCAAGCTTTCACCGATAATACTTTCTCGCTTTTGCTTATTACCAAGTCGCAGCTGACCAATAGACCACCAACATAGATGCCGCCATGGTGTTCACACTTGGTGAAGCTGGATCCGAGCAGACCATAACCTTCAACGATGGTGAGAATGAACGGTATCTATGCTCAAGAGTCTGGCGGACGCCTAAGGACGGTGTTATCATACACGATGATGGACGGCCTTCTGCGTGAGTCTATGGTCTTCGTGCTTTATCTTCTATTCTACGACCCATAAAATCATATGAATGTCTCCCAAAACGAATTATCGACTTCACTCTTACTCCCACTTTGACCTGGTCATCGCTTCTCTGACGCTCTTTGCTTATCCTGAACATACTCCCTCTCACTCCCTCCTCTCCTCCTGATTCTGTTGCACTTAGGTCTTTATCATTGCCAGTTCACTGCTCTCCGTTCCATAGAATTTTCCCATGGGATATGTTCAAGAAAGTACAATCTAACCCTCAGTTCGGTCTACTTTGGGGGTTGCTCAGGTTCTACCTCGACTGAGGAAGCGTACGGCTCTGAAGAACAGATCCCAATTTGGACTATCCCAACCGATCTTCCCGGAGATGTCATCTCCACTTTTTTCAACAATGACGAGACTACTAGCAGTTATGGATATTGGATCTTCAACGATAATGTCGATGACCTGCCTTATACGCTTGGAGGCGCTGAGCAGAATGATGATTTTCAAATTGAGGATCAGGTGACTTCTATATATACTTTGTTCTTCCTGCCCCGACCGGTTTAGTAGTAGTATGATGCGTACATTTCAGGCGGTGGGAATGGGCTGTAGACCAGCTAGAGTACGTGAGATTGGCCGAGTCTGAACACGGCTATGTGGAAAATGTATGATGTTCAAGGCCGTTTTCAGCAGTTGCGCATAACATAACAACTATTGAAGGTGCGCGAGTACGAGCCCCACACAGCGTCCGAGTTAGTATAACGGCTCAGTATAACCGCCTCTCACGCGGTAGATCGGGGTTCGACCCCCCGACTCGGAACACAGGCTCCAGACCCGCCTAGCTCGTTGTTCAGGGATCTTCCGTCCACTCTGTCCATCCTTAGAGGACGAGGGCTCCCTGAGCAAGGAGCTACCGGGGTCCGGTTGCTTCGCCCTTTTGACTGTTTCTTATCCTTATCGTCTTTCGTCATGAGCCATGCACGAGCGGACCGCACTCCCAGGAAGACAGCAGGCTGTTTCTCGTCGCGTCATTGTCGCCCTTGTCATCTAAAGTACATTGGGATCATGATGGTCATTGACGGAACGATTAGAGCGATTCGACACTGATATTTGACGTGCCGGAAGTGCCAGTAGATCTCCCTTTCCGTACTCGGCTTCCTTCTCTAGATCCGTCCTTCCGCTTCCCCTCTGCATCACTGACTTTCTCACCCTTTCTTCACCTTTCGTTCTGACGTCGCTTGTACTCTCGCACGACTTCAGCTCTGATATCCATCTGACAACCTGCATCAAGATATCATGTCCTTGATTCAGAAGATACTCCCTCCAGTGGAGCGCCCCAACATTGATCCGGCACTTATCCGATCTTCGATAACATCGATAACTGACTTTTTCATACGATGACATGATCATCAGCAGGTATAAGTATGATCCAATCATTCGTGGTTCCTCATCCTACCAGATCAAACTCAACCTCACTCTATACTCTCTTTGAATAACGACCAAACACGCTATTTACATTAACGAAAAAATCTAACGAATCCCACTTTACACGTATTGTATATTGCAACACTCTTTCCACTTTCCTCTTTCATAATAGAAACAAGATACAACCTACTTCATCAGAATTTCGAACTTTGAACTTTGACCTTCGAAATTCAGACCAATTGTCGGTTTACTCGATCAACGAAGGAAATGTTTAATATGTCAAATCGCGCCACTCTCATTATGGGATTAAGTATTTTAGGGTTTATCGATATCGTCTTAGCCTATGATGGAATATCCAATGTGGAACAAAAGATCGAGGGGATAATACCTATGTCGAAAGAATGGACAGAGGAAATGATACATACGTCAAATCAATGGTCAGAGGAAACGATACCTACTTTGAAAGGGATGGAAGAAGAAGAAGATACTACTCCTACTACTTCTACTTCTACGTTGAAACAAAGAGCAGAAGAAGGTAGATTGAGTAATGCAGAAAGGTTATCAAGAGGTTTACCTCCGAAAGCTCCAAGAAGGAAATATGATCCTTCACGTACTCGAGGTGAGTTTTTCTTTGTTCCTTCATCTTCCCATCTTCCCCTCCTCCCATTCCCCTTCACTTCTATCTCTCGCCAACATCCCGTCGGCCGTCAGATGTCTCATTCATTCCCCCCGACGGTCACCATTCTATTCTTCTCTGATACACCACCCCCACCAATTTTCTCTTCCGCTCCACCCCACCATCTCATTGTCCCCGAGCGAACGGACCAAAACACTTCAGATATGTCCATGGCAGATGGATCATCATATCATGAGACGTCTACGATGTCCGGAGAACCTAGTGGACAAAAAGAAGATGTAATATCACTAACATCACAGCCCACCTAGCTAAAAGATCCAACGAAGTAGACCCTATGACAGGCTATATCCGTACGACTCCACTTGGTTTTCCAGGTAGGAAACGAGACGCTATAGATTCCAATGGTACAACACCATACGATTCACAAGCGTATATATCCGTCGATGAGGGTGCGATTGTCTTGGTAAGTTCATCTGTATTATCAGTTCCGGTATTCTCTTTTTCCTCGTATGATCTTCCTCCATTTTTTGATGACTAATCGAATTTCCCTTTACTTTTCACGCTTTTACACATGAAATCGATGAATCTCCCTCCTTCCCCACCCCTCCCGTCTTCATGTCTTTGACGATGACAACGAAGAACCCCTTCTCAATCTACATAATCTTCACACATCTCACAGAACGTGACGATTCATATAATGGGAATGAAAAGAAGAATGATCGTTGATAATTTCAGTCTACCGACCCTTCTAGAGCTGAAAAGGTTTATTGGGACCAAGATGGTCCTGAACAATTCATGCACTTTACGAATTATCCTTATAATTTAGCTTCGGTCATCACGAATTATGGAGGTTCGAATAATATGAAACCTAATAATCCTGGTGGTCCCATGTAAGTTTTTCTGTTTTCCCCTTCAACTTTCTTGATACAATCTTCCACGATCAACCTCTTGGTCAAGATGAAATGTCCATATACCGACTATCCAACCTTCACCTCTCTTCATCTTACTCTCGATTATCTCAATTTTATCTTGTTACCGACTTCCTGTCATAGCAACAATCTCTATGATCATTCCACCTACTTTCCTTCGTGAAACCAACCCTGGTGTTAAACATACCGATTCTCATATTTATTTTACCCATTATGATGATTATGTTCGTTACACTCCTCCATCATACGAATTCTGTTCCAACCTCTTTCCTTTTTTATATTTTGTGTGTGATATATGATTGCAAAACGTTTGACAACAACCATAACTAACTATACATCAGTTACCTCTATTTCACCGGAGCTTATCCAGACGGTCGAACACCTCAAACTTCACATGGTTATCCCGTTCAACAACCCATTTGGACGACTGAATCAATCACATCTTCTACACCTGCTCAACTCTTTATGACATTTTTCAACCAAGATGGATCAAATACCACACCTAATTTTTACGTTTACGATACAGAATATGGAGAACGTTATAAACTCGGAGCCGCATTATCCGGTGAGGATTTCGATGGTGAAACCATGTACATGGAACTTGAACTTGAACTTGTTGTTGAAGCTGTCTGATTTTCTTTTCTTCTTCTTTTTCTTCCAGGTCGAATCACTTTGGGCTTTATGAATCATTATCATTTTGAAAAGAAAAAAGGACATTACATGGGTATATGGGGATATGGATGTTGTATTTTATATATAACAATGCATGTGTTTTTGAATATCATTCTCCAATCTTACTTCTTTGTTTATGCAAATGGTCTGAATGTTCGTCTGCGAATTAATCTAATTTCGAATGAATGAGTATCGGTGCTTTTGTATAATTTCCAACATTCAGTATGGCTGTCCACCATTGACGTGAAAACACTATGTAATCAGTTATGACAGCCTGTCAGATCTATTCAAGATGACTTTGATTTTGTTGTAAAGGAAATATCAAAGGAGAAACACTCACTTGAGCAGTAAAATAGGAAGAATCAGCCGATGCGAGAAAGACAAATGCGGTCGCTACTTCCACAGGTTGTCCAGCTCGTCCGATGGCAGCTATTTCATCAGTCTTTCTTCACCGTCTTGACTTAGAGCGGAAGGTGGGCGGTGAGTGATAATGATACATAATAGATGGCTGGAACTCACTCGTGAGACCGAAACTCTCAAGAGATTCTTTCGTCATGGTCGCAGATACCAACGGTGTCCAAACTAAAAGATCAGCTAGTTGTACTTAACCTACAGAGTTGAAGAGGGCTTACTAGGTCCTGGACAGACGGCACTGATGTTTAGTCACTGCTCAACATATCTCCCTAACAATCCATCCCCATCAAGGTTAAGATGAACGGCAGATGTCACCTCTCACATGAAGGCAAAGCAGCAGGGGCTAGTGGCGACGTAAGGAGATACATCCAAAAGAGAGAGGGGCAAGGTTGAGAGTCAACTCACTTTACCCTCACACCTTTCTCCTTTACAATCTGATTCGACAAAGCTCTAGTGAACCCCACTATCGCACCTTTCGTAGCTGTATAATCCAACAATCCCGGATGTCCAACGAAGGGATTCGTAGTCTCAGTAACGAACTAGACTTCGTGAACAGGCGACCTACGATAGAAGCACTATTTTATCAGCTCTGATCTTCAAAGAGTAAAATCTCACTTGTTGATGATACTTCCTCCCCACGGCATCATGGGTAGGATATTCTTGGTAAGGTAGAAGAACGAGTGACTATTGTCAATCACTACTCGGTAACATGCGTGCGGGGTTCTTACATGTTGAGATCAAATACCTAATCTGGTCAGCTAATCGTCTGAGAAGCCACATTGACTTACATGACGCCATTGTTCGGAAGACAGATCGGCAATGGCTGGGACTTCTTGTTGAGTTGCATGATTGTTGACGCTAATCATCAGCTTCTCTCCCCCTTCGCGAAAGCTCAATCTCAATTCTCTAGTTTACTGATCGAAACAGACTAAATGTATGTAGATGAGTATGGTCCAGGATAATATAAGAATTGAGCACATACAGAATATGCACCGAACCACTTGACCATTTCCTGATCTTCTCAACCATCTCCAAACACGCCTTCTCCTCTCTCAAATCCTGAGCGCAAAGCTCCACCTTGGCATTGGGGGCAACTTTCGATATATATTCTTTGGTATCTTGAGCATCTGTTTCTTCTGCAGGATGACAATGAAGGAAGATGTCTGCTCCTTCCAATGCACTAATAACCCTTTAGCTTTCTCCTCTTCTGAGTAGTTTCGTCATCTATCACTCACTATAGAATACAGACAGCCCGTCCAATACCACTATCACCTCCGGTCACCACTGCTTTCTTCCCCTGTAACTTTCCAGCTGGCTTGTACTTTGTGCCATCGGCCAACACATCATCCAGAGGAGCAGGTGTGAGAGGACGTTGTTGTCCGGGACTGTTGTCCTGCATCTGCTTGGCGACGGAAGGAGGAAGAAATCCTGGACGGAATTGGTCAGGAACAGAGTTAGGCGGGGACATGGCGTCGATTCTGATCTGATGGTAACGTGGTCTAGATGAAATGTGGTGTGTGGGAAGAAGATACAGTAGTACTCTAGTGCAGTAGAAAGACAACCAAAGTGTGAGTGGGTGGAATGTGACGTCATCGTCGTCGATCACTCGTTGTGCCGCAAAGTGAACGAGTATGGCGGCATGCTCTGCACACAGGGAGTAGGGTACTCGTACTCGTACTTTATGAGCATAGCCAGTAACACCATTGAGTCGCAAATTTGGTAACTCTCACTTGGGATACGGTGGGGCATCTGAGTCCTGTGGCAGGTGAGGGGATTCTGCAGAAAATGGTGTCAGAGTGGACATTCTGGCAAATAAGTCCGCACGTGCATCATCAACATTCGCCTCATGCACACCCCTCTCAGGCTTCTTTATACTATGGAGTCTTAGTTTGATTGATAGAAAAGTGAGTGGTTGTGTTAGGAGGAGCTTGAAATCCATTTTTATGAAAACACGTGGTTGTGAAAGCAGTGCGTCCTAGTCCTTGATCTTGAGATGGTCTACGCCAAGAGGGGCGCAGTGGTATGACAACAGGCGTCGCCGACATGGATGTAGCAATATTAACTCGAGGAGAGCCACTTCGGGCACAACCCCAGTGTAATCGGGGCACAACCTGCCACACTCAGGGTAGTCAGGCACGTACCACCGGCGTTACTAAAACGCCGACCACGCGACGGACATGAACTCGCCACTGATCGGGGTTTCAGTAACGCCGAACTCCACCACAACGACGCGACATGTCTGCTCGCTACCTACCAACCTGTCCTCACCACCACTAATCTCTTTATCGTCATTTTACTACTAAACTCACGCTCTTTTTCACACACACTGTCTCTACTCGTCTCAAGGATCATTTTGATACTCTTCTCACTCTTTTACGACTACTTTTCATCCACTTCTGGCCCTTCGCTTCTTCAACTGCGCCCTTCCTGACTACCACCCATCAAATCGCTATATCTCTTTTAATATCAATTGTGGTATTCTCTCGTCTTCTCGACGCTGTTCTACTGCTCTCTGCGAGTCCGTGAGTACTTGTATCATCATCAGAAGTGAAAATCTGACTTCAATAGGCCATCTCGCCATCATCATCCTCGCCACTTCACCATCTCGCCAGAAAAACTTTTTTTACTCTTCAACAGGACATCTTCAGCCTTTCTCAACAACTCGACACTGTTCTCCTGGCCTCTGCGAGTCTGTGAGTACTCTTCTCATCGAAAAATGTAAAAATCTGATTGTCATAGGTTCTCGTCATCATCATCATTTTCGCCACCAACATCCCGGCCAAAAAATTTTTTACTCTTCAACAACACCACCCCCGGGGTTCTAATACGTCGACACGTATTCTGCTCGTCTTGGGCTATAACTCGACACTGTTCTCCTGTTCGTCCTGAGCTGTGAGTACTTGTTTTATCATCAGAAGTGAAATGCTGACTTCAATAGGCCTCCTCAACCTCAAAATCCTGGCCCCCTCGAAAAAACTTTTTTCCTGCGATAACACATATGCAGCGACACTGATCCCTTGTTCTTCCTGAGCTGTGAGTAGTTGTTTTACTATCAGAAGTGAAATGCTGACTTCAATAGGCCTACTCAACATTAAAATCCTCGCCACCGAACTCCTCGAAAATTTGCCACCGACATCTCGACCAAAAACTTTTTTAATTCTTCAACAACACCAACCCCCGGGTTCTAACTTGTCGACATGTATTCTGCTGGTCTTGGGCTACGAGTGAGTACCATTTTTACTGCATGAAGTGGTCATTCTGACGAGTTAGATGTCATCACCGATCTTTATCCCATCGTCGCCACCCTCATCACCAATTCTGGATCGTTTTTCAAGGTCCCCTTCTATAAAATTCAGTCCTCGACGCTCTCTTTCTCCTGGTTTCGTACCAGAGACCCAGCGATATCGTGACCACGACTATAATGATGAGGAACTCGATAATCTCATGGCGGAGATCAATCTCGACATTCGCGAGGACACAAGATTTGCTCCTATGGCTCACCACATCCACCCTCCCTTCGATCTCGAACCTCAACCAACCATGATGGCGGCTCGACTTCATACTCAACAGGTAGCCATGGAGCACACCGTCTGCATTGTCACAAAACGCAGTATTGAAAAGAAGGGGAGACTCGATCTCCAATGTGCTCTTGGAGGGGATGGTCGGTCACATCGATCTGACGACTTTGAAGATGTTAGAAAGCAACCTCGTACTACCAAGCAAGCAAATTGTCCCTTCCTCATCATCTGGCGAAGAGAGACGAAGAAGGTTGCTCAAGAGGCCAACCGCGAACCCCTCTGGATCCCCGACATCATCGAAAATTTTCATAACCATGAACCTGTCCCCCTTCTCCATTATTCTTTTATTCGTCAGGCTAGTCGATCTCCTGAAGTTCTCCAGTTCATCACCGATCTTCTCAAAGGTCCACACACTCTTCGTGGTATCGTCTCTGCTGTCCAGCAGCATTTTGGTGAAAAAGTTATTCTCACAAAGCAAGATGTGCAAAATTTTCGATTTCGTCATGAGAAGGCCCTTCGCCAAGGACAATCGGCCACTGAGGCTGCTATCAAACGTCTCACCGACAACAACGATCTTTTTAAAGCTTTCACCAACAGTAAAAATGAACTTTGTGGACTCGTCTTTACCACCTCGTCAGCCAGAGCTATGACTCATTCGTATCCTACCGTTCTCTTTATGGATTGTACCTACCGAACCAATCGATATCGTCTGCCAATGCTACACATCTCAGGTTTTACTGCTACCAATCAAACCTACACCTCTGCATTCGCATTTTTAAGTCGAGAAGTGACCGAATGGTATTCCCTCGCGATCAAAACCTACCTCGAACTCATGGGTCCTATCAACAATGACATCAAAGTTATCGTATGTGATCGCGAGATTGCTTTACACAACGCTCTGTCTATCCACCTCCCTCATGTTCATCTGAATTACTGTCGATGGCACCTCCGAGAAAACATCAAGGTGAACTGTCGTAAAAATTTTCAGTCCCTTTATAAAGAGGAATGGGTGGAGAAGTTATCTGAGTTTGGTGATCATTTCATGGTGGATATCTGTAAAGCAAAGTCTGAAGAGTCATTAGGTAAAGCTCTGTCATCAATGCAGGCTCGGTGGGGACATGAGAAGTTGGATGGTGCGAGGGCTTATGTGAGACAATTGGTGGATGAACACAAGACACACTTTGTCTCTGCTTTTATCGATAAATACCCTCATCTTGGACAGACAGCAAATTCTCGACTCGAAGGTAACCACGCTGCATTCAAGAGACGGCTCAAGGATTCGTATAGCGACTTTTACGGACTGCTACGCATTACTCAGGACTTCTTCGACGACCAATGTAAAGAGATAATACACCAAATGTCTCTTGATAGACTCATTCAGAAGACGAACCTTAACTCTATCTTCTTCTCTGTCAAAAATCGTGTCTCAAAACGGTCGGTATTCCTCATGGAAAAGCAGTATGATAAAGCAACCAAAGGCAACCTCGAAAATGATGATGATCACCACCTGTATTCGACATCAATGGGCCTCCCTTCTGCCAAGGATATTGCTGAAGTCATTGAAAACAATGGTACCATTGCTCTGTCCCCTCTCCATCGACATTGGCGTCTTCTTAACCCCATGTCCTGGCCCACCACCATTGAACAGGTTACTGCGACAGTCATTGGAGAATTTACTGGGGTTCATCAACTCTTAGGGCCAGAGTGGGACATCGATAATGATACCAACCGAATTCGTGACCCCCACCTTCGAAGAAACCGGTTGGTGTTAGCCAAGAAGAACCTCAAGAACCTCACCACCACTCAGATCGATCTGACCACCATCGATGACGACGATCTACCTGCTGATAATCCCTACTTTTTACCTCCTCCTCCTACTCTCCCCCCTTCTCCTAAAAGGGGTGTAAAATCGAATTCTACACAGCTCGCTGATGATGTCTCTCACACTGGCCGGTTACACACTCAGTCGGAAAAATTCCTCGGTACCAAGAAGAAAAGTCGTCCCTGTCCCCTGTGTGGTTCAAGAAGTCATGGTCCTAAGAAGTGTAAAAGGGCTAATGAACATCGAGAGAGGGATCCTGAGGCCTATGATCGCGAGGTAAAGGCGTATGATGCTGGAGAAACGACCTGGACAGAGGGATCAGTAATGGGAACTAATTCTGCTCTTGAGAAGAAGATCGCGAGTCTTCAGGAGACGGTTCTGGGCCTGGCTAAGAGTATTGAGGACAGAGATAAAAGGGAGAAGGAAAATCAGCCTGTAGTAGTGAGGACAGAGGACAGGATGGTGAGGAGACAGGATGTGATGGCCGGGACAGGTTATTTGGTGGGTTTCTCATATGATAATGACATTTCTCCTTCCCTCCTTCTCCCCCTCACTGTCCTGCAGTCATTCCTGGCTATATTGCTCTGTCTCTGTCTATATTGGCCTCACGATCTCGAAAATTTTCACTATTTTCACTCTCTTTTTACTCTCTTACTTCTAAAAGTTTCCTGCAAGCTGATTGGTCCAGGAGACACCAGGAAACGGCCAATATCCACCGAATGTGAGTCTCTAATACTGCATTTTCGGCTGTATCCAACAGGGGGTCTCTAATGAACAGGTACCCCCATTTTTCGACATTTATCCTCCTGAGGAGAGGTACCTACCACCCCCCCCTCTTCCACCTACTCTCCCTCCTCTTCCCTCTCAATATTGGCCTCCCTATCCATCCCAGGGGTCTTCTAGACATCCCTATGGCTCATATTATCCTCCTGGACATTGATAGATAGGAGAATGCATGGACAATGACCGGAAATGACATGGTATAGCTAATAATGACATTGACGATGTAAGAGAAGAGTGAGCAATCAGAGATCGCGGGGTTACTGAAACCCCGATCAGTGGCGAGTTCATGTCCGTCGCGTGGTCGGCGTTTTAGTAACGCCGGTGGTACGTGCCTGACTACCCTGAGTGTGGCAGGTTGTGCCCCGATTACACTGGGGTTGTGCCCGAAGTGGCTCTCAACTCGAGGACCTCCAACGATTGAGCTTAAGTATGCGTCTATTATCTTGTCACTTCTACGTACAATGTTTTGGTCATCGCTTCTCCAATTCTCGTAATCCTGAGCGTTGAACAGGGCAGTCAATTTATGCAGTGTTGATTTCACAGTGGGACTGTCAAGACGGCTCTAGGTTCTCGAGAGACAAGGCCTTGCTACTGACTAGTGCTTAGACGATACTTGTAGTTCAGACAGAGGAAGATACATTCTTCGAAGAGATAACGGATAGCTTCGAATAATGTATCTGCTGACTACGCTCAGGGACTCCTCAACCGTAACTCCGTGGACCCTGATCTCCTAATACCGATGTGGCAGTCATGTTCATGACAGGGACCCCATTTGGAGCTATGAAGTAGTTTCTCCACCCTGACTCGACTCTTATCCAATGATGCTGCGTATCCATCAGGATCATTATGTCTTAATGATGGACTGAAAGAAAGTCCACTCTCTGTCACCACAAGGTGGGTCACGGGGTGATGTCGACGAGAAGCGTTGACATTCATGTCATGAAGGTTGGAACAGAGCCCTTGAAGTTCAGCTTCTACCGTTTGTAATGATGGATCCACTTCAGTAATCATACCAGATCCGCTAAAATTTCGAGGGTTGAAGGTTAGAGACATCAATAAGATCCACTGAATGTTGTGAAAAAGGGCTAGTTGTTTGATACTGCTCTAATACCCTCAATAGCTCTGGCCTTATAGCTTTTGAAACCCATATTGCCCGCTTAGTCTGCGCGGGAACTTTCGACCCAAAGGCGGTGTCCTGACTTGGACCCTTTGTCCGTGCACACCACCCATACTGATTCTCGTTTCTCATCCTTCGTAACTTCCACCCGCACCGCCACCGGGCCTAGCCTCTTTGGCGCGATGCGAAGTGTGCAGTCAATCTCTAATCTCCGAACCTGTCGGGCATGCTTTGGTCGCTAAGCAACACCGCATCGCCTTGTTGACTCATCGGAGATCCGATACACCACGCCGATCAAGTTTCGACCCAAAGATAGCACGGAACGGGTGAAAGAATGATCCGGTGCCGGGGTGCCGAGAGACCTGAACTACAGGGGAAACTTCTTTGACCCCCTGACGTTGCACGGACGGTGGTGATCGTCAAGGACTGCCTTTCGAAACCGTCGAAGAAGAGACCATTGAGCGAGAAGCCGACGCCGAGACAACTCTAAACGCTTCTTTTTCAAGCTCCGATAGCAAAAAGGAGATTCCAACTTGCACTGCCCCTCTGCTTAGTAGATAAAGTATAGTCTTGATGTGTAGGAGGCCCACCAACTGTCACATCTCTTGATATCTCGATTGTCAAAGTACCCGTTACTCTTCACACTTATCCGGTATCAAGATATGTCAAATTTGAGCTCAAGCCACAGCTTGGAAGGTGACAATCATATGGAGGAAGGATTTGAATTGGCAGCTTGGGAGCATTCCAGTGATGGGACAGGGAGTCACAAGGGGGACATTCCAACCATGTCCCTTGATGGGTCAGACAGCAGTGTTTCCCTCGTTTCGGCGTTTATGCAAAAGTGCTCAGTGAGCAAAAGGGGAGGAACTGAACAAGTGAAAGCAAGGGACCTGGATCAGACTCCAGGTCCTTCCAATCCCCAATTGACAGATTGGATTCAGAGCTGGCTCCTGGCAGCCTCAGCCCAAGACGCAAATGCAAAGCCAGACTCAGACTCAGATGCACATGCAAACGCACAGGTAAGCACAGAAGTAGACAAAGAGGCGGACCCCCATTATCTACTACGTCCAGCCTCTTCTCCCAACTCAACTGAGGATTTGAACGGGCCCGCACCCTTTCACACCAGCCCTGAGGGAAGCATCACCCAGGAAGATCACAAAGCCTGTCAGTCTCATGTACAGAATTCTTTTGACTCTGTTGGCCCAAGTCCATTTGGACAAGATAATGTGGCAAAATTCTTGCATGGAAAACCACACACAGGTGATGCTGGGGGGATCTTCTTGTTTTGATCCTGATGGGCTAAGAGGATCAATGTTGTGTGGTGCTAATCATCTGGAAGACATGTTGTGACAGATGAGAGCTACTTGATGGCGGTTTGGGACACACCCGGCCTTCCGGGATTGTGCAGACAGGTGTTCTCAATATGTGTGACTGTTGCTATCTACATGATGTACTTTTCGGGCTTGATACCTCCTCTTACCTCTGATTCTACAATCATGAGACTGAAAGACAACTGTCTGTGTCTCTGAGGCAAACTGAGCAGGTTGTGAAAACTGCTCACTAATATTCTCCAGGCAGCTCAAGCTTACAGCATGTTTATGCCTTTCATGGGCATATCTGTCACGGTCGTCGTTTCTTCTCCTCTACTGACCGACAGTCGACAAACCTCAGTGTCACAATCGTCGGTTCTTCTTCTCTACTGACCGACGGTCGACAAACTTCGGCTGACTACGTTGTAGTGGGGCGTTAATGTCTCACTAGGACAGGGTACTGGTTGGGGAACTACTGTTATGACCCGGTCAGGATGAAGCGTGTCATAACCCATGCTTTGGCTCATGCAGCTCTACCGGAGCTCATGTAGCTGACTAGAAGCACCATATGATCCATGAGCTGAATACAGAGCTCTCTATGATAGTTCAGTAAGCTCTACTGATGCTCTACCAGAGCTCTGTTAGATCATATGAGCTAGGTTATGGCTCGGGGAAGGCTCAATAGTTTTGTTAGTAGATGGGATGTGAGCTATGGAATAGCTCACTGAGCCTTGCTCACTCTGATAGCTCTAGGTAGACTATATAAACCCTGTATCTACTTTGGAGTTGCCTTTCTGCTCCAAGGATCAATATATTATTTGCCACTCGCAAAAGACCTCTTGACATACTACTTACATCCGACACTTCCCTCATTATTATTACCCCTGTCCACACCATCACCAACACCTCTATCGTCATCTCGACCTGCCCGGATCCTTTGCAAGTCACCTTAGTCGTCCAACCACATCACAAGTCTACGGACAACAAAGTAACCGTCGTTGTCCAAGCTAACTAAACAGTTGCAGTCCACCTGTCTTTGTTCCATTGAGGTCTGTCAAGGACAGGACCGTGACAACTACGGCTAACTTTGCCGTAAAGATACGTCAGGTGGTAGATGATAAGTGATCGTCAATGTCATACATCACCTATCTGCCACTTGTCAAAGGGCTTTTGCACAATCAGACACTTGAAACACATACCCCTGAATACCTCCACCTCCACCTCCACATGCTGGAACCTTCCACCATTGCCTCCACATTTACCTCCACTTGCTTATCAAGCCTCCACACTCTGGAACATTCTGTGCCTGCCTCCACCTTCCCAAAGTAGTAACTCTGGTTGATTGCTGAGCAATCATCCATAGTCCCCAACATTCAGTGCCTGCCTCCACTTTCCCAAAGTAGTAATTCAGTCTGCTCGCTGAGCAATCTTTCCCACGTTTGCGCTTTCTAGTTTATTCCGTAGACATGTTGAGCAACCCGCTTGATGGGGATAAATACCCCCTCCAAACAGGTTGTTCCCCACCTATGGATCTTGTGTCAATCCAGTCAGTCCCAGCCTGACATCTTGCAGTCCCCTCAGTCCCCTCAGTCCCTTGTCACCCTCTGTATACTCCTCAAGCTCTACAAGCCAGAGACAAGTATTGGGTTACAGCTGTCACGAACTACGTTGTGACACCTCGATTATTCCACCAACAATGACCCTCCTTTGACCATCAAAACCCCCATCACGACTTAACCTCTTTACTCTACACGTAACTCAGGACACCTGAGACCAAGTACGGCGAAGTTAGGCGAAGTTAGACGAAGTTAGGCTAGGTAGGGACAATGTGTCACGACCCAGCCTGTGCAGGGTCCTGACCCAAAACCCTGAGCTCCACCGATTCGAGTAGATTCGAGTCGATCCGAGTCGATCTCAGTCGATCCGAGTCGATCTCAGTCAATATGAGTTGAAATGAGTCGATCTCAGTCGATATGAGTTGGAATGAGTCGATATGAGTCGATATGAGTCGATATGAGTCGATATGAGTCGATATGAGTCGATATGAGTCGATACAAGTCGATCTGGGTCGATTGGAGGCGACATTAATCAGAGAGCAGGACTTCCTCGAAAAGTATAAATACTAGACCTATCTACTTTGTAGTTCCTTCTCTTCAAGGATCAAAATATTATTTGCCACTCACAAAAGACCTCTTGACATACTACTTACGCTCGACGCATCCCTCATCATCATTACACCTGTCTACGCCATCACACACGTCCTTGTCATCCTCTCGACCTGCCCGGATCCTTCGCAAGTCACTGTAGCCGTCCGACCACATCACAAGTCTACGGATAACATACTAACTGTCGTTGTCCAAGCTAATTAAACAGTCGCAGTCCACCTGTCTTTGATTCCTTGAGGTCTGTCCAGGACAGGACCGTGACACAATGGGATCAGAAGTACGGCGAAGTTAGATGGAGTTAGGCTAGGTAGGGACAATGGGAGCAGAAGTGCGGCGATGTTAGGCGGAGTTAGTCAAAGGAGGAAGAGGATGGCCGGGGTTCGGGGAAGTTGGGCGAAGTGCGTTGAAGTACGTCAAAGCGCGAGAGGGTTGGGTGAACGTCTAGGAGGGATAGATAATATTAGCTGAGAAGATCGCTGAAGTTCTTCAGCGATCCTTGATTGTTGTCAGTAGTAAAAGACAGATAGAGATAGATATAAATCGAGATACATCGCCATCAGTAGAACAAAACCTTAGTTAGAGTAACTACGCCGAAGTACGCCGTAGTTACACTCCTTTCGACATCTGCGCCCTCCTGGTTGGGTGAGACATCGACTCAGAAGCGTGAAGTTAGCCGAGGTTCGTCGACCGTCGGTCTATTAGGAAGGAATTGCTTGACGGCCGTGACATAGCTCATTTTGACACCTCTTTGAAAACGATCATGCAGGCAGATGCCTCGTTCTTTGGATGGGGATATATCATCTCACAGGTTGATAAAGAAGGTAGGGAACACCCTGTGGCTATAGAATCGGGAGCTTTTAAGGGTGCTGAGTTGAATTATACTACGGGGGAAAAGGAGTTGTTAGCAATAGTCAAAGGTTTCAGGAGGAAGAGACACTTATTACTACAGGTAGAGACGAAGGTCTTGACAGATGATCTTAATCTGACATATTGGATGGCCCCAAAACAATTGAATCCTAGGCAAGGTAGGTGGGTAGAAGAACTGGCTAATTTCAGGTTCACGTTGGTTTACCGTCCCGGGAAGCAAGCAACACTGCCAGATGCCTTGTCAAGACGACCAGACTATCATCCTGGGATCAAAGGAATGACGACCGAACAGGAGGAGAACTTTGTCCAAGGATTGCCAAAGTTCAACTCGGAAGATGTTACTGAATCAAGCCTGAGACACATGCTCCGGGCCTTACAAGGAACAAAAGAAGTTAGGGAGGAAGATCGGATCGAAGGCAAGGATGTCATGAATAGTGATAAGGAATTCTGACTCATGCTCAGAATAGTGATAAGGAAATATGACTCATGCTAGGAACTGTGATAAGGATTGAAGGAAAATATGAGTCATGGTATTTAGCAGTTCAGCAGTGAGGCATTTACGTGATTGGCTGAAGCCTGGAAGGTTCAGCAGTTTAGCAGTGAGGCATTTATGTGATTGGCTGGAATTAGTTTCCCGCGGTGCACTCACTTTGAGGCATTTATGTGATTGGCTAGAAAATACCTCACACGCTTTTTATTTAGTACACCTACTGTAGTTTTGAAGGGTATAAAAGGAGCACATCTCCCCCCTCTTTCTTCAGCAATGTATCTTCATCTTGAAGTTGAACTTCATCTTTGAAAGTCACCTAGTTGGTTCTAACCCAACACCTCAGTACCCTCAGTACCTAAGGCAGTCATCAAGCTCTACAAGCCAGAGACTAAAACCCTTCAGTACCCAAGGCAGTACTTTGCAACCGCAGTCTACCCGCAGGCGTGACAGGACAGGGGTGAGGGTGATGAGGGATGTGTCGGATGTAAGTTGTTTGTCAAGAAGAGGTCTTTTGCGAGTGGCCAATAATATATTGATCCTTGAAGAAGGAAAGACTACAAGAAGACTATTGTCACGCGGCGCCGCGTGACATTATCCTTTCCCATCAAACGAAGTTCCTTTGGACATCAGTTCGCCATCAACGACCCAGTTCGCATGAACTTCACCACCCACGAGGGTATTAGGAGGCTAACTTCGTCGAGGACGAAGTTAGTCATGTAGGAAGTTAGGGGGATACGAAGTTAGGAAGATACGAAGTTAGGGAGATACGAAGTTAGGAGGATACGAAGTTAGGAAGGCACGAACTTCGTCGGGGACGAAGTTCGCGAGGTACGAAGCTCGGGACGTCGGGTTGAACGAAGTTCTGCGTTGACGAAGTTAGGGAAGGACGAAGTACTTAAGGGCTGAAGTTCCCAGAGATCTTTGACGATCTCTGGTTGTTGTCTTAGTGATAGAAGTTAGTTAAGCACGAAGTTATTACACCCAGAAGTTATTGTCACCTATTTCATATCTCGAGCACGAAGTTGGTGAAGGTCGAAGCCCACAAAGTTATTGGCCGTCGGTCCTAAGAAGTTAAGGAAGAAACAACCTTGTGACAGTACCAGAGATCGTCCTTACCGACTCTCCAGTAACTCGTGGGAAGATATATGTGGACTAGAGGAAAGGAAAGAGAAAGGAGAACGGCTGAAGCAATGTCGAGGAACGAACAAGGAGATAATCAAGGTAACCTAGAACCTCACGGTTCTAGGGATTCGTCTTTTCTCTCCCAACCACCTTCTGACGCGTACTTGGACGACCCATGGGTTGGAGGGGATGATCAAGGGAGAAGGTTAGAGGAAGAAGATGGGGGGTCGACGGGTGGAAGAAGTTCGTATACATCGCGGCCGAGGGGAAGAAATTCACCGGAGAGGTTTAAAGAGGATGTTAGGGATGGGATGTTGGTGGAAATGATGAGAGCTTTAAAGGAGTTGAAGACGGCTGACAGCCAGAAGAGTGAGGCTTTGACAGAGATAGTACAGGAACTTCGTCGAGGACAGCGGGGAACTAGAGAAGAATCGGCGACAACTTCGTCAGCTCGAGCGCCGAAACCGAAGGATCCTGACGAGTTCGATGGGTCAAGAGAGAAGCTCACTGGGTTCTTGACTCAGTGTTCGTTGGCATTGAGCGTGATGAAGGATAGGTTTGAGAGTGAGGAGCAGAGTGTGTTGTGGATGGTAGGGTTCTTACGAGGGGTTGCACTGCTGGCGGTGCAGCCTCATCTACTTTCTACTCCTCTTCCTCCTTTCCTCTCAAAACGCTCTGAGTTCGTGTCACAATCGTCGTTTCTTCTCCTCTTCTGACTGACGGTCGACAAACCTCGGCTAACTACGTCGTAGTGGGGCGTCGATGTCTCACTAGGACAGGGTACCCAATCCGGCTCGACTCAGTTCTCAGGATGCTGCCTTCCTCGATATCCTGGCTCTTCCCCCGGACTGTCTTAGAATTCTTCGGCAGTTATGGAAGCTGCCTAGTCTGAATATCGCTCGTGACTCTGCTCTCCACGACTCCCACATTCTGGCCTTCAATATGGCATGGAGAGAGACTCGGGCCCTTCGACGGGTAGTACCACCGAAGGATACCGAGAATAGTTCTGGAGGTGGTCCTCCACCGGGGAACGGGGAACAGGGAGGAAGTTCGCAGCAGTGAGTTGTACTTAGCTAATGTTGTACCCGTTGTATGGATTACTTCCTCGCCCGTGATCTCACCACTCGTCCTTTCTTCGGTTTACCAGGGTGAAGTTTGTGGAACTTCGCCAATATGTCATCAGCTCCGTCCACATTCTCTACTGGTTCCCATGATACTGAATCATCAGAGCCCTCGTAGCCTAACCATTCCACTAGATACTCTAGCTTCCCTGA